CTTTCCTTATTTATGGACCCATATTGGCGCCTTTTGAACAGGAATAATTCGAATGAACGTAATTTTTGCTTCATATTTACTACATTTTCTCAATGCCTGAAAAAAATCTAAAAAATGGCGATTTATTTTATAGGTGGTGCACCTCCGCCATAAATAGCACCACAGGATAATTGCCGAAGAATTTTGACATTGTTAATTCATCGAAAAAACTTAAAATCACGCCAATAGTCTTAAAAAAAACTAAGCAAAGACAAACTCATAGACAAAATTTAATTACACAATCATTCATATTAAATATTTTCGGAAAACAATGTTGTCAACTGAGGAAGCGTAGACAACAACTAAACATGTCTCGAGTTAAATCGGATTAAATTAGTTGAATTCAAATTGAAATGTAGGAGTCAAAGCCAAAGCCAAATAATTTTCTAAACAAGGTAATTTAGAGTTTATCTTTCGACAAACACATTCCCTTCATACAAAGATTTCTTAGTCGGTGCACAGAAGCTCATTCCATTATTATACGCTAACAATGTCAATTGTATCAGACAGATACTTCATCTCTACACTCTTTACAGCGAATTAATTCCCAAGATTAGTAATTTCTGCATGTATACAGGGTGGTTTATCTGCATGATAAAGTACTTTTTGGCTTTAATGCTTCCGTGAAAAAATTACGTTTTCAATATAATAAAGGATTCCAGTCAAAATTGTTTATTGTTAATTGGGTCATCCTGTCCCTTTTACCACAAATTTATTTATTTATATCATTTTTTCAGTTTCCAAAAATATTATTAGAAGAGGATCTTATTAAGGTTTTTTAAAAAATAAAGTTACTTTTGCAAGAGAGTTAATCCTAATTCGAAATTAGATATAAATAGAAATACTATATTTTATAAAAAGTACAGGATGTTTCCTATAAAAAAGAAACTTTAATTAGAAGCGACTAGGTAATAGTTATCATTTGAATAAATTACCCCGTATAGTAATTCCTTAATTCACTGATGCAAATCGTAAGTCGGAATTTAGTGGAATGTATTTGGGTATTTTTCTAGTATTATTATTTCTAATTATCGCGGTGTTAGCTTGGATTGCATTCTGCTGTAATTTGAAATTGGAAAGTAATCCTTTCTTTAATGAAAACTCTCCAGGTGAACAGGGAAACTAACGAATAATTCCGAGAATTTTCAAGATTGTGTTCTACACTTTAAAAAGAATCGAATCCATGTCGCAAGTAATTTTTAATGAAAGCTCGGAATTTTATTTAGGGTAATCGATTATTTATAATTTCGACATGCGATCGATATTTGGAGTAAATATTTTCCGTCACCTAAGCGTCGTGGATAGTTGAAATTTTTCGGAAATGCTGTGCATGCCCTTCCTTAGTAAGAATCTTACAGAAAAATTCTCCCTCGCAATAAAAAGCCATTCACGAACCGAACGTACAAATTTCTCTTCCCCTTTCGACGAAGAGATAACTTATCAAGACCCGGCTTTTTCTAGCCGGCGCTTTTTTGTCCCTGGAATTTCCTAGTAGCTGATTTAATAAATTCGGAAATAAAGCAGCAGTTAAAAGAGTAAAAATAAAACCGAATGAAAAAATTCGAATAGCATGTATTATAGCCGTTCTGAAATTTTCTGCGCTCTGCTCACGCGCGCTTCTGATATACTAACCGAATCCATTGCAGATTTTCAGCTTGTCGGCTATAGAGAATGGAAAAGCTTGAGTGCTGCACCATTCCCTAGGAATGATGATAGAGTTAGAGAAATGATAGGGATTTTCCTCTTTGCCCAATTCCAAAATCAATACGACTAAAGTAAATTTATATATCCTCTACTACATAAAGTACATTCTTAGCTCGCCAGTTTTTTTCTCGCGACGTACTTGTTTATCACATTATCCTATAACAATATACGTTTTAGTGCTTTCCATGGACAATGGAAAATCTTTATCGAACGGTAGGTAGACCGCTCTTTCTTTAAAAGGAGTATACTAGGGACAATATGTTCTGTATAGAGCGTATAAAAATGTTTCTTTGGGATCAACAATTTTCTGTATAATATTTATAAATTAAGATGCCTTTCATTAAATATTTTCCTGTTTTACACACCTATTATTTCTTATGATTTCTAAGAGTCACTTTATCTATAGTATACTTACAAGACTTAATATATCTTACCAATAGGGACTAGATTATTTAACTAATTGAGTCAATTATCTACTAATTTATAACCAAGAGAGTAGATTTTCTATCTAGAGACATTAGTCCATATTTATAAAAATGCATAAAGCATTTACTAAGGTAGAAGCAAAAGATAAGAGAAAAATGGTTTAAAACCTTAAACAAAGGTCTTAAACCCATAAATCCTTTTGCTTTAAAGCAACAGCAGGATCCTCGAGGCAAAACCTCTCTTCCTTCACTTCTTCCTTCACTTCATGTCAATTATGTCAATTACGTTACCTATGTGTCTAAGAGGGTCACTGGTCTACCAAATATACATATCTGCTTAAAAGAGACATATTTATCCAAACATTGATTAAACAATTAGTCTTAAGTGAGTGCATCAATTTATCTTCCTGAGATTGATAATAAATTCCCGATCTAAACTAATATTACATAAAATAAAAGCGACTGCTTGAAATACAAAACAATGGCAAAAACTCAGAGTATGGTCACGTCAAGAGAACCGCTTTTTCCTTAGCCGAGAGCGCGCTGCAATTTAAATTGCACATAAATTAGACAGTCAACTCTAGGTTAAAGTCAATTACATCTCGCCGGTTCGCCCGTTCGTAAGAACTATTGCGAAATTATTTAATCAATTTTTTCGCACCGAAATGATTCGATAGACTCGTTCATCTACCAGAAACGGCCGAGGATAATTCGCTAACTAGACTGATATGTTTGCCGAACCCCGGTATATAACTAATTTCCTAAAATTTTCGGGCGCATCGCTTTAAACCTTGGCGTTGCCGAAGAGACGGGAAAGGCAAACCAACTTTCTGTTAAAGTATTAATCTTCGTCGGCTCACTATTTCGAATTTAGATGAGGCGTTCAACGTCATGATCAATACCGTTGTTTTCAATTCCGTACGGCCTCTTGTACCAGTTACAGTCTATTATTAATTAACATTGTGATGAATTGTAATTTGCTCAAATCCACACAAATGACGTATTTGATTGTCAAAAACGTGCGAAAATCTTAATAGACATTAATTTAATCTGATTAAGAAAGATACAGGGTGTCTCATAAGTTGATACTTTTTTTAATTGGGTATAGAGCTTTTAATTCTAAGCAACATTTTCAAGTAATTTTTTTTAATATTCTGGAAAATAAGAGAGCATGTCAATTTTCATTCAAAGTTAGAGAAACTGCTTAAAATTGTCGCCATTTTGATTGGAAACGCTTTGGAAACACTCTCCAAAATAATCAGCATGTCCACCAATTCATTATTGTATAAAGATGAGCCATTTTCAATTCGACAATCGAAAAATTAATTTTTTGTCATTAATTATTTATTATTTTTTTGACACCTGTATGGTAATGGCAGGTACGTATTGGAAAATATTCGAAATTTAAAGAAATTATAAAAATTTTAAGCTATTTTATTTTCCAGAATATTAAAAAAATAACTTGAAAAAGTTGCTTAGAATTAAAAGATCTATACGCAGTTAAAAAAAGTATCAACTTAGGAGACACCCTGTATATTTACTTATTACCGAAATTAACAGAGATTCGCATTTAATCTTTAACACAATTATCCATTTAAGTAAACCAATTATATATAATTAATAAAGCCAATTATCCTCCTAAGAGAGTCTCTACTTATACAAATTTATCTACAAATAAGAGTAATTTAATAATCTCGTGGTGTCCATTTTCACATTAGCAATTCTATCAAAATTAAAAAATATACTTTAGTAACAACTACAATTGCTGATAATTTCGTTTGTTCGTTTAAACGCTAATGAAAAAAATCACCTGCGGCGATGGGCCGTGCGAAAAAAAAGGGAAATATTTCACGGTGATGATTCGGATTCGAATTTGAAAATTTCCGGGCGTCACCGGTGACAGCAGGTCAGGTGGTTACTGTCAGTTGCGGGATGAAAAATGATCATTAACGCTCGGGCTGTTGTGCGGGCGTCGTTTGTTTGAATAAAGTGTTGTTGTGTATTTATTAGAGCTTTAACTATTATTTCGCGGTAATTTTTCGATGCAACGTGTCCGTTTGAAATTGACTTTTTAATATCACCGACTGAAAATGGTGGAATATTATATAACACACATAGAGTAATTAATTTAAATATGTTTTAATACGAGCGATTTTTTGGTACACTTCGATCCACTTACGTAATGAAAATGGAAGCGTTAAAAAGAGGGAAAAATCGAAGTTTCTTGGCAGGAAATTCGGTAAGCGATTTGCAGGTTCCGCAATATCTCGAAAACCGTGGACTTTAGGTGTAGGTATAAAATATGACTTTCTCTGGACGGCATTTAACAGTGCACTCAAGCCTAGTAATCGCTTTTCTCTCTAGGGCGTATCACCTTCACCTTCACCAATTAAATTAGTACACTTATATCTCTCTTTTGTACCCAATTTCGGCGTTCAATCGAGACGGGAAATTACATTTTAATGTATAATTTAACCTGAATTCTATGTTAAAAACCAGCTGCAAAAAGTACATAGAATCTTAACCTAATGCAATGTAATAAACCTGGTGCAAATAGTGTTAACTACAACTATCGTATAACTCTATTATAAAGCTGCGTTTCGATGTATTTTCCGAAAGAAAATCGCTCACAGTGTAAACGCAGTTTTAGATAAAAAAAAGTAATATCCCGTTAGAAAATGGCAGTGAGTGCGACCATGTATATATAGAAAGGCTTTCTCGGCTCATCGAGAAGTCGCTTCTACACCCCGATTATACGAAGTCGCGAATATCTTGAGTTATCTTTATCTAGTTTGGCGAGCGAATGCAAGTTATCTTTCCGTTTTGTTACAGGTCAAATACCCGAGCCCGAACCGGAGTTTCTGGCCGCTTTAGAGAATCACACAGTCACTCAGGGACGTGATGTCTATTTCACGTGCGTTGTTAATCACTTGGGCTCTTACAAGGTAAATCTCGCACGATAAATCTCGTTCCTTTGCCTAGAAATAATTACAATTTACGCGGTCTGTCGTTGATAAATATTGTTAGGACTAGGAGAGAGGGCTCGCGCCGCACCGCACCATTAATTAATGATTCAATTTGTACTTTTTTCGGATTACCTACGGTTTCTCGCTTGTTGTTTCCAATTAACTGCCATCTCAATTAATTGCAAAGAACAACTAAGCAAACAATGATAAAGCGAAGGACTCCCGGCCCGCCTGACTTTCGATTCTATTCGAAAATTTGCACACTTTACAAATTACATCTCACTGGAAACGTTCAAGTGCTCTCGAAATAAAGCTGATTATTAATTATTATTTCTATTGCATTTCCATATAAATTACTACGTTTTAAATCTCTAATTAAATCCTCTTTACTTCTTTCGAATTTAAATTATCCACTCAGTCGGTTAGTGACGCTTATAGACGGTTATGTTTGACAAATATGGCGTTTTTGAGAAAACCAAATTTTGTTATATAGATACTTGGAGAACTTTTCAAATAATAAAGTCAACAGAGGTTCGGTAAAAGCGGAAAACTTCCAAGAAATCATTTAGTAGGCGGTTATTAAGTGGACAACCTTGTTTGTATTGAATGTCCCGCGACGAATAAAAGTTTTCAGTGCGGCCTGGGAAAATATTGGTGTAGAAACGAAGTCAAATAACAAAGCGAATCATTAAAGAAGTCTAAAACAAAATCCGTCATATTTGAAAGGAAAATTTTTAATAGAAACTCGAAACTGAAATGAAGTATTACGGGAAAAAAGGACGAATTGAATGAGTTCATAGAAATGGAAGTTTTTTTATTATTTATAGCGTGTGTTTGCAGAGAGATAAAGTTTGAAAAACGAGGGTAATTGTTTTTGGACACGTTTAATGCGGATTATTAAAAGCCCTTCGCAGTTTCGTAATTAATGATTATTTATCAAGTTTGCAATGCGAATATGTTGATATACTAACAGGTCATTACTCAATATTGAAAAAAAATGTATCAAATCAAAAATTTGTTTCAAAATTCACAAGCAATTTAATGTTGTATGTAGGATATAGATAAAAGGATATTGATATACTATTTTGATCTACTCAGTACCTAAAACAAAAATTACATTGTAGTTTTTTTGAATATCCTATTTTAGCAAACGATTTGTGAGTTGAAATGCGGCGCACACGAAATCAGATTGCCTATAAAAGAGAATAAAAAAAGTAGATATATTTTTGCTCTATTCGACTATTCACTCACACTTTTCAATTTATGGTCCGTTGGCGAAATTATCTTTTCAATTCAGCTCGGATCGGATCTTTTATAGTAGAAATACACGAACTAGAGAAAGAACGTCCAAAAATGATTCCCCGACCTACTTACCAGTTTTATTTTAACCGAAAAAGAAGGGGACGTGTACGTTTTTGATTGCATTGTAAAAATGTGCCGGAGGTGACAAAAATACCCAATCAAACGTGCAACAAACGCTTATTGAATTCGCACTTCTCTCAGACATCCCAACTTTTTCTCCAATAAAATCAGCGGCCCTATTTATGTTCTACCTTTTCAACGAAAACCGGAGAATTGCCTGCGCCACCGAATTAAATTATACCCCCTGTTCCGGCGTGAGTTTAATCAAAAGTCTATTTCGCACGAATAAAATAAACTACTTTTAACGCCAATATTCAGTACACTAGCCCCACGTTCAGAGAAACAAAGCTTTTACTTATTAACGAAATAATTTCGAGTAGCTCAAAAATATTTACACGCAACAAACTTCCTATAGAAATTTCAAAACAATTTAATACCCCCCAAAAAGGTATACAGGTGTATCCAAATTCGCCCTCAAAACAACCCCTCTCCTACTCGGCTTAGTTGAATATTAAATAACTGAGATTACTAAACTATTTTCACAATGCCGTTTCGTTACGTTACACAACAAATACCGTGCGAGCAACAAAGACTCGGTTAATTTCCCGCGTGAGGCGATGAGTAATTAATATTGTTCCGTGCTAATTGCAGGTCGCATGGATCAAGTCGGACACAAAGGCGATTCTGGCCATTCATACGCACATGGTGGCTCAGAATCCGCGGCTCTCAGTCACCCACAACGGCCACAACACGTGGAAACTGCACGTCGCCAACGTACAAAAGAATGATACAGGCACATACATGTGCCAGATAAACACCGATCCCATGCGGAGCCAGGTAAACACGAATCCGACGTATAAGTTATGTTTGTGTGCACGCTACATTGTAGACTTGTAGAGCTTCGAGGAAACATCATTAATAAGGCGGGGCCGCTTTGATATTTCATAGAATTTTACCCCTGCTAGTGGAGTTATTTCCTTTTGCTCTATTCAAGTTGCCGTAGTTAAGTTTTGTATTTAATTAGGTATCGATATGAAGCAGCTGGAGCGTGGAGGAATTGGAGGAAAATGAAAATTTTCCTTCAATTTATATACCTATACCTTAATTAAATTATTATATAGAGTCTTTCTGAAGTCAATTTAAAGCATTGTTTATTAATGCGTAAAGGAAGCTAATCAAATGAAATAAGTAATAACACGAGTGGGATGAAGAGAGTATATTCAATCATTGTACTACCGCTCGAGAGGAAGAAAGATGCCATTATAACTGAACAAACACATATTTCCTCGTATTCTCAATTTATTCAGGACAATTATCGAATTATTTGGAAATGTTCAAAACACTCTAGAACTGTTCAAAGCTATTTAAAACTTTTCAAAACTATTTTGAACTATTCAAAACCACTTTTAACTGTTTTGAACAATTTAGAGCCATTTTTGAACTGCCTAGGACCATTTGAAATAGTTTAGGACGATCTTGAAACTATTTAGAACAGCTAAAATAATTGAGAACTAATGTAAGAACTGACTAGGACCATTTGAAATAATTCAGAACGATCTTGGAACTATTTAGAACAGCCAAAATAATTGAGAACCAATTTAAAACTGACGATAGGATGATTTGAAACAGTTCAGAATGATCGTTGAACTATTTAAAACAGTCCAAAATAATTTAAGAAATAACTAGAGGACCATTTGAAATATATAGTTCAGGACGATCTTAGAGCTTTTAGAATTGTCTAAAATAATTTAGAATTGAATCGGGACTATTTGGAATTTGGAATGTTCTAGGTTAAACCAGAAACGTTTAGAACAATCAAAACTCTTCAGGAATGTGCCGAACTTTTTTAAAACCTAAAAACACTCAAATTTAGATGCAAAATCTTGTAAAGTTATCGGAAAAATCGACTAATCCAGTAAAATAAACTAAAAGAGATTTATAGTCAGAATATTTAGAATAGGTTAGAATTATTTGGAACGGTTCAAGATAAACTAGAAAATTCCAGAACCATGTGGATCGTTTTCAGGACTATTTGGAATTTTTTTAGAACTTTCAAAAGTGTATTTAGACTTTCTCAATTTAACTTTTTCAACTGAAAAATTTATGTCAACTAAACTTTTTTAACTGAAGAGTCGATTAATTTTGTGAAATATTCTTTAAAATCGTCGATTCGCATGTAAAATCGTCTGAAAAATCGACTAATTAATCAGAATATTCTAAAAAAATTGAGTGTCTAAATAGGAGAAACATTCTAATAAAATCATCAACTTAATTTGAATTTGAAAAATCACATTTTCCTTTGTCCTCATCGCTGCATTCCTACCTGTTAAACACACAAATAATACAACAGTTCTTTCTAATATTGGACATTAAATGATTGATTTCAGATGGGAAATCTAGAAGTAGTACTTTCACCAGACATATTAACAGACAACGAAGCTAACGAAGTGAACGAGGCCTTAGAAGGAGGAACAATTAATCTAAAATGTAAAGCCATCGGAGTGCCGGAACCGACGATTACTTGGCGAAGGGAAGACGGGAATAATATTATCATTCGGCAAGAGAATAGAGAAAAACAAGGTAAATGAATTTTGTTACATTCATTTTTTTCAATCGGCTTAATTAATTTGACGAGCAGTGAAAGCAAAATAAATCCAGTTGTAGAACAAATAATTCATATAATGGAGCTCAAAGCATTTATAACTAATTAAAAGTATTTTTAATGATATTTTAAGTTAAGAATTTACTCATTAAAATGTTAAGTTTTAAAAAGATTTAAAATTAACAAAAGAAAAATCTTATACTTACCTACAAACAAGGTAACATTGCTTGTTATCAAATAACTCAAAAAAAAATTCCCGAGTGGTTTTGCCAATTCGAAAGGTAACGTAACGTTAAAAATACCGTTTACGGCTAACGTATAGGTACGTATAGAGGAAAACTAAAAATTGACGATAATGACATTGGATAAAAACAAACCGAAAAAAAAAACTAAAATGGGATGTTGAGTGAGCGTGTCGTGAAGCAGTCGAACAGGAACGGGTCCCGGAAAACTTTACTATCCCCCCACGAATACTTCGAAATCAATAGCGATAACCCCTTAATAGAAGGCCTAGGGCCGGATTGAAGAGATTCCTTCTGGTAAATCCGTAACGGCGGAAGTTCATCGGAATAATAAGTATTTCCTGATCTCGGTGCGTGTTCGGATTGATGGTATTGTTACTGTACAATGTGCCTAAGTTAACTCTCTTGTGCTATACACATTTTTTTGGATTTGAATAAAAAGGTGGGTAGAGTCTTTGCAAAGTCGATTGAATACAAATTGGATACAAAAATGATAAAAATGTGTGGATTAATGTGAGTTTAATTTAGTGCCGTCTTCTCGGCATTTGTGTTTTTTAAAAAGCTCTAAAGCTTTACTTATTTTCTTGATTTTTTCCTTCTTATTCTATAATTTATTCCTCATGCTTGACCTACTTATTCTCGAGCAGTAATGTACTGTGTGTATTGTGTTGAAAATAAATAAAATAATAAGCAATTATTGCTTTTGTTCAATTTGTGGAATATTTTGTTGAGTTATAATATTTTCACGAAATTGCACAAATTTTCATTAATTCGCTACACGCTGATTTATTCAAAACCTAATCAAACATTGTATAATTTAATTTTTTTATATTAAATATGTCAATAACTAGATATTTCAAATAAAATAAACTGTAAATTGTCCTGTAGTTAATAAAATCGTTAAAAAACTCATCACAGAAATAAAATCAACTAAGCATTTTTGAAATTGGTAGATCTACCGAAAATTCCGTATGTTTTGCAATATTGCAAAATCATTATTTCAAGTTCATTTATTACGACTATTTGTATAATATACCTTCATTTCTATGGAATTATTACTTCGAAAACACAATTACATTTGCTCCATTTCGAACGAAAATGAAACGGAGCACCTACGATTTTTATTTAAAACATTTTAAGAGAGTCGAAGCTGTGCAGAGGCATTGCATGGAGTTTTCTTTTTCATTAAAACTGGATAAAAATTTTCCCTTGATAGATACTTAAATGAAGCTCTTCATTACAGCATAATAATCTCTCTATTTACTTTGAAGGAAATTTTGTTACTGATGATGTTTTTTTTTCGGAAGAATCCTTGATCGCCAAAAAATTTACTTATTGATAGATACGCAAGAAAATCTTTAACACTCCAGTAATAGAAGCAATCGGAAAAGCTCATTCATTTACTGTCAAACGGGAATGAAAAATTGACTATTGTTTGGGATTGGATATTGAAAAGTATTTACACCGAACAAGCCGGAGAAAATATATATTGTTATAAAATTTTCCGGGATAATTCGATGGAAAAGCGCCGGCTCCCCGAAGAAGGCACGAAAACATATTTGCTGACAATTCTGATTCCGTTCCCTTCAAAAATAAATCTGCCAATATCAGACATATCAGGCTATTTAGAAAAACAAACAACCTTTGATTTATCTGGATTAATTTGGTCGTTTGTCGATCGCCGGCATGCTGTTTTGGCCTGGCCACCGCACAATTCCACGTTTATTATACCTAAATAAATACCTATAAATAATATACAGATAATAATATGCGCTTTTCCAGTTAGACCATTTTTCCGTAGAGTTGTTGCAAAACTTTTTCATGACTTCAATTAGCTTTTGTAGAATGTTGGTTTGTGATTTTATGTTTAGTTTATTTGAGTATGGTCAGAAGATTATTAAGGTGCAAATTTATTTAAGAAAGTGAGGAAAAATTAGAAACAACACTCTATTTAGAGCGCTATAACTTTATTTAACTTTGAAGAGACTATAATGTTTTTTGTGCATACATAATTAGTTTTAAAACATACCTATTTACATATAACAGTTCAATATTAATTGAGGTAAGATAAGTATGTGAGTTATAGAATTGTTTGTAAGAATATCAAGTCCTGGCCTGTGTCGTTTCGGGCCCGAGGCCACGACTACTTCATCCAATTGGAAGAATAAAGACAAATGTTTAGTTGGGTTTTGAAGTGGTGGCGGGTATAAATGCCAGTCGCAATGGGTTGTTCCGTTTGATGGAACGAGTGCCCATACTGCAGAAAAATCATTCCTGTCGAAAATTAATAATGTCTAACATGGGCGCAAATTGAAATTTTTACACGCGACTGCAATACGAAATAAAACTGTTAGCGGCAGTTCCGTCGAGGACTGGCTTCCAAAAAAATAAAAGAACTTAAAAAGTGGCGATGTGTGTTTCACGTTTTATGTTTACGGGAAAGTTGAAACGGCAGAGAAAATCCGGCGTTTTCTCGAAATTATTTTTATGTTATTTTCGAACGTATTTTAAAGTGAATAGAGCGTAATAGCTTGGATTAAAAATTATAGGAAAAGGCAAGCTTATAGTACAAATATCACGTATTATTATAGCCAAAGACTACAATGATCCTACTATAAAGGAAAGTAGCACTTATTGCACTTAGAAAGAGGCCTGCTTCGCGTAGAGGTGGTTAGGTTTACATCAATAATACAAAAATAATTAAGGGAGAATCAGGTGAAGAAAATGATACTGTATTTTATTATAATTTCGGTATTTCATTTTTCATTTTATAACGATTATAGTAGATACATAGAAAAATTGTTTTCGTGTTGTATTGATACTAATTTTGATTTTGTCTATGATGAAAAGTAAGGTAGGAGTTTATAGTGTTTAATTGACGTTTCTTACAATTCTTACTTCTTTCTGTAACGTGTACTTCGATTAAAAAGAAACCTGATTTTTTTGTTCAATTTTCCGTTCTATTTTTTTAAAAATTGAAATATCTCGAAAATTATTAACTTTAGGTATAGGGAATAATTATTAAGAATGAAAGTACCTACTTCAAAAATACTCCCTCTTAACGATATAAAATATAGGGTGACCCATTTAAAATAACGGAGAAAAAGTTACTTTTGCTTTTGGATCCACCCTGTAAGCAGTATGACTAAAATTGACGGACAATATTCATTTTGTACACTTTCAGGATATTTGCAATGTTGTGAAACCTGAAATTTATTTTCAATTCAATGCACAGATGTGCAGTTTAAGAAGATTACAACATTTGTCATTTTTTTGATATCTTCTACAATTACAGATATATTGAGCTTTTCCATACTAATGTGCCACCCTGTAGGCACCTATGTACAAAACATAAAAAGCCCTATACAATTTAGTTTGAAATGTACTCTTATAAATGAAACACCCCGTAAACAGAGCAAGGTTGCATAATAATTAATAAAGCATATCAGAAAGGTATATTGCCTTATATGCTAAAATTCCCCATACACGCCCGAACGAACGTCAGCCTTACCGCACCGCCATTTCGGCGGAGTTAAATTTTCCGAAAATTCGCACGAGTTTCGAGAGTCTTTGACGTCGTGGAAAACATTTTCCCGCCGGAATCCGTCGGTGCGCCGGCGGCGAGCAAAACCGGGATCACCATAAGAAGTCTCGTAAATGACAAGAACGTGGACAACGTCGCTCTTGATCCCCATCCCGCCCGGCTTGTCTAAATGAAAACGCAATGGCACGGAAACGGGAATTAGACTAGAACTAGAGTTTTATTATTATCTTCGAAGATAAGATAATAAAACCGGAACCGGACTTAATTAATTACTACTTTAATTAATTGATCGAATGAGGGAAAAAGGCGATTCGAATACGCTCGTATGTGTTGTAACTGGAAAATCCTGGCAGATGCGGAAAATCTGACGGGGCTTAATGTATCGGAGGTTTTATATCAAAAATATTGTGGAATGGATAAATTTCCCGATGGTTTGACGTTAAATCCTTGGTCCGACAGGGATGTCCATTAGCTCTAATCCTCTTTAAATTGTCGCTAGGACCTTTCCAGGATCGGAAAGTCTTCCTACTTCCAGGACTATACCAAATTAGATCGCTTCAAGAAGATGTTTATGCTGTAAGGAATCGTGTACTTGATCATTCAAGAATAGAACGCAACGATCCGATTCTGGTTTTAGTTTAATTATACAGGATGTCCGGAAATAATTTAGAGGAGTGATATTTTACGTAGATATTAATACAACCGATAAATTATTGTCTAATCCCCGCTCGATTGAACTCTATTCACAATTGCTCGTTTTCCTGTCTCTTCCGATGGTAATAATTATCTCAATTATGGCTCAAACGCTCTATAGGTGACATCTGCAGCGTTGCCAATTGAGAAACGTTCCACGTTTTGGGGAATTTTCAAACACAAATATTCCAAATATGATAATAGTCAGTATGCAATATGCAAATAAAAAAATGGGATTTTAGAATGCAATTAAAGGGAAATAGAATGTACCTAAAAAAACAAGCTAATACTGCGCAACCGATACGTTTACAACATTCCAATAATCACGCCTGCAACTAATGGAAAAATTTAAACCGGGCACCTATTTATTTCGCGTATTTGGAACGTATTAAAACTTCCGGATACGTGGAGTAACAAATTGGAGAGGCAGTAGGTACATTTACCGGAGAGCGAATAAGTCAAACAAATTAATCTACTATCAACATTCATTTCGAGTTGATGTTAATGCTTTGGGGCGGCCACTTTGAACAATCGATTTATTGGTTTGCATTTACCTATGCGAACGTCGGATTCGAATGATAATGTGGATGCCGATTTTACCGGTGCTGATTGTGAGCACTCGTTCGAATTATTACAAGTATGTTCGCATTGGCTTCAAAGAAAATTCCTTCTAATTTACGTACATAGCCTGGAATTCAGCGAAAAATTGTTATAAAATTAAATTGCTAGTTTGTAATATACAGCGGAAATACATCGAATGATATACTATATAAAATTCGTATTATAGGACATTGTAATAAATAACCTGCTCTAGTCTCAAACAAAAATTTATACGTCCATTTAAAAATACCCGGATCCGGTGCGGCGGCTTAGTTATGACTTAGTTTACTTTAACTCTATCCTCTAGTTTAGTTTTGTAGCTATAACAATTTCCGCGTATATTTTCCAGGATGCCATAGTACTATTTCTATTCTTTAAGTAACGTTAAATTAAACGCAAAATTTGCCAAACATATATTTTTATTGCCATTCATATAGACGGCGCAGCTGTGTAAAGAAACTTTTCAATCCGGGAAACTCTTATATAGTACGTATTTGATACTGTTAGGATTCGATTTGCATGATATTATGGAATCGAATACTCTCCAATGTTCGATATAAAATAGAAAGAGAAAATTTGCGGATATTTTTCCAAAGGTATACAAGGTGTTTGGAAAAATTACCATGAAATAACCATAAGGAAAACTTACCTATAATAAACAAATAACGTTATGGGCAAGAGGATAAGATAGATGCAAATTTCAAAAAAGATGCAAAGGTGAAAAAGTTGTGAATATTTGGATGATTTTTAGAAGAAAAGTTTATTTCAAAATATGTCCTAAACCTCTTAGTTTTCGAACTACAGGGTGTTAATGTTTAAAAAAAACTTTTCTGTCATAATTTTCTTATTAATCCAAAAACGAGCTTAATTCAATTTTTAAATTAAAAAACAGAGTATTCCATTTAAAAAAGCCTAAGTTTGATCTAATACGGAAAAACGGGACACTCTGTATAAATGTAACTAATTACAAATTAAATTAAATTAAAATGATCTACAACTTTTGTAATGAAGTTTTTTGATATCTTCTATAATAACAGATATATTGAGCTTTTCCATACTATAGTTCCTATTATACTCTAGTACTATTTAACAATTGTAAAAATTGAAATAACAATTGTAACACCAAAGAAACATGGTTAGGGTAGGCTAGGATGTAGTAGGGTAGGTTTTCGTGGGTTCCCGTTATGTCAAGTGAAACCTACCCTCTCCGATCCTACCCTACCCCAACCTTATTTCGCAATTTACCCAGGTAAACCTAGGTTTAGTAGTTTATCTAACTTCACCCGTAACATATCTACTCATAGCTTTTATATTTGTTAACACCCCGTAACCCGTAACTTTGTATGTAAATATAGTCGAATATTATGCGTGCATTATCTGGTGGTTTGTTTAATTATCGCTGAAAAAAACCCTATTTTATGGTTATTTCACCCTTCCGAAATTTACATAATAAATTACCGAACGTGCGTAGGGTAGATAAAATTCGACCGGTCGCACTTTCAAAAATTCGTTTCAAATGAAAAACCAAACGGATAATAAGACGACGGCCGGCCGGCCCTTCATTCGCGTTAAAAATTATTTCAGATCGCGCGTCACGCTCGCTTTGTAACTTCAATCAACGTCATCGGCCGTCAAAAAGATTAAAAAAACCACGTGGAAATAATAATTTAACCCGCTTTTTTTCTCTCTCCGGTTTTCCAGCGGTGCGATCCTTCGACGGCGATTCGCTAACCTTAATGAATATTCAGCGCAGCGATATGGGTTCCTATCTGTGTATAGCAAGTAATGGAGTGCCCCCATCGGTCAGTAAAAGGTTCAACGTCATTGTCCAATGTAAGTATTAATAATTAATTTTTACCCAAGTATAGTGTGTTTATGTTAATGTCTCCATGACGTCTATGTACGAGGTGTCCCAGGATTCACTCAAAATATGGGACATCCAGTATAATTAGGTATAAATATAGGGATTTTAGAATCATTGTTTGAAAAATTCTTGAAAAATCTGTAGGTACTTTAGGTGAGTTATTTTTTCAACGTTCCTTGTAATTTTACTATGTGTAAGCCGGATTTTAAAATTCATAAGGCCCCCGGTTATTCGATTCCGGGGAAGAATTTTTCATCGCCGTTGTAAAAATTAGCTGCGCGAAAAGGTCTTAATTTAATGAAATTTTCGCCGGACAAGGGCAGGAAGCGGCGTTTTCCGGATGATTTTTACACCTGGAAAGGCAGTCGGTCCCGGACGGAAGCGCAAAAAGAAACTAGGGATCCCTTCGAGACTCTTTCGGAAGCTAATAAGTGTGAATGTACACGTCGTTTTGCGTAATTACATTCCCTTTTTCTGTTTTATGCTCTTTCGAAGCCGGTTTTCGTTGTTTTTTTAATAAGTTGCGAATTAAACGCGTGCCTAAAATATTTTCGACTTAATAATTTTCAAATACGACTCTCCTTAAAAAATTAGAATTTTTTTCTAGGATTCCTTATTTGCGAACAAAGCCAGTATTCTGATCTGCAGAAATATGTTCTATCGAAAAAAAAACTAATAGAAATAAACCCTTGAAGCAAAATTGGCAATATCGGAGAACCTCCGCCCCTGGCGGGTTTTTCATCACTCCTGATGGACACGATGCTGATTCAGGAAATCCGCATTTATCTCCGATATTAAATCGGAAGCGTGCCGAATATTCTCGGCATTATCAATTTACCCGTTTGTTTTCGTTCTTAAAAAAAATAACGCTTCGAAATAAAATTTTCCGCAATAACGGCGCGAATTCTACGGTCTACCTATTCAGCGGAAGGAACGGCCGAAAGCCGAAAATTCGTATCCGCGTTTGTCTCGAAATTCCGTATAAATATAGCGGCGCCCGATGAATAGGTAAGTCCCAGTCGACTGGAACGCGTCAATCCGGAGCCCCAAGTCCGGTTATTCATTCGCATTCTAAATGCATCGACGCCCGGCGAAAACGCCGCCGGCATATTTCCACTGTTTGTCGCATAATTTCATTTATTGTACAGCGCCGGGACGCTTTCTTTGGCGGGATGCACGCCGCGGTCCGAGAGGAAGGCATTGTTAGCGAAAATTTTATTTTGCATTCGTTCTAATTGATTTCGACAAAGTCCGGCGGAGCTTTTGAGAGAAGTTTGCCGTTCGCACGACCGACCGAGAAAAATATGATGTGGGATTTTTTTGTTTTTTTTCCGTTCGTTATTTTCTACTCTACTGTTATTTACCATGAAAATAACGATTTTTAAAGATGCATTTTTATACTCGGGATTTTATTTTAATTTTTTTATGACTAGAGTAAGTTGGAACGTAGTTTGGGGGATGCGCTAAATTAATTGGGGAAATGTACTTTTAACGCCGCGTTTACAGGACTCATGGTAGTCGAGGTGTTACTCATTAAAAAATAAAAACGCTATTTATCAAACGAATGCAATATACTTTTGTACCTAATTGAGTAAAAAAGTACCCGAAAATTTGGAATTCAATGCAAAATTCCTAATCTTCATTAATATTTCTTAAGTGTGCTTCAAAACATGCTCTTTTTGAAGCGATACACATAGTCAGGCGCCTTTTCCAATCATCGAAGCATTTTAAACATTTTTGGGGGCTGCATAATATTAATTATAATAGTCATAATATAATTCTTATAATTTTTAATATTCTAGTTCATCCTTTGATCAGAGTATCAAATCAGCTGGTAGCAGCACCTGTGGCAAGTGATGTACACGTGCAATGTTACGTAGAAGCCTCACCTAAAGCAATGAACCATTGGATGAGAGATAACGGTAATAAAATCTACTCTGATTATAATAAACCCCAATTACCCGAGTGCAATTTCAGTGTCGAATACGCGCTTTGAAAATTTGTTAGTTGGTAATTGCACATCCAATTTGACTCACCCTACACCGATACCGCATTATTTGTGATGAATGAAACTAGTGCACAATTAATAAATCATTCAGTTGTAAAAAAAAGAAATGCGAAAGGGATTTTTGTCATTATGAAATGACCGCAGAGTTTGCGGATGGCGAAGCGTGGGCGTGCCGGGAACGTGTTGTCGTATTCCCCCTATAATTCAGGGGGACGTTGGTAAGCACTTTTCCCCGGTGACAGAGCCGAGCTTAACCGACGTAAGGCCCATATATATTGTACTATCCACCGCAGGCCGATACCTACATTTCAAATTACTGGCGGCGGCGTCGCCCCGAAAAACGGTCTTCCCGATTCTTTTCCGTATATATAACGCCAGAGCTAAATCATGTCGCGTCTGTCACATAATTCTAACGTTTTACCACGTACAGGGGCATTCAACAGAAGTAATGATGAGGGAATATTTCACTTATAGGCCTTTCTTTTGTCCGCACTTTGTTAAGTACATAAAAAGTATATTTCATCATCGATTTGTTTAATATTTCTTTTAGTAAAGTGTTCGTAAATTTGTATCATCTATTCTATTTTAAATTAATTAAAAAAATTGAAAGAAGCCTCGCTTAATGAGCAAATATTTTCCTGCACTAAGAGATTCTAATGAAACGATTTTTTAAAGGGGAGAAGTTGCTACCAAACTCGAAATATCTAATACAGGAATCGGTTATCAACGAATATTCACTGCAAATGAATTTGACAATCCTAAATTTGGAAAAAACCGACTTTGGTGGATACATCTGCACTTCGTCTAATGCAATTGGCAAAGCGGAAGGCGTCGTTAGATTACAAGGTAAGATATTCCATTTTTTTATTAGTTTGGAAATATTGAATTTGGAAAACTTTCTTGTATTGTCAAAAAACAGAGTATTAATTATGAACCATGGACCATGAACCATGAACCATATATGGATTACCTATGAACCTTGGACCTGAGAATCATGGACCTATGAACCATGGTCCTATGAACCATGGTCCATGGACCACGGATCTATGAACCTAGGAAACTTATGTACAAAGCGACCTATGTACAAAGAATATTCGTTAGGGGGGCTACATCTGGGGCTGGTTTTAACCGAAATATAATTTTTTAGAGAGGATAGTGAAATCGACGAGTACGGCTAGCACTCCGCCGAAATACATTGAAACGAAGCCCCGAAAGCCGGTGTTGAAGGACAAAACGAAGAAGTGGAAGCAAATGCGCAAGAAGGAAAACGACGATAACAAGAACGAAGAAGAATCGATCGTACCGACACTATTTTTACCGGTATCCCAGACGAATCCAGCTTCTACGATGGGTGTCACGACCACCGCTCGACCGTCGTGGATACTCTTGAGGAACTACGGCAACTGCGCAACCATATCAGTGGATCAACATTATTTTTACTTGATCGTTTTGATTGTTTTCAGGATTTTTCCGCGTTTCGTTTATTAACACGAATTTCGAGGTATCAAGAAAGCAAAATTGAAAGCCTGCACTTTTAAGTAAGTAAATTCATATTTTTATTACGGTTTTTTCTAGAATTCGTCTTCCTTGTGTAACATATAAGAACTCCATCTGAGTTCCATATCAATAAGTCTTCCCATTTTGAAAAAAAAGTAAATTTTTTACTCCGCCTATGCCAAAGGTTCAGGCGTTTGTCAAGCTGGTAAAATAGCTTTCACAAAACAACTCTTGTGTTGCAAATTAATTGTTATTTTCCAATTTTTAAAGCAAATATCTCACGGGCAATAATTTCAATACATTCTTGTTTATTTTTCTACCAACTAACAAACTTGGTACACGTCTGGTCTTCAGCATTGGGCAGTTTTATAGATAATCAAAATATCAAAAACATCAAAAACTCTGTACATATTCAAATTCGAAAATCGACCAGTGAAGATACGTGAAATGAAAATAGCACAAACGCATTTTTGATTGCCAAATAAATTACGCCGCAAATCCACAAATAAAATTAAAGTCTCGTTTTTATCGCAATCCACGTTTGAGTGATATGTGATCTCGTGTCACTCTTGTGCTTTATGGACTATAATCTTTTTATATGATTTACTTTGGCTGGCACTTCTACAAGAATGTTAATAATAAATCTTTTCGCTTGTCTGACTGTTGAGGGATATTCGTTGGTTTTTTTTACATAAATACCTAAAAGGCAGAAACTAGACCGACAGGTCATGTTATTTTTGATGATTTTTCTAACAAATCTAACTGGTCCGTTTTCTGATTTACAAAAAAATAAGAATTCCCGTTTCCTTATATAAAAATCACAGGGTTTTCTCATAGTATCTTATTAATCGAGATATTTCTTTTTTACAACGATTTGTTTCAAATAATATAAGAGCTGCGATTTTCTGTTTGTTTCAATCTTATGCATATTACGAATGCAATACTATTTACAAAACATTTTACAATATACTCGTATTTTTAATAGATATTCTATAGTATTTTATCGCCACGTATTGATCATTAGACAAACTCAACTGTTGCATTTTTTATTGTATTTATACGCATCTACATGATATATTGAAAATTTGAATTACCTAACTTTTACAACAATATTATTAGATTTTTATTCCTATTTATTACTTTAAATACGATGAAATTTAATGTGTTGGGCAAGTATTTATGATAGCGTAACTAAATTGAATTTTTGTTGTAATATGTACATAATGTTGTTGTTACTCATATTAAATAAAAAAAGAAAAATGGACATTTTGGTAATATGGTAAAATATCTGAATTTGAAAATATTAGTTAAGTTAATATTTAAGTTACGGGTGCAAGTATAAAATAATTAGGTACTGCAATTACCTATGGTAAAATTGGAAAAAAAACATTGCATTAAAATTGTTATAAAAACATAAGGGATACATGCCCCAAAGAAAATAAGAATAATTCACACACAGAAACTAATCACAACCTGTTAATCCGCAAACTTTAATTGTCTTCCTTTTTTGTTCCATATTAATAAAAAATGAAAAATACTTATTATACCAATTGACATTTTAATAAGTCACATTATAATTAGTTTTCCAATATTGCATTATACGAGGGTAATTCAATAAGTAAAATAAATAAAGTGGAACAATAATTTAATTCACAGCAAGCTGAAATCTTCTCCAGACATTTACCAACACTTTCCTAACAAACAATATCAATGTAATATATTAATTTTATACACAAAAAATGCTATTATTGTAATTATACATTATTTAGCATAGTTGCATTAGAGGGCCGTGCATCGAGATATATTTCTGAAACCAAGGATATACTAAACTACCCAGGATTGTTCAAAACAACTCATATTAATATTACAAAGAGTTTACATTAGCTTCTACGGGTTTGAGCAATGCCTGTTAGTTATAGTAAGAAACTAAGTGCCAAAAATTAATAACATTTGCGACAATAACGAATCACAATAATCAAATTTAAACAAACAGAAAGTGGTAGCATTAATTAATGTGTATATATATAATCGATAGATAATTTAGAATGACAATAATGTTTGTTAATAATAATCACCCGTTAAACTGGTACAAAAGAGTATTTAAAGAAAAATAGCTTGTTATTTTATTCGACGAGCTGTGTGTATTTACAAGTTAGTATTTGTATGGTTATTGGATTTAAATATGTAGTCTAATCAAATCAAAACAGGGTGACTTATGATGGTTTCAAGTTATTTTTTTCGGTAGGTAAACCAGATATACCTAATTGGATTTTTAGCTATTAAAATAAATTGTTAATAAAATTGGAATGCTAACTATAAACTCACTGGTTTATCTACTTGATTTTGGTTGATGTTGAAACGTTTATTCAAAATTATAAGGTGATAAATATATTGAGTAATAATTTATACATTTCTCTGTAAGAAACTTTTTTGAATAAAATCCAACGCATGTTTATCACCCTGTAAATATAATTTTATTACCTATATATTGTAGTATATTTACCTAAAAACCGTAAATGTAAAGTGATTAGTCAAATGTTAACAACTATCATGATATATTAAATTATTATTAATAGGTGTTTAAAATACTACAAACGAAAAATTTACCCTTGTTTCCCCAATTCACAATATGTAAACACATAAAAGAATATTAAAATTGCGATTGTTTTTATTTCAATTACCGCCTTTTTACACTAAATCCTGCTCCGGGTTTCCCAAAACTTGATTCAAATGAAAATATTTTACTTCATAGGCCTTAGATAATGCGGTTATTAGGCCATTGTAAAATTTCATTTGTAACCAAATAACTTTTATGTACTAGTGCCAATAATGACACTTTTGACAGTATTTATTTGACGTTTATAAAAATAATTTGTAAACAAACAAATAGAAGTACATAATACAGAAATTCTTTTAGTTTTAGATATTTTAAGTAGTGATTTGAATATAATGGATCAAGCAAAGCAATTTGCGGTAAACTGGAGCAATCATATGGCCCACATAAAACAAGCGTTTGATAATTTATTAAACAATAACGATTTCACGGATGTAACATTGTATGTAGAAGGTAGAAAAATAGGGGCTCATAAAATGTTGCTTTCAGCGTGCAGTAATTACTTCAAAGATCTGTTTCACGAGTTCCCCGAGGAGCATCCGATAGTAGTACTCAAAGGGGTCAGGTGTAGTGTTTTGGAGGATATTTTGAAATTTATATACAACGGAGAAGTTAATGTAGATAGCAATCACTTTAATAACTTTCTACAAACCGCTGAATTTCTGCAAATAAGCGGGTTTACAGATACACAAAATTATCCAGAATATGAATCGGGTATAGTTAATGGTACTTCTCTAACCAATTCTAGTCGGGTTAAATTGAAGAAAAGGAAAAGATGCCCGAATAGTAAGGAAGAAAAAGATTTTAACACAACTTTTACTAACATTTGCGACATTCAATTGGAATCGCAAGGTTTGCAGAGTTAACTTTCGTTACATTTTCATTTAATAACATAATTAATTTATAGATTTAACCGATTGTGTAGCAGACGAGATTGTTGTTAAAAGTAAGAAAACTAAATCAATCAATTTTTATACTAAAACATACATATTTTCAGAAGAAATAACCGAAGAAGATCCTCCAGATAACGCACAAGAAAGTATCCCTGTTGATAATTTAACTTGCCCGATATGCTTCAAAGTATTCACCCATCCTTATAGTTTACATCACCATAAACCAGTGCATTTAGGACGAACGAAATGTCCTATTTGTAACGTGGTGCTCTCTAGAAAATATAATTTAAAAATGCATTTAAAATCGAAGCACAATGTCGCATAAATGCGAATTTTCTTGCTGTAATATTATCCGATATGTGATATATGTTATGGTGTATTCCAAGGTGTTATTTATTCTGTGATTATTTTGTTTCTTTATATTTAAAATGATTAATGAACGTGTTCTAGTCGTAAATGAGATATGATATTTGTATTATATGTGGTATAAATACATACTTACATTTTTGATTGATGGTTATTCCGAAAAATTTAAGTAGTAAAAGTATGGGGAAGCATATTATTTATACAGTGTGTCCCTGAACGTGTGGAAAATCACTCGGATATACAGTGCAAGTACTTTATATCCTAATGAAAATATCCTGAAATTAGGAGTGGTAAACAAAAGTCAAAATATAAACAGTATGAGAAAACTTTATTTAGTATATGTACAGAACTATATTAAAATAATCCAAATATACAGAGCTGGGAAAGTCTTTAACATTATCATGTAATGCCGAGTAATGTAATAAACGTAATAAGCAAAAACTGTGCAGTAGAAACAAATATCATCCCAGCTCTATCAAATCGAAAGCGAAAAACACGAATAGTTCTAATAAAAAATTCATTATTTTTTTGGTATACTTACATTGCCAAGTAATTGCAAATAAATTGTCAATGTCATACTTATTTTCGGACCAAAACAAAGAGCTTTTTTCAGCGAAAAGAAACAGTTCGATTAAACAAATTCAATCTATATCGATGACATACAAACACATCTCATGCAAACACTTACTATTGTATGATAAATTTTTCGGATATTACTAACGATAAGGCTTAAGGGATTACAACAAATTGCTTCTACTTTGATTTCTGCGTCGGTTGGGCGTGTACACGACGAAAAAGTTAGCAAAAATCGTTGTCGAATATCCACGATTAATCAGACTTTTTCCTTGTTATACAGAATAGTTGTGATGCATTTTTATTACACGTTGAGGTTATAAAAATTAGTACGTTTAGCAGTATTTATAACGCTCGTTCGGCTCAAATGTAATATGCATAAATTAAAAAAAAAGTTACTGGTCCGCACCCTTCACTTCCCTATTCAAATCTCATTGGAATATTTTGCTAAATTCGAACCTACTACACCCACGAAATGCCCTATTAATAGTAGTTACAAACAGGCACGACCTAAACCAATTTCGGGGCTCTTTTAAAAAAAATTAACTCCAGAAACTTCGCCAAACGAAATAACTCCGTACTTATATATTACATTAATCAATTATTTATCAAACAAAAATGTGTAAATTAACTACAAAACAGCGACAATAAAAAAAAACATAATAAAAAGGATAATAAATATCCAATATCAATTTAAAAGTCCTATATATCTGTGATCTGCTGTACAAATATTACAATCCTGGAAAGGATAACATCGTAATTATCCAGACATTTAATATCAGCCTTACGAATACACACCTCAAGTACGATGAAATACACTTAAACATTACATACACACTTTTTACAGGCCTTTGTGATATTTATTAAAACTCGATAAATACAGACACTTTAATAATTAAGAAATCAATTAAATACGAGTCGTAAAAAGTGTGCTAGAATCATCCGAAAAGGTGTTTTGAAAAATACGAATTGACATTAATAGGCCTGGTGTGTGAAATTTATATGATATACAGGGTGTTCCGCATAAAAACCGAGACATAACAGGGGCTTCAAAATTCCAGTCTAAGAATCATATGATATTAATACTAAATAACTCTTAGTCGGCGCCCTAGAAAAAGAACCTAATCTACGAGTTATCTCGTAGTTGGCAATCGACATTAAGTAACTTTGAAAGTGTACACGACTTTATTTTTTAGCGTTATTCATCAAGACGACATAACATTTTAAAAAACATAAAGAATAAAAAAGTTTCTGAAATGAAATTACCTATAAAATGAACTAATATTTTTTTAAATCGTTCATCAGGTAAAAAAATTCTGTAACATTTTAAAGGAGCATCATCACTGATGAATCCTTTTAATTACATCAATTTATCTCTCCTAATTATCGATTAATGCTCTTAGTACACTCATAACGTATAAAAAATTTAGTTGTTTTATGATTTTTTTAAAGGCCTATAACTTCATAGAAATGTAACTTTGAATTAAGTTGAGTTAAACAACATATTTTGGGCTCCCCTAGAGGCCCCTGCTGTCTCGATTCTTATACGGGACACCCTGTATTTATAAACAAGAAAAAATAGTCTGTATGTATAATACAGGGCGAGTCTTTTTATATAACTCAAAAATTACAACAAAATTTGTTATATGGAGAATCTATAAAATGATTTACTAACAAAATTTCAATTTTGAACGATTACAGATTTCATTAATGAGCGACACTTCAGTGACTCACCCTGTAAAACGCTTGCATTTTATACTCAAACTGTTTTACACATGACATAAAATCGTACAATTTATTTAGTTCGTTTCGATTTTTCTACAATCAGTCCGATATAAGAAATATCACAAAACAGAAGCGACATTGAACAGTTAAAAAGGTAAACGTCATTTTATTCCGTGTATATCTCGCCTATTCAGTGGAAATGTGTGGAAATTTGTGGAAAATGATCAGTCAATATACCTACGACTTACTTAGAACTAATTCTCATACAGACCATTCAAAATATAAATACGCGTAAAATGAAAACTGAGAGCAATAGATTCACCCTGTACATTGGCAGTAAATTTTAAATTAGTCTAATGATATAAACGTTGGTCACTTTAATCTAACGATGACGTATTAGCGACGTCATCGTCCGATTATCGTGAATATACTATAAAAGTTTACAAACTAGTGTTATTTTAGTTCGGAGCTTTGAATGGTCTGCGTGTAACAATAAATAGTGATATCTAAATCGGGTACTCCTCCAAGACAGACTTTTATTTAAATAAAAAAAAATGTATATCCTGTAAGCATTTATTGGAAATTCGAGTTTAATCGAGATATACATTTTTTTTAATTGTTTAACAGAGAGCACCCACTCGTATGTACAAAATAGTTTTTCAAACCTCCGTCTAACTTCACCTATCGTTAAATTTAACTGACTGTTTTGCTTTGTGATAATCCACCGTTAAATAAAATTCGAAAAGTAATTGGCCACTTTATCAGTTAATCTAATTATTACTTTTTGTTTTCATTACCCTCTTTTGGACCCTTTAAGATAGAATAAGCGGTGGTCTATTAAATATTGCATATTCGAATTGATACACTTAATAATAACCAGCAGTACTTTCAAAACCAAGATTTCTCGTTCACAACTCGCGAACACCGATGGTACTTTTTTTTTCTTCAAGAAATACTGAATTACCGAATCTTATATCACTAGGAGGGGTGGACATTAAGGGCACTAATTTCCGTTAATTGATTGTCCCAATGGTTCTGTGAGAAAAGTTTGCCTATAAACACTTAAAAATATAAACAGATCGGTCAAAACGAATAATAAAGAAATGTCTTTTCAAATAAATAGGTAACATTTCGAAAGATTTCTTTTTAATTCATTAATTGACAATTGTGATAAAATACTAAAAACTATCTACTCTGCAGAGTGCTTAGAGATTCATTGCAAACATTTCAAAAACTAAATAGAAATATTTTAATTTTCGATTTTTTTCACAACAATGTTCCTTCTACAGTAAGATTAACGAAAGTTGACTTATTATAAATAATTCATATTTATTTGTCAATTATTAATAACTACGTTGAAATTTGTTCAGTTTATCTACAACCTTTTACTCAAAATAAACAATATTTTAATAATAAAAAATATCTGCTATGATATCCCAAACACCCTGTACGACTATTTTGTTCATCGATATCCAATCCAATCACTAGCTTATCCATCCGGATAAAAATCTCGAACGCGTTCTCTCCCAATTATTGCTCGTAAATTGTAATGCCCTCGAGTTTTATTGTCTTTTATAAATTCTACAATTTACAAAACGATTTGAACGAATAAATTCGAGCTAATGAATTCCCGCGGACTGGCCAAGAAATAATACAAAAAAAAAATAAACAAAAAAAAATCACAAAGAAAAACACGATTCAGTCTTTCAGCGTTTAAAAAACGAAATACCGGACTAGGTTCAAAACGGGGATGCGGATCCATCGGACAATCGAATCGACATCCCCAATTCGAAAAACATCGCACCAAGAACCGATGAGGTTACACAGAAACGAGAGAAGAGAAAAAAAACCAGCGAGAGAAAAAAAAACCAAATGCAATGCGCCCCCCTATCGTCCATAAATTCAATTTAACCTAATTCCACGTCTCCGTCTCCTCTTCATTGTTCGACGAGCACATTGTCACGGTATTCTCCGGCGTCTCCTCGCCTTCCTCGGACCCTTCCTCTCTCCAAGGCGTCTCGCCCAGTTGCTTCAGCTTCTTTTTGGCCAACGCCTCTTTCTCTTCTTTGGTGCGCTCTTTGCGAAACTCGTACACTAGAGGGAATATGTATTCGATGGCTGCTTGCACATCTGCCACGCTCGGAGCTGGAATTTCAATAAAAACAGATTGTTCGAGAATCCAGCAAAAATAACTATAACTAAGCTAGAGACGTGTGAAATTTTCAGCAGATATTCCTCGAGGAAGGAACGTTTTGAGAGAAGATTACAGGGTGTACAGAACAGGGTTATACACAACTCCAGAGGCTGGTGGCTGGTGGATCAAATAGTTAAAATTAGTCAAGAGAAACTGTGAGTGGTATGATTAAAAGGAGTATTTGCTTGTACTTCAAATAAATGCTTAAATTCGTAGCTTTTACTTCAAATAATTATAGCGTTTACTCCACATAATTCTTTAAGTTAGACTAAAGTAAGTACTGGGAGCAATGACTTAAATATTTTGCTTTATTTACTTCGATGCATAGAAGTTAATTCTACAGAAATTACTAATGGTGTCTAGTATTTCCTCCATTTGGGAGTGTTTGGTGTAGTTTTTAAGAAGGTAATCAGAGATTAACTTTAGTAAGGTAGTAGGGAAAAAAGGGGGGAAATATGTGAACGTAGCACGTATGGAGAGGCACAATATAGGGTGTTAATTAATTGAATGCCGATAATTTAGGATGTGAATATTTGGATGATTTTAAGAAGAAAAGTTTATATCAATGTGTGTCCTAAACCTCTTAGGTATCGAACTACAGGGTGTTAAAATTTTAGAAAAAAATTTACTTTTCTATTATAATTTTCTTATTACTCCAGATATTTTTATGAAATTTTATATACACTTTTTAATTATTAAGGAACATTTTTTGAGGCATAAACGTTCGTACGGGGTTTGAACTGAATGTTTGAAAAAAACGCCACTGCTTTTTCTAAAAACCAAAATTATTTTTAAAATCCTCATTTATTTTGGAACAAATTGGGTCACATGACTTACTTTCGTACGACGCACCATTTTCGCGTAAAAAAATACAAAACCAAAACAATTTTTTCCCAAATTCATTTGAGACTGCTTTTGATATTTTGTTGAAATATGGTAGGCGCCCACCATGCATGCTGGAAACACTTTTTTTGGGGATAAAAATTAATTTTCTTCTATTACCAGTGACGTCCACGTCCGAAATTTGATAAAAATATAAGAAAATTATGATAGAAAAGTAATTTTTTTTCTAAAATTTTAACACCCTTTAGTTCGATAACTAAGAGGTTTAGGACACACATTGATATAAACTTTTCTTCTTAAAATCATCCAAATATTCACGTCCTGAATTATCGGCATTCAATTAATTAACACCCTATATAGAATATTACTTCGGTAAGTTAATTATTTTAGGTAACCTTCTACTATCAAGCACTATGCTTTTAGCTTTAATCCAAACAATGTTAAACGGGTAGCCAATGTAAAGAATTTTTGGGATCTCATATCGAGAGTTATTGTAGATATCGGAATACATCAAACAAACCATGTCAAAGGTAATTAAAGAAATTAGACAATAAATTGTGTGGAAGAAAAATGATTGGATTTCTTTTTCTCAAAATGCACAAGAAATAGAATTAGCTAAAGATGTTAAATAAAGATATTAGAATAAAACCAAAGTGTGCCACTGTAACAAAAAGTTATAGCAAAATAAAATATATAAGCGAAAACCGCATGTTTTTATGATTAGGCATTTAAAAATTATAAGCTCATTAAAGGATTATATTGTAGGTATTGTTGGAGGTATATTGTACCACAAGTAGGGTTTGTTTTTTTTTAAATTGTTAGATATTTGATTAAATTGGTAATTTTTGATTCACCCTGTACAATTATTATTTTATACTATCAGATAGTATTTTTTGTAAGATTTTTATTGTTGTATCACAATTAGGGGTTTGCTATTTACATTTTTTTAGTTGGGGTACGTGGGCCCTAGGGGGTTGATTAGGGGGTGAGTTCTCGTTTATGTCATTTTTGTTTCCCTTTCATATCCTAGGCATTTTTTGATATCTTTTATTTGTGAGATATAGCCATTATAAGTTTTTACATTGTCACACTATATTTGTGATTTAAAACTCCAACATTACTTACCAGTTACTGTTACGCTGCCCGTGGAAAATATCTTTAAAGTCGCTTTGGGAGTCTTTAATTTATATGTGACTCCTGGATGTAATTCTGGTTCGTAGCTAAAAAAAATTGCATCGATAAACAATCCTTCTAACCTACACAATAACTTCTACTGCAAGTTGTAATTAAACAGAAGAACTTACTCGGCTTCTCGATGCCTCTCCGAGAACGAACTGATCCTTATAGAGAACGGCATAGAACAAGTACCTAGTACGTTAACCACTCTATAGTTTCTGAATCGAACGTTAAAGCCGAGCTTCTGCAAGCAACGGGCGAATCTCCTAGCCGCCTGTTTGGCGGCTATTTCGCTGGTGGCCCCCGTGCAAGTGATCTTCCCCGATGACCATATACTGGCCGTGGTGTAGGGTCTGCGCAGCTTCATGGTGACCATGCCGTTCTCCTTGCGGTACTCCACGTTCGCCCCCGATAGGGCTATTTCGCGCAGGTTCAGGTGACACCGAACACTAAAACTACAAACTACATTGTTTATTACTATGTCTATTTCGGGTTCTTCGATGGTCTGCTCCGGTTCCGGGCAGGACTCCTGCCTGTTCGGTTCTCGGCATATTTCTTCGATTTCGGTGTTTTCTGGGACTTGTTCAAAGCCGTTGATATTTTGCACCAGGCCGTTACCGTTCGATAATGGTTTCATACCATTCTTTTGCAGAACTGTAGCCATAATACGATGTATTTCGGATTAATCGAGCATTATTTAATCAAGTTTTGTCGTGAAATGCTAGCCTAAAAAGTTCACTGTACCACACAGGAAGGATATTCGAATTTGTTGAAAGAGAAGTGCAATGGGAAATACGGCTGACTTAAATGTATATCCGATACTTGCGACGAATACTATACGAATATCCGAGGTAATTTTGCGATAGTTTAAACACTAGCCTTTGTAAGAAGCCATGACACACACCAATGTAAGAAAATTCACTATTTCAGTCGATCTTCAATCTACGAAATTGACCATAGAATAACTACTTATTGACGGATGAAGGATGATGGAAGATGAAATGTGGAATGGAACACAACACAAATACAAAAATATACAACTGCCAATTGTCACAAAACTACTTCTTGTTTTTTTTTGTACACGTTTACTTATCGGCCAAATAGCTAACTTTTTAACTAAACTTTAATAAAATATATGCCAAACTATTTCAACAATCACATCAAATTTACAGTAAAAATCGAAGTTACAAATGCCGAAAATTGCTTATATTATGCGTGTGCTGCAAGCAAATCTAGTACTTTTTTAATTTGAAACTTCTACACTGTTGTCAAACGAAGAACTGTCAAAAGAATTATCCTGTCTCTTGTCAGCAGTCAAAACTGGCATTTTCGTTTCGGCATTTTCATTTTGATTTTTAAAGGAAATAGGAAATAGTGAACTACGTTGTTTTTTCGATAATCAAGTTAATTAATAATTGTAGGATTTAAAGTATCAGTCGTTCGATATGCAAAAGTCAAACCCACCAACCGGCTTTTGAAGTTTTTGCAAAATCTGCTTATGATGTGAAATCAAGCTATGGCGAAAATTCAACATGTATTCGATCTTATTAGAAATTTCTTTAACCCTACTTCCGATTTCCACAGAGAAAGGGCCAGAAAAAGGAGGTAAACATACGTTCAACATTCTTGTTCAATGCAATATAAATGCCTCTTCCTTTGTAGAGCCTCTAATTCCTTCGATACCGATCAACATACTAAATACAGGAGGACACAATTTCATAGAATAACTTCCGATAACAGTGACAGTGAGTTTCTTCATTAATTTACGTTATAACGAAATTTTAATGACCATATTTTAGGAGAGAATTACTTTGTTAGCCCCGTTTGTCGAGCCAGAAGCTCAGATTACAAGTTTCAAACGAAAAGAGGAATGGAAACCATAGTCTTAGATGACGATGATGATGACCTTAAGAAATATGAAAATAACAGTTATCCAAACAAATCAGTTTCAAAATACACCTCTACTCCACAGGAAAGTCGCAAGAAGTACGAAGATCTCGCTGGATGCCTACAAGGGAATGCAGCCACAAATACAAAAAAGAAACACGAAGATCAAGACGATGATATAACATTTATAAGCGAATTAAAATCTCCTATGTTAAAACGAAATGAAGCTTCGAAATTAGGATTGCATTACATACAGCCTTTTTCAAGTATGTTTGACAGTTAATCATTGCACTCTTACTTATTCAAATTGTTGTAGGCTTATTAAATTTGAATCAAAGGATTATGGACGATTCCAAAAACAGAATGAAGAGAATGAGTAGCTCAAATGCAGCTCATAGCTCCGGCTCTTCTAATAACAATTCGAATTACTCGGTTAGACCGGACGACAAAAAACTGTACAGAGAACTCTTAGAATCGTCTTCGGAATATTCCTCCGCTCTAAACTCTACTTTTAATTTTGATACGTCTGGAAGGAAAGGTAGAATACTGAAATTAGCCATGGACATCCCTACGAGAGAAAAAATGTCTACTAAAGATACCATTAGAAAGGTGTTAGGGGACTTGGAGAACGAGCCTGTAGTTATTAAAGATTCGGATTCCGATTCCGATGTGGTCTTCCTGAATCCTCCATCTCCGAAGCCCGATTTCAAAGTAGAGCCTGTGAATAGTTTCAGGAAAGTAGTGGATACCTCTCAAAGGGCTACATCCAAATGGTTAGAAAACTCGTAAGTTTTTTTTTTGTTAGTTTAATGAGAAACTTTGGGTGAGATTCAAAGGGTGTTAAACACTCACTTTTGTCAAATATTTGACATATTTTATATTTTTATGCATACCTAGTTGTAATAATGGGTAATTTTTTACAAAAATTAATTAGTGCTTTCACTTATTACAAAATTAGGTTTGTATATAATTATCGACTAAAATATTGTAATGCATTTCTGATGAATTTTTAGGGTGCAACAACATCGAAAGGTCCTTGAAGACCGTAAAAAAGAAGTCGAGCAGCTCCAAACGTATGCAGATAAACACAAAAATATTAACAAACTTCTAAGAGTCGATCTACTCGCAGACAAAGTCGACAGATCTCTCAGAATCAAAGAGGCCATCTTGCCGGTGATCGAGCTCGAAGAATCGATAGAACTACCCGAACTGACCGACGCCCAACTAAAAATGGTCCAGCGGGCGTTCAATGGCGATAAAAACGAAGTTCTAACGAAGAAATTCAACCTGAATATAACCCGCAGGGACATCCTGACTCTGGCCGGCTTGAACTGGCTCAACGATGAAGTGATCAATTTCTACATGAACATGATCATCGAACGGGGGAAGGACTCGAAATATCCCAAATCGTTTGCTTTCAACACGTTTTTCTATCCCAAATTGATCAGGGACGGGGCGCAGTCGTTGAGAAGGTGGACGAAACGAGTGGATTTGTTCGAGCACGACTTGATTTGCGTTCCGATTCATCTAGGAATGCACTGGTGCATGGCCATTATCGATTTTGGAAATAAATCCATTAGGTAATTTCATTTATTTAGCACTTTAGGTTGTTCGTACGTGGATCAAAGTCGGATCAATAGTTAGTAATTTAGAGTTCTAAAGTCAATTTAGAACGCTCCAGAATTATTTAGAATTATCTAGAACCATTTAGATCACCCCAAAATCATATAGGACGGCCTGGAACGCTCCAAAAACATTTAGAACTGTCATAAGACCATTTCGGAAGTTCCAAGATTCATTTAGAACGCTCCAGAATCATATAGAACACTCTAAAGCCATTTAGAACGCTCCAGACCGTTCAGAACACTCCGGAATTATGTACAATGCTCCAGAATCATTTAAAATTAACTAGAACCATTTGGAACGCTCTTTACGTGCATTTTGCATATTTTCCAGGCTCTAGTTATAACAGTGTTAATAGTCAATTAATATTTCTTTAGGTATTACGACAGTATGGGTAGCAAGAATGACAAGTGCTTGGAGGCTTTGAGGAATTATTTAGATGCCGAACACATGGACAAGAAGAAATCTCATTACGATACATCCGAGTTTGTATTGGAAAATGTTTCGGACATTCCTCAGCAGATGAACGGCAGCGATTGCGGAATGTTCTCCTGCACGTTCGCCGAATTTATCACGAGAAACGCGAAGATCACCTTCAACCAGGAGCACATGCCGTACTTCAGGCAGAAAATGGTCGTGGAAATACTGACGGGCGAATTATTGATAAAGTGAAACAATTAGAGTAAGTTTAAATTCAATTTTTCAGTGCCGCTTCTGAAGATCTTGTTTTATTTAATTGTTTGTTGTTTGAGTTTTTTTAAGAGCAAATTCGATTTCTTGTCTGTCGGGGATTTTCTAGTAAATTGAACAAAAAAAAATGATTTATTTTAATTTAAACTATTCGCAGTATTTCATTTTTTAAATAGTGGAATTTATCTGTGGGATGGTTTTGTCAAGGTTTAGAAAATTTTTCGTTTTTCATTATCCTGCAATAAAATTTCGCTGTAGAAACTCGGAACTTAATTATTTATACTTGAACGTTCAAAACAAATATTAATGTGATTTGTGTCCAACTATTTTTAAATATCATTAATTAACGATGTAAGTATTTTTAAGGTTTTTATAATTTTCAAAATTATTTCATTTAAAATTTCCATAGAATACTTCAATTACATTGTGATGGTTTAGTTATTCGAAAAATGTATTCATTTATAATAAATCAACAATTCTCATTGTATCATTATATTTAACAGTAAAATATTCCTGATTAACAACATTTTATTTAAAATAATCTGTATATACAGGGTGAATTTTATCAATACTCTTATAATACGATGTAATACCTATTTATTAATGCTTTACAAATTTGGCATTTCTTGTATCTTATAGACAATTCGTATACCTGAGCAATGTTAATATCAACTTTATTAACCAATTATATTCATTAATCACTATCTTCAGATAGATCAGCATCTTCTTTGGGTGCTACCGTAGTTTTCGCTTTCTTCGGGACATATCCAGGCCCCTTTTTCGATTTCCTATAAGTCTCTATTGCTTTCAGTTTGTTCCTCAAACAGTCCGATTTATCCTTCAGTTTTTGATGAATAATTTCTTTTGTATGCAAACTGGGACTGCTGGTTTTCAATGTCTTTTTTTCTAACGTTTGTGCGATTTCTTTTTGTATTTCCTGCATTCGTTTGTTGGATTGTGAAGTCGTAGCTTCCAATAATCGAACCTCGTCGTCCTGTTTCAGCTCGTTTGGTACGATTTCGGAGGTTTTTGCTGGGATTTTTCTCTTTTTCTTAGCGAGATCTGTTGCACTTTGAGCGAGTTGTGTTCGTTTTCTTCTTTCTTTCAATTCCTTGGCTATTGTTTGGTAGTCTTTCAGATCCTTCATTTCCTCTAATGGTTTTGTGTCGGGTTTGTTCTTTCGACGTTTCTTAGGCTCTGTTTCTTTATCAGTTTCATTACTGGATTCAGTTTTGTTCTTTCGGCCTTTCTTAGGCTCTGTTTCTTTATCAGTTTCATTACAGGTTTCGGTTTTGCTCTTTCGACGTTTCTTAGGCTCCGTTTCTTTATCCGTTTCATTACACGTTTCTGAATTGTTACCAACATTTTTTTTGCTGCTCTTTCGTTTGGTTTTTTTCACATCTGCCATGTCTTCTTCTGCAAGTTCTTGAGGATTCTTCCCTATTCTATCGACAGCAGTTTTCACTCTTTTGCTGACTCTACCTTCCAAGCTCACCGGTTTGTGCACAAACTTAGTTTTGAAATAGTCTTTGATGGATTTCTGCGCTTTATTCTCATCAATTTTCTTTATAACAGGTGTGAGTATTTCTTCCGCCTTCAACGAAGTCCAACCGAACTTTTCTCTTGCGAACACAGTCAAACCGGTTACATCCGGCCTGCTCCAAGAAAACGCGTCACGACAGGTATCCACTTTGGGCTCCAAGTAAGCCTCTACCACTTGCGAACTGGGGAAATTATCCGAAAACGTCACATTCTTCAGCTTGTTCTTCAGCCCCAAACGGCCGCCTCTTCCTTTCGTAAGCCACGCTTTAAACTCTCTCAAACCGGTTACCAGCTCATGGTAAGGTTCACATTTTGAATAAGGAAAACTGGACAAGATTTCCAAACCGGTAACCGGCCCGACTCCTTGCACACCAGTAGTGTAATCGCTACCGACTAATAGAGCCAACAAAATCATCTGATGCCTGCTCAACTTGAAATCGTGCTCTATATTCTCCGATTTGAACTCCATTACGTACTTGTTTTGGTTGAAGAAATTCTTGTAAACCGTACGCCCTCCGAACAACCATATGTCACTGTCATCGGTTATTGTACCGTCTGTGAGTTCGATTAAATCTAAGAAGGCGCATTGAGCCTCGGCTTCCATCGGGGCTACGACATAGGGTACCCCAAAGAGCTCTAAAAGCTCCTGAGCTTCCTGGTACATTTGATCGGTTATGTTACCGGCTATCCTCTCCTTGGAGCTCTTCGATTTGAGAAGATCGATTTGTTCAGTTTGAAGGTTATCTTGGAGTTGTTTCATTTCTTCGTTGGTTAATTTTGGTGCTGGTGGATTGATGATTTGTGTTTGCTGGTTACATGGTGACTGTATGATGGATACTTTACTGTTATTTTCCGGTTCCATAGGATTATTTTCGTTGCTTTCGTTTGGTAAGTTTTGTTTGACTGTTTCATTTTCTTCAATTAGGTGCTGATCAGTTGATGATTTGCTGATTGGTGCTTGTTCGATAGAAGTTTTAATGCTTGTATTAGTCGAAGTATTGGTTAATTTTTCTTTAGTTTTGTGCATTATTTCTGTGGTGATAAATTTATTATTATTTGCCGATTTAAAGGGACCTTTTTCAACATTTTCTTCAACTGATTTTTCTTCTACAACAATTATTTCCGCTGATTCTTCGGCCAATTTTTCTTTCGTGGCACTCTTTCGACTTTCTTCAGTTGATTCTTCGACTAATTTTTCTTCTGTAGTACTAATTTGCTCTTTTTTATTCGATTCATCATCATCTTTTTCCTCCGAATCGAATATATCACTGAATAAATTATCGATTTCACCTTTCTGATTGGGATCTATAAATATTTCTAAGCTACTTTTGGGCGCGGGCATTTCATCCTCTGATGAGCTACTTTCCGATATAAATTCAACTTCATTATCATCTACTGAACATACAGAATCTGCAAGTTTGGGTAGACTATTTTCTTCTACGCTTTCGTTTATCGTAGGAAGCTTCTTGACGTTACTATTAATTATTTTATTAACCTCATTACGGCTCAAACCGCTATATTCAAGCATGTAACTTTGCGCAGATGATAACGTCTTAGATTTATTAGTCTTGACCACTTCCACAAGCTCTTCATCAGAATCATCACCAATATCACCGCTAATAGGTATAGATGTTTCGTTATTCGTAGAAGTCGAAGGGGTGTCTTCGAGGCTCATTTGAATTGCTCTCCTCAAATCTTCCTCTTCTTCTAAATCGGCTTTAGTTATTTTCTTATCTTCTTCGATGTTATTACTGCTCGATTGATTTTTTTCTTTTTCCGCTCGCTTAATTTCTTCTTGCAAATTCTTGATGTACAAGTACCTCGTGTGTTCATCTGAAGCTATTTTCTTACCGCTAGTTATTTCTACGCCTTGATCTTTCAATAACGATTCTAATTCAGCTAGAGACAAAGACATTCCTCCCATTTCTTTTGATACATCGTCTAGGGCTGATTGAACCTCTTTTCGTTTCAACAACCTGTTCATTTGATATGAAGAGAAATCGTCGCTTTGTTTAGGAAACTGGTGGAGTTTAGCCCAAGAATTCTGCTTCCTCGTTTCTATTAGATCGGTGAGTACTTCGTGTTTAACATCAAGAGGTAACGATTTGAAGTAACTGCTGGTTGTATCGATTGTGTGTAGATCAAATTGTTTATTAGGACTTGTGTCTGAGTCTGTTGTACTATCGGGTAAATCTTTATTATCAACTTCATCTTCTGAAGAAGAATCTTCGACTGTTGCTATAGACGGAAGCTCATAGAGGTTATCGTGTTTGTTTGTTGATTTTTTCGGTAACGGTAAAGAAGCTTTGGTTGTTTCCGATAACACTCTAGAAATTGCGGTGTGTTTTAAAAGTGTGCTTATTAATTGCCTTTGAATGTCGTCTGCTTCGGAAACGTTTTTAGACTTGAGGTGATTTCTTTTCGCCTGAAAAACTGTGATAAAATATGAGCACTTTTTACACATTAACTTACTATAGTTTGTCTTTTCAAAGCTGGTACGCCCCCATCGAATATAAACACAGGTTTTATTTTGAAATAGAGCAACTTGCACACCCGATGGTAGATTCCCAGTAGATGAGCGTTTGATACCGATGCACCCTTGTTGTCGCGAAATCCCTTAATTGCTTGATGGAGCCATATTGATACATCTAAGTGTAAAACATTAATTAATACCCATTTTTTTAAATACAAAACAACCATTACCTACTGCGAGAACTTTGTTTTCGAGCGTTTCGACGGGTATCGGTTTACCTGAAGGTTCTATGAGCTTCCAAAGGCCGTGAACACCCATGATTATCGCTCCTGAAACATTGTAAAGTGTTAAAAATGTTAATCATTTACGGGTAGAAAAAAAATTACATAAAATAGAGAAATAAAGAAAAAATGTAAACTGGAATAAACCATTTCAAAATATTGGAAATTATATTTCTTCTTTTATAAGTCAAATGTCAATCAATTTTATGCATGTCTGGCCTTTACTTATTAGGTTTATTAGCCCTCACATTACTTTACTTTTACATTTATATAAATAAAAATTTTGTGCCAGAACAGAACAAAAAGTAGCCACTCATTTTATAAATATATTATTTGGTAAATGCACTTTTTATTATCTGTTAACTTTTAAGACTTGAATATTTATGATCTTTGATAACTGGTTAATTTAGCCCTCATTTCATTTTATACTTTGACACTTTAACAACCTCAATTGAAGGTTATATTGTCAAAACTGCATAAATGAATGTAGTAGGTGGTTTTTTTATTAAAATATATTTGTTTTTGTAATTATTTAAGCATACGTAATTAATTTTAATATAATGTAGTAAAGTAAAGCATATATTCATTTATTTGTGTGCGAGTCGATACAAACAAAGTAAGTATACTTATCATATCTAATATCTTTGATATATAATCTCTTATCCAATTACACCCAATTTAAAAACGAATTTCCTTTAATTCTTGTGCGTTTATTTTAGAATGATCATGTCGAAAAAAGCTCTGTTTTGCTTCGTTCTTTTAAGCTTCATTCATCAATCAATTAATAATACAAATATCACTATAACATCAAGATCTCTCACATCCCCATTGGAACAGTTTCAATACTACAAAGATGTCGATATGATTCACTTAAATATACCTCAGGATACGATATTCGCTTCATTCAAGTTTATGGCCTACGAAAATCGATTGTCTATTTTTCGTAAGTACAATATAATAAAAAAATATACCTTTCAAGCTTTAATTATTATTTGTTTTGTAGGTTGTTCGACAAGAAATGTTTCCGTGTTTATGAAACACGGGGCTGCTCCTGTTATTAATCCCGACGGCGCTCCTTTTCCGAAATTATTTAAAAATATAACCAGGAGCCCTGTGTATAGTTTAGAAATACCCACTACGAAGAAGGAAGCATTTATTAACATTACTTCTCCTAGTCCGGGTTCATACATTGCTGTTGCGTTTTTATCCTACCAGGATCCCAAGTATAATGCCATTAGTCAGGAAGGTAAGATAGTTTGTCTCATAAAGTCTCTCTAAAGTTAATGTAATATATAGTGCTTTAAAATATCAATTAAATCAAAGTATTAAATGGGTATTATTGGTATATCTTTTATTTAATTATTGATATTTAAGAAGAGGTGAAATATTAATAACAATTGGTTCAATAATATTATTAAGAGCTATTGGAAAATAATGTGAATAATTTTAACTGCTTGCAAATTTGTAGAATTTGGACTATTTTTAAAAGAGTCTTGAAAACATTATATGGTTATTTTTTTTAATTAAATGTAATGAGTAATCTTAGCAAAAGTTCCAAGTACTTTACATCCTAGTATACTTTGTTTTAAATATTTCAACAAATATTTAATTTAATTGAATTCACTAAAAAACTCAAAAAGTATCAATTTTTGGAATGATTTTTCATTAACAACCTCAAACTGTTGCAGTTTTGGAAGTCAAACGAAATAAAGTCGGAAGTTGCAGTTTTTGGACTTATTTTGAATTAATAAAGTCAGAAATTTGCACTTTTTGGACTGATTCATTAACAAACTCAAGAAGTTGCAGTTTCTGGACTTATTTTGCATTAATAAAGTTTAGAAAGTTGAGTTTTTGGGACTGATTTTACATTAATCAATTCAGAAAGTTGCAGTTTTTGACAATTTGCGGCCTATTTAATATTTTTTTTGTATAAAAAAAACCCAAAAAACTACTCTCACTAAATTCCTTTCAAAAACGATTGTTCTTTTTGGACTTATTTTGTTTAATAAAGTCAGAAAGTTGCAGTTTTTGGAACCGATTTTGCATTAATCAACTCAGAATGTTGCTGTTTTTGGTCTGATTTTACATTAATATAGTCAGAAAGTTTCAGTTTTTGGATATTTTGCATTAACCAACTCAGAAAGTTGCAGTTGCAGATTTTAACTCAGAAGGTTGCAGTTTTTGGGCCTGATTTTGCATTAATAAACACAGAAAGTTGCAGTTTTTGGGCCTGATTTTGCATTAATAAACACAGAAAGTTGCAGTTTTTAACAATTTTAGACTTATTTAATAATTTTTTGCATCGAAAAATTCCCTCAAAAATCACTCTCACCAAACCCCTTTAAACCCCTTTCAAAACTCATCAAAAATTCTAATTATTTCAGGTTTGCGAGCAGACTGCGACGCCTACCTGGAAGCCTCGCTATTCATAAGCAAAATCGACAATCCTCTACTCATAACCGACGAAAATCTGTTCCAAATGACCAGCCAGGCGAACGAGAGCCGCTACTACAAATTCTTCGTGCCGAGTTCCTACGATCAGGCGGTTCTATTCGTCAATACCATTACATTCCCCGATAATTCCAATCTTCTAACAGTGAGAATCGAAGCTAACAGACCCCCATCGTCCGAAGTACACCACAAGCAAGAATTCATCTACTCGAATTCCAGCTCATCCGTGATATTTTTCTCCACCAACCCCGATTGTTGGCATTACATCGAATTCCACTTCAACGAAGGCATCGTCGACAACACGACCAGCGGGAATCTAACGTTCGAGCTCAAGTTCATTTCCAACGAACTGCCCGAAAGTTCCTACTACTACGGGCTGCTCCAAAACGAAACTCTATTCAACAACTCGGTATCGAAGACGTTCCACGATTACAAACTGACGAATTTGATTCCGTACAAACAGTACGATTTGATAAGAGAAGCCACTTCGGAGACGTTTTTCTTCTCCTTCGAGCTGGAAAAAGAGCTGGATTCCCGGGTGCCGATCGCCATGAACATGACCGATTCCCATTTTTCCTTGCTCAAATTCAAGCTGAGAGAAGGAACCGACGTGGGCGGGACGTTGCAGTTTATTTTGGCGTTCAAACCGCGCGTGGAAAAGTCGGAGGCCACCGGGAAATTCGTCTTCGAATCGGAGCCCTCCAGTCACGTTTTGGTGGCTTGCATAAGACGGGGCGCCATGGAAATACCGACGTGGCCCAATAAGTGCGCTTATAACGGCGTGGAAAGGGAGTCGCAGTTGATATTGAACGCTACTAGCGAGAATTCTACGGTGCTTATTCCCTATCCGGAAAGTGGGACTTGGTACGCGACGTTTAAGCTGTTTTGCAGGTAATTTGTTGTATTTTTTAAAGTAGGGAGAAAGGGAAATGATGAGAGTAGAGGAATAATACGAAAATGTTTTGCAGTGAATAAATTATTTCAATATAAAATAATAAATGCCTCTTATAAAAGTAGGCAGAAAAAGAAAGTACAAAAATTAGGAGGAAGACAAAAAATAAAAAAGGGGAAAAAAATTATAAAAGTAATTAATTAATAAGGGAATTATTTTCTCTTGTTATGTTTTGCAGCTAATTACAAAAGGGAAAAAGAGCAAAAGATAGACACAGGGAGAAATTTTAAAGATGTTTGGTGAATTAATTAATTCAATGTTTTCTCTTATAAAAGTAGGGGGAAAACAAAATATAAAATTTGGAAGAAAGTGAAAAAATAAAAAAAGGAAGATTTTTTTATATTTTTACAATTATTAATAGCGAGTTATTTTTTAGTAAAGATAGAAGAAGAGGGAAAATCTGAACATGTTTTGCAGGTAATTAGTTAGTGGATGAATTAATTCCATGTTTTCTCTTACAAAAGTTAGGAGAAAGACAAACAATCAAAAACGGGAGAAAATGTGATTATAAATTACAAGTAATTTAACACTGAGAGATTTTTTTTTCTTATAAAAGAATAAGGATATAAAAAAATAAGAATATATATAAATAAGGTTTAGCAGGCAATTAGAGAAAGGAGAAAGAGCAACAGTTAGAAGTAGAGGAAAAATTTAAAAGTTGGGAGAAAGAGAAAAAATAAAAATAAGAAAATTTGGTTATATTTCGCAAGTAATTAATTAGTGGGTGAATTTGTTGTATTTTTTTAACGTAAGAGAAAAAATTTGAAGATGTTTTGTAGTGAATGAAGTAATTTTGGTTTCTCTTATAAAAGTAGGGAGAAAAACCAATTATAAAAGTTAGGAGAAAGAGAAGAAATAAAAAAAGGGAGATTTTTTTTAAATTTCACAAGTAATTAATAGTGAGTAATACATTTTAATAATTTTTTGCTGGCAATTAAAGAAGGGAGAAATAGTAAAGATAAAAGTAGAGGCAAAGTTTGAAGATGTTTTTAATTTACAATGTTTTACATTTACAAAGTGAAGGTATTTACTTAGTTAATTAATTAAATGTTTTCTCTTATAAAAATGAGGGAAGAAGAAGGAAAAATGAGAGTATAAAAGTTAGGAGAAAGGGGAAAAATAAAAAGGAAAAAATTATATGATATTTTACAAATACTAACTACATAATGGGTGATTTTTTTTCTCTTATAAAAGTTGAGAGAAAATTTTGTAAAATTTTTCAGGTAATTAAAGAAGGGAGAAAGAGTAATGATAAAGGTAGAGGGAGAAGTTTGAAGATGTTTTGAAGGTAATTAATTAGTGGATAAATCTTTTGAAAGTAGGGAGAAAAAGAAAAGAAATAAAAAAGGGAGAAAGATTCATATTAAGGCGAGTTTAGCTACACTTCATAGGTCGCTTGTTAGCTAATAAGAACAAGTGGTGACAAACATTTTTATATACGATACATAGATAAATACTTGAAAGCATTAACTTCAGATTACCTTACTTAATAAGTAAAACTAGGCAGAAAATCAACAACTCCAATCGCTTTCACCGAGCCCCTATTTTCCAGCGACTGCGAACCTTGCACCTGCTCGAACTACTGTCAGGATATCTACAAGCAATGCGTCATCGACTGCGAACTGAACTGCGACCTTCCGTGGGACTGCCAGTCGTGCACGACGAATTGCAGCTCCCAAATCATCGCCACGGAGGAGTGCAAAGGATGCGATTGCGACGGGCCCTGTTCGAAGAACACCAACGCCAGTTGCTCCACCAGCATTCTCTTCGACATCGGCTCGCACCCTTGCATTTTCGGGCAGTGCTCGAGGAACGGCAGATGCATGTTCTTGGTCTCCGACGGCGTGGTGTTCTCCACGTGCGTTTGTATGAACAAATATCGAGGTAAGCGTACGCTAGAAGTAAATTCGTGATTGATAGATGCTGTAATTTGATATGTTGATTTTTTTGGCGAAATTACTAGTTATCAGTACCATCAGGTTCTTTTCGTTGAGGTAAAGGATTAACATTGAAGCTACCGAAGCAATTACTTACTGAAGATATTTGGGGAGTTTAGTAAAATCCTGTAAAATTTAATAAACTCGACATATCAAGCTATGGCTTCTATTCAGAGAAATACAGTGTGATCCGGAACTCACGCTCCACCGGGAAATGTCTTATAGAGACGACAATGGAGATGCCAAAAGTGCAACCGAAGACATGAAAAAGTTATTCCTTTGGTAAATAAAGAGGTTTAAAATCGACCAATCCCAGTAGCAATTCACATACGCTAAAATGACGCGAATTACTACGACTATTGATCAAAGAATTGCTTCCAAATCGATCATTCAGGAGCTCCGTTGTGCTGATACCAAACCTATCGAATTTTTTATTGCTTCAAAAGTGGTTCAAATCGAATGATCCATTTTTTGGTCGATTTGAAAGTAAATTTTTGATCAATAGTCACAGGTTTTGGCAGGTTAACCTTGAATGTGAAAAGGACATAGAATCTTTCAATAATGTCAAATTGGTGTATAGCTAATTCGCGTCATTTTCGTGAATTTGAACTGCTACTGGGATTGGTTGATTTTCAACCTTTTTATTTACCAAAAGGAATTTCATGTTTTCGGCTGCAGTTTTGGCATCTCCATTGTCGTTTCCATAAGGCATTTCCCGATGGGGCGTAAGTTCTGGGCCAGCCTGTATTTATTGACAACCCTCTCAACTACTTCGTTGAAAAAAAAATGTATCCATGGTGTATCTAAAAGATTGGGACGTGGCTTAACTGCAGACTTTTGGGACGAAAATAAGATGATTTAACTTAACTTACCTATATCCAAAAGGGCATATTTACCTAAGGAAGTTATAGGGTGTTAAAGTTGAAAATAAAAAAGAGATTTTTTTATATTGGGCCAGAATGGCTGAAGATTTTTTCATGAAAATTTGTAGAGAATATCTTTGTTTAGTGACTTATTATTGCGTGAATATTTTTTAATTATCATTACTTCTCTGATTTAAATAGCCCTAATTCTTCCGCCGATCGTATTTACCTAATTTTTGAATCAAAACTGGATTTATTGGTTTATTTATAATGATTTTTTACTCTTTGTAATTTTCTGTAAAACTCACTTTTATTGGAGATAAATCTCATTTTTTGATAATTTTAGGGGACCTAAAAATCGTGTAAATGACAAAAATAGAGATTTATCTGCAAAAATATGGGTTTCATAGAAAATTACAAAGAGTGAAAAATCATTACAAATAATCCGATAAATCTAATTTTGATTCAAAAATTAGTTAAATAACATGGGCGAAAGAATGAAGGCATAAAAGGCGTTGGACCGCCCAGTTAAATCTGAGACGGATTGATACTTTTTAAAAAATTCCACACAATAATTGGCCACAACAAAGAAATTATGTACAAATTTTCATGAAAAAATCTTCAGCCATTCTGCACTAATATCAAAAAATGTCTTTTTTATTTTTAACTTTAACACGTTTTATAGGTTAGTTAGGTTAAATATCCCAACGTTTTAAAGACACCCTGTATTAATGATCAGAATTCTCATTAAAGACGATCCGATTTGGCAATTTTCAGGTTGGGATTGTTCGGATAACTCGCAAGCCACCCCGTACTCCATGGTAGTCATCGAGTTCCTCTTTCTCGTCTTGAGCAACTTGCTCTTCCTGCCGTCGGTTTACGTGGCCTACAAACGTAAGTACTACGTGGAGGCGGTTTCCTATCTGAGCATATGCTTCTTCTCGGTGTTCTATCACTGTTGCGACGCCGGCGAGAATTTGATAAACATGTGCATAGTCAATTTGTCTGCGTTGCAATTCGGCGATTTCTTCTGCGCTATATTGGCTATATGGGTCACGTTGGTGGCCATTGCGGATTTGCCGGGTTTGTGGACGAACATCTGCCACATGATGGGGGCTATAGTCCTGGCTTTTTTCACTACTATTAACAAAACGTCCCTGTGGGTGTTCGTCGTGCCGGCTATAACCGGAGTTATTTTGATAGCCGCCAGTTGGACGGTTAAATACAGGAAAATTAAGCAGAGATTCGCCAACAGGAATTATTTGTTCTATCGATTGCCATTCGGTTTCACCATCGTGGCGGTTAGCCTGACTTGCTACGCTTTCTTGCAAACCGAAAATAATTATTGGTACCTCCATAGCATTTGGCATATGATGATGGCTGTGTCGTTGACTTTGATATTACCTAAACCTAACACGTTCGTCCCCGAAGTGATCTTGTAGATACGGGTAAATGATATATTTCTATTCCAATTTACGTACCTAAAGTGATTTTTAACAATAACAGTAAGAGGCAGAGAGTCGATATTTTTCGAATTGCATTAACAAGTTTATTCGAAACTGATAGTTTTGGTAAAAACATTGAGAATTTTTATCTCTCTGTTGGATGTTGTAATTTTTGCTCTTTCATTCGATTGTAAATGAACTTTTTTTCGGTATTCGTGCCTTCGTAAACGAATTAATACAAAGCCGAAAATAATGTCGGTATTAATTTTTCAGGGATAGTCAGGTAACCAATTAAAAATTACAACTGCCATGTCATAATTACAAATTCATAACGATAAGTTTTTTTTTCTGCAATTCACTTGTATGTAGGTTTTTTATACTATTTTATTTATATTCTTTATTTAGTTGTTTTTTTATATATTATGAAAAAAATCCATAAAAATATTTAAAGGGAGTCTGTAAAGTATCTGAAACTTTCAGAACATGCCTTTTGTAATCAAAGTGAAGTTTCATAGAATGATATTTAATTTTATTTCGAAGACTTTTTTTTTGGTAATTTAAGAATCGTACTACTCGTTTTAAGCATTAAAAACCCTTTAATTAAGCTAATTTTTAACGCTGTTGGCGTAATTTATTCTTTTGATTATTTTTTATATTTGAAAAATATTTAATTTTCTATTTATTAGATATTTATTTGTATATTAATATTCAAAAATGAAACCGCGGCTTCCTCTTGAACGAAATGATTGTAGTTGAATTTTATTCGAAACGAATTGCGAATTTATATTTTACTAAACCAGTAGTTTGCTAGTAGAGCTACTTAGTTTATGTTGATGCTAATGTTTTGGTAAGACCTAATTTATCGTGTGCCTTAATGGCACTATGATTTAATTGACCTTTAATCAGCTAAATGTAAAGGACTAAATTCGAAGCATAGTTTCATTTTTCCTAGTGTATTCGGCTTTGCTGCTAATTACCTGTGAGTTTTTATGCTATTTTTAAGACGTTCAATTTGCCATAGATTTCCTTTTCATTCCAAAATGTGTTCCCGATTTAAACATTTTTTTTTAAATAATAAGTACATTTTATAGCTGTGATAGTAAAACAACTGTAATATAATACCAAATATGGTAACATGTATAAACTGACTTTGAATTTTTTGAAGAAAAACAAATGCTATAACGTTATTTAGATGAATTCTTTAGAGCTGTTACATACTCAAGTGTATAATAAACTGACCATCTGTTGGTTTTATTAATATTATAAAGAATATTCTGCATTTGTTTATGATAAAAATAGTTTTGTTTTCAAATTTCTACCATAGGGTAATCAAATTTTCCTTCAAAAGTTGAATAAAAATTGGATAAAATATTAAAAAATCAACAGATTGTTCATGTATTTTTCAACCGAGTATATTTTTCTATATATTTAGGATGTATCGTAAATCGTGGTTGTTTACAACTTATAATTAGTAGTGTGTTTCAAATATTAATCACGAGATTGTTGTAATATTTATAGCATTTTTACAGACTAGGTGTCCCAAATAAGAGTGATAAATTTAAATAGTTAATCGTCTTTGTTTTATCTGTCGTGAAAACGGTTGCTTCTATACAGGGTGTTCCATAATGACATGCTAATATTCAAGGGGATCAGTCTTGGATCCATTTTAAGAAAAAAAAACTTCATATGAACATGTCCTAAACCTAAAATTTGTTCTAAAATGAATGAGAATTATTATCAATATTAGGCAGTGGCGTTTAATTTTTTTCTCCAAAAATATTCAATGCAAAACTCGTACGGACGCCACTGTAGAAAATAATAAAATTGTACATCAGAAAATGCATTTTTATGCATAAAAGACGTGTGCCAAATTCCACAAAGACATCTACAATAGTATCACAGTTATAAAAAAGATATTTTTTTTCTAAAAATTTAACCACCCTGTATTTCAAAAGTTAAGACGTTTAGGGCAAAGGTTCGTATGAAGGTTTTTCCTTAAAATCGGTCCAAGAATGACCCCCTTAAATATTAGCATATCATTATAGAACACCCTGTATGTTATCTTCTTACTTAGGACACTCTGTACTAACTACCAATAAGTATAATATAAAAAAATTATCTTCTATATTCGATTAGACTTATATAAACGATTACTATAAAAATATGTATTAGTAGTTAAAAAAAATCTGTCTTGTACTGTGATATATGCCTTTTTGTACACATTTGTTTCCACTACAACAATTCCTATTTTACTTTACCAGAGTTTAATAAGTTATTTTATGTTTGTAGCACATCTAAAATTTCTTAGACGCGCTTATTCATTATAAGACACTAAATATTTGTGATAGTATAATTTGTTGGCATTAAAATTATACCGCTTCTCCCCTAATATTGGTGTTTTACTATAATTATAATACTAAAGTTAATAAGTACCTTTGATAAACTAAAAACAACGCATTTATTATTAAAAGTACAGATCTCAATTGGCTCTTAATACTAATAGAGAGTCATAAAGCAGTAAAAAAAATAAACGGTTAATCTACATTGTAACGTACGTTGGGGTCGTCATGACGCCGCAATTATTATTTTTAGCGGACATTAAAACGTACCCGTCGTTACCCCAGTAGTTCGACCAACTGTTTTTGACCAGCCAATAATCTTGTCCCCCTAGAGTTCCATAACCGACGGCCAATACAGCATGATCCAGCTCGTCTTCCTTATTACCGCTGAAGATGAAGAAAATTCGTAAGTAGAGTATTTTATTGAAGTATTTTATTAGTTACCATTTAGGTTCGTAGTAAACTCCATTGGAGTAGAAACTGAAGGTTCTGTGACCGGCGTCTATAGCAACACTAATAGGCCCGTGTTTGAAGATAGCCAATCTCAAGGCGTTCTCATTGTTGCTTGTTACGTTTACCCAGCCCGTGATTTTAGCAACTTTGGGTACTTTACCGGCATGACAATATCCGTCCTGTAGTAAGAATATAAAAATTAGCAACTTTTTTGTCAAGATTTATACTAGTTTTGGTAATGTTGTAGTTTGAATCCATAAGAGTACGCAAATCTTTTGCATATACAGTCATTAATTGAGTACCGCTACTTCAGTATGTGAATATTTGGATGATTTTAAGAAGAAAAGTTTATATCAATGTATGTCCTAAACTTCTTAGTTTTCTAAAGTTATTTTTTTTTCTAAAACTGTAACACCCTGTAGCTCGAAAACTAAGATGTTCAGGACATACATATTGATATAAACTTTTCTTCTTAAAATCATCCAAATATTCACATCCTAAAGTGACTCAATTAACACCAATAATGAAAAATGTATATATTTGCAACAGTGCTTTTGAAATGATTTAAAACGGCTTGATTATGTATATGCGCAGAAGATTTAAACTACAACATTACCCTAGTTTTATCTGTTAAAATTATTACCTGGCCTAAATACGGTCCATAATCCTCTTCTGTCGGTACACCTCCGTGTTTAAGCATCCATTGATACGCTCTGAAGTCTTCACCTCCATCGCATCCGTTATTTCCGTACCTAAAATAGAAATATATTCATAAAAACAGAAAAAAAAAATCATACTAAAAACTGTAAACTTACCCCCAAGAGCAATCGATAAGAGCCTGTTGAGATAATCTCATGAGTTGCCCGGTTTTCAGGAAATTCGCTCCCTCTATAGTTCCGATCGTACCAAATGACCAACAGGAACCGCATACAGACTGATCTGTATTAATAAATTTATTAATATACTCTATAAAACTTTAAGTTCTTCAAAACCTAGCCTATTCGGCATCTAAGGGCATTCAGACAATTTTTGAAAAGTATTAGAGGTGGGCGTTTCAAGAAAAGTAACGGTTACAAACCTTTAAAAGATGGCGTAACAACGTAATACCATCAATATACTCTATAAAACGTTACGTTCTCTAAAGGTCATCGATTAGAGCCTATTGGGAGAATCTAATTTAGGACCATTTTCAAAAGATATTAGAGGTGGAACAATAGGTTCATCAAAACCTAGTTATTTCGCCTCTAAAGGTCATCTAATAGAGCCTACTGAATGCCTCTAATAGAACAATTTTCAATAGGTATTAGAGGTGGGCGGTAAAAGTATCGGTTACAAACCTTCAACAGGCGTAACTAAACGTATCAAAACCAACTATTCCACCTATTACTAGGGTCTTTAAAGATCGCCTAATAGGCCCTATAGAGATCCTCTAATTAAGACCATTTTCAAAAAAGACTAGAGTTGGGAGTTTCGACAAAAGTAACAGTTACAGACCTTTGACCGGCGTAACAGCACCGTAAATTCTCCAATCCCACTGATCGGGTAAATTTTCACTGAAACTATCGATATCCTTGTAAGGGAACGGTTTACCGCCGTTATAAACTCCGGAATACGTTTTACCGCGCAGAGCCTTCAGCTCTAACGGAGACTTGTCGGCCAAATGATTCACCGTTAGAGTGTAACCTACAAGAAAATTTACATAAACGTTAATTTGCCGGTTATCGTACGAAGCAAGATTACCTTTATTTTGTCTGTTGTGCGCGTGGATGAACCTGATGTTCTGCCGGAAGAGTCCCTTGCGAAAATCGTGCTCCTCCTCATTATCGTATTGCTTTCGGTGCTTGTTGGTGAACTTGTCGAATTCGAAATCCAGGTGACCGGTGTACTCAGGCTTGATGAATTCCGCCATGGGATTGAAGGTGTAAATGTGCTTGTCGCCCGGTCCGGGGAACGAACTGCACTTCATGTCTATAAAATTGGGCAATTAAAAGCTGTATAATTACATTCAAAAATAGAAATTAATGTAATATTTACTGGGATCAATCTTGAAGGTTTCTTCTGGAATGGAATCCACATCGTAAGAAATATATTCTAGGTAATAGTGATCGTAATGGCTTCCCAATAATGAATTGAAACCTCTCATTTCGTATCTGAAAATCAGCAAGTAGAGTAGAGTACATACTAAATTATAAATTTATACCTCAATGGTACAGCTATTTGGGAATCGAGCTGGTTAGGATTCGGTTTGTAAAATATCCAAAGGCTGTATTTGTTCAGTTTGTTCCCGATGGTTTGGTTCAACGTCCATTTTTCGGTCTCTTGTCCGTCGATCACTTCCTTGCCTAACAAAGTAATTAATAATCACAAAAATCGATCAGTTCTTGTCAAATTTACCGGCTAGCGTGAATCCAGTAAGATCGGGTAATACTGTTTGAGTAGCGATAGGATTTTCCTCGGAGCCGTTAACTTGCAGACAAGTCCTGACATTATTCTCCGATTCAGTTGTGATCGGTGCTATTTTCAAACTTGTACCGTAATCAGCACCTGCTAATTGGTACGTTTTCACCATGTCCCCGTAGTAGTCGATACGGGATTGTTTCGAAGGACCATCGTACCTGTAAAATGTGTATTTTTAATTTGATTTTGAATTTTTTATGTTATACAGGATGTTTTTAATAACATGCCAATACTGAAGGGGGTGTTTCTTGGACCCATTTTAAGAAAAAAAACTTCATAGCATACAAATGAATGAATTTAATTTTTTTATGCGAAACTGTGAGTCGTATGAAAAAAAGTCAAGAAATAGTTTTAAATTGAACGGGACCTCAAAAAATAATTTTTATTTCAAGAGAAAGCTGTGGCGTACCACTTTTACCCTCAAAAATATTTGGCCTGAGTCCAGTACGGACGCCACTGTTGGAAGGAAATAAAAAATGTTTTTTAGGTCAAAAAATGCTCTTTCCTTGCTACACCAAATTTCATAAAAATATTTAAAGTGGTATGGAAATGACAGTAAAAAATTGATTTTTTTCTTAAAACTTTAACACCCTATATCACAAAAGTTAAGACCTTTAGGACATAGATTCATATGAATTTTTTTTCTTAAAATGAGCCTAAGAATCACCCCTTTCAATATTAGCATGTTATTAAAAACACTCCGTAGAATAAGGAGGAAGATTAGTGAGGAATGTTATTTGTAGTGTATAAATAGGTATATTATTTTCATCATAAATTTCAATAATATTTTAAACAGATAGAGTACAAATTTTAATGAAACGATAATCCTTTGGACAAATAAAAACAACTAATTAATCCAACGGAGAAGAACGTTTATGTTGATTGATGATAAACAGGCCAAAGTTTAGTTAAATTTGACCTCAAATGTGTAAATATGTTGTGCTAAAAAAATCATAGACTGTGATTTTGATTGTAAATTATTCAATAATTATAATAAATGTAAAGTTAGCAAAAATTATGTTATTGTAATGGCCTCTTTTAACAATGAAACAAACCAAGCAATAAATTAAAATTGCAGACTATTCGAATTTTGTAAATAACACTGATTTGTGAAAACTGCAACAGAATAAAAAATATACTATTTACGTTTTGTTGTCGTAAAAAAAAACAATACTTTTCTGACCCCTGACCAGAAATCAGACCACTTTTTTTCTTTGTGAAATTAAGTCTTGAATGGAATAATGTATATTTACTTTAGAATGTAACCACCTAGTAGACATGCGGAAAGTTTCAAGTCTTCGGTCTGCCATAATATTTGCAGTCTACCTACATAATTGACGATAAATTGAATTACTTATGCCTGCTATTCCATACGTTTGCTTAATAAAGATAGATATATTTACGTTTAAATAAATACTGGTACTTCTCTAATTCTCAATAAATTCAATTAGCCACATAAATTCTGTAAACTTAATACAATACTAGTAAATTTTTTCTTTTGCTTAATGAAGGGTCAATTTTCCAAATCATGCTGTTATACTTTGTATGTAATAAATTTGGGTAGACCGCATACTAAACCAGCATAATTAATTCTCATAAGGGGGAAATAATAAAATAAGGCATCAAATGTCGCAACACTATGAGAAAAAAGTTGATAAATGTATTTCTTACCAAGCAGAAAAGGGCTCCACAATTTCAGCATAAGGAATCGCCAAAACTCCTTTAACGGAATACGTAGAACTCCAAACGGGCAATTCAGCAGTTAAACCTAAGGGTAAAGTATCATTAAGTTATAGTCAATGAAACAATTTTTTTTAAAATGCCCTATAAGCTATTTTAAAATATTATTTAATAAATTACCTGCTGAAATTATGGACGCAAGAAATATCAAGTTTATAAAACCCATTTTATTGGACTCTCCTCTTCCAATAAAATTTGAACAATGACAAATAACAATTCTTATTGCCTGGCCATAAATCGGTATGTGCTGAGCAAGTGATATTTCACAACAATGTATGTTTACATAATAAAAGAGATTCGATAAAGTGAAATTATCATAAACCGTATCAAAAATTAAATTTAATTACATTTACAAACAGCTGATTGTAATATGAATTTTAAATATTGACAGCTATGAAATGACAGATGTCGTGAATTTCACATCTTCTTTTTTATTATCCGAAATATGACTTGTACTACTTTGTAATTTGTACTACTTCAATATTTGAAATTTTGTTGAAATTACTCAATTTTCATATTTTACTCATAGATCCCTACAGGAAGTATAAAAGAATTATAAAAAGAAATCACAAACCATTACAAATAATTTTTCTATTTTAATGACACATGTCATTGACGAATACGAATTGACATTGACGTTGACAGATGGTTGACAGTACATTTAGCCGATTTGATTTTTGTTTATTCATCGTGCATTAAATACCAATAATAATTTTTCTATTTAACAATTAAAATTCAAGTATAAACCATGAGTTTAGAAGCCTTATCGGGAATTACAAGCTACAATTCCGAGGATTACGAGCGACTCGCCTACGACGAGAGTCTGCAGAAGTATTGCACCAATTTCAAGAATGGCATGAACTTGGCCGTTCCGCCTTTTCCCGATGTAAGTATCCCATTTCATCGACTATTTATCGTTAATTCACATCATTTTGTAGCCCAGCAATAACTTCGCGAGATTCACCAAGGATGATAACGGCCGCGAGATCAAAATTAAATTCGACCACGGTACCACTACGTTGGGATTCATGTACAAAGGGGGCGTAGTCCTCGCAGTGGATTCCCGAGCGACTGGTGGCCAATTCATTGGATCACAAACCGTCGAAAAAATCATAAAAATCAACAGTTTTTTACTAGGTATTCAGTCATCATATTGCTACGATATGTTCGATAACTAGTTAATGAATTTCAGCTACAATGGCAGGAGGCGCTGCTGATTGCACCTACTGGGACCGAGTACTAGCTAAACAATGTAGGTTGTACGAACTGAGAAACAGGGAACGTATTTCGGTGGCTGCGGCTTCCAAGTTAATGGCCAATATGGTTTATAATTACAAAGGAATGGGTTTGTCCATGGGAATGATGTTGGCTGGATGGGACAAAAGGGTAATTAAATTCTAACTAGTTCTGTGAAACCTACTCCTAATTTTTATTTATATTACAGGGTCCTCAACTCTACTACGTTGATTCAGAAGGTCTCAGGACATCCGGAAAAGTGTTCAGCGTAGGTTCCGGATCAATTTACGCTTTTGGTGTGCTGGATTCGGGTTACAAATGGGACTTATCCGATGAGGAGGCTTACGATTTGGGTCGTAGATCGATTTACCACGCTACTCACAGAGACGCCTATTCGGGAGGTATTGTTAGAGTGTACCACATGAAAGAGACCGGTTGGGTGCATATCGATGATAACGATTGCATGGACTTGCATTACAAGTTTGAGGAGGAAAAGGAGAAAATGGGAGGCGCTTGATTGAATTGATTTGTGAATTTATATTTTTTAAGTGTAATAAATTTCTGGAATTAATTTGTATACTTTTTAATAAATGCTTGATAAAGATATGAGGGTAAATTGTATGGTAATTTTAAGAGAATTTTTTATTGATGAGATTTTTATTTTTTTCATTAAATCTTGGGATAGTTTGTTCCAATATTTAATAATGTTCTTTTTGATTTAAATAATTTAAAGGAAGATATTTCTCACTGTATTTGAATGACTTTGGAATAACTATTCAGGATGTTAATTAATTCAGTGCCTATAGTTCAGGAGCCTGTTTCATATAACTGACAAGTTGACAAGTTACAAGTGTTGGTTGACAAGTGTTTAAAAATTCGTTTCATAAAATAAATTTCGACACTTGTCGAATTAAATTTTTGGCATCTGTTTTTCTACAACTAATATTTATTAAACGTCATCGACTTAATTCAGAAAGTAAATAATGTCGCGTGAATTAGAAAAAATCGAGTTTTTGCGCCCTATTAAGGATAGAGAGGCCATTTTATTCGGTAAATTTACTCATAGTCTGACTAAGGCTGTTAAATGTGAACAGTGAAATGAGGCTGCCTCACCTAATAAATGAGTAAACCAGTACTTGTAAACCAGAAACGGTGGTGCCCCATAGTGCATGAAGTACATATGTTTCAGTGGGTTTTAAGTGGTAAGTGCTCTATTAAATCAAGAAAAGCGCTCTGAAGTAAAGTTACCGATTAAAGTTATCCAATTCGGATTTTCATCATCCCATACATGTAAATTGTGTAAATTTGTGATACCATTTCTGGTAAAAATAAATCTCTCTCTAAAATCCACTGTACGCCACAGTTTTTTTCTAAAAACCAAAATTATTTTTAAAATCCTCATTTATTTTGGAGCAAATTCGGTCCAAAGATCTTCTTTCGCGTAAAAAATTAAAAACCAAAACAGTTTTTTCCCAAGTTCATCGAGACTGCTTTTGATATTTTGTTGAATTTTGGTAGGAGCCCACCATGCATGGAAACACTTTTTTTTGGGATACAAAAATCAAGTTTCTACTATTACCAGTACACGTCCACGTCCGAAATTTCATAAAAATATCTGGAGTAATAGGAAAATTATGTTATAAAACTTTTCTTTTTAAAATCATCCAAATATTTACATTCTGAAGTATTGGCACTCAATTAATTATTACCCTGTAATAAGATGGATTTAAAAAATTTGCCTGTCATTTTTAATCAAAAATAGTGACATTCTCTAAATTAATACTAACACGTCATAAGAGAATTGTTACATGTATTATTAATTATTTACAAGAAAATTCACCATGAGTTTAGAGGAAATATGTGGATTTCCGTTCATTAATGAAAGTTTAGTGTATGATAATAGTTTAAATAAATACTGCAGAAATTTCCAGAACAACTTGAGTTTGGAAGTTCCTCCTTTTTCTATTGTAAGTAAATCGAATTGGTTTGTTATTGACCAGTTAAATAACGCAAATTCAGTCTCAGAAAATACATAATTGTCGAATAATTGCGTATTAAAGGCACCGAATAGCCACATAAACAACTCAAGAAGAGAATGATAACATAATTAACAAAAGTTCGATTATTTCTAAAACTTCTGGATTTGGATATAGGAAATACCTATGGATCGAAAGAGCTTTTAAAAATACCCACTGTTTAAGGCCAAATATACGAAGTGATCAATTTAAAATAACAAAGTTTTGCTCACTTAGTTGCCGCAGTTATTCAGACAATTTTAGAAGCCCTTTAAATGGACTATGAAAACCAATTTTAGATTCATGTACTGTGTACGGAAATTATATCGATACAAAATTTCAAACTTCTAGCTGCGTTGTTAATAGAGCGATATCATCAAATCATATGGTTTTATTATCAAAATTTAGTTATTAAAAGCCACATAATTCAAAAATTAAGTCATAAATGGTATTTTCCATTTGAAATAACGAAATTGATATATCTACTTCCGGTATAACCAGAAGACATACAGTATAATAATTTTATTTAAAAACTTACAATGGCTATATCTCCCAAACGAAAAATGATAGGATCTCTCCTTCCAATCCATTTGTTCGGATAATTAGTATCCAACCAGTGCATAATTGCAGCTGCATAATGAGGAGATGGTCCATCTTATTGGAAGTGTAGCAAATCTTCGCCTAGAGCTAGATGCCCTTGGTCGTCCCTTTGGTTATCTAATTCATGCACAATTAATGGTTCGATGGTGTTTTCAAACTTCATGAAACTTTGCTTTTAAGGCAAAGAAAAACTCCCAACGCATTGACTATACCTTACACCTAACACACATTTTACTTTCAGGAGAGCCAAAATTTCTCCAAATTAAGCAAAGACGATCACGGTAGAGATATCAAAATCAACTTCGATCACGGCACTACTACCTTGGGGTTCTTGTACAAAGGGGGCGTAGTGTTAGCGGTGGATTCCCGCGCGACTGGCGGCCAATTCATCGGCTCACAATCCATGAAGAAAATTGTCGAAATCAACAACTTTCTATTAGGTTCGGTTATGCTACTTGTCCATTTGAGAGTTTTCTTGAGAACAACTCTCGAGAGTTACTCTCAGGTCTTTGTCCATTTGAGAGCAAACTCGCGAATTTTTACTCACTGATGAGAGTGTCCAAAATGGTAGTTGCGAGTTTTATCAAATTAGTTCTCTTAGAACCTTGTGCACTGTGCTAAGGTGCACTGGCTAAGGACATGCTTGCTCGCAGAGAGTAATCATTAACTCTCACAATATTGTCAACTGGCGAGAACTACTCTCGAATACCGGTGTCGAGTTTTTCTCTCTAATGAACAGCATTACGCATTACGGTGCGATAATCGCGAAAACTTACCCCGAAAAACTCTTGATTATTTAAATTGAAGGTACCTTGGCCGGAGGAGCGGCCGATTGCGTGTACTGGGACCGAGTTTTATCGAAGCATTGCAGGATGTACGAGCTGAAAAACAAGGAGCGCATCTCGGTGGCTGCGGCTTCGAAGTTAATGGCCAATATGGTTTATAATTACAAAGGAATGGGCTTGTCGATGGGCATGATGCTCGCCGGATGGGACAAAAGGGTAATGAAAATTATTAAAATAACTAATGAGATGTTGAATATACAGTATGGCTCATTAGTATGAAAAATCTGAATAGATCTGTTATTGCAGATAATATAAAAAAAAATCTGAACAAAAGTATTAGATATTTTCATGTTGAGTATTTTAAAATTGGTTATATTTATACAGAATGTTAGATTAATAAATTTAAAAATTAAATGTTAAGTAAAGGAGACTACAGTCCAGTTTCAAATCGTTATAGAATGACTCATCCTTCAATGTTATGGAAAATGGTGCAGGAGTCATGTCAAATTCAAATATCAGCGGCGCAGTATGAGATTGTGGACAATTTTTTTAATCATCTACAATAACAGATATATTGAGCTTATCCACACTGTATAATGAAATTCACAGGGTCCTCAACTTTACTATGTCGATTCGGAAGGGCTCAGGACACCGGGGCAAGTGTTCAGCGTAGGTTCCGGCTCTATTTACGCTTTTGGTGTGCTGGATTCGGGTTACAAATGGGACTTATCCGATGAGGAAGCCTTCGATTTAGGGCGTAGATCGATTTATCACGCTACTCACAGGGACGCCTATTCGGGCGGTATTGTAAGAGTTTATCACATTAACGAAACAGGTTGGAGTCATGTCGACGATAACGACTGTAATGATTTGCATTACAAGTTTATGGAAGAGAAGGCGAAGATGGAAGGTGTTCAATGGGAGTACTCGCATTAATGATTTTCAATTAGTTATCAATGTATTTTTGATATTCAGGGCCTTTCAACGAAAACTTGACCTCGCCTTAAAACTAGAGAAACGATTTTGAGGGAGATTAGGGAGAGATATGTTGATAGTCAAGCTAACTTGATATGTTCATCCCCCTAAAGCCCTGGTAACTCTAATTTTTGAATTTCAAATGGAACTACCCTATTTCCAAAGCATCGTTAATTTGAAAACCCTTTCCATTGCGATTACTTTGGGGAATCGTTTTTGAAAATTTACACGCAAGCGCATTATTTGCCGCAATTTATTTTTTATTTAAAAGGACTAATAGCAAATAGCTGAGACCAAAGGAAGAAGAAAAGAAAATAGTGTCAATAGTGTCCTCCAATAATTGTAATCATCTGTCTCCATTGAGATTTCCTTAAATAAAAAACGTTACGACAACATGTAAATAACTTTGTCAAATCTTAACCGATTTTCAAAAAAGATTCACCAGAGTATTCGCAACGGAAAGGGCTTTCAAATGATGTATTTGAACAAGGGTAGTTCCATTTGAAATTATAAATCTAGAGTTGCTTAGGGAGCTTAGATTGGATGAACATATTCGCATCAAGTTAGCTTGACTCTCAAAAATGTTTCCTATTAACAAAAACAGAAGTTGACGGGTCCCGACGAATTCAAAAAAACAAATTGCTTTTCTAGTTTTAGGGTGTTATGTTTTCGTTAAAACACCCTGTACATAGTGATTGTATTATGTTCATTTTGTAATAATTCTAGTGTCCTATTAATTAAGAATAGGAAACACTTTGTTTTTTATTTCCAGATTTAGTGTAACTTTCACTCTACTTATCTATAGAGGAAACTAGTTAACGTGGAGATGCCACCCTGTATATGAGGAAACAATTAAATTAATGCATTTAAAGCATTCTTTTCATTCATTTGATATCTAGTTTATTATAATTATATGGTATTATCTTGGAAAACATTGGCGAACTGGGTTTTACGCAAAACGGTTATTCATTAGATATACTCTAGTATGATAAATAATAAAAAAATATTTGTACATATCCGCTAGTAATTAACATAATTATGCCAGTGAATCGCATTACGTGTTTAGTAAACTCGCTTGATATGTAAACAACACGTTAAGGAACGATTAATTATAAAATATACTGAATTGTTTTCCACCCTTCTTATCACGATAATAGATATGGAACATTTGGATAATATGCCTAATATAATTATTGCACAGGGTGACTAAGAGTAGAATTCGGTTTTCGAATGTGCCCTGTGCATCCGTTTGAAAAGTTTTTGGGGGGTAGCGCTGGCAATCTGTGGTGAATCCATGCGGATTTTCGATTTTTGGTCGAGGCAGTTTCTAAAGCGAATGATTCGTATGTAGTGGCAATTCGACGTTTTCTTAGTCGTCGGCAAATTTAGTGTAATCGTGGGTTCAAAGTTTCCGAAAAACAGGCTCCGTGGTAAATCGGAAGCACGCAGGTCAACAGAAGTCGATCAGAACGCCAGAGAAAATTGGGATTGTGCGACGTTCTGCGACTGGAAAGCTGAGACCAAAAACTTTTCAAACGGTTGAACAAGGCACGTTTGAGAACCGAATTATACTCTGAGTCACTCTGAATTATACACATTGCTTCAATTCAGGCCGCAATATGGACATCTCCGTGCGTTTGAACAAAGATAGATTACTAAAGTGACAGTTGTCAGAGTGAAAAGTTGTTATGACACTATATCATACTTTCTTTTCCTTTATACAGGGTATCCAGAAAATAGATTTGAATAACTCGGGAGCGTATAGATCAAATTTTCATGGTTTATTAACTAAACCCGTGTGCCCAATTAGGTAATAAAATAAATCCTACACTACTCCCTAGAAGACAGTGGCGGCGTGTTCCCAGTGATTAACAATTCGTAACTTTTATAGGGACAATCTATATAAGGCAAATATATCGTAAATACATTCTTTAATTGATAAACTAACAAAAATGAACTCTTGTTTGAAGTCGACTAAATTAACGGTTCAAGAGAATATTGAATTTTCCAACAACTGGGAATCATGCATTTTTTTCTTGAATTTAAGCGTACACATACAGGTAGATGCAAAATTGTTTGCAATATACTGCATAACGTCCATAAGTCTCATATAAAGGAAAAAAGGGTAATATTGAGGAGTAGCAGCTTGCAATTTTCTCACTCTATCCCACTGTTATTTTAATAATCTTTCTTTGTTCAACTCATAGAATTAATTGACCATACTGGAAACAAATTTGCACGTAGGTACCAATGGATTTTACAGCTAGTTATTAGCCAAGTCCAGAACTTTCTTTCTTTCCTAACACCCGGCATATTTCATTATGTTTCTAAGAAATAAATCGGTGTCTTACAATATCCAAGAGTTGAACTTTTCCTAAAAAGTTGGTGAACATGGTCTCATTAAAAGGGATTGTTCGTTCCCTTGGAGTGGATTGGGGATGATGGTAGACGTCAATACAAGACATGAGGCTGTCTGCTGAAAATTTCACGTCTCTAACTCGGATTAGCCAATTTTATAGCCAAATTTATATAGCCAATTTTATAAGGCTTCAAAAAAATGAGTTACTATTTATGACGAATTGTATAGTGTGATTATTATGGGTTAGGTTTTGTATCAAAAATATAGCGACATCAATTCCAAGTAATTCAACAAAGTTCTTAAAAAAATAAAATTAGTGTGAAATAAAAAAATAATAAAATTAGGAAACCGTAGTTTAGAATATCAAGCACGGATTTCACGTTATGAACACATGTATTTATATTTGTTTTATTCGATATAAAATAATCGATTAGTGTTAATTATTGTTTGCAAACAAACTAAGGTAATTAACCCGCGACATTACTGATTAAGAACTTGTTACGAACATCTTCATCCAAGAAGAAATTGTTGCATTGTAATTTATGAATTTTTACGAAATTTTCTTTCGTGTATCTTCACGGTAGTAAATTCGGTTTGGTTCATATTAGCAAATCTAGTCCTCAAAAAAAAACGGATAAATAATTTAAAACTTAATAATTCACTCTGTTTTTCTTAAATTTTCATTTTGTTATTGTAGTGTAGAAGTTATAAGCAACTCGTAAAGCCTGACATATACGGTTTTTCGCTAAACATACATATGAATAGAAATAATTTATTAGAACTCAAAGCAGTTTTCAGTTACTAAAAACACTCAATATTTTAGGAAATATAGTCCTTTTAAAAAATAAAAAAATAAGTCGTACTCCTCTCCATTACCAATCAAGTTTTAAAAGAAAAATTACATAATTGGAATAATCGAATAATTTTTACTTTAAAATAATAATTTCTATCATACATTTTTTCACATATCCCTTTCTACGAAAAGGTCCAAAAGTTACAAAAAAAACCTTAAAACTAACTCGACACAAAATTCCCCGTATAGGATAAGGTAGTAGGAAAGTATAAGGAATATACTTACAAATTTTATTAATAATGATATAAAATTTAAAAGGAACTATCTACAAATTACTTAAAAATGCGCTGAAATCAAAAAAATGCATCAAAATTTTTGCTAGAAACTTTCAAGGCGTCCTATAGATTCATCCTAAGGAAAGACTAAAATGGATTTCTTTTCTCGTATAATAAGCCAAAAATTAGATATACCTAATTTTGTTCATTGGAGTGTATGAAGTCAGAAACCAAATTTCAGTTCTCAATAGTTCTGATTTTAGTTCTGAGTTCACCCTTTTACAGAGTATAATATAGGAGTACCCAGATAACACGTAAGCTTGTGACAAGGTTGTCATGTACTTGTCATGTCCTTGTCATGACAAGCTTTGCAAGACAAGCTTATAAAAAGGTTAGAGTAAGGTTGTTTTGACAACCTTATACAATTGTCATAGCATTGTCGGAATAAGGTTTTCGTGACAAGCTTTTAATAATATTATTGCAAGGTTGGTCTGACAAATTTATAAAATTGTCATTTTCTTATTGTGACAAGCTTTACATGAGAAGCTTTTAATAATGTTATTGCAAGGTTATTGCTTAATATAGGCTTGCGGTTGCCACGTTTGTATAAGGTGTATATGTAAGATTATTTTAAAGTTTACTTATAAATTATACTAAAAGGTTTATAGCTAATTTGGCAATATGCAAAAATCATGGGAAAAAGTTAAACTAATAAGCTTATGGAAAGATTACACTACACAACATACATCTATGAAAAGGCATACATTTGGAGTACCTACATACTACAAAAAGTGAAAAATATTCTTTTAAATTATTTTAAGACATTTTGTATTCAATCTGATAATTTCCTATGAAGTTTTATTTTGTCTAATCGCTACTCGATGTAAAGGGTAGGGGGTTGGTTGGGTTGGGTTTCTAATTTTTGTGCCTTCGGTACTCGACTTTCTCTACTAGCATTGCTGACATGCTGACGCTATTGCCTTTTGTAAATGTTCGCTCTTAAAATTTGCTGCTGTTATTTTCCAACGTGTTTTTTTTACCTACCTTCATTTTTCAAAGGTAAGTCAAATATTTATTATTTCTTTGTATTTCGATATCATCTATGCCTTATGTAATTATTAATAGAATGTTTATTCATAGGTATCACTTGAAGACCGTTCAATAAAATGTCCCAAAAGACCCATGCATTAGACAGGATTCCATAAGGATATAAATGAAAATATTGAATGATGAACAGAATAATTCCAGACGAAAAGTTATCATTAATTCATTCGATTAAATTCATGATGAAGAATCAAATTAGATGAATGTTTAGCCAAACAACTTCGCTCGACTCGTCGGTTTTTTAGACTTGCAATTTACAAATAAACTGTTAAGTTTTTTTACAATTATTTTACTCAACTATTTATTACAGCTTTTCGAACACTTTAAAAATTTCACAATGCCCTCATAAATTCTAAAGAATAGCGGAGTACCAAGAAATACTGAAAACACATGGTCACACTTGATGGGTTCGCCCGGGTTTGCCTGACAATTCACAAATTCACAGATGTTTGTTGGGATTATGAAAGGACATTTTAGTATTTTTTCAATTTCATTTTTAAACAAATGGACTATAATAGTGAGTATATTAATTTTTTCAATTATTATAGGCACATTAATTTTTTTTCTTTTACAGGGAGACCCGTCAAAAAATATGTTTGGTATGACTGTTCGTCCATATCCGGGACACAGTGATTATATTTGTATACATATTTTATAAAAATAAATGTCAATTATATAATATTTGCATTTTTTCATATATTTTATACCTTTCCATAAGCTTGTCGTAATGTTTTCAGAAGCTTGCCATAAACATTTTTCAAACCTTTTCACAAGCTTGTCATAACCTTTTCATAATCTTGCCTTAATAAGCTTTTAGTAATAATCTTTATGCAACCTTTTCATAAGCTTGTCGCTACGTTTTAATAGGGCTGTGGCAAGGTTTTCATAAGCTTTACGCAACGTTTTCAAAAGCTTGCCATAACCTTTTCGTAGCAACCTTGTCATGACAACCTTAAAGCAAGCCTCTAACATGTTGACTAGGAAGGTTGTCAAAACCTTTTTATAACCTTACACCCTGGGTTGCAACAAGGGTACAAACCGTGTCGTGACAAGGTTAACGCAAGCTTGCTACAAGCTTAAATTGTTATCTGAGTACTTTTATAAAAATAAAAAAAGTTCCGCCATTTTAACCAATGAAATTAACAATTGGCAAATAAAAATTGGGGTGCCAACTTCACACCTAACTTCGTGATGGAAGAGTTCTGAGTAGCTTTTTGCTTGTATTTTAGACATCTATAGAGTTTCGGATATTTATTATTTTTATTTATTTGTATTTATTTTTATTTATAATATACCCTAATATACAAGGGTAAGGTAAAAAGTTCTCGTCCCGACAAGTTCTAATTTCGTGGAGCGTTCTAAATGGTTCGAGGTAGTTTTAAGTGTTCTGGAGCGTTTAATAGCTCTAAACAGTCCGAATTGATTCTGGAGCGTTCTAAATGGTTCTAGACAGTTTTAATTGATTCTGGAGCGTTCTAAATGGTTCTAGACAGTTTTAATTGATTCTGGAGCGTTCTAAATGGTTCTAGACAGTTTTAATTGATTCTGGAGCGTTCTAAATGGTTCTAGACAGTTTTAATTGATTCTGGAGCGTTCTAAATGGTTCTAGACTGTTCCAAATGATTCTGAACAGTTCTAATTGATTCTGGAGCATCCTAGATTGTTCAAGACAGTTATAAATGATTCAGGTACAAATATTTAACCTATTTGCGTCATTAAAAAATCATCCATTCGAACGGAACTTATCGCCTACACTCTGTACATGCAGTGGTTTTCCTGCTAAGCCAGTCCATTTTTATTATTAACAATTTATATCATACCGTCATTCGGTATTTCCAAGGCTGCTTTCGTATTGACGACCGACCGAAAGATCAACATGGGTCATCAGTAAATCGACTTTAAAACTCGTTCGGTGATTTCTTCAATTTCAAATCGATTTCGAACCGACCAGTCTGTGATTTAGCGTTAATTTTATGTGTACAAGTGCCAGATAAACATTATTGAAATGGCGAAAAGTTCGATTGTTTCTTCGGTACTTTTAGTTTTAGAGTTATTGTTTGTAGTTTCTTATGCACGTAAGTTAAATTTCTAATCTTTGGAATTTTATTTTAGAAGGTCGATATTTTGTGTAGGTAATTCCTATCGAATTTAATGCGCAATTTGCTTAATATTCCTAAATTTATAGAGAATTTTGTTCTTATGAATATAAATAGAAATATAGCTATAACAAAACAGGTTCTAATTAAATTACAATTATTGGTGATTTTTTAATGACCTACAAATATTTTATGTTTCCAAAGACTTACATATGCATATGTATGTTTATTTGGCAAAATAAACTCGGATTTCGATTTCGTTTTACGTTATGCAAAATTAAATGGAATTCCCAGTGTGTAGATAATTGTGTAGATTTATCTACCCATAATTATTTTAATAAGCTACATAAATACACAAGGATATTAATTATATATGCATTGAACATATCAAATGTCTACATCTTGTACCAACTTTAATTAATAAAGTTCCTTGTTTCGATAGAATAAAAAAAATTGTATATAATTATTTGCTAAATATCTTATTTTTTAGAAAACGTAAAAATTTGCAAAACGCCCCGTAACCAAGAAGGTGAGTGTAAGTTGATAACGAAATGCCAAAGCCTATTTTCTATATTACAAAACAGGCCGATTACTTCGGAGGGCGCGGATTTCCTCAGGCAATCTCATTGCGGATTCGAGGGCTCCTTGCCCAAGGTCTGTTGCCCTTTGAAAACCGACGTCGGCACCACTCAAGCACCCACTGTCGATTACGGAACTGGTAAGTCATACACTATACATATAGAGGATGTCCCAAAATATCATAAGAATTCCCAGAGTTAGTACGACAAGTTCATATCACTTCCTAGTTTCTAGTTTCAAGTTTCTATTATCAGGTTTCTACTTCCTGGTTTCTAATTCTTAATTTCTAGTTTGTTGTTCTTGACTTTCTTGTTCCTGATTTCTAATTCTTAGATTCTAGTTTCAAGGTTCTAGTTCCTTTGTTTCTAATTCTGAGTTTCTAGTTCCTGGTTTCTAGTTTCTAGCTCCTAGTTGACTGTAACTGAATTAACTGATGTGTTGAAAAAGAAAAAGCATCGGTTAATGGATGAAAATTAATTCGAAAATTTACAAAATTTTTTCCTGATAATTTCCAAATATTTCAATTTGTTTGTCTTCTAACAAAACGACTCGAGTCAGGAGTATAAATTACATTAGGTACATTAGGACAAACATTTATTAACTTTCTCTTCTTATAATAATTTAGCGTTTTTTTTTTAATTAAAAAATGGTTTTAATTACAGCCAGGCCTGCTGATAGTTCTCTTTTACCATCCACAGAAGATTGTGGAATAGGAAGCACTGCTGATAGAATATACGGTGGAAATGCCACTGATCTGGACGAATTCCCCTGGATGGCTCTCATCGAATACGAAAGAGGTATGTATACAGGGTGTACCAAAAAAAAACTTTGAGAGAAAAAAAGTTACTCTTTAAATAATAATTGTTATGGCGACTAAATTAGTAGTAATCTTTTTCTACCACTTTGTACCTCAAAATCAGCGCAATTATTAGAATTTGTACAAAATAACATTTTCTTCTGTTTTCAGAACGCGGTCGCAGCGGATTTTACTGTGGAGGCGTTTTGATAAATAAACGATACATTTTGACTGCAGCTCATTGCGTGAAAGGGAAAGATTTGCCGAGATCCTGGAAACTGTAAGTGGAAAATTGCAAAAGTTCGAACACTTGTTTTGTATTAGCTTTGCGCAGACGCAGTACAGTTACGCACGGTTTTTGAGGGTTCCATTTTTTACAGTTCGAGCGTACGATTGGGAGAATACAACACGGAAACCGATTCCGACTGCGTATCATTGCAAAACGGCAAGCAAAGATGCGCTCCTCCACCTGTTAATGTGCTGGTCGAAGAGGCAATTGCACATGAGCAGTACAATCCGTACGATGTTAACCAGTACAATGATATTGCTCTTCTCAGGCTGGCTAGGGAAGTTAAATACACCGGTAAGTTATCTTTGATAAATTAGTTAAGTCTTAGTTTATTTTTGGTTCGAAATGTAATGGTAGGATTACAAAAATTACAAATATTTTTTTTAGGATTCGTTCGACCGATTTGTCTACCCAAAACCAGCTTAGACCAAAGCAGAGATTATACCGGCACCAAATTAACTGTATCCGGTTGGGGAAAAACCGAAAAAAGATCCGAAAGTAACATCAAATTAAAACTGGACGTGAGTAAAATTGCTCAAATTTCATTTACCTACTATACAGGGTGTCTCATAAGTTGATACTTTTTTTTTTTTTAACTGCGTATAGATCTTTTAATTCTAAGCAAACCAGATGCTCGGTTATTTTGAAGCAATTTTTTCTAATACTAGCTACCCTAACTTCCCTATTCTACCCTGCCCACTCTCTTTTAAGGGTTGAAGGGGAAACCGCATGGTTCCTGCTTTGCATGGTTATGCTAGGCGCTACTCTGGCTAAAACCTCCTCCGCATATCTTCGGCCACCAGCAGGCTCTCTTATCCTCTTCCTTGCCTTAATCTCTCATCCTCCCCTTACTTTTCATTATTCTGCCCACCATTGCTCTAACCACCTCCCAATTCTCTTCACTTTCCATCATGATTGCTATCAACGTACCATCGACCAGCCGCCTTACTCACCAGATATAGCCTCGTGCGATATTTTTATTTGTTTCCCAAATTCCATTTGTCACTTCGAGGATCCCGTTTCGACTCCCTAAATGCCATCACAGAAAATTCGCGGAAGGAGCTAAAAGCCGTACCAAAAAGGGATTTTAAAGGTGCTTGGATGATTAGAAAAGGCGTCTGACTATGTGTATCGCTTCAAAAGGAGCAAACATATTTTGAAGAACACTCAAGAAATATTAATGAAGGAATATTACGTTTTATTCCAAATTTCCGGGTACAAATTCTTTTGAAATAATTCTCTCTACTTTAACTCTTGGTTTTAGGTGCCTGTTAAAACGAATTCGGATTGCTCGAGAACCTACCGTCAGGCCGGCGTGACCGTTAATAATGGTCAGTTGTGCGCAGGTGGTGAAAAGGGCAAGGATTCTTGCAGAGGAGACAGCGGAGGACCCCTCATGAAATTGTCCCCCGATGCGGAGTATCAGCTGAATTGGTTCGTGATCGGTGTGGTATCGTTCGGGCCTTCACCTTGCGGTATGGAAGGCTGGCCTGGAGTCTACACGAAAGTAGCCAATTATGTACCTTGGATTGTGTCGAAGTTGAGGCCTTAATTTAAGGAATATAAATGTTATAAGTAAATGTTTGTAATGTGAGATTGATTTTAAAAAACTGAATACTTTTTTAGTGTATATAAACTCATGTTTAGTTCATCGAATATTTTAGTTTTTGTAATTTTGTATTTATTGTGTATCTTGAAATAACAGTAAAAGAAACAATTTTGTCAAATCAAGGAAATCAATACATTAACATCTCATTGCACTCAAAACGCACCAGAAATAAAAATTTGTATATAAGTTTTTACTTATTACTAAACTAAACTTTTAAATAATTGTGAAAATAATATGTAACCAAATTTACTAAAAAAAAATAACTGAACATGGTGTTCAGAAAGAGACCAAAAAAAAAGAAGACTTAATTGACAGTGACATTTTTGACACATATCCGATTTAATTTGTTTATATTTGTATTTTTCATCATGTTTTTGCAGATATGTAAGTTTTTTAAATAAAACAACATAATCACTGATTAACACATATTTTATACCCTATTTCAGTAAGTTTGCTGGGCACCGGCATTTTGTGGGGAACAACAAATCCGCTAATAAAGAAAAACTCCAAAGATATCCTGAAAGTAAAGGGTAATTCTAGAATAGCTCAATTCGCTTTAGAAATAAAATATCTAGCTACTAATTTGCAGGTAAGTATTTTAAATATATCTGATGTATTGGCTTTATGTAACAACTATTTTCAGTATTTATTTCCTATGTTAATCAATCAATTAGGATCGGTATTGTATTATTTAACCCTAACTAATGCCGATATAACATTGGCAGTGCCTGTAGCAAATTCCTTAGCATTCGTATTCACAGCGATATCCGGTTGGTTTATCGAGAAAGAATTTCCCAAAATAAGTAAGATTTTTTAATTTATGTTATTTTTAACTTTATTTATTAACCATTCTGTTTTTTTATATTTATTACTATACAGGGAGTTTTTTAATGATGTCATTAGCAAGTGCTAATACTGAAGCGGCTTTTTCTTGGACCCATTTTAAGAAAAAAACTTCATATGAACATACATGTCAAACATGTCAAAATTTATTATTACCTAATTTCTGCACAGGGAAGTTCTTATATGAAGTTAACATATGAAGTTCTCTTTTTCTTAAAAAGGCCCCAAAAATCACCCCCTTCAGTATTAGCATGTTATTAAAAAACACCCTGTACAGTGTGTACCTGGATGGACTTGAGGATGAGAGGAATGAAATCATAATTTTTAATGTTACGAAGAAAAGTTATTCCTTATAAAGAGGCTTGTTTGTTGAAAAAATTAAATTTGCTATGTTAAAATCTGGACTCTAATATGTACAAGGTTTTAATAAATGTGGAACATTAATATTAAATTGAACATGAAATTAAACCATGGAATTTCCTCAAATGTGAATTATCATTATTTATTATTTTACGTTATATTTTATAATACTGATAGACTAAATAAAATGGAAATACCCAAAAAAATAAATAAAATCAGTGACGTTAAATAAATTCTCTATCTTCGTTTCTTTTTGAAAATTGTATCTAATCTTTGTTTATGTTAAAAAGAAGTTTGTTATTAGAGAAAAATTACAAAAGTGTTACAAATTACAATTTCGTCCACTCCACCTAGGGACACACTGCATATTGAAAATATATAAGACATGGAAAGACATGGAAATACAAAAGAACTCATACAGAGCAGGGGCGTGTAGGGAAACCTAAAATATGTTGTTTAACTCTGCTTAAAACAGGCAACTTTTGAATTATCCATGAATTTATGTTCCATCAAAACGACAAAGAACTTTAATGAAAAAGAATAAAAAATGTTCTCAAATCAATTACCTATCAAATGATCTAATCATGATCAGGTAAAAAAATTCTGTAACATTTTAAGGGAACATCGGAATATCTTTTAAGTTTGAGTATTACTGAGATATTAATATTATTTTAAATTTGTAACTCCACTTAGAAGGCCTATAACTTCTCATGAATGTAACTTTGTATTAACTTAAGTTGGGTTGAACATCATATTTTGGGCTTCCCTTCGCGCCTCTCTTGTGTATCGGTTCTTATACGGGACACCCTGTATAACGGGTCAGTCGATATAATCATTATTGGTTTTAGGATCAATTTTGGGAGCAGTATTAGTTATATCAGGTACAGTACTTTGTTGTATAGGAAAATACGAGTACGAATAAAAAAGTCTGCGTTTTAATTAAACTATTTTATTTATACATTTAAACCGTTTGATAATATAAAATACATTTGATCTAATTGTAAGAATTGTCTACGAACTAGGAAAAGCTGCGTCGAGTTAGTTAAACATATATACAAAACAACTAAACGTACAATATTAAATAATAGTAAATAATTTGTAAAAATATGGCACTATCTTGTTATAACGTTTAAATTCGTCTAAAATATCACATTAATCTTATATGCTTTCATTTCATTGATGTGTCACTAAGAATGACTTGTTAATTATTAGATAATTCTTAATTCTAACGATCGTGATATTTTTTATTAATTATATACATTGAACAGGTACTTTTTTTCAATTTTAGAATAATCGAGCTGGTCGAATAATGTCTATTAATTATTGTTTTTTTTTATTTCTGGAATGGTTGTTATATTAATTTATTCGTAAATGCATTTGCAAGCGCTGCATAGGAGTGAAGTACCGCGTTTTAATTGAATAATGAATTATACACTGTGGGGTATAACAACAATACCTCCATAATTTTCTAATGTTAGGAAACATCTTTATTTCATTTTCTAAAAAAATAGTGTCATTTTTAAGTTATTTTTTTCTTGCGAGTTAAATAGGTTAGATGGTTCTGATAAGTTCAATTCGTACAAATTTGAAAAAAGTTTCCTAACATTCGAAAATAAAGGTGGCACTACAGTTATGCACCACATTGTAGGTATAAAAGTATATTGGATTCGTTTGATAAGTAGCATTTTTATTTTTTAATGACTAGTAACATCTCGACTACCATGAGCCTTGTAAACGCGGCGTTAAAAGTACATTTCCCCATTGAAATTTAGCGTATCCCCCAAAAACTACGTTTCTGCTTACTTAGTGACAAACTACTTACCTACTCGATACGACTAGTCGAGCGACCGACCTCCTTCCTCTCAGGGCTTCTGCAACTCCGACAACTTCTCGTCCTTGACGAATTTCGTGCTCAACAGCATTTGATTCTGGTTGGATAACTGGTCGATTCGCGTGCGCAACTCCTCGATCTCCGAGGCGAGCTTGTCGATCTGCTTTCCCTGCTTCACCGGGTCGAAATTTCCACCAGAAGGCGGCTTACTGCCGCTATTATCGCTCCCCGCCGTTGCGGTATCGTTACCGTTAACAACGTTCAAATGCTCGGTGATGTTGGAGTTGTCTTCGACGATGGTGGGATCGTTGTTGTGGATTTCGTAGCGCAATTCGGGGCTTCCCGAAGATAGGGGTTCGACGTTTTGCACTCGGGGGGTTTGGTTGTCGGTGTGCTGGGCTTCTTGCTCGTTTTGGTACTCTATCGGTGGGTTGTAGATGGGTTTCGATGTCTTGGAGTCGGGTACGTAGCCCAAAAAGGCGTTCGGTTTGGATGTCGTCGGTTGTTCGTTCAATGGAGGGCAATGGGACACGCCGTATATTCTAGTGTGGTTTGTTTCCATGATCGATGTTATGTCGGGTAAAGCGGCATCGCAAAGTATCGGGTTTTCTAAAAAATATTTAAAGTTAGTGCCGATGTCAATAAAGCTTTAAAGTATCGTTTAACAAATGGAAGACTTGAGCAAAAGTAGCCTTTAGGCATTGGGCGTTTCCTTTAGTTCCCCTTTAGTTCCCCTTTAGTTAGAATTTGCAAATAATTGTTAAGCTTTTAATTTTATATTTGTTAATAAGTTTAACGTATTTTAATAATTGGCAAAATATCCTATTGAAAAATGCAAAATTTTATTTTGCATATTCATTTTTAATATTTGGGGGAAATTAACATGTATGCACTTTTCATGCATTTTGCTCTACTCATTACCTTGAAGGTTTATTTTCAAAATGTCCCAAGTGCCTTCGTGTACTCCATGTTCTATAGTACATCGAGTTTTCGCCACCAAATCCCTTCCCAGAGCGACGATTTGATTATTGGACAAATCTGCGTAACACAAGACAGGCAAACCGTGGAAATCCTTATCTAATATCGTCAGCAAATTGTGGCTGGCCTTCAACTCCGACAATCTCGGTAGGTACGTCTGTAAATTGAACGTTATTACTCTAGAAATCGATTATTATGGAGGCAATATTACCTTGCTGGTCTCCTCTAAGGTGGTCAAGTAATTGTAGGATATGTCGAGCAATCGCAGCTCTTCCAAACCAATAAAGTCTTCGGGCGAGATTTTCCTCAACTTGTTGAAGCTCAGATTCAACCGAAGCAGCTCGGTGAGGCCGGATAGGGCTCCGTTTAGGGTCTGGAGATCGTTGTGGTCGAGCTTCAGCTCCGTCAGTTTGATGTTCCAATCGACCAAATTCTATATAAAAATATCGTTGGGAATAGGGGGGAATCGATTAATCGATCAGTACTTACAGGCGGCGGTCCCTTCAACGTGGAGATGCGATTGTAGGACAAATCGATGCTGCGCAACTCCTTCAAATCGACGATCTCCTCCAAGGAGAACTCCGTGAGGCGGTTGAACTTCAAATTCAGGAAGTTCAGATTGGTCAGTTTGGTCAGGGAATTGTTCAAACTAGTGAGCTCGTTGAAGGCCAGGAATAAGGACTTCAACGAAGAGGGAACGGCGAAATCTTCTTCGCTCAACTAAAAATGCAACAATCATTATTTAACGAATAGTTTTGATTAATTCCATTCGGTTACTTTTGCTAATTGATTGTGCTCCAACTCGGCTAATTGGAGATGCGTGGATTTGGACAGCGCCCCGTCCAGAGACCTCAGCTTGTTGTTGTGGAAGAAAATCGACTCTAAAGTCGGATAGTTCTTGAGTTGCTGCGGTAGTTTTTCCAGAAGATTATCCGAAGCGTGAATTAATCTGAAAATCGAGATTTAATCCCTTAGATACCAGAAGGATGCAATTGAAAAAGGAATAACTTAATTGGTGTACCTTTAGTGGTGATATATGGAGTTTTAACAGTTTAAAAAAGAATAAAATGAAGAAAAGAAGCTGTTTTTTTTGAATAATTTCCTACCAAAACGTTAAATATTATTGTATTTTGATCAAAAATGGACTAAACATGTCAAATAAAACAACAGAAAATGTAGAAAAGAACTTGAAAATTCTAAAAATTAATAGCACAAACTGAAGAAAAAAGTTCATTTTGTCTTGAAAATCAACTAAGTACTTTATTTAGTAGAACGGTAAATAATTAGTAGATCCCATTAGTAGATCCCAGAAAAAGTGCACTTTTCTTATTCTAGGGGCGTCCAGAAAGTAAGTGTTCCGTTTGGTAATTTAAAAAAAATCATGTACAGGGTGTTCATTTATACCCTGTTTCACCACCGACAAATAAATTTATACCTAATTATTCGTATAGTAATGATTTTGAAAAGGATCGAAAAAGAGAAAGAAGCAAAAATTACTTGAAAGAGGAGAAGGAAAATTTAATAATGATCCTTTTTTCTATAAAACAATTCGAGGTCATCTATAATGAAAATCTTCATCAGATGATGTTAAAGATGATGCTAAAAATCTAATAGATAAATAATTTTGAAATATAACTTAAAAAGTATCTGTTATCCTGTTATTTAACTGTCCAAATTTCGTTGGTTAATTAAAACGTCAATTTAATCTTCGAATAACGCTATTTGTTGTTGGTGAAACAAAATTGTCCATTTTTATTGGACAGTTATATTTATTCATCGAATAAGGTCTTATTTTTCGTTGGTGAAACCGGACATTAGAGTCACTAAAACTAATCCAAAAGATTAGCAACGAAGACTACAAAATTATAGTTAGAAAGTCTTTAGTTACTTTAATTTGGGCGCGAATTTGGGCAACTGGCTTTCGATGTCCTCCAATTCGTTTCCGTTAATAAACAACCACTTCAACTCCGTGAGGTTCTTCAACGTATTGTTCAATCGCTTGATGTGATTCCTGCCGATGTGGAGCCGCTGGATTTGCGGCGGTATCGACTTGGGATCCATCTCGGATATCTGATTGCCGGCCAACACCAAGCATTCGATGTCCTTTAAATTCTGCAAATCGTCACATTATCGCTTAGTAACGATTACTTTATGGAAACGCCCGCCTCTAACACCTGTCGATTGCGTTATTTGCTTAGGGACAGTAGCGTTGGGCTAGAGGTGGGCGTCGGTAAGAATAACGTAACAGTTACGGTTAGCGGTAAATTGTAAGGAGCTTACCGAGAAGCTGGTTTCCGATAGGGTTTTGATCTTGGTGCGGCCCAAGTCCAAGGTCTTCACGTTGGGCATCTGCTTCCACAGTTTCTCGGGCACCTCACGCAGATCGTTGTCGGCCAAACTGAAGTAGTTGACGCGCGTCAGGCTCCGGAAGGTTTCCGGATCTAAAAAACTGAAAAGGCGGTTACTTTTCCATATTAGTTTTCCGCGAATATCGTCTAATAAAATCAGTTCACAGCGCACCGGAACTCTACATCGAATTTTCATGAATTTTAATTCGGTAACGAAATTCCGCACCTACTCTACCAAAAATGTTTTTCGCAATGTGCACGAATAAGTGGGACTTTAAGATGCATTCGATGATACACATAAACTGTCAAGATTGACATTAATGGCATTTAATGTCAATAAGACATTAATGGTTAAGAACGTCCCAAAAAGGAAATATTAATTCGGTGTGGAATTCCGGCGCATTTCCGAGCTCGATCTCGCGAACGCGATGGAAATTCGGCCTCGTAAGCGAGGAATGCGGCGCAGTTTCGCGCACAGATAGATATAAATCGCGCTCATCAATTAAAGAAGAGTCGGATGACAAAACGGAAAAAAAGAGAAGAAGTAGCACCTATCGAGCGAACGGGCGCCACCGTCTCGGGCGCCACGCCAGTACGCCGCGCCGTGCCCGTTTGGAACGTTGACCCTTTGTTCGATTTACTCCTTCGGACTAATGTTAGAAAAATTCACGATCGTAATAAATCATTTATACGGGGCGTTCCGTAAATATTGGTCACCAATTCGGGGGATTCCCAGTCCTCGGGGTTTTGTTATCTAATTTTCGGTAACCCGTATCACCTATCACACTTTAAGGTGAGGCAGAAAATTGGCGAAATCACGTATTAGGTATATCAAATGATCTATTTCTACAATAAATACAGTTGAATTTATGACATTGTAGCATTTACAATGATTTGTATGTACAATTCAAACAGAGGAGGATTAGATTCAATTTTATTCATAAATAATTTGACAGTTCAAATTTACCTAAAAAGAAATTTTTTATGGTAGAGTCCTTGCAATTCACTGTAAATTCATAATCCAAAACCCTCTAAGTTCAGTGAATGGACTATACAGAATGGCCCATTTAAAACAGTCCACCTCTGCAACATTTTCATAGATTTTTTTGGGAAAACCCCGAGGTCGGTCGATTTTGATTTCAAAGGTGAATTCATATGATCTTAAATTCATGGATGGTTCATCCCCCTGAGCGGGGTGGCAACCTCTTCAAGAAAACTAAATGGCACTATATGGTGAAGTAGCACATTATTATTTTAAAGGTTCTTAAAGGTTCTTGAGTTTCTTTTCAAACATGCCGACAAAATTTTTGGCCTGTGTTAATTAATTTAAAACACCAGTTGGGAGTGTCGGTGAAATACATAAATCGAAGAAAAAAGTTTCTAAGCAAGTTTTAATTAATTAAATGTTGAAATTGCGACCCATTTACTTCCATGCAGTAATAAAGTCTTTGTTATTCAACGTGTTCCCGAACATTTTAGGCGTTATTTCTCCACGTGCTCGGACCGTTTGAAACGGGCCACCCTGTATAATCCAAAATCTATTTGCAGGTGTATTTTCGACTGGTATATCTTTATTTTACAAAGAGATTCTTTTGCAACATTGGTCGAGTTTTGGTCGATTTTTTTGTTGTTGTTAAGGACGATTGCAAAGGATGAGCCGTGAAAATTTCCGAGAGATTAATTCGTCCCGAGATAAGCCTAATTAATTTCAAAATGTGTGTACAATATCGTTCTAAACAAATCGTTGGCGCCCGTTTCGTTTATCGCCGAACGAAAGAAATAATAAAAATAGTCGAAACGCGATAATTGGATAGATATTAGTTCGAATTGACCCGTGTTCGGATAGGGCCAAATTCAAAGCGACAAATCGGATTTTACGGGTTTTATTAAACATTAATTTATTACCATCGTAAAATCCCCATTTATCAACTTCGTGTGTCATCAAAACTTATCGATAACGCCGTTATTAAACATGACTTTAATAGTTAAAAAAGCTATAAAATTCGAGGGGAAAACACTAATTAATCTGTATCATGATATAATGTAGTCTTACACTATTTCTACTAATAATTCGTGATAAAAGAGAGATGTAGTAAAAACTGCAAGGTCTTTTGAATTAAAAGATGCCAGATAAGTCATGTTCCGGGCGAAAATCTCGAAAATATCCGCGGATCTCGCGAAGTTCCTAAAGGTAAAACCTATCGAAGATTGATTGATTAAAATTGATATAACATGTATCGAATTGAATTTTTATCCGTGCTTACGTTTCGTCTTGGAACGACTATCGAACGACGATAATTAACCTTGATTACAAACGAATAATAAGGTTAAATAGGGTAAATTGACTACGGTTACTCGGAAAGGCCTATTTATCGACAGCGCGAAATTTATCGGTTATCAGGTAAAGAGTTTGCATTTAATGGAAAAACTGATTTTAATTTACGTTTTGAGTGGATGAAAAATTACGTGTAATAATGCGAAAATATTTTAATATACAGTTTATAAGACGCGCCATCATTTTGAAGCAATTTTTAATTTTTATTTTTATTATTGCAAAGATGTACTAAAAAAAATATTGTTACAAAACCACTGAATATACAGGGTGTTTATTAAGTACTTAAAAAAACTTTACACGACTAGAAGACGAGATGAAAAGTTTGACTTTGAGATGATGACTTTGAGATGAAAAGTTTATATATGAACAAGTGACCGGAAATATTTCGTTTCGGAGATACAGTGTTGTAGAAGTTTAAATTATATTTTCAATTACTTGGAATGGAAAACTTTTGTAAATACCAAAATTTGGTATTAATTTTTTTGTAGCATTTATTTGTTTTAATTTGCCCTAACTTTTTTGACAGCGAACTCTTTGGATTTTTCATAATTCAATCTTATTCCTACAATTTCAACTTCAACACCCTGTATATCTCCGAAACGAAATACGCACCACGTTCATATGAACTTTTCATCCCAAAATTAGTCATAGATTACCGTTTTTCGATTAATTTTAAGTTAAATTTACCTTTCAAAGTTCCTTTTCTAGTACCTACACCCCTCCAACTGTATCGACATTAATTTGAAAAATGATATCTTATTTTGTACAATAATATGTACATACAATTAATACATTTTAGTATATCTTCCAAAATACCTCTATATATATACGGGGTGTTCTATTTAAAAAAATGGTTAGGTACTGTGAATTAAAAAGAAGAGATTTTGATAAAACATACCCTGTATTGGTAATAATTTCAGTATCACTGTACCAAAACTTATAATAAAATAAAAACCACATGTTTTTATGATTAGGCTTTTAAAAATTAAAAGCTCATTAAAAGGGTTACTTTTCATTGGGACACCCTGTATTAATTTCGAGTATAAAACGCGCCTGAATTATGGTGGTAATTTCTCGATAAACGAAATATTCCCAATTCTTTATATCGATTATTATTTTGAATAGCTTCGAGTTTTCCATTTTCTAGTTCTACTCAAAGTTAAATCCTTTTTAAACATCCTATAAACTGAATAGGTAGATCGGATTTTTCATTTTAATTTTAACTTACTTTCTTTAATTCAACATAATTACTCTAACTCTAATTAATTGCTTTAATTCATTTCTTGAAATTAACTTTCTCAAAATTGGGTTTAATAAATTTAACAAACAAAAACGCCACGAACAAGTTATTTTGAATCAATTCATTACCTAAACAGGGTGATAACACTAATTTCTATTGAGAGAAAAAATAATTAAATGTAATTTTTTATGTTATATTCAATAACTTTTGAATAAACTGTAGATGTTAGATATTTAGAATATAAAATAAAACTTTCATTACATCGTATTAGGAAAACAAACTAATTGTATAACAATTTATGTACTTTACGCTAAATATTCGGAACTACCAATGCGCTTTTAAATTTATCTTCTCAGTAATTTCAATTAGGGGGGATATCGTAGAGACCCAAATAGCGTTTTTATTATTTCATTAGATCACCTTCGTTTCTCTGGGTTTTAAATGAAAAAATAATGGCAAAAACGGACGGTTTATTTGCGCTCACGTGCCCGTTACTATCGAGAACGGCGCCTGTGGGTCGGTCTCTCCTCGCTCTGTACACACGCGCATTTCGTTAAGATGGCGTTAACGCGATTAATTTCTAGTCGCTAATTGGCGAGATTAATTCCATTCGATTCATATAAACAATTTGGTAATTTAATGTCCGATACGGATGTAATCTTCCTTTGCTCCGTTGCTCTCGGCGCTCCGGCCGCCGCATTCCTTCTATTCCCTCTCGCGACTCGATCTATTATTTCATTGGTAATTTTCGAGGGACACCCTGTAGAGGATAAATAAAAATGACGGAGATTTTTTTAAGATGTTGACGATACATTATCTAAACGTAATTGGTTTGTAATTGGTACACCCTAGATAAGATAAAAGGATAATTACTACTCGACAGGGGCCGTTAATCTAAAACAATCGTTTACCCTATATACCAGTATCGTTTACAAAAAATTTAAATCTCTTAAAAATAATTATTTATTAATCTATAATTCATTAAATTAAGAGTTTACTGGAGTAGTTTAATCTGTGGCTTGAAATTAGTTCTCAAAGAATGAAGAATCTTCATCATGTATATAATATCTATAGAAATATTCACTCATTTTTCTAAAATTCAGTAAACAAACTAAGAATCATATATACCTCTCAAAAAGAGTCATTCGTCTATATTAATCTAATCATTGATGCGAGGGATAGATTTAATTATAGGTTCATTTACTTCCCTAAATGTCATTTATGTATGCTAGAGAATAATTTATTTTCAACTAAGAAAAGCATAATTCCTGGGTAAATAATACAGGCTGATAGATACAGCTGTAGAAAATAAGACGTGAATATTATTTAATCTTTTCATTCGGAAAGGAGTCATTCGTTTATGTTAATTATTAAACTATTTAAATATCACATACCTATGTACCTTTCTAAGTAAAAGTATAATAGAAATAAATAAAAGTTATTTCTTTATAAATCTTACTATGTATTTATCCACTCAAGGGACGAATTTTATGTATCTAATGTATCCAACGTTCCCAGTTCCCAAAGAGTCAATTAACTATATTTTTTACTAATAAAATTATTTCTGGAAGAAAGAAGCACACATGTATACAATACAAACCAATAGAAACTGCATTTGGAAAATAAAGAAAGTGGTTATCTAAACTAAAGAGTCAATGGTGTATCTAAAACTCATTAAACATTCTAAGAGTCAATACACCTTTTTAAAAAAGTCATTTGCATCCACATATCTAATGATTCATGCACTCAACAGGGATAATTATTTAACCAAAGAGTGAATGTCACTTCCTTAAGAGCCATTTTATATCCTAGAGCCCCAAAGAGTCAATTATAATTTGACCAATAAAATAAAATTTCCAAAAAAGAAACATTATTCGAATAATTTCTACGTATATACCTAAAATATCTACAGACCGATATAAAAATTGCATTGGAAAATAAAGAAAGTCGTTGTTTAATCTAGTAAGAAAAGAGTCAATCGTTTATCTTCAGCTCATTAAACTTTCTAAGAGTCAATACGCCTTACTAAAAAATGTTGCCCCACAATTCAAATCACTTATGCAATCAACAGTGATAATTATTTACCCAAAGAGTCAAGGGAGTCAATTACATTGAAGTAATAAAATTATATCTTCATCAACAAGGAAACATCTTTCGAAAATAAAGAAAGTAGTTATTTAATCTCTTTAAAAAAATCAATCGTTTATCTAAAACTCATTAAACTATCTAAAAGTCATTTGCCTCCCTAGTTTGATCAGATTTATGCTCTGAAATAAAATGAATTTGGATTCAAGTTATTAACTCCTTAATTTACCTAAAAATTTATCTAAAAATTCTCAGATAGCCAATGAAAAAAAACCCCATCATTTGCACAACCTAGACAAATAGAAATATCTGTCTCCAGCTACCCCCGCTATTTATCCGCATCCAAAATTCCCCAAAACTCACCCTATAACGTCGTGGTTCAGCTTCAAATTGACGATGGTCATGTTGAACTCGTCGAAGCTGCGCTTGTAGAGATCGCCCAACGTGGAGTAGGCCAGCCGCAGGGAGACGCGGTCCTCCGGGTTGAAGTGGCCGCGCAGCTTCTCCACCACGTGCTCGAAGGAGGTCATCTTGTCGCAGGTGATGGTGGTCACCTTGTCGACGTAGTCAGTCTTGCAGGTGCACGGCACGATTTGCCTCCACATGGGGCAATGCTGCGTGCTGGTGCAGTGCAGCATGGCGAGCATCGCCAGCGAGGACATGCCCAAACGGTACAGGAGCATTGTTCCCTCGGCGGTTTACATTTAATTCAACGCAGGGCTGTCGGGGGGAAAAGAGAAAATTATTGGATTATGATGGTCTCTTAGCGGTTCGTAATGTTGAAAATGAAAAGATTAATTAATATTATTATTTATTAAGCGAGGATATTTCCCAAACGGTACAGGAGCATTGTTCCCTTGGCGGTTTACATTTAATTTACTGGTGTAGGGCTGTCGGGGGGAAAAGAGATTTTGATTGTCTGGTATTTAATGTTGAAAATAAAAAGATTATACAGGGTGAATGTTGGGCTCATTTTAAGAAAGAAACTATAAAGGTTCTGATTGAAATTTTCATATATGTAAATGAACATATGATCTAAACCTAAAATTTAATATCTTTTAATTTTAACATAGCGGCTAATGTAGCGGCAGTGTACAAATGAATGCTTTTATTTTTTTAATGAAAATTTTTACGGAAAAAAGTCAAAGAAATCGGTCAAATGTGTTCTAAATTGAATTAGGATTCCGAAAACAAATTTATTTCAATATTAGGCGATGGCGTACATTTTTTTCTCCAAAAATATTCAATACAAAACCCGTACGGACGCCACTACTAAAAATAATAAAATTACTTGTACATCAGAAAATGCATCTTGATTCATAGATGACGTGTGCCAAATTTCATACAGAAATCTACAACAGTAGGTATCACAGTTATTAAAAAAAAATGATTTTTTTCTTAAAACTTTAACACCTTGCATCTCAAAAGTTAAGACGTTTAGGATATAGGTTCATTGATGTTTTTTCCTTAAAATGGGTCCAACAATCACCCTCTTAAATATTAGCATGTCAATTTGGAACACCCTGTATATAATTATTATTTTTATTTATTGAGCGAGGTTATGCCCAAATAGTACAGGAGTATTGTTCCGTTGGCGGTTTACATTTTATTCAATGGTGGAGGGCTGTCGAGGAGAAAAGAGAAAATTATTGGATTATGATTGTCTGTTAAAGCGGTTATTATATTGTTGAAAATAAAAAGATTATTTATTATTATTATTTATTACGCGAGGATATGGCCAAATTGTGCAGTAGCATTGTTCACTTGGCGGTTTACATTTAATTCAATAATGGTGGAGGACTGTCGAAGGGAAAAGAGAAGTTTATTGGATTATGATGTTCTGGATTATAGTGGTTCTTAATTTTAAAAATATAGGGATTATTTGGTCCATTTTTGTTTGATTTTTCGTGAATTTACAAGAGTCTTTTTGATGAATTTTTTTCTGAATTACTTGATAAATTAAACAACAAATAATTAAAATTAACTCGATTGATTTTTTATAAATCTTTGGGCTTTATAAATATATTTTATAAATATTACGACAATAAAACGAAAAATAAACTGAATTAAATCGAAAATATTATCCAAAAAAATACAATCCCCCCAAACTAAAATCAAATAAAAAAAATTGCACCTACCTGAGTAAAAATTGCGGAAACACACAACAACAAAAAACGAAAATAATACAAAAAAAAACCAAAACTGATGCCAATGCGGGGGGTAAATGAGCAGTAATAGAAACGCGAATTTCTCGCCAGCAGGAGGGTTTATTTTCTCGATATTCCAAATCGAATCGAATCGAAAGTAAATCGACTAATGATGTTAGATACCGGACGGTCACTAACTAACTAACAAGTCGATTTGATACTAAAATTTTCTTTAGCTTGAGCGTTGGGATTGGATTCCAGCGATACGAGTGCGAGAGAGCGCCGCCTTTCGAAATCATCACACCGTGTGCTCGGTGTCTCATCGATATACAGGGTGTCTCCGAGCTTTGATTATCACGTGATCTGGTCATGCGGAAATTCATTGGTATTATTTCGACTAGTTACGATCCACACCGTATGAATTATGAATGGATTTGCGTGTGTGATAGCAAAGCTGATTGAAATGATGGTGAAATGGATACAAAAATTCCAACTGTCATTTTTATCGATAAAATGACAGGTGTTGACAGGTCGGTACAGTAGATTACAATGTTATCTATTATACTTGAAATTTCACGGAATAAATTAAAAATTCTATTTCAGTTTACAAAAAAGTACTCGTAAAATTGAAGTATAACACTCTAAAAGTTGTTTGTGTTTGAAGGTGGTTTTTATTTTGACATGGAAAATTCAATCTATCATTTTTTATCAATATTCAAGGTAGTATATAACAGGTCAGGAAACTCTGTGCAGCGGGTGTTGCGCATGATATTACTCTCGACATGGGGCGCTAGTATCTGGCAGTGTTTAATCGTAAGCACATAACGCTACATTTCTTTCATTCCGCCATTTTACCTTCCAAATTTTATTCCTATTTAATTTACAATTTTATTCTAATAACAATGCCAATATTCGTGCATCGAATCGATGCACATGGTACAAGAAATTTAAAATTAACCCTACCCGACACTAGCATTTCAAGCGGATTCCTCATGAACCCTCGAACCAAAGACACAATAAGCGCAAACACTCCCACTACCACAAAATACTCCGAGTTTCCAGACCTGCACGTAAGACCGTGTCAATATTAGAACAAAATGACAGATACTAACAGATTGACAGCTGGTCGATAATACAGATTACCGACTAATGTTACCGATTTCACAAAAAATAGAAAAAATAACGTTATGTTCTAAAAATTACAATTGTGATATTGCTCTTTTTAACTAAAACAGTTCCACAAAAAATAAAAATACAGGTGAGTTTCGTGTAAATATCCTACAGCATTATTTTAATTAAGTAAAAACTTGGGACACTCTGTACAGTATGCATTGTACTATACAGGTAGATGCAAAATTGTTTGCAATATAGGCTATGGGTCAATGGGTGCAATAAAGACAACTTTCTTAGTCTCATATAAAGGAAAAAGAAAAAGTACCTAATATTGCAACTTTCCCACTCTAACTACTGTTATTTTAATAATCTTTCTTTGTTCTACTCATTGAATTGACCATATTGCAAACAAACCTGCAGTTCCCCATATGCATCAGTATTTATAATAATTTCTGTGAAGTACAAAAACATGGTTGCTTATACAGTGTGAACCATATGTAATAAATAAATTAATTTTCTCTGTTAATATTTTTACAATTATGAAACCCTGAAACAGGTCAATTTTTGTTTTTTAAATTGAATTTAGTAACATCTAATTTTCACCCCTAACTGCAACCCCCTCAGTATAAGACTTACCACCCCTAAATTTTCAAATTAGAAGGGTAGGCTTTTATTTTTGATAACAGAAATAATAAAAACGGCCCTCCCGAATGAAAATTGAAATTGCCTTTCAAATGAGGTATCTCAAGCCTACACCCTTCAAATCTTTGAATAAATTTCACAAACCGAGGTAAATTGAAATACTCAGTAGGTACTAGTTTTCAAACATCAGTTTAAAAATGACAAATTTTACTCTTAAAATCAATAGTACCCTATTCTAGGTATATTTAGAGCTTGAGTAGACTTTTAAAACTCGAATATGAAGCTTTCCTTTCCGTAACCATTACATAACGATTAATATTATTTATATTATAATAGTAGGTGTGTTTTTATGTAGGCCGCAACAGTTTTATTTCGGTTTGATAATTTCTCAATATTTTTCTACAAACTCGATAATTTCCTATACGACTGCTTTTATAGAAACGCACATTTATCGCCCACATTTTCGCGAACAAAATAAACGAAAATAACGCGTAGAGTGTTGTTCAACTGAAATTTATTGCAAAATAAATGTACCACGGGAAAGAAAAACGTGGAGTTTTGCCATTCATCACGCCTTCACCTTAGGTATACCAGATAACGGTTTTTTTAGTTACGTTATTTGCAGATAACTCTACACTCTAAAATCGATTCCCATCTCTATTAAATGGATGTCAACCAAAACGTCAAGAAATTGACAATTTTGATATTTCAATTATTTATGTAGTTATGTATCACCGTACGCAACTTAAAATCCTACAATAATACTACATTTTTTGAAAAATAGATGATTCCATATTAAATTGATTAGAATGAAGAATTTACATTGAAGTAAAAGGTAGAAACTAAAGGTAAGGCTTCGCGAAGGAATCGCTTCCGATAAATAAAGTAAATGTTACAGATACTAGCGATTTCGTCAAACTAGTCGAAACGAGTCTAATTGGTCCTATATACACAGTTCTAAATAACTCTGGAGCGTTCTAGATTGATCTATAGCCAGTTCTAAATGATTCTAAACAATTCTAGATGATTCTGGAGAGTTCTAAATGGTTCTATACTGCTTAAATGTTTCTGGAGCATTTCTTATTGTTCTATAGACAGTTCTAAATGATTAGAGCGTTCTAAATCGTTTTAGACAGTTCTATATGATTATGGAGCCTTCTAAATGGTTTTACAAAATTCTAAACGACTCTGGAGCGTTCTAAATGATCTAGAGAGTTCTAAGTTATTCTAGACCGTTCTAAATGGTTCTGGAGCGTTCTAAATGGTTCTAGACAGTTCTAACGTAAACGCACTCTGTCGGGCGTCGGCCATAACAAACTGGGAAAACGCAGCCAAAATTCACAAAAAAATTACATTGCAAGTTGTGTGGTGGCTGAGTAACTACTGAAAGATTATGAACAGTAGCTATAAACCTAGATTCCATTTTTACAAGCAAATCTGTTTCTTTTTAAGCAAATGCTTCTTTTTATAAATACGGAATACATAAAACCTTTTGCTTTAAAGCGACAGCAGGGTCCTAGAAGAAAAACCCCTCTTCCTTTTCTTCTTTTTATGCCTACAGTTTCAAAAATTCTGGAAATTTATGAATTGATATTTTTTATCAATTAAATTCGCGAATTTTTCGATCCTCAAAAACAACCTAACACCTTATCGTTATTAGAGTAATAAACAGTTGTTTTGCAACTAGTTTGACGTGACGGCAAGCGGATCTTACATATGTATGTAAATAGTCGTTTGTTTGCAATTATCATCGCGAAAATTCGCTTGTTTATTCTCGAATCCCATCATATCTTTTACCCGGACGCGCGTCAGGCGAAATGAATAAGAGAGCAAAAGCGCGTCAGCGGATCGTCCTTAACCCCATCCATTAACGAAATAAATCTCGTCTAATTGTGATTTAGAATGTGGAATATCTCTCGGCATTCGTGGGATTCCTCCGGGCGGAGCGCCGGCCAGTGTTTTCTCGAATATTTTGGCATCGAGCGCTCGCGTAAATCACGCGGGCGCTCGACTAAAGGCGGACGCCGGTATGCCAAGTATTTTATGAATAATCGCGTACGGGTATTTTTTCATTCAGCTAAATCGCGATTTTAACGCGAATTTCGATCGGATTTTCGGCAAACTACAGCTAAGAGCTAAGAATAGAGACGCGCACCCCCTCACGAATTTTTCTCGCGCCGTTTAAATTATTATTTTGCGCACGATTTTGCTAAATGTAGGAATTCATTTCTAGGTATTTCGAATGTGCATGTTCATCTCGAGGAGCACTTTGTTATTTACGAGTTATCTCGGAGCTTCATTGGGATTTTATTTGCAATATTACGTAGGAATTTAATGTAAACTCGCTGTACTTACTGAATTCGAAGTGATTAGAGGATTATTTTTATTTTTATACGCACCATTGAGCGAGTGTTAAACGAAAATATTTTCGCTAAATTGATTGATAGTAGGTGAATTTATGAATGATATTTTATCGGCTACATGTTTCGGATATTTTTCAATAATAGTTCCAATAGGAGTAGCTGCTTGAATGGTTACGTACATTTTATAATTTTATATTAATACTACAGGGTAATGCGAAATAGACTGTTTTTACAATCCATCACTACCAATTCATCACATTCATCACACGTCCTTAAAAAAAATGTAAAATAAAACGGACTTTAGCTTGCTTCTACACTCTATCTCAACCATGTGTAAATAAATGTGTGATGAAATAGTTATTGAAATTAAAATGTTTAAGAAAGAATCCAAAAAACGAATAAAAAATAATTTCTACCGTCATCGGAACACGACCATAAGGTAATTTTGTCCTCAAAAGTTTTGTTTTATTTTTCATTTTTTTAAGTAAGTGTGATGAATTATTTTCGTCGTGATGAATCGTCGATGTGATGAAACGTCGCCGAGATAAAATCTCCGTGATGGAATGTCGCGTGATGAATAGTCGTGTGATGGAACGTCGGGATACTAACAATAGCGCCACGGAAATTTTTATACAGTGAGAGTGTAAAGGTTAGAACAAATTCGTTAAATGCTTGATTTGTCCTTTGGGGAAAAAAGCTCGGACACCTCGATTTTTATGTTAAAAAGAAGGTCAGAAAAGGTTGTAAGTGTTTATACAGGATGTTCCAAAAAAAGAGATGACTAAAACTTACATTTTTTTAAATGGAATGCTCTATTTATTATTTCAATTTTAGTTTGTACGATGAAAATAAAAGTAATTTTTGCACATTTTAGGAAGGATTTATCAAAGTATACAGAAAGCGAAATAAATGCAATTCACATATTCATATACTATATTTTATTAAACACAAATTCCGGTTAGCAAACAAAACCTACAGCTACATATTATACTCAGATCAGTCACAGTCTAATAATATAAATTAAACCAACGGTACTTTCAAAATTTAACGATAACACGAGAGTATATCATATAATATATCATTTATCACAAAAATAGATTTCTAGATTTTGAAAAACACGTTGTTTTTGTAGAGCCAAATCGATATCGACACCCACAAGAACGTGCCCCAAAGGTTCATAAACAAGTAGGTGCCGTGCGTTTGCACGGTGGGTACCCAACCGAATGGAAATGTCTTCTTGAACAATTCGTGACCCACGTACAACAGAATGGAATTCATGCCGGGATAGAAGAGCGGTCGACCGCCCCATTTTTTCGTAATATCCACAAACACGTACAAGAAAGCTTCGATAATAAAGGCCATGCCGCTGGTAACTAGAGCAAACGAAAGCGACCACAGCTTTTTGTTGATTGGTATTGGTCCGTCGTTTTTAGAGAAACCGCACAATGATGTACCAATAAGGCCCTAAAAAAATATTTCAATTTTAGCTAGTTCACTGAACATTGTAGCATTTTTACCATTTCAAAGACTAACGGCCAATTTCATAATGAAACATAAAGGATATTTTAAGGATCCTTTAATAGATGTAATCGATTTCATAATCAAGTTAAAGTTTGTACCGCCAAGTTACTAATTCTGCGTTTTGTGAGATGATTAATTTTGAAACTTTCGAGTTCAGGCTTGTCTGATGAACAAGAATATTAAAGACCAAAAGTCTATGGGAAAAGAAGGGACTGTTTTCAAAAATACGACGAGCAGACTCTTACCAAAGTTTTCGTCTGAAAAAAGAAACAGTTTTGCCAACATATAATCACCAACAATCATAAATTTAAGCTATACTTATAAATAAAGCTAAACGTCTTTTATATTTTTTTTTGAAATATACCGATTTTAGTTCATCTATACCGCTTTTCAGGGTAGCCAAACTTTAAAATATTTTTAAAGCAACCTTTTCCTAAAGGTTCCTTTTACCCACATTATTCAGGTCCGTATTCAGCGCCTCTGTTTAAGGCCGCCAAAGCACGCCCTCAAATTCAGAATTCGTGGGGTAATACAGAACTATTTTTGGTTAAAATTTTCCACAATAGATGGAATGAGATTTGTTTAACTCACTAGTAGATGTTCCGTGTTTGATTGCATTTGACATAAAATCAAACGTTCAAGAAAGTAAAATGAGAAATCCTTTTCAAAATATTTTAAATTCAATTCTTTTTCCCTGCAATTTGAAAAGATAAAAGTAGGGCTTTTAAAAATATTCATTAAAGTGCTCTAAAAGCATTCCGGTGCACTGGAAATACCATATTTCATATTGCCTGCCCTTGGATAATTGCAAATTATCCAAAAATATCTGAAAAACGGAAACTCCTGGCACCGGTGTCGCTAGTCAAATTTACAAAATTGTTCGGTGATTTGACATTTATGTCAGGCGACACCATAATTTACAGGAATCTATCATCATTTGCTTAAATAATTTAATTAGTTTTTTTCAATTTAATACAGCCTGTGAATCAATATAAACTAGGAGACATCGTTCTGTAATAAGTATTCTTCATCCTACTTAAATTTATTCACACATCCGTTCGAGGAAACTCGAGTCTTACTAGAATTACGTTTTGCCATTTAAATAGCATTGCAAATAAATGGTATTTTTTTTATTGCAATTTGCTTAAATATATAATGAAGTAGGAGAGATTAAAAATAAGAGATTTGATTGCTTGGAGTCTCTATATTATCTAAATTATTATCTAAATCTAACTGGAATTACTGAACCTATGTTTTCCCATTTAAAAATACCCTTAACTTTAGAGTGACTCGAAAGTCGCGTCTGTCTCGAGTCCCTAGTTATTCCATAACAACAATGTAAATCTGTCAAGTTAAAGACGCGATTTTATTTTATTTTATATATATTTTTTTTATATTTATCTTTTTTTAACTCTAAAGTTAAACAGAGGCGCTGAATACCGGCCTTTGACATTAGGAATAAGATTAAGGGCACTTTAGCTTTTAAGCTAATGGAGGCTTTTTATCCTCTTTTTGTTAAAGGATACTTTAACGTATTATTATGAAATCGGCCGTAATTAGAACATTGAGAATTTCTTAATACTTACAATAACGACACCCCAAATAATCCATCTGACAACTTTAGCTCTGACGCTTTGATAAGTGTTCAAAGTCCTGCCGGCTTGGGCGCCGAAATAAGCGCTGAGAATCGCAGTCAACGTACCCAAAACGCCTAAAAAAAATCAATCGTGAAAATCTCGTATAAACTACAATAATTTCCACCCATGACCCACCTTCCGGATCCACTCTAACAGTGATTTCGTAGACTTTCGCCAAAGCGTGATCTTTGTACATGTGCGCGTTGAAAATCGCCCTATCGATGAAACCGGCCGCACCGCCTGTGCAGTTGTAGAACAATCCGTTCTCCTCCAAACCTCCGGGGCCCAAATAGCCCGTACCGCATCCGGGTACGTTGATTAGGAACGTCAAACTGGCGTGAATTATAATTAAACTGTATACAATCAGCCATTGAGGCCAAGCTACTGCCACGTCGTGTATCCAAGACGCCATCTAAAACCAGGTATTATTATGAGATATACACCTTGCTCCATTTCCGATTGCAACATGGTCATTTCTATGAGTGGAACAAAGAAAGGTTATTAAAATGACAGTTATCAGAGTGAAAAGTTGTAATGACACAATGTCACTCTTTCTTCTTCCTTTGTAAGTGTCTAATATGGAAGTTTATGTCTTTATGACCCTTCCCATGGCCTATATAACCTATGTTTCGATCAAAAATGGAGCAACCTGTATAAAGAGATATACAAAGATTTGTAAAGGTTCTTTAAAAGTTCTTTAATCTTTAAATAGCACATACATATTTTTTTACTGAATTAAATAACAGATCACTGTCAATTTGGGTCTACTGAACTCGACATACATTATATTATTGTTGTAATAACATTTTGAAGTTATAATAAATTTTAGTTCCATCAACGAAGAAAAACAATGTAATAGTTTCATTAGGAAATTGAATCAGTATTTGTAGAAAAATATGAGGAAGTACCGTTTTTCAAACCAGATCAGGAAATTCAAAAACTCGAACCTATATGATCCTGGAGGATTCTAAATGTCCAGTTCTAAATCATTCTGGACACTGCTAATTCAATCAAACAGTTCTAAATCATTCAAGACTGTTCTAAATGGTTCTCGACAGACAATTCTGATTCATCCTGAAGCATTCTAAATGATTCCGAACAATTCTAATTTGTTCAAAAGCGATCTAAATCATTAGTCACTTCTAAACCATTCTGGACAATTCCTAAATCATTCCGTACAGGTCTGAACAGCTCTAAACCATTCTAGACTGTTCTAAGTCATTCACAATTAAGACAATTAAGATTCGTCCTAAACTATTGTAAGGAATCTGGACAGTTCTAATTTTTTCAAATCATCTAAACAGTTCTAAATCAATCTAGACATTTCTAAATGGTTCTCGACAATTCTGATTCGTCTTGAATTAATCTAAATGATTCTGGACAGTTCTAAAACATTCTAGGCAGTTCTAAAGGGTTCTTAACAATTCTGATTCACCCTAAAACAATCCGTATGATTCTGGAGAGTTATGATATTGAGCTATATTGTAGCGGTATTGTAACTTTTTCCATACTAACCACTGTTATTGTAATAATTTTTGTTTAACTTATAGAAATTGCAATATTATGGAAATATGCTTGTATCTGTATAGTAATTGAAAATACGTATTACTTTTGTTAAAAAAATTGTGTCACTCAGAGTAATTTACACATACCTCAACTTCGGTTCTTCTGGTAAACACAACTTCGAGTATTCCAACTACCAAATAAACTATGCCGATTCTTTGGAGAACGCCGGGTATTCTTAAATCTGCGATCGTAGACAAATTCGCATTGGAATTTATGACTATTCCTAACAACATCAGTATGAAGGAGCGTCTGATCACTTGAAATATCATCAATCGCTTTGGTACCAACGTTCGAATTTTCCTTTGAAGGGACACTGACAGGGAAAAGCCCATCAACCAGACGAACCTGAATAGATAATAAAATTTAATACATAATTCATCAATGGTCTTTCCAGGATTACTGTTGTATTTACTGTCATTTAAAAGAATACACTAATCCTTACCAAGGAAACACCAGATCAGCTATGGTTAACCCGTTCCATACAGAGTGCTTGAAAAACCAATACTGTCCGCCTCCATAATTAACGAATATCATCACTGCAATGCACAAACCTCTAAAGGTATCAATGGATTTCAATCGATCGGAATGCTTGGCTAGAGCAGTTGGCGATCTTTCATAAACAAGAGGAGTTCCAGACGATGATCCAATCAAATCCTAATTGTAAATAAAAAAAAAATTTAAGTAGTCTAATACAGGCAGTCTCAAAATTGACGCCCGTCCTTTCGCATTATGAATAAGTACACCAAAATAAATGTAAAGGAAAGAACAAAAATTTTGCGTTTTGACTTTGGTTTCCGAGTAATTGATAAAACAATACCTAATACCAAAGAAATACCTATACATTTATTACATAACTAATTAAAAATTTTCAAAATAATCATAGCAACCTATGCCAATCATTCGTTTTAAGCTTACTTAATTTTTAACGTTTTCTGATTGAATTTTAGAAGTTTGTTTTTATCAATAACTCCGAAACCAAAGACAAAACGCAAAATTTTTATTCTTTCATTTACGCTTATTTTGATCTCCTTGTTCATAAACCGAAAGAATGGGCGTCAATTTTGAGACACCCTGTATAGTGAAGGTGCTTTTTGTCAAATGAATAAATATACCAAACCTACTTCTTCTAATTCAGAGCTTAGAGCGAGTAACTGACGGAGTCTACCGCTGTTTTTGTATATGCATTTAACCATATACCAGATTGTCCCGAATGAGAAAAGCACAACGAACGCCATGAGAATTGCTGGAATAATAGATTAAATTAAATCTATACGAGCGAACGTGTGCATAATCTTACGCAAATAGGCGTCATCCGCAGGTTCTTTAATGTAAATCGGAGGGCACTTTTCAGAGACATTGAATCCATATCGATAATGCTCGTAGAGAAGTTGTTGGTAACTGAAATGCAAATGTTAATAAAAACTTGCATTATGTGATATTATTGTTGCTTACTGGCACTTAGTATTGCTTACGGAATATTCTATCTGCATCGGTGAGCTGGTTTTGACGACAACCGAAGTGGTGGCGTTCGGCTTGAGAGTCGTTAAATTTTGAAAATTGCATTTGTAGCATTCATCGTACTGATAAACTAAAGTAATGGTTTCCTTGTAAATGTTGAAAATATCCAAACAAGCCTCATCGTAAGTCAAATTTGGTTGTTGATCTAGACACTTATTCAAATTGTCGAACAGCATCTTTAGAGGATCGAATTCGAATGAATTTACGCTAAATGACTCACTTCCACAAGAGATAATTTTTATCAGATTATCCTTTGTAATATTATTTATTTATACATTCACGAAAAACATTCGTCACTACTTTGACAATAAAATATTTTTAATTATCTGGCATCTGTCAATAATGTCGATAAACAATTCTTCTTTTCAGCTATAATGGCCGTGTATAACGTAATTATTCAGCATACTTTTCCTATTGTAAATCGGGCGTATAATGCGAATGTCAAATGTCAACAAAATGTCAAAACATTAATATAGGTTAAAAACAATAAAAGATTTTAAACATTTAAAAGGAAAATCGCAAATTCTACCGAAAATTGAATTTAACATGGTCACTTATTGCACATTGTGCTACCGAAAAGATGAAGACATTCAAATGAACCCGTTCTTTAAACCGTTCTTCGAAGGACAGAGTTTATTACAGATATTAAATTCAGTATCTTCTCTAAAGGTATTGTCTAACTTTTACCGAGTGCAGTTGTTATATTTCCATGATTTTTCAGATAGAAGAAACTGATTCTACTTCAAGTAACATTTGTCAAGACTGCACTCACGTTATCATAAACTTCCAGCGTTTAATCAAAACCTACAAAGACAGAGAATCCAGCCATAATTCCGTTATAAATATCAACAAAAAGGAAGACGAATTTTTCTTAGACGAACAAGATTACGATAATTACGTAGAATGTCAAGCAGAGTCGTTCGATGAATTGGACGAATCAGCTGGTATTCCCGTTAAACTCGTATCCCAATGGAAAGAAGAATACTCAGAAGCACCTTCGGACATCAAAATAAAACCAAACAAAGTGTACGACGAGTTCGGTAACGAGGAAATAATCTCGCGTAAATACACTTGCGATGAATGCGGGGATTCCTTTCTGTACAAAGTCGGGTTCAGTTCCCACATGGTCCAAAAACACAGCACTTACATAGACAACCAAGATTACGAACAATACAGTACGGAAATCACAGTGAAAATACCACCGGCTTCGATCGAGACAAAGTTTTCCAGAAAACAACTACCTAAGAGGGCTAGTGCAACAAACAAAACGTTATCCTGCCATATATGTAAAAAGGAATTAGTCTCAATCGACGAGCTCAAGGAGCACCAGAAAAGCCACAAAACCCACGTGTGTGAACATTGCGGTGCGGCTTTCACGAAAAACTCCTACCTCAGAGACCACTTGTTAGTGCACACTTCAGTGAAAAGGTACTCTTGCAACGTTTGCGGTAAAAAATTCAAATACAGAAACGGCCTCGCCGTGCACCGGAACATCCACGTGAATTTCCGCGGGTTCATGTGCGACACCTGCGGACAGGGCTTCAATGCTAAGAGCACCTTAAAGACCCACATGAAGTTGAAACACAGCGACGAAAGGAACTGGCTGTGTCCGGAGTGTCCTCTTACCTTTAAGGTGAAGTCCTGGTTAGACAAGCATTATTCGAGGAAGCACACTTTAAATAGGACTAAAGATTTCGTGTGCAGCATGTGCGGTATCGCTTATTTGAATAAAACTACTCTAACTAGGCATATATCGGAGAAACATACGGGAACGCCGGTCAGACATTTTTGTACGGTGTGTGAGAAGAGTTATAGCATGAAAACCAAATTGAACATTCACATGCAAAAAAAGCACAATATTATTCTTAACAACAGTTCTTCGCAGTTGTTGTTATAACGCTTTTGTTCTGTGTTAAATTGGCATTTATTTTTATTAGACTAGACACGTTTTAATTTATTACACTATTAAAAATAGACTTCAATGAGTGTATTTTTAGAAAAGTAAAAATACAATACATGAGAGTATTCTTCAAAAACGAATCTATGTCTAACAATAAGTGTTGTAGAATTATTTAAAGAGAAGCATTTCGAAACTGAGAAATGGAATAAAATACGTCCTTTTTTTTCTAAGAAATTTATTTGATTTAAATTTCTATATTTTTGTTCCTTTACACATAATTAACGAGAACACCTGTATGATTGGTAAAATTTTTTTAAAATCCTTTTCAAGACATTTCTAAAAACATTTGATAAATATGTTAAAAGTACATTCTGATATGTTGTTTAGAGAAAAAACTTATTTCTAGATAAACAGAGCGATGTGAGAGAGATTATTGAGCAAATTTTAGCAATACACAACAATTTTAATAAATAGCTGTACAATAAAAGTACTTATATTAATAGAATGTATATTTTGCACTGCTCTGTTTAAGTTATAAAAAAATATATTTAATAGTTTGAGAGAAAAAATGAGAGAAAAAATAAGTACTGTACAAAATAATGACCATTGACTAGAAATTACAACAATATCTAATATAAAAGGGTAGGTATAGAACTATCAGAATTAAAAGAGAGGAACTTTATAACGCTTAATTTAGAGTGAACACCGAGCAACAGATCGCCAACAGTGGAACAACTGTGGCCCAACACGTACACACTTTTGAACTCGTTTGTTGTTCAACTGTTGAACAACTATGTTTGCTTAATCTACTCCCACCTTTAGACCTCTTCAAAATTCGGTGATAATCTTCAGATTAACAAGTACCCAGCTATGAGCAAGTAGATGGAATGTTACTAATGCAGACCCGTACTAATATACAGGGTGTCTTTAAAAGGTTGGGACATGTCTTAACTTCTGGGACGAAAATAAGATGATTTAACGTAATTTACCTATAATCAAAAGTGCATAGCAAAGAAGTTACGCCGGCCACGCCCGCCCCGAGTTCCATAAAACCCATATTTTTGGAGATAAATCTCTATTTTTGCCATATCTACGATTTTTAGGTCCTCATAGTTTGGAAAATTGTTAGCCCGTTAATAAAGTAACACCTTTTTAAAAGGTTTGTAATTTTCAAAAAAAAACTATTTATTAATCATATTACCTACTTGTAGAAAATGTTAATGTTAATAATGAGACTTCAGTCATTTATAGACTGTTTCAATATGGCCTTAATTATGAATTAATAAATAGATTTTTATTAGAAATAACTTAATCGGTTAAAAAGATGCTACGAAAATAATTTTATTATCAATAATTGCCTGAAATTGTCCAAACTAAGGGGACTTAAAAATCATATAATTACCAAAAAATGAAATTTAACTCCAAAACTGAGTTTTACAGAAAATAACAAAGAGTAAAAAATCATTATAAATAAACCGATAGACCCATAGCCTTTGTATCCTATATTGCAAATTAAAATTAATCAACATGTATTTTGGTACAATGAATAAACGTTCCGATAATAGGAACCAATACAGGTAGAAAGTACCCACTGGGTTAAAAACTGGTAAACCCTAATATTATGAGTTTATTGGAGATTACAGCTTAGGATTTAAAAGTCCTCTCTTACAATTCTGGTGGTTATAATTTTTTTAGTGGTTCAATCAAATAGGTAACTTTTGAATCTACACACTTTCATTGCAAATCGTGAAAACATGAAACGTGATAAAATTTATTGGACACATTTTTTTGGTAATATTCGAATCCTACATAAAAACAATTGTACCTACATAATATTATATTTAAGTAGAAACGCCTGATATTTCAATAAGATAAATCGTCTAACAATAAAACTAACGACATTCAGAGGGAAATTGGTATTAATTATCACAGATAAGGTAAATATCAGACTAGATATACATTAATAATGGTCGTTTTTGTTTACGTAATTAACTGTGATATAGGTATATAAATATATAATTATGAAAAAATATACTAAGGACACTTAACATTTGGTCACTTCTATGAGTATAGGATAATGGATATTATCATCGAAATCACAATTATTCAACAACGTCAACCGCTTCTCCCAAACGACCTTGTTATATTTCAAGAGCTTCTTGCATTTGAAGCCCCTCTCCTCCGATTGCTTCACAAACATATCGAGCGTGTTGCCCCTACGAGGGGCCATCACGTAAGCCGAACCCCCATCGCTCAAACAACGCCAAATGCAATTGATCAAATCCAATCGAGCCTCGTCAAAGAACAAGCAATCCGCACAAAGTACAACATCGTATTGATCTTCGAATTTGTACTTCGACCATTCTAGCACGCAGCACGAAACTGGTACGGAGAAATCGTTGCATTTCAGCGTAGCTTGCACGTTTTCTACAGATAATTTATTACCATCCGTTACCAACACCCTCTTGGGGTTGCCGTATTTGGCCGCAAACAAACCGGCCAAGCAGGACATCCCTCCGCCCAATTCGATAACGTTTCTATTTTTGAATATCTCTAAATTCGAGCAAACGAAGTAGCTCAGAGTCTCCTCCGAAGGCCACACGCAAATGTTGCCCGTGTTGTTGAATCCCATTAGATCTTCGGCGGAGAAGGTGCGGTTCCTGTGGCCCACGTTTATGTAGTACTCCATACACTCATCGGTGCATACGCTGTATTTGTACCACGTGTATTTCTCGATTTGGGGTATTTGAGGTAGCAGTTGAGGCGATGAGGTGAGTTCTTGCGTTTTGAGGAGCATGAACGAGGAGATTCGACGCACCGAGTATTCGTTGGTGGGGCTCGATGGTTGGCTTTCCATCGGACTCTACAAGCAATACAATATCGGTAAAGCGGTAGATGCAAATGTATTCAGAAATTCTTCTCGTGTAGAGTGTAAACATGCAAAGTATCATACTCTGAACATCTTGGAAACGTAAACGTACCTCCTACTGTAATAAAATTAAATCATGCCGCACTCCAAATTAAACAGAAGAGAAAAACCGGGAATGAAACAAGCTATAAAATAAACACACAAGTCCTCTACTAAATAAGTAGCTCAACTCAACTCAAAAAGGCATGCAAAAAAACGGGGAAAACCAAACAAAACGCAATTCTCGTGTTTTTTTTTCGAAAATCCGTATACCTTTAAGGCCTTGGCCAAAATAGCCCAACGACGTCGAGCTACGACCCTCTTTTCGCTCGGGTAATTCGGGTAATTAGGGTAAATCGGGTACCGCAAACCATCATTGTCGCATTTAGAACTTATTCCAAATATGTCTTTGCTTTGATCCATAGGAAGGGCATGTTAATTGGGGACTCGGAGCGTAAATGACCGGGCTGTAAGGTAGTTTACAAAGCGAAATCAATAACTCGAACCTTCGTGCTTTCGAATCAAATCGAATCGAATCTGACATAATATATTTTATTTTACGTTGACGATGAAATATAATAAATGTATATGCAGCAAGCAGGAAACTCACCTAAACACTCGCAGAGCCTTTATTTGTTGCGAAATTGAGACACTACGGTACCGGTTCATTCATTTACTGCCATTTTTAACGGAATGGAAATAATTAAATTAAAAATTGAAGCGAGCAACGAGCAACCTTGCTTTTAATTTTGACAATTATGACGTAAACTAATAATTATGACATCATATGTCATTCTACACTATTACGATTTGGAAGTCTGATTTACAATGGAAAAAGTTATAACACTAGCAAATGTAAATCAAAGTACATGATTTTTATTAGGAATAAAACATGGAATGAAAATGAAAACTTGAGTTTAATTTTGATTGAAACAAATTACAAATTTATTATTTGTTTATATAATTACTAGATTGGCAACAGTGATAGGTAGTGAAATGAAATCATATTGCTGTTGGTAACAATTGGGGCTAACTTCATGCAGTTCAAACTCCATCATACAGTGACAGTGACAGTGACAATTACAAGTATATTTTTGTTATATCCAAAATTTTATCAAATTGACATTTTATACATTCTCATCAATGTTTCGTACTTAGGCCTAAAAAATTTCCAAATTAAATATATCACCGATTAATACACAACTTTTACGGAATGAAACAATAATTTCAAAATGGCAGGAATGTCACCATCAGAGGTACCTATTATTTTAATTACATTTGTTTTTTTGTTCTTTAAATTATGCGTGTTTTTCACGCTTCCCTGCGTTAATCATACCTTTAAAATGTGTGATTTATTTGTCGTTATATACCTGTTATTATTGCAGAGAAGATTACAGAAAGAGCTCATGTCTCTAATAAAAGATCCACCACCAGGTGTTTCTGTCGATGCTGGTATCGCCGAACAAAACCTACTGCAGTAAGTAAACACGATATGTAAACACGAGCATAAGCTACTAATCTCGTTCTACGACGTTTCAGTTGGATCATAAACATGGAAGGAGCCGCAGGAACTCTCTACGAAGGAGAACGATTTCAACTACAATTCAAGTTTAGTAATAAATACCCGTTCGATTCCCCCGAGGTACTTCGAAATTCTTTTGGTAAATGCGAAATAATAATTATTTTGAATGTTTGCAGGTAACATTTGTAGGACCCAACATTCCAACACACCCTCATGTATATAGTAACGGCCACATTTGTTTATCCATTTTAACAGACGATTGGTCCCCGGCCTTATCAGTTCAATCCGTTTGTCTTTCGATAGTTTCTATGTTAAGTAGTTGTAAAGAAAAAGTGAGTATTATAGTACTGTTTTGTAGGGGATTATGATTATTGTGTTGTAGCAACGACCTCCGGATAATGCTTTTTACGTGAAAACTTGCAATAAGAATCCCAAGAAAACCAAATGGTGGTATCACGGTTAGTACGATTAATTGAAAACGCAGAGCTTGATTGTGTTATTTCCACTATAATTAAGGGAAAATGTAAATAAATTCATCTCTAAGAACTCTTTATTGGAATTTCCTTCTTAGTTATTAGTGAAAATAATAATAATCGAGAGACAATGAATTCATACTCTACTAACTCTATTTTATGTTTCAGACGATTCTGTATAAAAAAGAAAAAAAGTGGTTTAAAAAAAGGAAACTTAAAGTTATGTGATTATAATATTGTTTATGATTAGAATTGAAATTTTATAATAAAAATATAGTTTCATCTGACTTGAAATAATCGTGTGTTCGACTCTAAATAATAGTTTTATTTAGTGCCTTGCACATTAGTATATGCTTTAAATTTGTCTATATTATATATTTAAATTGTTGCTAATAAATATCTTAAATGCCTAAATATCGAATTGTATATTATTTATTGAAAACCTTATCACTATTCGGGGTAACTTGTTAGTCAAAAAAAAGTTACAAATAAAATGGATTATTGTGACATGAAAAATATACATTTATTGCTCATTTTTAGTACTACTACAATTTTTATTAATCAGCTCAAAATGAATAAAACGTAAAATAATCAATATCCTATAAGTCTAGTATATTAAATTTTATTACAATATAAAAAATGAACGAATCTCGTGAAATATTTTGAATCAGAAATTTGAATTTTACTTTTCACATTGAGCCAGATCTACAATACACATTCAGAACATTTATTAATGTTACGACATTCAAAAAGTGGCGCTACAAGTTTTATTTTGAAAATGTAAATCCATTTCACAAATCTATGTGTGTACTTCAAAAGGCAAGTATCTCAAGACCTGTCGAGAAACGAAAGAAATATATTCTCTAACGGAAGTTAGACTGGAAAACTCGAAACCTATCGAGTTTCCATTAAATTTACAAACTAGTCTGTTTTTCCAGTACATTTCTAAAATTAGAACTATTTACCTTATTCAGTTGTCGTAATCATCATCGATATACAAATTATTCTCTGAGCTCTGAGTTAATCGTGTAATGGGCACCAAAGGGGGCACGGTGTCACTAGAATGAACTCTCGGTGGTAAACTATTTGAAGGCGGTTTTCCCGGCGGTACTTTAGTTATTTGTAATTCTTCAGATGCTATGGTAATGTGCAATTTGGGTTCTTCAGTCTTCAGCAGACTATTTACGGAGAAATTCAATTTACTACTCTCTGCGCCAATTCTAGGCGAGTACTGGATAACAGGCGTTCTGCTGGTACTTTGCTCGCTATAATTTATGTTTATAGTCGGTAATGGGTGTACTTCGGTGTGGGGAACGTTAGCATTTCGTCTAGATTGTTTCGATTTACTCGAATGCGGTTCTTTAACCGGATTTTCAATGGGATCTTTCAACGACTCGTCCTCTTGTTTTACGCTACTTTCATCGAACATGGCGTTGTTTTCATTATCTTCTTGCACGCTGGCGTCCGGGATATCTTTCACTAAGTCTTTTAGGAAATCGAAACGGCTTTCTGCCAATATGCACTGCTTCATGTGGGACGGAGTCAGGGTTTTGGCGTTCCTCGATTGCGTTATTTGCATGGATTTCGTAAGTAACGATTCTACGAACAGTTCCAATGTTCTAGGTAGGTCTTATTAAGGAAGTTATGTGTTAAACGAAACTTTCAGAGCTGCATTGGCTACGTAGTAAGAGGCCAAAATACAAAGTCTACACATACATTTTACTCACTTGCATTATTCAATAGTAGAAATATTTACAAGACAATAAGAAATATCTACGAGTATTCGTAATTAAGTAAACACTAGATAGGTTTTACGAAATACAAATACAATTGAGACCCATTTAACATAGATGGTTCATGGAAGTCGTGTAAATAACAAAAAATAATGCAATAAAGCACAAGTAACTAATAAAAAAACAAACGTTTAGAAAAAAAGGATATAAATTATAACTGGTACTGCTTGTGCCACTTTTCCTACCTCCTCATCTGTTTGCATGATTTTTTTTATTCTACCCTAAAATCAAATGGAATTTAATGGACTGTCAAATTAAAAATAAGTCGCACTCACAGCCGGAAATCGTGCATTGTATTTTTTCTTCTTCGATGGCATATTTGTTTTAAAGTGGATTGTATTAATTAAAAATAGAATGTCAACAAAAGTAACTACGCTAGGTTATATCAAATGACAGATACGCAATGACAAGACAATTGACTGATATCATCCTTCACTTATGTATCTCTTATTTAAAGGCATTCAACTACATTTGATATCGAACTCAAATTTGTACAAATTATTAGTCAAAATTACTTTAATTATGTTGAAAGTCATTGTTTTATTGGAAGCAAATAAATAAATTTCTTTCTTTTCTCCTTTTAAGATACAATGGAAACAAATGTCGTCGAACCTAGTAGTGAGAGACACAAGACAAAACGTCAAAATCGATTAGAAAGTTAGGTTATGTTTTGAAAAATAAAATTGCCAATTTTGCCAAATAATGAAATAATTAAACAACATTATTGCAAACGTTTTACAAACGACAAATAAGCGAAAATGTAAGACTAATCAATTCGAAGAGAAAGATGAATCTGGGCGGTACGATACGTTTGAATAAATACGGTTTATTCGCGATACTCTGCTTATTCCTCATTTATTCCCTTCACTTTATATCCAAGAGGACGAATAAATCCACAGAGAGCGACGTAAATGACATAAATAAAATAAATATTCGCACTATATTGAGCGTGGCGATAAAAGCAGCCGAAAATGGCGGTAAGAAAGTCGTAGAGCACAAAGATAATATGAACATCAAAAGCAAAGGGAAAACCAAAGAAGGCCTACGAGACAGTGTAACCAATGCGGATATATCCTCTCATTGTTCCATGACACAAACTGTGAAACATTTCTTTCCTGATATAAAATTAATATCCGAAGAATCTACAGTAAAATGCAATGATGAATATCCCGAGTACGATACTGTAGATTATGTTCCGATTAATAAGGAAGAATTTGTTAATAAAGATGATGTTACTGTTTGGATAGATCCTTTAGATGCTACGTATGAATATACAGGTAATGTAAATTAATATAGTATCAAATTTAATAGGAATATTAGAGATACTAGAGAATATCTTTGTTCTATATTTTACTATTATAATTGTATAGCATGATTTTAATGTGTTTTTTTAGAAAAGTTATATCAATACGTTACTACTATGGTTTGTGTGGCGATTAAAGGTAAACCCGTTATCGGAGTTATACATAAGCCCTTTGAGAAAGTTACGTCTTGGGCATGGGTTGGAGTTGGTCTTTCAAAAGATTTGTCTTTTCCAGTATGTACACATATCCCTTCTTTTTAAATACTTATCTTACTCAATGATTTATTTATATTTAACTTTGTTTTAGGAAAACCGTATTGATAATGATCTCAAAGTAATAGTATCCCTGTCGCATAAGGGGGATGTCGAAAAGGCGCTTGAAAAGAAATTCGGAAATAACGTTAACGTTATATCTGCAGCTGGGGCTGGTAAGAGTTTAAAATATACCAAGGGGTTCGTCCCGAAAGTTTTAATAAACTTACACTGTTGACTTCGAATGGGACTTTTGGGACATACCCTATAGCGAATTTGTCAATTTATAAATATTCTTGTTTCAGGGTACAAAGCCTTGGAAGTGGCTAAAAAGCACGCGGATGCGTATTTGCACGTAACAAATATTAAAAAGTGGGATCTTTGTGCGGGAGATGCTGTATTGAATGCCTTGGGTGGTAAAATGTTAGATAAATTCGGTGAAGAATTGAATTACAGTAGTGATGCTAAGGTTATTAACGAGAACGGTCTGGTAGCTGCGCTAGCAAAGCATAATGAATTCTTAGATGTTCTAAAATGATTAGGCATAGTGTTTTGTGTAGTTGTTAATGTTGTACGGGAGTTAAACTTGCCACTTTACTAAAAGAAACTCTGCGATATATTATTTATTGAAATAAAAGTTCTAAACTTATAGGTAGTTTTAAATCAATACCTGTGATCAATACTATGATACTTTATAAATAAACCTCAATTTTTATATTTGGTTGAACAGCGCGCTGTACAATAGCTTGGTCACAGTCACTCAGATGACATAAGTGTCAGTTGACAGTGACATTTTAGATAAAAACATATACCTATTAGTAGGTATATGGATAAAAATTGAACATAACCAACAATTGTTGTATTTTATATTTTAAACTTAGTTTAATAATATTTATTCATTGATAAAATTATGACAAAATAAGCTTTAAAAAAATGTCTTTCCTACTATTTGCTCGTCGACATTCATTCGTCAAACCCATAATATCGTTTACTTGTAAGCCAAAATATTCTACAAATAAGAAACCTGTTAGTATAAAGAAAATCGAACCAATTGGTTGGTTTTTACTGGTAAGTAATTATTCCACCATTATTCTATTTTAAGACAAAACAAATGTATATATTTCAGGTAATACCGATATCTACATTTTCTTTAGGCGTGTGGCAGGTACAACGGAAGAAATGGAAGGAAGACTTAATAGCAGAATTAATGCAAAAAACTAATAGCGATCCAGTAAAACTACCGGACGAGTATACACTTCCTCCTATAAAAATTATTAACGTATATTAAGGAACATTTTGCAGTTTAGAAGACATGAAAAATTTGGAGTATCGACCCGTGCACGCGAGAGGTACTTTTCTGCACGATAAAGAACTCTACATCGGGCCCAGATCTCTGTTATTTGAAGGAGATGCTTCATCGAAGAGTTCCTTAATGACCACAAGTGGTTCGAGGAGTCAAGGTTATTTAGTAGTCACTCCCTTTAAACTGGAAAACAGAGAGTTAGTTTGAAACTAGCGTATTTGCCGGTGTTTAATTCGAGTATTTTAGAGATATCATATTGGTGAATAGAGGATGGGTGTCACATAAAAATAAAAATCCCAATTCCAGACAGGATGGTCAAGTGAAGGATGTTGTAGATGTAATTGGTATCGTAAGGAATAATGAAATTCGACCGGTGTTTTCTATGAAGAATAGAGAAGGAAGTAACGTTTATTTTTATAGGTAAAAATTTTTTTCGTTCCTTGTTTTTCAATGAATAATTTGGTATTTTTTAATGTTTGTAGAGATTTAAAGCACATGGCTGCAGTTACGGGAGCTGCTCCAATTTTTCTAGATGCTACCAAAGATTTTGATGTTCCCAAAGGACCTATAGGAGGTCAAACGAGAGTTTCCCTAAGAAACGAGCACATGTCTTATATTTTGACTTGGTTTTCCTTAAGTGCTGCTACCAGTTACATGTGGTTTAAAATGTTTGTTAAATAAAAAGGTACGATTTAAAACTAATTTAGTTATTCAGTATTTTTGATAGAAGGAAATCTGTTAATTTTAATAAGTTTCTGTAAATTATTCTTGGGATATTATGTATTCTACTTGTACAATTTTCTCATACCGAAAATTATATAATGTAAAACGATTTTGTAAGCAATAAAACGAATTTTTAATATATAAGATATTAATTTGGCACTAACATCAACAATACATCATTTTATTTAAAAATTAAAAACCCAGTATTTACTAAATATACCAACGTTCATTTATAAGAATAAAAAATATATAAATAATATTTTTTTAACTATTTTTATAAGATTTAAATTTAATTTCAAACAATATCAGTTAGTTGAATATATATTTTGTTCGTTTTCTTATAGAAATAATTTTTACAATTACAAATTATACTATATTATTTTTTGTTATAAAGTCTTCAGTAATTTGATAAAAATTAATATTTATATAAACGAACAAATAGTCGCTAAATAGATTTTTTGGCAGTATTATTTACATTAAATTAATAAGTACATAATATACTTAAATGAAAATATGTAAACATACCATTCGTTTTGAATGGTTTTAACAATCTAAAACTCCAAGAAATTTCGTTCACATATTTTTGTACTAAAAGTCGAATACACATAAAGTTACATTTAAAAATCATATAAATATAAAAAATTACCTCGAGAGAGCTCTATGTAATGTAACTATAAGCCTATGAAATATATCTAAAAATAAAAATATTCACGTTTTTAATAGTTGAAGATATTTTTCCTTGGCTCAAATTTAACTCTAAAGGTTATTGCAACAGAAAATCCTAAAATAAGTATAAATATATTTATGCTTTAGAAACTCTACCAGTATCTCAAAATGTCGAAAAATCCATATAAAAGTCGTAAAATTTGAAACGCTAATACTATTATTGTATGAAATACTAGCAATTTATCATTATGCAAATTGTCAATGAAACACCCATCACTTCCAATGGACGTTCATCTTTAAAATGGATTCATCAAGGCCTTAAAATTTTTTTAACGTTCAAAATCATTCTAAGCTAAATTTAAAATAATTAGCTATTTATACATTCATCAAGTATGAATTGTGAACAGTTTTTTACACCTAAAAATGTCGATAAGTAACTAACTTCATTACCAGATATTTTGAAGATCCTTAAGAAAGGCTAATAGAATAGAAAAAAGGAAATACATCGCATTCGCCATTTTAAAAATTCAGTCCCAACAATATAGCAACAGCAACAACATTTCTCGTCCAATTATTTCTATTTACCCTATCTAAACGAAGGGAGCTTACATTATTTTTTCTTTTTACTCGAAGAGTTTCTAGGGTTGTTATTAACGACATCCGGCGGATGCGGTACGCTTCCATTACCCATCCTAAAATAAAACAAATATAAAAATAAAAAAAACCTTTCTTCACTAGAATTCTTAATTGTGTTATTTTGTGCTAATAAAGTTCATACGCTTTAAAATGACAGTGACCTCCATAAACGAATTAAATAGGTATTTTTTAATATATGGGTATGGTTAATAATGGTGTATAATTTTCTGAGAAAACAATAATTTCTATAACCAATCACTCTTTTCGGAGAAAAGGGCATTCAAAAGAAAAATAATATATAAAGTCGACGTCTGAGTCCAGCCACTTACTGGCTGGCAATGTTGCCAAATGAATAGGGATTTGTTTATCTACAAAGGAAAAATTCATTCGTTGGTAGTTGTTCGTGTGCGTATGTTGCAGTGTTATACAGAAGCACTAAATACGGGCCAGAGTATCAACAATTAGAGAGCAAACGGAACACAAAATCAACTCACCCAACATCCCTACTGGGCACGGACGCCCTCTGATCGTCCATTCTGCCCGACTGGAATCTCATGATCAGCGAGAAGAAGTCCTCGTCGGGCACGGTGGCCCCGCTCTTCCTGCCGTTAGCCGCAGGCGGTTGATCGGTCTCGGCGTCGACGGCCGCAGCCACCGGTAACGGGGACCGTTGGTCCTCCAATCGGCTGCTCTGACATCGCACCAATTGGTCCAGAAATCGATCGTCGGGCAGATTGATGTTGTTCGATCTGGCTTCGGAGAGCCGCTGACGAGGGTTGGATTGTAAACCTACAAGAGCCGGGTGCTGATTAGAACGACGTATGTAATTTTTGTAAAAATTAAAGACAATATCGGTGCGAATGGTTAGGATGATTGCTAGGTAAACGTCCAGAGGTTGAGTTGAGAACGTTGAAATAAGAAGGATGTGGTAAGATGGGGAAGAAGACAATATAGGCCGTATTTATAAAAAGAAGCACAACCTTTTACTTCAAAAAATGAAGGAATTGCTTCAAGGTATATGCATAAAAATAAATGTGAAGGAAGGTTTTGCTTCGAGGGCCCTGCTGTTGCTTTAAAGCAAAAACCTACGAACTTTAAAAGACCGCAGGTAAAAAGCGCCTCTGTATAGGAAAACAAAATATACCAATAGTCACTGATAGATGAAAAACAAAAAACAAGGACTAAAAAAAAGTATCCCTTTACCTGGTAGATGGGGCAAAGACACCCTCTGCTCGTCCATTCGCTTACTCTGCATGCCCGCTATCATGTCGATCAAATCGTCCGGCGTATCGTTGTTGTACGGAATATTGACCACGTTCGTGTTCTCTTTGTTGTCGATGGTCAACGAGCACCGTTGGTCGTCCATGCGTTTCGATTGGAAACGGGAGAGCAGCTCGAAGAAGGAATCGTCGTCGGTTTTGGCCGGTTGCGCCGGTTTCTGTGGAATGCTCGAGCCCGAACGTTTGCCGTCGGGCGTTAGCTGAGAAATTTGTACTATTAGATTAGATTTTTCTTAAATTTAAGGGAATACAGGGTGGCCCAGAACTCACGCCCCACCGGGAAAGGCCTTATGGAAACGACAATGGAGATGCCAAAACTGCAGTCGAAGGCAGGAAAAAGTTATTCCTTTGGTAGAGGTTTAAAATCGACCAATCCCAGTAGGAATTCAAATCCACGAAAATGACGTGAATTAGCTATACACCAATTTGACATTATTGAAAGATTCTATGTCCTTTTCACTTTCAAGGTTAACAAAAGCTGCCAAAATCAGCTGCGACTATTGATCATTAGCGATATCCTGACTGTCTTTAAAAGTTTTGTACCATTCATAAATGTTGATTTTCGATAAAACAAAGTCACCTTAAGTATTTGCATCGATTCGATCCACGAAATTCCTTTGAAAACCCAAAATATGAGAAACTCTATGTTCATTATTTTTGTCCATTACAAAATTCGCAGAGCACTACTGAGATGAACTGATTCAATCAGCTGCTACAACCAAACTGATTGAGAAATCTCTCTAATTTTTTGCATGCTAATTAAAAACAGTTTTACCTACATACAGAAACTTGAAATAGATAAAAATATTAAGTGCAAGTAATTTAAATCAGAAATTTCTAGTATTTTTTTGTCAGAAGGTAAATTTTGTTCATTTGAGTCCCATTTTTGAGCTAGAGGCCTTTAAAGATGGAATTTAATAACTTATTTTTATGTTTTAATTCTAAATTATACCTGGGAACAAGTTTGGCGATATAAATGAATCCTACACTACTCTCTGGAAGACAATGGCGGCGTGTTCCCACTGATTAACAATTCGTAACTTTTATGGGGACAATCTGTATGTACACATCTGACATGTAGTAAATACATTTTTTAATCGATAAACTAACAAAAATGTACTCTTGCTTGAAGTCGATAAAACTAACGGTTCAAGAGAAATTTCAAATTTTTCTATTGAGATGATTGGTAGTGGGACTCAAACGAACAAGATTTATACATACGAAGTTATACCCTTATTTTGATGTCATCTATCGCTCCCGAATTATTGACATCTATTTTCTGGACACCCTACATATAGAAATGGGTATTTTGCATGTCGACATGTAATTACAAATTAGATTAAATTAACAATCGGAATAAAAATTCACATTCTTATGATTAATTTCATGCGATGCACTGTGGAAAATTCGATGCAATTTGTGTGCAACATAATGTTACATGAACAAAACAAACAAAAAAATTAAATTAAAAACAAGTAAAGTCCAGCCCATAATTCACATTCCAAAAATAGTAAAACTTCTTATAATCAGAGACAATTATTATTGTTGAATCGCAAAACTAATTAATTAACTCGACTATTGCACAAAAAGCAAAAGAAATTGATTTTTTCCACAAAATTTTCGCACAGACTAATTGCTGGGGACCTACATTTACAACAAGAAGTTTTACTACATTTAATTAAATAGAAAAGAAAACAGTTCAGGCAAAGCGCTACCTTTATAAGACTAAGCTGTTCCATGCTTTCACGTCTCACCCTTTGTACGTGGGTTTCACCTACATTAGTGGAACTGTCCGATTTAATCGAATCCGCATCGTCATTGGGACTATCCGGAATGTCTAAAATTTTCTTCAAATCCGAGATGTTCATTTTGGCAGTCGCCTCGCCCATGGAATCGTTCAACTAAAAAATAAATCAACCGAATTATAACACAAAATTTGATACCGAAAAACGAGTTGTTTCAGGCTTGCAAAACTTAGGGTTGTAAAATCACTATAAAAAACAAATCACCTGTTTGCTGATATCCAGATGTTTCTTGGCGAAACTGAGCGCCTTCTCGTGGTTCCCCAACGAGGCGTAGGCGTTCCCCAAGGACCAGCAAGCCCTTCCTTCGCCCACTTTATCTGAGAGATTTTGCGCTATCAACAAATGCCTCAAGTGGTATTCGATAGCAGCATCGTAGTTCCTAAGCAAAGTATACGTGTTGCCCAAGCTGTAACAAGCCTGGGCTTCTATAGCTTGATCGGAGAGTTCTTGGGCCAATGATAATGTCCGCCTACGCAATAATAAATTATTAAGTATTGCAAAGTTTGTGCTATGGGAGTTACTGACTTGTAATGATGCGCGGCTTCTTCGAATTGCCCCATGAAAATGTGCGAGTTGCCCAAATTGCTGTGAGCCCTTCGTTCGGCCGCTTTATCGCCAAACTGCCTGGCTATCGACAGCCTTTCCTCGTGATAACGAATGGCCTGCGCGAAATCCCCCAGAAGGTAAAAGGTGTTGCCTAGATTCCCGCAGGCTCTTCCCTGCGCCGCTACGTCCGTCAAATCTTGCATCAAAACTAAATTCTCTCTGAAAAACAACAGATATTCATCAATACAAATTATCGTATATAGATGTAGAAAATATAAAAAAAGGAATATTAAAATATGTATTGAAATATCTCGAAAAGTATCAAATGTAGGTATAGGAAAAGTTTATTAGGCATAGACAATTTTTACCAGATAGTGATTAATTGACATTTCTTACTTCTTTCTTTAATGAGTACTTCGATTATTAAAAAAAAAGAAAGCTTTATTTTTTTTTCTTTAAGTTCTAATTTTTTAAGAGCGTACCGGAGCTCTCGGGCAACCAAATTTACCAAATTTCAATCTTATTTTCACACCTTATAATAATTTAAAAATTTTGGTTTAAAATGCAAAACAATAATGCTAGTAGTTGAACCGAAAACCAAAAAATTCGGTGACAGCATATTACAAGGGTTCAAATGAAAAAGGTGGGAAAGCTTCTCATTTAAAAATTTCATAAAAATCGGATAAAAACTAACGATTTTAGAAGTAAAATCAGTTTTATAGGTGTCCGGTCCGGTATGCTCTTAATTGAAATATCTCGAAAAGTATTAACTTTAGGTATGGAGAATGGTTAATAATAATGAAAGTACTTCAAAAATACTTCCTGGTAACGATATAAAATATAGGGTGATCCATTTAAAGTAACGGAGAAAATGTTACTTTTGCGTTTGAATCCACACTGTAAGCAGTATAATTAAAACTCACAAAAAATAATTATTTTGTACATTTTCAAGATATATGCAATGTTATAAAAACCTGAATTTTATTTCTTGGTACGATGTTCGTGGAAAACTGGTCATAACTTTTAAACCACTCAGTATAACATTATAAAATACTATATTTTTGGAAATCTGAAAACGAGGTAAATTCAAAAATTGAATACCACAGTTTGGTCTATCACGGAAAACGGAGCACTCTGTATAAATGTAACTAATTTTAAAATATGCAGCTTAAAAAGATCTACAACTTTTGTAATGAAGTTTTTTTAACATTTTCTACATTAACAGAAATATTGAGCTTTTTCCTACTAATGTGCCACCCTGTATGTACTTGTGGTACAATACAGGTAAGATAAAAAGAGTATGTACTTACTTGTAGTACATTACAGCTTGTAATAAACAACCTTTTACATCTTCGGGGAAATCGCCGGGATCCTTGTTGCCCACTCGGCCGATGTGCTTCCCTTTGGCGTGGTACACGTTACCCAAGTTGTACAAGGCCCTGCCTTCGCTGAGTTTGTCGCCCAGTTCTCTGGACAACTCCAAATGGCGTTTGCAGCATATTACAGCCTCGTCGAATTTGCCCATTACTTTCAGCGTGTTACCCAGGTTTCCGGATGATTTGGCTTCGCCTAGTTTATCTCCCATTGTTCTGTAACGTAAACATTGTTTATTCGAGTACGTGTTTTCTTAAAATCTCCTTACCTTGCTAGAGTTAGGTCGTGTTTGTGGTACTGTTTGGCTTTCTCGTAATCGCCCAAATAGAAATAGGCATTACCCAGTTGGCTGTAAATGGCGCTTAGCGTTCGCAAATCGTCCGTTCCTGCTTGAATAGCCGCTTGGAAGAAGGCAACACCCGCTTTGCAATCGCCTGCTTTGCACAGTCGTTCGCCTTCCAGGGCCAGTTCCAAGCACATATTGCCCGAACAGTCATACTCCTTGAAACGTTTAAAGTCAGCCTAATTACACGAGAGGTTAATTTAACTAAATTCTCATTACCTGTACGTCTTCCGTGTCGTTTTCTACGCTGGTATTCGACATGTTTTTCCTCTCTAAAATATTAATTACCGAATGATTCACCTACTTTACCTCGAATTCGCCGTTGTGTTTGTTTGATTATTCGAATGGTTCGAATTTGTGTGTGCATTTGATTCGAGTTCGTTGATAAAGGTGCGCGAAATGAGATTTATCACATAATTAAAATCCCTAACAAAATATTGGAGACTGTTTATAAATCGTATAGGTGTTTATGGTGTTAACTGTTATCGGAGTGTACGTTTTTAGTTCAAATTATAGGCGTTCAGCGCCCTGAGCGCTAGTGTCACAAAAACCGAATGCAATTCAATCCATTTGATTGGTCAATTTTATGTAGTGCTCGTGTACCTGGATTATTGTACAATAAGAGGCCCAACATTGACATTTGACAAAACAAAATTTTTATAAATAATATTTTCATAATGGGGATTTTAGGAATTTAAGGGAAAATAAAAATAAAATACAATACAGTAGTTTTAATCCGGCTGCATAGATAACCGCTCAATCAACTTTGGAACCACAGAACATACATAAACATGGGAACACAGAACATACATAAACAAGAAGGGACATCGCCGTGAGAATTTCGTAGACGTTGTAGAGCGCATCCTGAGAGCACTGAGTGGTACTAAATGGTAACGGAAACTGTAATTTGTAATGGTTGTTGCATAGTAAAAAGGGGCTAGTATAAACGCAGTCGTGTAATACTGGTTTTCTATTCGACTTTTTTCTTTTTCTTGTTCGTATTATCCAATTTCTTGTAAAACTTGTACAATTTATTATACTATTATAATTTATAATAATAATTATATAAAATGTATAAGAATTTTATGTAATTATTAAATATAGACACGTAGTACAAAAAATTGTACAAGTTTTACAAGAAATTGGATAATATCGAAAATAATTACTTTCACAAATAAATTAACGACAAAAACGTTTCATTTTAAAAATATATATTTAAAAAACATACAAATTTGCGGATTTAAAATTAGATATTAATTAATTCAATATAATTTAATACCTACATATATAAACATAAATATAATACACTTAAATAGTACAATATTAAAATAGTTCATCATAATTTTAAATGTAAACCTACGTATTATGAATAATAATTTAGACTTTAAAGTACTTTGGCCTATTAACAATACAATAAATAATTCACAAACCTTTCTCTGAGAAATCCAGTCATTTTATATCGGTGGTCGGTAGCTCGCCAAACCCAATAGAACTATCTCCATTTTCTGTAACAAAAAAATAAGCAGTTAATATGATAAAAATGATATTTGATGAAATTATGTACGAATGTTAATTATATTTACCTTGAAAAGAAAGCATGACACAGCAATCTTGTCTGATTTCAGACCTTCCGATGATTGGAAATCTGCTTTGGAAAAATGGCGATCGACGCTGCAACAATTTCTAAGTCTTGTAGCAATAGAATGGTAGAATCACGCTGACAATACACAAATTATTCATTTATAAAACTCACAGCAAATACCAAAGCACTTTGTATAATCGATAACTAACAATAGTTGGAAAAAATATTTATTCGGTTGTATTTCAAAATTTCAAAACTCTTCGAACTGCACATGTTCAAAAATCGTTAATAATGATCTACGGCATGTTGCGTGGGTTGCTTGCGCTGTTTCTCAAAAAACACGATCGCCGCGCCAACTACATGCATCGAGTAAAACTAAATTGAACGTCGAAAATTTCTCATAAGGCTGTCCTGGGCCTGCATGGGAAATATTTGCGCGCCCTCTGCGTTGTTTGTTCATGAACTAAATTATGTAGCGGGAAACTTGAATGTAGTGTACACAATTTCGAGCCATTCTTTTCCATTTTATTTTTTTCCATTGGTGAATTAGTTTGTGTATTAGGAAACAATCATTCTTATTCTTTACTCATTCTTAAAAATAATGCCACAAAATGTTATCTAGTCTTTGCCAGGATTGATGATTTTTTTATCAGTATTGGTGGTTGGGTTAGAGATGTTTCCTTGATTTGGTGATTTTAACAGTAAATTGTGGTTTTTAAAATCAAAAGAGCGTATAAATAATAAATTAAATAATAATTAAAAGAGCATTTAAATACAAAAATAAATAGCATTAATTTAAGTATAGCCATATTTGTCAAAATTATGGTGACTCACATTTGAATATGGCATTAGGAATATGGCAGAAACGTATAGTCCTTTTCAAGATATAGTAGAAAAGAGGCGTGAGAGCTTAGGGATTATAGCAATAAAGTAATGACTTTCCTAATACCAATACAATGGAACGTTGAAGCACTTCGGTCGGGTCGGGTGGTAAACAGTATTTACATTTCCAGGTTAGAACTTAATAAATGTTATTTAATGAGTATTTTGCATCGCCGCTTAGCCGCAGCGAACGTACCAAACTTAAAATTCGGTTCTGCGTCCTTCGACCGGCGAGTACGGCGTGTACCCTCAACAGCACCGGGTAGTCATAAACTCATCAGCTTATAAAGTCATTTTCTACTATATCTTGAAAAGGACTATACCTAAGTTTTAAGTAAAATTTTTTATATCTTCAATACTATAATTAGGCATAGAGAAACAAAGATGTCTTTTATTTTGTCTATGCTAATAGGTTTAGGTATATGGAAGTAAATATGAACTTTCCTTATTTTTGACCGCTAATTTTATTAAAATAGAAAAAAAATGGGTGGTTCCATTTAAAAAATGAAGAAATTTGGTATTTTTGAAGTTAAATTTTTTACATTTTTTGTACACACCCTGGCAATGAAAGCAATAAATGCTTTTACCATCCGAAGCAATTAACATTGATTTCCCTATTATGCGTGAATTACTTTCCAACAGTGTATATTGATATAAACTTTTCTTCTTAAAATCATCTAAATATTCACACCCTGAAGTATCGGCACTCAATTAATTAACACCCTGTATAAACCAAAGAAAATTTCTTAAAAATTTATAAACTTGAGACAATGGCTACTTTTAATGGTCGTTTCATATTCCCCTTAAGTGTCTCTACAAACTGTTAAAGTATGCACAGTTCCTCATGACTCACCCTGTATACAGGATGCTTTCTAATAACACGTATACAATAAAAGGGATGAGAAATGAAGCCTCGATATTTCGAAAAATTCGCCGATTTGCATGGGCAATAACTCCATATTCGCATCATTTGGATTACAACTAGACCTGAACTGCGGTCTAGAACGAACGTTATAGCAAGAAATGCGTCTAAAAATACCCGGCTAGAGCGTTGTCACACTTTAGCATGCCAATAATAATGTTGAAAAGAAGGCCTGATTCAGATTTAGACTCTGTAGATTATTCCCTAGAGATCCGCGGGTTTTAAAAATAATTCGCGCACGTTAAAGGGAAATTCCCGTGTGTGTCTTTGGCGAATTTTTTCATACAATTGGTGTTTATTGTAGTGGTAAAAGTTGGATATCGAGTTTGAAATCGATTAGGGTGAGTCTTTAGTTGGTTTGTTCTGTTGTGTTTGAAGGTATTGTTATAATATAAATACTGAAACTTGTAATTTTTCTTACATAAAATTCAATTGAGTGTATTAAAAAGTGCTTCGGTTACGCCGGTCTGATTTTTCTATTTTTAGTTTCAGACACTTTTAATTTACGTTCGCAAATAAATATATTTTACATTGTATTCAAGCGAGACCAGTGAAAATCCGTTTTGATTGTAATTATTTCAATTTATTTTTTAGTATTTGTCGCTGTGAATTCAAAATCGTTATTTTGAAGGAATGAGCCGTCAATTATGGGGAGTATGTTAAAGCAGTCACTCAATGGAAATATTCACAAAATTCGAGAATTTGAATTAGAAAAGGTGAGTTATTATAATTATATAGTAGCATTAAATTTAATGTAGAAAGTTATGAAGAGTATAGAACCTATCAATCACGTAAATCAAAAACTCAAAAAAAAACGATATGAAAAATAACGCTTATTTTGTAGTAGTCGTTACTGCACCTCTGTACCAAAAAGTTGATTCCCACCTCTATTAATCTTCTGTCGTGCGAAATGTCGTTATAAATTTTGACAGTTTTTGTTAACGTATCATCGAACGCATTTTAAAGTCCCACTCATTCGCGTATAAAGCGAAAATAATTAGTAATTTGTCGTAGAGTAGAATGTGGAAATTCTGCGTGGGATTAGTAAAGTACGTAGGTAGGAACAACATTTTTGATGCGGAATTTCGGTACTGGATCGATTGATTAATTATATTTTTTTCGTTGTGTCTCAAAATTAGGTTTCATTACTATCTCCTACTAGCGAAGCGAACGCAGTATAATAGACAAAAAAATTTGTAGGTAAATTTAGCAGATGAATTCGACATCCTGCAAATAGTGGGAGAAGGCTGGTTCGGAAAAATCCTGCTGGTAGAACACAAAGCCACTGATACGGAAATGGTGCTCAAAGCCCTACCTAAACCCTACACAGCCATCAAGGACTTCTACAGGGAATTCCATTATGGTCTTCATTTAGGCGTGCACAAAAACATCATCACAGCTTACGACGTATCCTTCGAAACGGCAGGATTCTACGTCTTCTCGCAGGAATACGCACCATTAGGTGAGAAAATTCCACTTATACTTTTACAGCAATAAATTGAAATACAGTCACAGACAACCTCTGGGACACCCGGTATATACAAGGTGTTTGTGAAATAAGTGGTCAAACTTTGGGAGCAAGTAGAGAACCTCAAAATATAATAAAAACTTCAATGTTATTTTATCGAAATGTCAAGCTTTTTAAAGAATTCATTCCTAGATTTTTAAAAATGACCATAAATGACCATTTTTTTAGTTAAAAAAACCTTTTATACCTTTTTAATGTAAAAATACATAATAACAAATCATTAGAAAAGGTTAAAGTAAATAAGTTAAGTTAGAATTATTCGACGAACCCCGTCCCTATTTTCCCCCAACCCTGGGCAACTTTTTTAACCCGATTGAATAGTAGCGTAAGACATTTCATTTGCTTAGTATGTGTACCAAATTTCATCATTTTACCTTTGCTATTAATTAAATTATTAATAAAAAAAATACCTCTTCAAGAGTCCATCTTTAACTCCCTGTATACCGATAACCAAGGACATTTCGATAAAATGACTACAAATTCCATTATAAATGCCTCTATAAATGCCTCTATTAGCGTTGTTCCGTCCACAAACTTAACCAACTTATTATTAATATATAAGTATGATATTTAGAAATACAATTGCAAGCAAAGTAATATTTATTCAATAATTATACAACCGATAAACATAAAATGAATTTTCTTAGACCTTTCCTTCCCACATTTCCAGGCGATTTAACATCGAACGTATCGGAAATCGGCATCGGCGAGCTCCATACCAAAAGAGTAGCCAAACAATTGGCCGCCGCCTTGGACCACATCCACGCCAGGGACCTGGTGCACCGCGACGTCAAACTGGACAACATCCTCGTCTTCAAATCCGACTTTTCCCGCATAAAACTCTGCGATTTCGGCGAGACCAGGCGAACCGGTACCGTAGTACTCAGGAGGAACGAATGGCTCCCCTACGCCGCCCCTGAAGTACTCACCGTACCCACTGATGGTACTTACGTGTACGTATACTCATGAACAAACAGGCCTTTTACTCTGTTCCTTAACCCTTTTCATTAAGACCCTTTGAATGTCTCTTAAATTGTTTTTGTAGGGCTCAGACGACGCACGACGTCTGGCAATTCGGCATAGTGATTTTCGTATGCCTGACCGGGTGTTTGCCTTGGCAAAAGGCGGCTATGGACGATCCCAGGTACGTCAGGTACCTGTCCTGGCAGAATTCCAATATACCGCTGAAACGCCAGCCGAAGCTGTTCAAATTGGTATCTTCCAAAGCCCAAAGGCTGTTCAAAAAGTACTTGGAACCGAGGCCGGAGAAACGACCCGCCGGCTTGGCGGAGGTGTCCAGGTTTCTGGAAGACCGGTGGATGTCCAAAGGTAGGAATAATTGTCCAATTGTCCGTGGTACATGCGATTAATCCTCCGAATTCCCGCAGGTATGGAAAAAACCAACGAAACCCTCAAGGAAGACGAGGGCCTGTGCCCTTCCATGTACAGTTTCCACAGCAGCCCAGAAGAGAAGAACAAGCTCCTGTTCACCCTTACCCAATACGGGCTGGAGACGACCGTGGACAGGGCCCTGAAGAAGAACAGGATCAGGGAATGGATACAGAACAGCGTGATAGAAGAGGAGGCTGACGAGGAGGTGGAGGCGGAAGAGGACGAGGAGAACATCAGGATACACGATAACCAAAACGGGCCGCTGGGCGAGAGAGGATCGAGCTCGGCGAGGAAAATTAGGGAAATAAAGCATCACAATAGTCACAGGAAGAGTCGAAGGCGCGGCGCTTCGGCCAAGGCGGAAGCGCCCTACAAGCCGCCGGTGGATCCTAGGATTCCGTTGGAGAGCCAGAGGGGCGCGCGCAGTCTCAGGGACTCCGTTCTGATAAAATCCAGCGTTCAAAATGGGAGTAATAATAGAAATAGCAGTGATATTAAAGCGTCCGATTCTTGGTATAAAATACCCAATTCTCTGACGTCGTCCGAGAGCGCTTTCAGTAGCGAGTCCAGTTTGACTGTCAAGCACAAAATCAACATTCAATTGCCGCAAACCTGACTAAAGGGCCAGCGTGATCGGTGATACTCGGAAAGGTCAAGTTTCCAAGACTGACTCCTACTGGTATTGTTTTCGAACGATATCCTTACAAGTGGATTTATCAATGTACTGATATTAGATATGCAAGCTGTATTTAATAAACCAAATCCCTACCAGTTGTACCAGATCTTATGGATTAATTATATTGTGGTTAGACAATGATAAATCCACTCCATAGAAGACCGTATTAAGAACTGAGAGGTATGATCAGAATAACTAGTAATAGAATAAGAGCACTGCAGTTTTTCCAAAGTTAATTTAATACAGATTATTCAGATTACACTAGTTTACAAGTTTTACACTTGTTTTAGTGCATGACATATAGAATTAACTTTTTTTTAATATATTTTGATGTGCTTTTTCCAAATATGGTTCTATACAGTTTGTTCTGGAGAGTTCTAATAAATGATTCTGGAAAGTTCTAAATGATTCTAGACTTCTAAACGGTTCTAGAGTCTAGACACTTTCTGGAGTGTTTTAAATGGTTCTAGACAGTTCTACGTAATTCTAGAGCGCATTCTAAATGGTTCTAGACAGTTCTAAAATGGAGTCCTAGGAGCGAGCTATATTGTTGGGGTATATTTTTTATTACCTCTAGTACTACAAAAAAATGTGTTTGTTCATTAATCAAAACTCTACGCTCCCATTATCCTATAAGTTTTTATAATATTTATAAGTTTTTTTGCACAGAACCTTGTAAACTAGTGTTATTATAGATTATTCAGTAATCTTATTCGAATGTTTATCTGTTATATAGTAAAAAAATAATTGCCTTATTTACAGTTAAATGTGTGATAAAGTATACGAAATATTACGGATTGTTGAATGTAGCTTTACTATATTCAGTATTGGTATTTTTGTAATTATATTAGGAGTTAGGAGAATATAAAATGATATTTTATAATAGATTCGAGTAGGATAAAAATCAAAAATCGTTGTAAACAAATTATTGAACTTTTTTATGTCCTTATGTAATCCCAGATTGAGATTATTATCATATGCTGCAATAAAATTGATTATCTGGCCATTTTCCTCTATTAAAGGTTATTAAAAATAATATTTATAATGTATGTATTCAACTATCCACCTACAGTTCCAAATTCCGGTAATTTTCATAAATGACCCTATAAAACCAGACCTTTTACCATATTAGCTAGCAGTTCATAAAAGAATAACTAGTTCCTAATACACATATAGTAGAAGGCCCAATTATACCAAATTGCTAAGTGTCAAAATTCCTATAACCTTACTTTTCCTTCCAGTTAATTATTTTCTAAAACACTTACCTACGATTTAATAAATAAAATGTTAAATTTACAAAGAAGCCTCACGTGTTTAATATGCCGGAGAAGATCAGTGCACACGTCGCCCGTTTTGACGACATTCTGGGAGAAAGACGACAAAGGGGGCTACAGGGACTGGAAGAAAATGCCTCCACTGAAGGACCAACTGCGAGAAGGCCTGAAAGACCTGAAAACCGAAATAGGCGTGTGGGCCCAAGAAATGAAAGAAAGGTTCGAAGGCGATCCCATACTAATTTTCAGGCCGGGCGAAGTGGACGTGCAATGGCGCTTCGGAACAACCGAGTCTTTGAACAAATGGATGGCCACCAGCGATGCCGATAATAACGAAGGCTTCAGCACATGCTCTTTAACCCTAACTAAAGAAGGAAAAGGCCTTTTCTCAGGTACATTGGATAAGCGGATACCCAAAGATGGAAAAGTTAAACGATCCGGTTATTGCAGTATGAAATCTCTAAGAGTTAGGGTAAGTTGAAACGTGACAATATGAATCCTGAAACTGAAAAATCCGCGTTTTAGAAATCATTTAAAAGGGACTCCCACTTGGATTGGACTCCTTACAATATGCTGGTGATGAGAGTTCGAGGAGATGGAAGGTCGTATTTGTTAAATATCCACGCGAAAGGTTACCATGATTTAACGTGGAATGACATGTACCATTTCGTTTTGTTTACCAGAGGCGGGCCTTATTGGCAAGTAGCCAGGGTATGTACCTATTTAATTAATGTTGCATTTGGATTTTATTTAATTTTTTTTTTTTTAGATTCCTTTTTCGAAGTTTTACTTTGGCTCTAAAGGCCGAATACAGGATAGACAAGTGTCGGTGCCTTTGGATAGAATAGCCAGTTTTGGAATAACAGCCGGTGAAAGGTGGGGAGGCGATTTCCATTTAGAAATCGATTATATTGGAGTTGAATTCGATCCGAATCATAGAGAAGAATTCGCTTATGAAATGTATAAAACGGAAAGTGGAATTGCTTCTACGTAATACAAGTTTTCAATAAAGGTGAGGTTTTTTAAAGGAATGGTTAAATTTACAACTTGTGTCTGAAGATGGTGCAACTATAGGTGATTACTAGGTACTATAAAGATGAATTAAACGTCGGATTTTCGCGCTGTAATCCGATAAAATAATAATTTGTGCTGCCTGTTTTTAGGTAATTACATGAATAAATTGTTAATTATTAAATTTGGTATTTCTAAAAAAGACCAACAATTTATAAGTACAAAGTAAATATATGAAATAAAATAATGAGTTATACAAAATATATATCAATGTTTTGATTAGTTCAATAACAATACTGGTAAAAATAACTTAAAAATCAACAAAAAAGTACAAAAAAACTGTATAAAGAGATTCGTAATTATCTGAGGTAGTTTCTATTTTTTCGACTTTTTCTTATTCCCTTTAGCTCCACCGCCGCCGAAATTATATCTAGCTTTGAGGCGTTCTCTCAATAACAATCCCCTAATGAGCTTCTTCCAGTTGGTATAAACTCGTTTCTCTATTTTCTCTTCCTCTTTCCTTTCAATCTCTTCTTGTTCCTGGCGAAAATGAACAATTAGAAGATCCGATACCATTGAAATTTAAAACATATCAACGTCTGTTCTTATACTATAACTCGCAAACATATATATTAATAGCAAGACAATCATTAAGGCTCTCCCAAACCAACGCGAATAATTCGCTGCCGCAGCGGTAGCAAAAATTTCGCGACAACAGCGGCAGTGACATTCGTCCAGTACTTCACACCGTAGCGAATAAATCGTGCGAAAGTTTGTTGCTTTTTATTATTATTATAAATAGATTTTGTTTTTATAAATGTTTTAGACGAACAGACGTCTAATAATACTTACTTGTTGCCAGGCAGTGATACAAGTCTCCTCGTGTTCTTTACAAACCACAAATCCATCGTAGACAGGATGACTCCAACCTCCGTGAAAATCGAATCCCGTTATGGCCGTAGCGCAATCTATGTTCAGTTTTCTGCACACCTTGTTCAAACCAGGCACTAGAATCGTTTATATAGAATTATTTAGATATTAGGTTAACGAGAATTGCATCTTTTTCTGCTGTGGCAAAAAAGGACCCGGAAATTTGGATCGATTCGGTCCACGAAATTCCGTTCAAAACCAAAAAAAAAATGAGACAATATGTATGTCAAAAATGAGAACTCTATGTTCATTATTTTTGTCCATTACAAAATTCGCAGAGCACTACTGAGATGAACTGATTCAATCAGCTACTACAACCAAACTGATTAAGAAATCTCTCTAATTTTTTGCATGCTAATTAAGAACAGTTTTACCTACATACAGAAACAGTTGAAATAGTTAAAAATATTAAATGCAAGTAATTTAAATCAGAAATTCCGGGTACTTTTTTGTCAGAATGTACAATACTTGCGATATTAGCTGGTGTTCTTAAGGTTTTCGAAGGATTACTTACATTGTAGATGAACTGTTCCTTTAGGCAACATGCAAGGTTTGAAGAGTTCAACGTTACCGTAGGCGTTTCTCGGCACGACGCCATCTTTCGCCTCAGGCGGTTCGTAATCGGTCGTCTGCCAGATACCGAAGAGCTCTAGAAGTTGCCCCGTTATCATTTGATTAGACATCTAAAAATGTTAATGTTACGTTATAGTAACTTATAGGAACCATTAGAAGTTTTAGGGGTTCCCTCAAGAGTTACGGATCTGAAAATTTAGCGCTAAGGTAGGTACATACAGTATCGGACAACTTATTATTAGTCTAGTTAAAAGGGCCACAGGATCCAAAAATGGAATTTTCCATTTGAAATAATGGAGTTGACATATACTTACAGTATAACGGGAAATCACATGTGGTTGAAAATATCGTGGCACAATATTTACTATACCTTGTTCTCAAATTTTCTGATTTGTAACTCATCAGGAACTCCTAAAAGTTCCAATGGTCGATTACTTTGAAAAATCCTGTATAGAAAAGTTAGGTCGTCGATATTATTTACTTAAACAGTCTAAATACTCATAAAAATTAACCAAATACAGCCAAAAATATCTTCCAAAATTCTAGTCTAATTTTTAACTAAATCTTCCCTCTAAACTTTGCTTGTAATTTAAAAAATACATTACTTTATCGTATTTAGGCCTGCCTTTGACGATTTTGTAAGGTTTCTCTCCCGGTTTCACCACTCTGGCGTCCTTTAACCAAATATCCCTGGATTTGCAAACGTACACGGAATTTCTCGGATAGACTGGTTCCTTGCGAACGTACCCCAATGGTACGATGTCTTCCGGATAAATCGCTTCGAATTTCAGCAAATGCCTACTGAGCGCGTACAACGGATGGTTTTTGTACCTAAAAAAGTACAAAACAAAATTTATTAGTGTCAATTCGATTATGTACGCGCGTTTTATTTAAAACAAAACCTACTAAAACACAAATTTAAAACGGTTACTTTGTAACATAAGTTCCATCACCTCTATACTCGATAATTCGCTCCCACCTCTATACTATGCCTCAAAAATCGAATTGACAGTACTAGGATGTGGCTATTCAACCAACATTCGACCGTGTCTACGCGACCACGCTATACCGCGACGTGAATTTAATTTCTTTTCACAACAAAACTACTCACTCGGATATGCTCGAAGGTAACGGTTGGTCCATCTGCTGCCTGCTCAAATCGTAATCTTCCTCTCGGCTCCTCGGCGAGTCGCCTTCTTTGAAGCCTCTCAACGCTTCCTCCCACCATTTGACTTCCACTCGGAGCTTACGCGTGACCGTGTTGAAGTTCTTGCAATATCTCATCGTTACGTCTTTCAGCGTATTGTCGTTATTCCAAGCGACTACGTAGCTTACAGGATGAGAGGCCCTCGACTAACAGAAAAAAAAAATTGGTGTGAAATCTAGAAGTGTCCATAAAGGGTCTAGTAGGGTTTCAGTAGAATGTAGTCCAATGTAGAAGGGTTCACAAGATATTTAAGTGGTTTTCTTAGACTCTCTTGAGGACCTTTACAATCTAATCGGATTTAGAAGTGTCCACATGTAGTCAAATCAATCTAGAAGAGTCCTCAAAGATTTCTAAGATTTAATAAAGTTAAATAGGTTTATAAGTGTCTCAGCAGAATTTAATAGACTCTAGAAATGTTCACAAGTATTCAAATTAATCGAGAAGTGCCTCAGTAGAATTTAATCAAGTCTAGAAGTGTCCATAAGACATTTAACAGGTTTAGGAGAGTACCATTAGAATTTAATCGGACATAGAAACACTCTCAGTAGAAATTAGTCCAGCCTAGTTTCCACAAAACATTTCAGAGGTCTAGTATGGTACCACTTGAATTTAATCGAGTATAGTCCACAATTATTTATTTGTATTAATCTAGAAATGTCCTTAAAGATTTTATAAGAACTACTATTTTGTAGTTCTTATTATTATTATTAGCATTTGCTGGTAATATTGGGTCTATAAGTATCCCAGTAGAATTTTAAGGAATCTAGAAGAGTCCATGAGACATTCAATGGGTCTAGGAGGGTACAAGTTGAATTTTATCGGACGTAGAAGTGTCTACAAGTATTCGAATTAATATTAGTGTGATCAACTGATTTATGAGATGTAGCAAATTTTAACGAGTCCATAAGTATCCCAGTAGAAATTAATCGACTCTAGTGATGAATTCATAAGACATTGAATAGGTCTAGAAGGGTTTCAGTACAATTTATTAGGGTAATAAAGGGTCCAAAAGTATCCTAGTAGAATTTAATCGACTCTAGTGATGAATCCATAAGACATTCAACAGGTCTAGAAGTGTTTCGGTACAATTTAATAGAGTAATGAAGGGTCCAAAAGTATTTGAATTTAGACATATTTACAAAAGATTCAGGAATATTCAAAATAGCCTATAACATACTTACGAATAATTCCTTGACGCAATGGACCTGTCCTTTGACGAGATCCACAGTAATCCATTTTTCCTCGGCTTCCAAAAACACCTCCAGCCAAACGTCATTGCCTTTCTTCTTGGGTTTGGCTTCGTCGTCCGACAAAACCTTCAATTTATCGCCGACTTTCTTCACTTTTATCCGTTTCTTCACCTTCGTTTTGGGCAGGAACTGCTCGATTTCGCTGTCGCTGTCGTGGTGTTTCTTTTTGACCGGTTCCGGCATGTAATCGCTATCGGACGAGTCTCTGGGTTCGGGTTTTCTCTTGTTGGTCGCCAGTTTTCTGCTATCGGCGGCTTTTTGTTCCGCTATGCGGCCTTTTATCAGTTGGATGATGTCGTTTTTGACGTCCAAATGGGGCGAAATCGTGGGTTTTCGCGGAGATTTGGAGGAAAATTCGTCTTCGGAATCGGCTCGATTGGATTTTTCGTGGGTTTTCGCAGCGCAAACTTTTCTGGCGGGTTGCTTTCTCAGGTTAGTTAGGTTGATTTTGCCTTTTTTGGGGGTTTTCTCGTCGTTTGCACCGTCTAATTGAGCGATTGGTGTCGTTTTTGTGGTTTTCTTAGGTTTAGTTTTAGTATCTTTTACCGGTTTTTTTGAGGTTCTTTTTGAAGATCTGGTTTGAGAAGGTTGGGGATCTTTGGGTTCTTCCTTATCCTTTGGTGGTTGTTGGTTTGAATTTTTTCCATTTTTTACCATACGCTGTGGCCTACTTTTGACAGTTTTAGGTTCTTCTTCTGCTGGTTTTGCATCTGATTTTGTTGTGCTTTCCTTACTTGAATCGTCTTTTAATCCCTCTTTGGATTCTTTCTTAGATGACGTTTTTTTATTTGAATTTTTAGCAACTTTTACTGTAGAATCTGTTGCTTTTTTTACATTATCTTCTACCTGTTTTCTAGTTGGTTTGCCTCTTTTTTCCTTCTTTGGATCCTCTTTTTTAACACCTTTCTCAACTACCTCTTTACTATTAGGGGACGTAGAACTTTTTTTAACGTTGTCTACATTTTTTAATCTACTCAGATTAATCTTGAGGCTGGTGTTTTTAGTATCCCTACTACTATTGCCAATTTTCGAAGTATTTCTACCCTTGGTTTGTACGGATATTTTCCCTTTACTGACGTTCAAATTTTTCTTTTCCTCATCTTTGTTGGATAACGAATGCAGTTCGGAGCTAGGTGGATGTAAAGGTTCGACTTGCAATGACAAAACCAACCTACATTGGAGCCCTATAGATCTAAGTATTGCTATGAAAATCAACACGAAATCCTTCTTATCGTAAGCAACCTTTTCATCGATTTGCATTTGCAAACGTTTCAGTTGTTCTAGGAAAGGGGATTTCGGTTTCTCAGCCAATTTGAGGCCTTTTTTATACCACTGAACTATCCTTTCCAAATACCCCAAATCCGGTCGGTCGGGGGGATACGATTTCTCCGATGGCAGGAGAGACAGTGCCGGGGCGAGTAACTCCGGATCATTTATGACAGAGTTAAGGTAATTTCCGTGTGCTATCCAGCAGAGTATGTGTACTTTGTGTACGAGTACTTGATTCGATTTCCTGATTCTATTAAGGCGCCTTTTCATAGCCGCTAGTAAGTCTAGACCTTTCTTTTTCTTCACGTGATCTGGCATGCCTCCCAATCTGATTTCGATGTTCTCCTGAGGAACTAGAGGTTTTTCTTCCTTTACTTTCACCTCTTCCCATTCATCATCAGTATCCTCAAAATCGCTCGAATGGAGATCTTCTGCTGTGATGTTTTCGAGACTGAGATGGTTTTCGCGCTCTGCTGCCAGCAAATTTGATATGTCTAGATTCTTTTCGATTAGTTTGCTTTTAGTTTTGGCTTGGTACTTTTCCACTTGGGCTTTCGCTTCTTCGAGTTTTCTCGTAAATTCGCTAAGCTGTTGAAAGCTTTGCTTAGACGTGGAGGCAACGTCTTGTAGATTAATTTTAGGAGTTTCATTGTCTTCCTTTTCTTCATCGGAATCTGAGCTGCTTAATGTCGAAACGCCTTCAAAGATGTTCTGTTCGATTCGATCGAATTGCTCCTGTTGTTCCTTCTTTGGTGGAGGATTGAAAAATGACGATGAGAAATCTAGCTTATCTATAGGTTGTAAGTAATTTTCTATATCACTCTCACTGGACGATGAATCTTCCCCAACTTTTGGTAGATTTTCGGGAGATTTCAGTTTTTTATTAGGACTTTCTTCGATCTCGCTATCACTGCTTTCTATCGTGGGGATATTACGAGCTTTCCTTCTACGAGACATTGTTAATTAAATAATCTACAAATAAATGTTTTATTATAATTATTCAAATAAGTAATATTGCGCCATAACACTAACCTCCAAAATCAAACGTTTTTCTTCTTTTTTATTAGTTAAAATATCATTACACTTGTGATAAGTTAGGTACAGGTGTCAAATGCGGCCTCAGGTGATGCGGCTATTAGTTACTCACCTGTTGTAATGACAGGTCTACATAACCTCGCTTTCTAATTTTGTTTGTTTTCAAATTTCAAATGGCACAGAGAAACGAGCTGAGACAATTAGCGATATTCAGCCGATTAGGAATATGTTTTTTACAATTCCTAAGCAACGTAATTATTCCCGATCATGACGCTCACGTATTTCGATACATAAGGACCCACGACAAGGAAAATCCATTGAGCAACATAGTGAATTACACCCTGGGAGGTTTTATTAGATGGGACGCCGAATATTTCATGCACATCGCAAAGTATGGGTACACTTACGAAAATTCTTTGGCATTTTTTCCTTTTTTACCGTCGTTAGTGAGACTTATAGCCGATTTTTTAATGTACGTTTTCTCTCTATTGAACTTAGACGAGACGTTGTTGCTAGTGTTCGTTGTTTTTAACATCCTAGTTTTTGTGTTAACAGTGGATTCATTTTATAAACTCAGTCGTTTAATTTTCCACGATTCGATCGCATATAAATCCGCTGTTTTATTCTGTTTCAATCCGGCTTCGATATTCTATACAGCGCCTTATACGGAGTGCTTGTACTGTTATTTGACTTTCGAATCGATTTACAGGTGTGTGATTTTGTTAAGGAAATATTCCAACGAATCCAGTCGGTTTAGTTTCGAAGATACCAAAGTTTTACTGTTTATTAGTTTGAGTACAATAACAAGATCAAACGGTTTATTAAACACTGGCTTTATTATTTACACTATCTTATGTGTATTTGTTACTTATTTTCCTAAAACTGGTATTTATCCACATTGTTTCAAATACTGTTTAATTATATTCAGTTGTTGTGTTGTTTGTTGCGTGCCATTTGCATTATATCAAATTTATTGTTTCGCAAACTTCTGTTCATCGTTTAAAGCAGTTTTACCAGATGAAGTGATAAATTTCGCGCGGAATTCACATTTGATTTTACCGGGGCAGTTCGACAAGTTTAACCAATCCTGGTGTTACCGGACCCTTCCATTAGCATACTCGTACGTTCAGGATAAATATTGGAATGTGGGATTCCTGCGTTATTACGAGCTGAAGAAGATTCCGAATTTCCTGCTAGCGTCGCCTTGTCTCTACGTCATGCTCAAAAATTGCTGGACACATTTGTATATCAATCGTAACAGTCTGTTAGGAGTGTTCGATTTGAAGCGTTTGCGTTTTAACAGCGAAGTAAAAATGGTCAACGATTTACGTTTAACAGTGTTCGTTTTGCACGGTTTATTCCTATCGGTGTTCTGCATGCTGTGCGTCCACGTAGAAGTCACCACTAGAATGATTTGCTCGTCTACGCCGTTGTTTTATTGGTATTGCACTTTTCACTATGCGAAGAACAACGATCGAATTATTTTGGCGTACTTTCTCGGATACTTTGTAGTCGGTACGGTGATGTTTTGTAATAATTTACCTTGGACTTGATAAACTGTTTCGATTGAACGTTTGATTTATTTTGTTTGAAGCCTTATCGTTTGGTCGATGTCTCCTCGACATCGATTTGTGGACTTGAAGTTAAAAAATTAGCAATTATCTCTAAATTGTTCAAACGGTCAGTTTCTTAGCGCTCTGGGCGTGCATCCAATCTTTAATTTGCGGGGCCACCAATCCGCCTAAAATTATTTGCATTGGATGATAGACTAACAATGGCAGACTGATTTGGCTCAAGTGCGAATAGCCATGAAACATTATACGAAGAATGGGTATGCCTGCAATGTTAAAAACAGGATTAAAATTACTGAATAGCCAATCTAACTGTAACATTTACCTAAAGTAAGCGATTTGTGAGTCGAACAAAACACTATAGCAATCACATCGGGAGGACTGTAGTACTGATCGAATTTTTTAGCTACGTTGAAACAAATCAATACCAACGATATTTGCATGAGCAGAACTACAAATTTGAAACAAATTAATACAAACGCACCCTCAGAAAATGCTATTAATATGCTAGTACCTGAAAAAATTGTGTAAAGCACATCTACAGCCGATAACCCTGTTTCGGTTACGAGAAATGTATCACAAAATGTAGTATATATCACGAATAATAAAGCGCATTGACTGAGTGTATTCAAAGCCACATGTCGAAATTGAACGTTTAACCACATCTTTAATACCTGACCAATTAATAAAGGTAGTAAAACTGTAACCATAAGTTGTAACACTGTATCCAAGAAAGGTACTATAGTTGTCGAACCTAACTGTAAAAAAAATAAATAAGTAGCTAATGTGTTAAACACTACTACAAATTCGAGCTTAATTCGATTATAATTGTAATAACTAATAACTTACGTGAAATAGAAGTAAAATTGGAGTCAATACGATTCCCATGAAACTCCCTAGCACTGAATTGAATATAGCTGCAGCTTCGTTTCCTTGCGCTGCTCTGGTTAGAATAACAGCACTGGAGACTGGTGGAGGCATACTTGCTACAGTGAATATTCTAGAAAAGATCGTAACGGGTAATAAAGAAAAAAATAAAATGTTAATGATGTACCCTTTAAGAACCCAAGGATGCACGTTGATTATAGAAAGGCATTTTACGAAGATCACAGCAAAAACAGGTACGAATAGGAATGTAAAAAGCTGAATGAAGCCGTGTAATTTGTACTGTCGCATCGCCCTGTATATATTTTCGGTTTTTAATGATACACCGCTAGAGAAAAATATTATGAATATAGCGCCGTATTTAACTGTATATTGCGTCCACAGAGGTCCTTAAAAATGAATAAAGTTATTGTATTAATTCATAAGATCATTTAAATCTCAAGTACCTTCTTTAGAGCCCAATTTAGGATAAACACCGGCTGCAAATATACAACATAATATGCCGATAAGAAGCCAATTTTTATGCATGAATTTTAAAGGTGTTATTCGATAAGCCATTGTGTCTTATAGTCTATTTATTTAGTAAAACACGGAATTTTAAAAACATTGCTTGAATGTTTACAAAATTAAAAAACATTTTCTTCTATTTGCTATTCAAATACGATCTTATTCTGAAAAGGTTATTCAGTCACCTTATTGAAAATCCATTCAATAATACACTAAATCATCACATCATCGACATTTACAAAGGTAATTTTAAAAAAGTGTTTATATATCATAAAAATTTGTTCAAATTCTTCAAAAAAGAAAACCGAAAGTAGCTGTATAATCCATACAAAAAAGTACTATTTTTTTCTCCAATTTTGACATCGACATTATTGAGTGGAACAAATGTCATTTTGTAAAATAGGTTTGTTTATTTATCTTTGTAAATTTAAAATAAGGGCATTAATTCATTAAAAAAGTAACTAGTTTATGGATAATTAATACCCCCTAGATACATCTACTTATATTAATCAAAGGAGCTCTCTAATCGTACAATTATATTGATATTGTAATTGTATCAACTATGGCAGATGAGAGTTTATTCGATTTCTTGCACAATGAAATAGTAAATTATATATTAGATAAGGATGATAATAAATCGAACGAAGGAAAGGTAAATGTTCATAAAGTTTGTTGAATGCTTCCTTATTTATTTTTAATCATTTAAGGAAGAGGATTTATCAATTTTGGAGTACATCGGCTTCTCTACTGGCTACAGGATAATCGAAAGGTAACATTAATAGATTTTTTTAACTGCAGTATATGAAATATTTACAAATTGCAGGTTAACAAAAGAAATGCCCAGATTTAAAGATGAGCTGGACACCATGAAATTTTTATGCACTGATTTCTGGTGCGCTCTATATAAAAAACAAATAGATAACCTCAGAACAAATCACCACGGGATTTACGTACTACAAGATAACAATTTCAGGTTTTTAATGAACCTTTCAAACGGGAAACAGTATTTGGAAGTGGCTCCGAGATACGTAGCATTTACATGTGGGATTATTCGAGGATGCTTGGCTAATTTGAATATTATGTGTCTGGTAACAGCAGAGGTTCAGAATATGCCATCGTGTAAATTCCATATACAAGTTCAAAGAACATAGACATGAAATATTTATTCTAATTATCTATCGGTTAATGTAAGTCTTCTTAATATATCTATACGAAGTTTTTCTTTATTGACTCTGGCGAACATCGTCAACAAAAATAGGGTTTTATTGAAATTTCGTTGGAAGTGGCAACGTTGGATACAAGTGAAGTACTTACGTTAGAAAAAAGAAGAATTAATGTCAATTGATAGATGCATTCATAACTGACTGGTTATCGACTTGATGATTGGTAAAATAAGTAAATGTAATTGAAATTACATTTAAATTTCAAGTTTTTAATGTGTGTTGTATTAGCATTATTTTGTAACTGCTTGGAGTAATTAAATAACAGAAAAAAGAAGAATTTTTTCATTTTTTTTGACATAGTTGACAGTTGACGTTTTTAAGACACATTCGATCCAAAATAAAGCATTTCACAATTTCACGTAGTTTTCGCAAAATAAAAGTAATTTTTAGTTATAAATTTAACAAGATAAGTCTTTTTAAACATGACTACAGCTGCTCGACCTACATTCGAACCAGCGAGAGGCGGAGGAGGACGAAATGAGAAAGATCTCAGCGCCATTTCAAGACAATATTCCAGCAGAGATCTTCCAGGACACACTAAATTAAAATACAGGTAAATCATAAGCAAATAAAAACACTCCTCAAACATTGTTGTTGTAGAATTAAGCTCGTTATTCGTCTATTTTACTATACCCCACAGTTTCCATAAGATCCAAATTTTAGGGTACTCTATGCTCTATGTATTACTCTATTTATAAGAAACCACTAGGTTTCACTTCATTTTACATACACTCGTAATATCATTTATATTTACTAATAGTATCATGTTTTAGAGAGCACGGGCAAGGAACAATCGATGAAACCCGTACGAGGGATTTCCGCAAAGAGCTCGAAGACCGCGAGCGAGACAAGAGATCCGGAGCGAGAGCGAGCGATCACAGTAAGCGGCTGAAAATAGACCAAGTACCCGCCGCTAGCTTGGATGCGGACGATCCTTTAGACGAAGAAGACTCCGATAGTAGCGACGAGGACGACGACACGGAAGCCCTGCTGGCCGAATTGAACAAAATCAAGAAAGAACGAGCGTCGGAGATGGCCAAAAAGGAGATAGAAAGGAAGCAGGAAGAGGAGAGGATAAGAATGGAGAACATTTTGAGCGGTAATCCGTTGTTAACGCACTATTCGGCGGGATCGAACAAAGCCGATCACAAGGTGAAGAGGAGATGGGACGATGACGTGGTGTTTAAAAATTGCGCGAAATCCGAACCGGAGAAAAAGACGAATGTTTTCATAAACGACTCGCTACGATCCGATTTCCATAAGAAATTCATGGAAAAATATGTTAAATGATGTTTACATGTGTTCGTTAGAATAACATTTTCCTCATAATCCACTATACATAAATTTAAATACTTCAATAATTGAATGGTTATAAATGTAATATAAATTGCCACATTACCTGCTGAGAGATTCGTGAACTTTGGCGTTTTGCTAAATTTATATTAAATGATTGTTCGATAAAATTATTGCAAAATGTTTATGCAATAAAAGGATGTAAGCATGGTAAATGCAGTTATAAAATTAAACATTTGTAGGTAAATACATGTAAGAGATCCAAATAATAATTATTATTTTCTATATTTTTCCTTATTTTTAACCACTAATATTGCTTTAGGGACAAATGTTTTGAACTATGTGCATATTATTAAATTTTCCTCTAGAACTATTTGGTCCAAAAAATCAGTAATACTAAAATTATGGCGTTAATTCAAAAATAGATCGATTAAGAAATTAAATTGTATATGAAACACTGGAAGTAATAAAAAAATGGCCCATTTACACCTATAAAATTATATAAAAAACTCAGTTTAAAAATATCAAAGAAAATAACTAAACAAATAAATTAATAAATAACCGGAAAAATGCATTAAAAATCCCTCATTAGCAAGGCAAGAAGCAAGGTCAATTTACTATTGACCAATAATAGAAAAGTCAACGAAAATAGGAATTTGTAAACACTCGAACAATGTGTATCTAATCGACCATCTCAGGTGCAAATTATTCATCTTCGGACCCCCTACTGAGCGTACCAACAACTGCGATTCACCTATACTATACAAACGATATACAAACAAGACCATCAAGTACCCAAAAGAAGAAGGGGGAACCATACTCGAGACGCTCTCCACTCTCGACTCGTTTCTATCATCTAAACAACCTGTTTAAATTCTACCTGCCCACACACTTTCAAGAAACCCAGTTTCACGTCGCTCAGTCACTCTTAATCCGCCTCAACAAACGCACCAGACGCTCCGTCACTGGCGATTCCTCCATGAATTTTAAACGCGTAGGAAGGCGTGTTTCGGCGTGTTTCGTTCGTGCTCACTAACATGCAGTCTGCGATCGCGGTTTCTTTGTTATTATCCGGGCTCCTGTGCGTCTGCGGGGCCTCCAGGTCGGGCGTTTACCTGGACAACGGGTTCGATCAGACGGTCATCGACAGGACGTTCTCGGACGACGACCAGAAGGACTTGGGCCTGGAGATTCTCAGCCTGCTGGGGCTGCCGAAGCGGCCCAGACGGTTCGACAAGGGACCGCTCCGGCGGTCGGCCCCCCGGTTTCTGCTCGACGTCTATAGGACGCTCATGGACGATGAGAACGACTCCGGCAGGTCTAAGAGGAGCGAGGATGAGGTCTATTTGAGCGGCGAGGAGCAGCATCAAATCGACGAGAGCGATGTTATTATGACTTTCGAGAGCGTTAGTGAGTATATGGGGGTACATTATATATAGGGTGTCTCACGTATATTAAGCGTTTTGTTTCGTACCTTCGGTCCCCCTTTTAACGTTAAAATAACCTTTATTTTTCAATTAAAACTAATGCAGAATCAGTGAGATTCGAGTTAAGAAAGGGAACCACCCTGTAGAAACAATTAACTATAGTATCTACAGTGTGTCCTAAAATACGAATTTTGAAAATATTAATCTTTATTTGGTACATAAAAGTTATCTTATGATATGTATATTTTTGCTTAAACTCAAAATACTTGACTTATACTAAGTGGCTCAGGATAATCTGTGTGCGAATATCATGCACAAAAAATAGACTGCTCAAACAATCTGGGACATCCTGTATATATCGCATTTGAAATGAAGTCTGTGTATTTTTGTTAAGTCGAAAAATACTGCGCGTTCAAAAATCTCGGAATTTTCAATTTACTCGAATTTAACATCGTATTTTTTTTCAATTAATCGAAACGTTTAGCTCAACGAGCTTTAAATATAGTGAAATTTAAACATAAAATACAGGGCGATTCAAATTCGAACATTGTAATCGCAAAATTTAATGACTAATATATTATTTTATTAACGAGCTAGTATCATTTGCGGATAAATAAATTCGCAACTTTTTATCGATTTCACTTTATTATGAATAGATCGAAACTTACTTAGGTAAACAGAACGGTTGTAAATTAATCGTTTATTGATTGAGAGAATAAAAACAAACATTTTCGCTGAAATTTAACTAACATATTCTTAAAATAGTTCCGGTTATAATTTACGACCGTGTAATCCAAACAATACGGCAATATTATATTAAAAACGACGTAATTAAATTACATATGCACTGTATACGAAATGAAATCTACACCGAGAAAAAAAGTAAATAATAAACAAAACTAATCGAAGCGTGGACTATCGAAATTAATACAGGGTGTCCACTATATTAATATAAATAGAAGATGTTATAAAAAGGATATTATAAATTATACAGTATGACAATTTAAAAACTTACAATGGCTATATCTTCCAATCGAAAAGTGATAACAACAAAAATGACTAAAACTATTTCTAGGCTATGAAGGGAGACATAAAATGACATAAAAAAGAATTCACCCCCATCAACACCCTAGGCCCCACGTACCCCAATTGTATAAATTTAAATAGCAACCCCCAGTTTGTGAAAACATCATTGAAAAACCTATAAATTGCTATCCAATGGTATAAATAATAATTGTACAGGGTGAATCAATAATTGTGAAACCTTGCCTTAAAAGTAAAATTAAATGAAATTTGAAAACATTAATTATGTATTAATTAGAGAACCAAAGGAACGACCAAGGCAATCTAGCTCTAGACTCTAGACTAGACGATGAATTGCTTAGTAATGTGCATTGCTGAGAGACAAATATGCTGATCCTCCGATCATTCGCCACGGTGTGGTGCCCAATCGAACTATCAAAAAAATCTTCATTTAGCGGGAAACCGCCCCACCACAAAATATGTCGAGTTTCCTGACCTTAAATACACGACCGTGATTTTGGCCACGGGAGTCTTTTAATCTGTCAAATGTCAATCAAGGAGTTTTTAAATAAGGGGCGCGTTTTTTATTCTTAAAGCTATTTCAAAGCATTAAAAAAATGGTAAAAGCTTCTATCGCTACAGCGGATGCATGCAACTTGAATAAAAAACGCGGCCAAGAAGTTATAAATTATCTAATAAATAGCATAATTATTGATAATGAAGACTATCTTGAAATTATGAATGTTGTTGAAATTATCAACATTTCTTAACATTTATTATACATAAATAATACACGTATATAAAAAATCTTCAATGCCTTTTGGTTCGTTTAAATTCGTTAATTAAAAGATTAAAATTTATCAAACATGTCCGCCGCATCCGTTGGTGTAATTATAGTATTTTGGAGTCCCCGTTGAACAAATGTATTAATTTTAATTGTAATTAATTACGTTCCTTCGCAGGCAATCACGTATCTAGTGTGAGACATGAGAGAGGCAAAAGACTGTGGTTCAACGTCAGCGACGTGCCCGTTGCTGAAGATGTCGTGGGGGCCGAGCTCAGATTGTACAAAAACAAAAAAAGGAGTGGCAACAAAAACCACGGTAGCATCTACACGATAACTGTCTTCCAAATGGTCAAGACCAACGAAGGGTAATTAATGTACATTTAAAATATTGTTTTTTAATAGGGAATATGCATAAAATTTAAAGCTAAAGACTTGCCTTGTTCCGGACGGTCTTCGACCTCTTCAACCAATGATAACGGCGAGAAAATGAAGGAAATTGAGTTCGAAAACCATCATGCTTATAGTATTAAAGAAGTAACACGTGAACTTAACAGCTCCCGTTAAATCGCTCGTTTGATTTTGACTTTCTTCAAAAACGGTAAAGTCAAGTGGTCGCTGCAGACTATGCTGATTCGTGTGAAATACAATGCACGAAAATTTTCGTAAATTAAATAAAAATTAAATTTGGAAGGCAAAATGACGAAATGAATGAAAAGTAGCGTTACGTGCGTACGATTAAACAACACTACCTGATACTAGCGCCCTCTATCGAGAGTTACATCATCCGCAACACCTCCCCCCTCTAAAGGAGTTTCCGGACCTGTTATATACGACCGCGATTCTTGCTAACTTTATCGAATATAATTGTTTCAGGGAAAAGGACTTGGAATACGTTTCTGCCATCAACACGACGTCCGACTCGACGGGATGGATAATTCTGAATATAACCCAATGTCTGACCACTTGGGTGGCGTTTCCGAACTCCAACAAGGGTCTCTACCTGTCGGTACATCCGGTCAATAGACCAGGTAAATAAAATCAAATAAAATCGACCAAAGACAATCGCATACGGGGTGGTCGAATGGCGCTTCAAAAAGTGGCATAAATTCTTTGTTATTTGGAATTTGAAAAAAAAAATATTATACAGAGTGACTCAAAACAGAAAATGTTATTGAAATATTTTCAGGACACGAGATCAGACCGGAAGACATAGGATTGGTGACCATCAAAGGCTTGGATGAAATTCAACCATTTATGGTGGCCTTTTTGAAGGCTGTTAATCACGTGAAACCGAGAGTAACCAGGGAAGCAAGGACTAAAAAGGACACTTTCAACAGTGTAATGACCGGATATCATAAAGGGAAAGGTAAAGACAAATAATTATTATTGAAGTTTAGTCGGTTCTTCGTGACTCGTCCTGAATATTTTTTACAAAGATATTTTTACACTTGATTTTTTCAGTGGAACAAGATAGGCCTGATCAGCGAAGGAGTTGTCGAATCGAAACTTTGTATATCAGCTTCAAAGATTTATCATGGGAGGTTCGTATAATATTAACTTAAGATGTTTTTTTTATTCTTCTATTCTTATTTTTAAGTTTATTTCATGATTTTGAATAGTCCCTTCTTAAAAAAACTATGCTAATTCTACAAGAAATGTTCAAAACAAACCAAATTAGCCAAACAAACCAATTAGTAAAAAAATAATGGTATAAATTTAGTTTCGTCAGAGAAATGCATTTTGTACTTTGCATGCATTTTGCATTTTATTTCAAAGAAATATGAATGCTCCAAATTTATTTTAAACCTGACAACACTTTATTTATTTTCTTATATACCCAGTCACAGAGTCCCAATTTACCGACTCTATCCTTCCCTACCCCCCTTTTACCCTACTCTACCCCTCCCTATACCTTCTTCTACCACTCTTCACTATCTTTTACCCTCCCTACCACCTTCTACCCTCCTCTAGCCCCTTTTATCCACCTCTACCACTCTTTATCCTCATCTTCCTCTCCCTAGCCCTGCTTCTACCTTCCTTTACACCTACCCTCTCCTATATGTATCTACCTACCTATTAAGCATATATTATTTTAATCGAATATTGATTTGTTTACTGAGCATTCATTAAATTGTTGCTAATGCACTTTGCATTTCGAATAACCTGCCAGTCGTTTATAATAATCCAAAAAATAAACCTATACCCAATTATATTCCAGGATTGGATAATAGCCCCCGACGGTTACGCGGCCTACTACTGCGCGGGTGAATGCAATTTCCCCCTGAACGCCCACATGAACGCCACCAACCACGCCATCGTCCAGACTTTGGTCCACTTGATGACACCTTGGAGATTCCCGAAGCCCTGTTGCGCGCCGACGAAGCTCAGCCCCATATCGGTTTTATACTATCTCGACGATCAGAATGTTGTTTTGAAGAAATTCAAAAAGATGGCCGTCAAAAGTTGCGGGTGCCATTAAACTATATGCTCAGGTTAACGTGGCTGTGACGTCACGAGGATGAATTGTTGAATGAACTATAAGCAAAACTGTATGAAACATTGTGTAATTTGGACCTTAGAGCAGATTTACATATGAAAAATATTTTGTTAATATAGTTTGTTGAATTATTCAGGTCGTGACGCCATCGTCGTGTATTAAAGTGAATCTACTAAATCTTATTATTTGTATTTAAATTGTATATATGTATATGTGCCTTATTATTATTTAACATGTACCTTTTCTTACGGTTTATACGGGGTGAGTCCACGATGTAATCAGAAATCAGTTAATTTTCCGAAATAACTCGAAGACTATGGGACTCTCGAATTATTTTGAAGTATAATCGTAGAAAAAAATCAAATTTGTATCTCGAATATTTTTCTGGTTATAAGGAAAAAACTGATTGCAGATTATGCATTTGGAGGCGACACTTTGTTGATTCACCCTGTAGGGAATATAGGTCATAGATTAAGCAAAATTCAATCAATATATTTTTGACGAAATTTACCATTTATCTAGTATAGTATTCGATATTTGTTTTGTGCAATTATTATTTACGTTTCTATTTTTTGTATATAAATAGTTAAGTGAATATTTTTAATAATAAAAAAATAATGTCAACGAAAAGTTATTGTAAATTTATGTCTGACTACCATATTAGAAAAAGGCCAAAATATGACAATTTCATTTATAAAAATAGAAGAAAAATATAACCTAACTTTTTCTAAAGAGTAACAAGTACACATTGCGTTATAAAATTTATTTCTATTTGTTATTGATAAATACGATTTAATGGCTGAAGAAGTGGAAAAAACCAAGAAAAAGAACAAACGTAACAAAAGCAAAGTAAAGTTCGAAGAAGAATCAATTGATAAACAAAAAGCGGTCGAAGTTTTATCCCACGTTAATGAAAATAATAGCGAGGAAAAGCACGTAGATAAAGAGAATTTGAATAACCACGAGGCAAAAACGGATAAAATGGAAGAAACTAATAATGTTAAAAAGCAAAAGAAATCTAAAAAACGGAAAGCATCGAAACTAGAACCCGAAGAAGCCAATACCGATTCGAATGATATAAAAGAAGATAGCGAATGTAACAAAACAAATGAAAGTGAAGGTGATTGGAATAAAACGAAAAAGAAAAAACGTAAGTCGACCAACAATACCAGTAATGAAACAACTGAAAATGAAACCGAAGAACCCAAAGTTGACAATCCGGAAAAACCTGGGGAAACGAAAGAATCGATAAGAGCCCAAAGACGCAGAAAACACCTACAACTCCAAGAGGAGAAGAAGAAGAAAGCCCTACTCGTCACCCAAAGCAACGTGCTGAATTACCTGTCAAAATGGAAACATGCTCGAAGCGAATGGAAGTTCGAGAAACTAAAACAAATTTGGCTGGCCCAAAATTTGTTCGAGCCCTCCAAAGTGCCCGATGATTTCTGGGCGACGGCCCTGGAGTACTTCGAGGCTTCCAAGGGGTTCATCAGGAACTTGGTCCTGCGGGAGTCCATCAAAATCATCGAAGCCGAGGACCAGGCCGAGGAAGCGAATCCGGACGAGGATTATCAGAGTAAAGTGAAAAGAGCTAGGGATATTGTACAAACTTTACAGTAAAACGTTTTGTAAACATATATTACAAATATTTTATAAATATTAAATGAAAATATTGTTTTTCAAGCGTGAGTTTGCTTTGATATACAATCATATAATTCTTCCCAAATCTGGAATATCTCCTGTTTGGGAATGGTTTGTTTGGTCAGTTGCTTATCGATGTCGAGGTAATTTATGGTCTTCTCGTCCTTTACTGGTTCCCAAATGATGTTGAAGTCGCTGTTATTAGGCGTAGGGTTTCCGTATTTAGCGAAGTTCGTCCAAAGTTTAACGAATCGTTTCACGTAAGAGTACTCGGGGGTGTTTTTCTCCGGAAACGGGAGGGTTTCTGTCTTGAAAAGGTAGCCCAAATCGTCCATGTGGCACACTCCTGCAGAATATATATTAAGAAATCTATGGATCTCTTCTCTCTACCATTTTCTGTATCCTCACTTCTCTTTACTCTCTACTTTCTACACTCTGCATTGCACTCTCTACTCTACTCTCTATGTATACTCTTCTCTCTATTCTCTTTCCCTACTCTCTGTTCTCTTTACTCTCTTCTCTCTACCCTTTTCCTTATACTCACTTCTCTTTACTCTCTACTTTTTACTACCTTCACTTCACTCGATGTTCTCTACACTGTTCTGTCTACTCAATTCTCTTTGCTCTCTACTTACTCTCTTCTACGCTACACTTCACACTCTACTCTCTACACTCTTCTTTCTGCTCCCTTCTCTTTACTCTTTACTCTCTGCACATGACTCTACTCTCTATAATCTTCTCTCTGCTCTCCATTCTCAGCTATCATCTTTTTACTCTCTTCTCTCTATCCACTTCTCCTTACTCTCTACTTTCTACTCTCTTCACTTCACTCTCTCCACTTCACTCTCTTTTCTACTCTATACACTCTTCTCTCTATTAAATTCTCTTTACTCTCTACTTTCTACTGTTTGCACCTCACTTTCTACTGTACTCTCTACACTCTTCTCTCTTTTCTCCACTCTCTTCTCTCAACTCTAATCTATTCCCATTTTAACAACATTTTATACGCACCTTCATCTTTTATATCCGCCATTCGTTTGGTGTAATTTTGACCAGAGTCCAACGATAACCGATACAAATACACCGCTGGTCCATCTCCACTTGCATATTTACCTGCACAATGCAATATCCCCTTTGCGAAATACGCATCAGATAAAAACTGGAACAATATTTTCAATTAGCCCTGATAGCTCGGATTTTTTATGTCTAAAGAAACTACCAGGGAATCCTGGTATTCCCCTCATGGCTTCGGTAACAACTCACTTGGTATTGATCTGCTTCTGATTCCCCGTAAATCTTCTTCATTCTTTCAATGAACTTTTCAACGATGGAAGTTTCGACATCGTGTAGTAAGTTGCTCAGGACGAATTCCATGCTGAATAGCTTCTGCAATTCGCCCTGTTTCTCCTGTTCTGCCATTTGTTGCAATGCTTTTCCTATGAGGAATTCGTTCGAGCAGTACCCCATTAGGATGGGTACTTTGTTGTTGTGTTCGTGCAGTACTAGATGCAAGGGGTTCTTCGTTAGAAATGCCGCGGGATGGGGACGCTCCTGAATCGGTGAGAATTGACCCTTAATTGGCTGAAAAATGGGACCATTTTAGAGGATATTTTTTATGTATTTTTTCGTTGTTTTTGGACGATTTTAAGTGCATTTAAATTAAATGTATAATTAAACAATTTTAACCGGTTTTCTTAGATTTTTTTTATATTTATTTTATATTATTATTTTATTATTTATTTTTTAATATCTATTTTTTATATTGAGTGCATTGCCTATTGCAATAAATAAATGCATTAGAAGACAGTGTATCAATAAGAAAATAATAAGTGCATAAAAAACCCCAAAAGACCGAAATTGTATCAAAGTACTTACAACATCTATTTTCTCCTGCAATTCAAACACTTCCTCAACCGTCAATTCTCTCAAATACGCCAGAAAATCCGCCTCGCTTGCGTCCGATTTCCCGGCGGCCATCTTAAGCTCTTCCAGATAGGATTCGTGACAGTACGCCCATCTGTTCAAGACCACGCCGCTTTGCATGATGGCCTTGTGAAACAATCCTTCGGCGACCGGCGAGAGTGTTAGATAATGGACGGAAGCCCCGCCGGCGCTTTCCCCGAAAATCGTTACGTTTTCCGCGTCCCCGCCGAATTTCCCGATGTTCCTTCGCACCCATTCCAAAGCTGCCACTTGGTCTTTTAGGTTGGTGTTGCCGTGCACTTCTAGCGATGGGTCGTTTAATTTCAATGAACCTGAAGTAATGATGAAGTAAATTGGCTGGCTTCGTGCATCAGAAGGTGAAGAGTGTTTAAGAATAGGGCATAACCAGGAGGATCAAATACCTTTAACCTTTCTAGTAGCCACCCTACAGAAACCGTTTCCATATCTTTAAGGATAGATCCTCGTAAAAATTATTTATAAGGGTCTGCATTAATACCAATTGGTCGAATTTTTTACAGATAGTCCTAACTCGTCGTGGGACACCCTGTATAAAATTGGCGCGCAATTCAGCCATTGTTCGCAAGCATAAAATATAATAGATAAATATTTTCAATCGTTGTACAATAGTCGAATTTTCATGACATCGAATAGTCCAAATGGCAGGGAATTTTCCACACGCTTAGAAAACTAATTACTATAATAAATATTTCGAATAATTCCATTTATAGCACAGCGACGTATCTGCACTATTTTTTACACACTAACAAGCCTATATGGTACAGATAAGTGCAAATATATTTCAATTTTATGTGTTTAACAAAGAAAGATTATTAAAATAATAAAGTGGTTAGAGTAAGAAAGGTGCAATCCCACAATACCACTCTTTCTTCTTATATCCACAAGCTTTTTATTCGACTTGATTTCCGATACATAAAAGGCCAACATGTTTCGTTTCGACTATTGACATTAAAGTAAGGTTAGAATGCTATTTCAGTGTGAATTTTGAGTACAGTGTTGCCACTTTTACGTGTGTACATGGGGAAATCCAGTTTTACTCACCCAATATTCCCAAACGGTAATTAATGGTAACGAGGACAACATTTTCGAGCATTAAGAACTCCGGCCCATAAATGTCGGTGTTGTTGCGGCCTTCTTTGAATCCACCGCCGTGAATCCATACCATTACCGGGTTCTTGGACCCCGTCGGAATGGGCTGTGGATAATTAAAATTGTAATTATTGCAGTTTAAATATTATTAATTACATTTTTATGAATTACTGATGAATAGCCGGGTATTTTTAGACGCATTTCTTGCTACAACGTTCGTTCTGGACCGCAGTTCAGGTCTAGTTGCAATCGAAATGATGCGAATATGGAGTTATTGCCCATGCAAATCGGCGAATTTTTCGAATTATCAAGGCTTTATTTCTCATCTCTTTTATTGTATACGTGTTATTAAAAAGCATCCTGTATACAGGGTGAGTCATGAGGAACTGTGCATACTTTAAAAGTTTGTAGAGCCACTTAAGGGGAATATCAAACGACCATTAAAAGTGGCATTCGTCTCAAGTTTATGAATTTTTACTGGAATTTCTTTGGTTTATACAGAGTGTTAATTAATTTACAGGGTGTTAATTAATTGAGTGCCGATACTTTAGGATGTGAATATTTGGATGATTTTAAGAAGAAATGTTTATATCAATATTTGTCCTAAGCCTCTTAGTTTTCGAGATAAATTGGTGTTACAGTTTTAGATAAAAAATAACTTTTTTATTATAATTTTCTTATTATTCCCAATATTTTTATTTAAAAAAGTGTTTCCATGCATGATGGGCGCATACCAAATTTCAACAAAATACCAAAAGCAGTCTCAATGGACTCAATTAAAAAAAAAATGTTCTGGTTTTTATTTTTTTACGCGAAAATAGTACGTCATACGAAAGTAAGTAAGCCTTTGGACCGAATTTGCTCCAAAATAAATGAGGATTTTAAAAATAATTTTGGTTTTTAGAAAAAAAACAGTGGCGTACCATTTTTTCTTTAAACATATTCAGTTCAAACCCCGTACGGAAGTCACTGGTAAAAATTTTAAATAATCTTTTGCCTCAAAAATTCACCTTGATAATTAAGAAGTGTGTACAAAATTTCATAAAAATATCTGGAGTAATAAGAAAATTAGGATCGAAAAGTAATTTCTTTTTAATCAAGAATCTTTTTTTACCTTCTTCGTAAAAACATTGAGATGTAGACCATCTTCGGTACCACAAACCGTCTTTGACATTGCCATATTGTCCTTTTGGTAAAACCGTTGCCCTTCCTTCGTCGCATCCTTGATCCCTGTCCAGGGTTTCAACGGTTGGGGATCCTAAAATAAAAAACAACATATTTATACACAATTTATTTTTACATTTGTACATAATTGTCTCTAGTGTTTTGAGTCCCTTTTTTCCACTAAGTTTCGTAAATACAAAATAATATAACAAAGCAATCTTATCAAAAAATCTTTGTTCCATTATTTTATCGTAAAATTAAAAAAAATGCTTTTATATTTCGAGTGTTTGTTATTGCTATGGTATTATTATTATTATACAGAGTGGATTTTTTTTTGTTGTTGCCTAATTTCGAATTCGTCGAACTTCGTCTATACACGAAATTTGCTTAAAAGATTTCAGTAGCGTACCTAGTTAATAGATAAATGAAAGTTATCTTGGATTTTTGAAATACATAACTATATGTATACATTTGGTGCAAAACACGGTCGTATTTGTAAGGTCTGGAAACATACTAGGTCGAAAAAGTGTCCCGTTATTTGAATAAAAAACAGGGTTCCTAAAACGGCCGCTAGGAGGCGATGTTGTAAAGGACCACAGTTTTTTGCGTACGAACATAAAATTATTAAACAGTGAGAGTGTAAAGTTTGGAACAAATTCGTTAAATGCTTAATTTGTCCATTGCAGAAAAAAAGCTCGGACACGTCGATTTTTATTTTAAAAAGCGGGTCAGAAAAGGTGGAGAGTGTTTATACAGGATGTCCCAAATAAGAGATATGATAATAAACGGCCAGTGGCATTTTAACTTCATTTGTAATATGCAAAACATTTTTGAGTGTGTATTTTAATGTTTCCGCATCGCCTGATTCATTTCACACTCCAGCAAATCTTTACAAAAGAAAATAATCATAATGCCCATTTACTGACCACCCACTCCGCCCCTGATCGATCCGAATCCATATAAATAAATCAATCGAGTGACAGCCATCACATTAATTAAATGCCTATCAAGTCAGAGTGAATAAAGCGTAATTTTCCATTTTAACTGTGATTTTCGCGTGCAAAATACCTACATATACCGGGTGACCCACTCTATACGCTTCGTATAAATAAGTGCATAAGGGTGCATTTTTAGTTTATTTAGAGTGTAGCCTGTTATTCGTACAATTAAGAGGTTTATACAGGACAACCGGTAAGTAAATGTTGTAATTAGAAGAGTACGCAGCGTCTTCTGCGCATATACAAGCCGTTCTGAAACGTTTCGACATCGATGTTGCCGAGTATTTATTATTTCATTTGATTTAAGGAAAAGTGACAGATTACATTTTCAAAGTAGTGGAAAATTGCCTGTTAAAAATATACAGGATCAAAGAATAATGGCGTTACCATCGCTCTACGAGCACTACACGGCAGGCGGTATAACTGGAGGGTTATCAGTCAATCAGCCCTATTTCACGTTGAACGACAAAAATATATCGTTGTATGGCGGATCAATGCACTATTTTCGAGTGCATCCCCAATATTGGAGAGACAGGCTGAGGAAAATGAGAGCTGCGGGATTAAATGCGGTCCAGACTTATGTGCCTTGGAATCTACATGAGCCACAACCAGGTACTTATTACTCATGCATGAGTCCGGTTGAGCAAAAGTCCGGAATAAAATTATTATCTGTTGAACCAGTCATTTAATTACCGTTGTTGATCAGTGAACTTCGAAAAGGAAATAAGGTGTTGCATTTTTGTACCAAGTTTTTATTTAAGCAAAGGTTCGCCTTTTTTATGAAAAAGTCATTCAAAATTAAAGATATGCTATCGATATTACGTTTTACCAACGCTTGGGAGCCTGTCAAGTAAATGGTGGAGAACATAACTTTTTTTAGGGATTGAAAAAAAATCACTTTATTGGCAACAAATCCATTCAATATAAAATCAATTCACGGGTTTCAGCGTTTTTTGTTTAAATTACTGGTTCAAAAGATAATAATTTTATTTCGGATTTTCGCCCAACTCTGTAGAAGAATGTTTTGGTTATATTATTTATCGCAATTCTTAGGGATTTTTTTTTCTTTTAATAATATCGCAAAATGTACTCTTTTAGTAGATAATATTTTTGTCTTGATGGAAATGATAACTTTATAATGAAGTATAATCAAAGACATTATAACTAGTTTGTAAATGTCTTTAAGTATAATAATACTCTGTACAACCGTATAATACACCCTATATATAGTAATAGTTTTAGCTTTCCTTCCTCTGTACCCCAAAGATAAATTTCCCTGTTACTTCCAGGTAAATACGATTTCGGTAAAGGCGGTACGGACATGGAGGAGTTCCTCGACGTGGAGAAGTTCCTGAAAACGGCCCAAGAGGAGGATTTGTTTGTGATCATGCGACCGGGGCCTTTCATTTGCGCCGAATTCGAATTCGGCGGAATGCCCAGCTGGTTATTAAGAGAACCAAACATCAAATTCCGAACCTCCGACGAGGTTTTCATGAAATACGTGACCAATTACTTCATGGTTTTGCTCAGCCTTCTGGCGCCGTTCCAGTTCACCAAAGGAGGACCTATCATTTCCTTTCAGGTGCCACAATCGCCCTTCATTAACCAACTTTATTATTTATAACCTTTAGGTTGTTTCAGGTTGAAAACGAATACGGCTCCACCGGACAAACCGATCCGCCATTCACGCCCGACAAAGTCTACATAGAGCAACTCCGCCAGCTGTTCCTCACCAACAACATCACCGAGCTGCTCTTCACCTCCGACTCCCCCGTCGCCTCGGGCAGCTCCGGCTCCCTCCAAAGTCTATTCCAAACGGCCAACTTCGGCACCGGCGACCCCGCGCCCGACTTCGACAAGCTCAAGGAGCTCCAAGGCGACAAACCCGCCATGGCGACGGAGTACTGGTCGGGCTGGTTCGATCACTGGTCGCAGGACAAGTACAACGGCAGCGTGCGCGCCTTCGCCGACACCTTGGACATGATCCTGGCGTACCCGGCCTCGGTGAATTTCTACATGTTCCACGGAGGCACCAGCTGGGGGTTCCTCAACGGCGCCAACATGGACTCCCTCTCGCCCTCGACCTACTACCCGGATACCACCAGCTACGACTACGACGCTCCTTTGACCGAATCCGGGGACTACCACAAGAAGTACCAGGTGGTTAAACAGCGTTTGGAGGATCACGACCCCGTCAAGACCAGACGGCCGCAGATGCCCGAGCTGAAGAAACGCGTAGCTTACGATTCCATCAAAGTAAAAAGGTACATAAACTACGAGAAAATGGTGGATAAAACGGACTTGGACGCGGTGCAAAACGATAAAATCTTACCCATGGAGATGCTGCCCATAAACAACAACACCGGTCAGCAATTCGGCTATATAATTTACCGCAAAACAGACGTAACCTTACCAAAAGGTTCCAAACTAACCGTAACCGGTTACGTATACGATACCATTAACGTATACGTTAACGGTAAACGAATAACGAATAACGTTAACGATTTAGATAACTTCGGTTATTGGAGGCAACAAAATGGGTCTATAACTTTCACTACAACTTATAATAACGCTGTATTAGATCTAATCGTCTGTAACATGGGCAGAAACAATTTCGGCAGTCTAGATCAATTTTACCAATTTAAGGGACTCAAAAATCCCGTGTTATTGGATGATAAAGAGCTCACCGACTGGCACATAATCCCGATGGAATTCAAGCGGAACTGGATAGAAAATCTATCTAATTGGGATGAATTCGATAACGCGACGAAATCAGGAGCGGGATTATACGAGGCCGATTTAATAATTAACGATAATGGTGACGATATAGCGGATACTTATGTGGATATGAGCAAATGGAAGAAAGGCATTGTGATGGTAAATGGGTTTGTGTTGGGGAGATATTGGACGATCGGACCGCAACAGAGCCTGTACTTGCCCGGACCGCTTTTGAAAGTAGGAGTAAATAAAATCGTCATTTTCGAAGAGTTCTCTGGCGAGAATCAAGTAGACTTTTTAACCGATCCGATTTATTTTAATAATTCGAGGAAACCACGGAGTGGGCGACATCTATCCGTCGTTTTAACCTAAAACGGGGGAAAACAATGAATTTGCCGTTCTCTTATGTGGTTAGAGATAAATAAATTTCTCTGATTCCTTGCGATATTGAGTGAATTTTTTCACAAAAAAGTTTTGTTCAGTGCCTATGTCTAGTAACTAATAACTATTTCCGAAAATGTTTCCAAAACAGTGTCACGCAAAATATCAATTATTGTAGTGTATATAAACTATTTGAAAATTATGAAATTTATTACACTTGATAAGCATCTGTTTGCTTTATCTACTTCATCATTAGTTATGAACTATGTCCCTTTTTTTAATTGCCAGTAGTTCACAGCTCTTTCTGCCGAATTAACCTCATCACCTTTTCTTTTTTTTTCTCTTTTCCCTACACTTGTTTAAATTCTGTGCAACTTCCAAATGCATCCAGATCCTTATTTCTAAAATGAAAAATTCTTCATTTCGTAGAGAATATATTCAAATAAACTAGCTCACTGATTGACCTATAACAAAGCAGCAACATGTTTACAATATCCAGATTGCCCATCTTTGCAACTACAAACATATTTTTTTAAACAAATATTTTTCTAATATTCAAATCTTCAACCTGACACAAGATGATGTGGTCGGCTAGAAAAACTGCTTTATCTTACACTATGGGTCTACTCTTTCCATCTAGATAAGATAAAATATCTGCCAAAAGAACTACTACAACAAGCATTTAAAAAAATACGATAAATCACAAGTAATAGACGGATAAATTGAATTTATTTCACCACACTAATAAACGGGATTTCCAATGTTTTCCCCCACGGTTTGTAGAATAACAAATTCTATTAGTCTACAAACCGTGGTGTTCCCCCAGTTTGATTTGACAGTTGTCAAATTAAGACGCCACCTGGTGGCCATGAACACCTCGAATAGGCCTTGGGTTGAATGGAAAGGCGCCTACTTCGATTTTAATTACCTATATTTTTTAATTATTTATTTTTAATCTGTTTGCATTGATTTACATATTTTTAAGATTGGAATTATTTCAGTGGTTTTTGGAAACATACTTGATCGTCTCTTTTGACTATACACTAATTCCAAAATAGTAGGCACTAAATTCTCAGAAATGATTGCGATAATGGGTCTCTCCCAGTGGCGTACGGAAAATATCGTAGGCTACAAGTGTGTTTGATGGGAAAATCAGCAGGAGACTAATAATTAGAAGAGCAAGGATTATGTAATAAATAAGAAAAGCGACAATATTTCCGAGAATTTAGTGCCTACTATTTTGAAAATAGAGTATAGTATAATTATATCGTATCAAAGGAATAAAATCATCACATCAGATGGGCCTAGTTTTAGTAGGGTTTTAGTAATTTAGTAACTTAAATTCAGTTGGCAGCAATGGATATAAGTATTGAGTGTTCTACAAATGAGGAAAATATATGCAAGCATTTGAAGGGAGACATTTTTTATTTTTTTAACGATACATATACCAAAATCCTTTAATACCTAGCTGAGGGTAATTGAAATGAATTGTGATAATTTGGAAACGAACAAAATAGTGAAGAATTTTCTTACCTTGAATCTGAGATTTCCAATAGGCGGCTGGGCATAAGGGACGCCCAAAAAGCAATAAAATTCCTCGCCGTCCAGATTTTTTCTGACGCATCCTCGCAATTGTCCTTCGATGGTTTCTACTACGGGTCCTTCCATTTTTGATCCTGCAATTTAACCTTTCGCCACAAAATATTGCCGCTAAACTGGATATAACTAGCAATCGGCGCCGCATTTTAAAACAGGTTTATCAAGTATGAAAGTAAACAATTTAATATGTATCTACATAATGGAATTAACTTTCACGGTTGAATTACTTTCTACATAATACGAGTAATGTAGGTGTGTAAATTTTATTTTTAAGCTTTATCGCATGTTTGCGATGCACTATAGCATTTTGCCATTTATTTGCCGTTTATTATTTAGTAGGTCTGGAAGCTCTGATTATTTTGTATTATAGGAAGTGTTGCGCTTCTTGTGACTTTAGTTTGAAGGTTCACGGAAAATCCGCTAGGAACGCTAGTGTCGGGTAGGGTTCTCAATACACTTCAGTACGATGCACGAATCGTCATCAATCCTCAAATTAAATTAAAATTGTCGTAAGTTAAATAAAAATGATATTTTAAAGGCAAAATAGTGGAATGAAGGAAAATTGGCCTTATTAAGGCACGATTAAACAATACTTTAAAAAAAATCTTTAGATAAACATTGTAGATCGAATAATGTTGCATATCTTTTATTTGAAACATTTTTTTGTAAAATCAATAGGTACCAAGTAATCGCCAATGGCGCACTTTCAACCCCTATAGCGCAAAATGCCAGAGGGGTGAATGTGTGATATCTTCGGTTTTATGATCACCCACCCACCCCCTACCATCCCTGAAACGTTCGTTTGGGTAGAAGTTCTTTTTTTGAAAATCGACAATATTCCTAGACTACAAAGTAATTGCCAGTTAGAAGACGAATCCATAAAAGAAATTGCTTTTTGTGAGACATCTCGACAAGAAACGTGTTTATGATTTATTATTAAAAAAATTACACCTGAGTACTCCTGAGTACAAGTTATACATATTTTTAAGAGAATATGGTGGTTGAGTTAGAAGCCTTTGTTATATATGTCCTTCTTTTACCTCATGTTTTTATGGGATGATAAAAATTATTAATTTCTATTTAATTAATCAAGAGTTAGTGGTTTCTATCAACCTTTCAAAAAAGTAAGTTCTCTGCCGCACCCTGTATAACTTCCAAATTGTATTTATTTAAATCATATGTGAACGTTTTATATGCTTTTTATTATTTACAAATCATGTACAATTATAAAAAAAAATGTCGACACAAAGATATAAATAAATATTTTAGGTTACTTTTCACAATATTATATTAAGAGTTTTTTTTTATGTCAATGTGTTATATAATTTCATAGATACTAAGGGTATTTCTCCGATCCGTGTTTTCCGAATTTTGTAGTTATCACATAAGTCTTTTTAACGATACATTTGATTAAACAGCCTTAAGAGATATTCGTTAAAAAATAAATAAATTGCAGAAAACCAGATAGATCAGAAATTATTAGCGAGCTATCATAAATCACTTCAAAAATCACCAAATCTAGTGACTTTCACTCGACCCGGCAACTTTGCCTGCCACTTCAAAATCACCAAATTAATTTCAAGCTGGCTTCGGTCGGATCTTCTCGTACATAACTACCTGCCCTTTATTCTTGCTAAAAATCTTCTTAACGAAATGAAACTGTTCGAGAGCGAACTCGTAGAATTCGTTTTCCATCTGCCACACTTGGCTGCTCCTGATCTTCTCCAACGTCGCGTTTTTAGGAGCATCTTTTTGCACCGTTCGCCTCAAATGGGATTTGTTGCTGCGCCGAAAGTGATCCGTAGCGCCTTCGAAGATCCCCGGAAGGGACTGTTCCAGTATTTGCACGAAATCCTCCAGTTCCTCGGTGACCCCTACTAGGAAGTAATTCGTTATAAGGTTCTTCTTGGCTTCATTTAATGCCCACTTGTTACCCGGTTTCCTTGAATAAAAAAAACATAAATCAACAATTTAGATGGATAGTGAATGTTTGATTTACCGACAGTTCGCCGCATGGCCGCAAAAGAACGGGATCTGCAGCCACATGTTGTTCGGATCACACTCGGGTACTTGTTGCATGACGCACTCATCGAATGTCTACGAAAGTTCGATACAGATATAACAGTTACAAGGCAACATATATCAAGGTCTCACCATTGTATTACCGTGCTTTTTCCTCACAAGATACGGTCTAAAATTGTCCCCGTATCTGAGAAAGTAATAGTAAGATATGAACCTATCTAACGGACGACGAATGAGATTGATAAACAACGGTTTGGGCGCCCCGAATCTAAAAATTAAATTAAATATTACTTGTTCGAGGAATGAAAATAGCTAGTTCTTACTTTGAGAAATCTATAAAGGCAAAATGTCCGTGATATAGGGCGGGTTTCATGCTATTCCAATTGGTCACGTTCTGTACAAACTTGAGCTGATTGTCTAATGTAATTGTATGGCTGTTTGCCGAAATATTGACGTGCAGTACGTGGAATTTGTTCTTTTTACATAGATCGTAAGCTACTCCTACGAAACTGGTCGAGCCAGTCTTGGGTACTCGATTGTATATTAGAATTAAATCTTCTACTTTTAAGAGAGGTTTCTCTCTTAACGAAGCATCGATATGCTCCTGGTGCTTCTCTGGAATTTAATCTAGCGGTTGATAACTGCTATAAATTAGAAGATATTTATAGTTACCGATAGCATGAATTTTTTCTTGAATTTTTGCGATTTGTGATTGATACAATATAGCCAAAAATCCGAAAACCACGAGAAGCAACAACAGGTAAGTTAATCTTGGTATTTTCTTGATTATTAACATGATTTTAGCGAAGTAACTTCAAATTCATTGATATTTTACCCACATTCCATTGAAATATTTTGTAAAAGTTCTAAAGAAACTATAAATATTTCTTTATTTATCAATTCAATCAACTGTCACTTTTCATAACATTTTATCGGTTAGATTCTTCTTCTTATTTAACTATATGGTCTAGCACAGCATATTATTCAACTATTAAAGGAATAAAAAATGTCACACCTTTAAAAACATTATTCATTGAATATAAATTTATACGTTATAATTTTTTCAATATATCTAATAAAATAAATAAAATAAAACCTAAAATTATGTTTTTCAGCAAAAGAAGAAATTTGGATTCTTTGTCAATGTCAAATTTTTCGCGTTTCTGTCAAACGTCAAACGCATTAAGTCAATATATCAAACGATGGGCTCGTGAAAACGAATATTGTTGTTGAAGTAGCATAAAATGGAAGCTTTACATTTATAATATAACTTTATTTTTTACAAGTACGTTCGCCCAGCGATTAGTATTACCCCGCGAAGTGATATTACCCTGTTATCGAAACCCGTGAAAAAAGTGCGATAATTGTGGTACAGTGAGTGACGGAAATATGTCGTATCCAGGCCGTCCACCGATGATGCAGGGCCTTCCGATGGCCTACATGCCGATGGGCGCACCTACGACGCCCCTAATGCCCGCAGTGATGCCCATACAACACGTAAGAACGCTCACAAACACCGATCATTTGGGGGTAAACAAATTCTCTTTCAGATGGTCCCCATTCAGGTGTCCAGCGCGCCCCAAATCAGGGCCTTCCCCAAACTCAACCCCAACAGGGATCAACAGAAGCAATTGCAGGGTCCGGCCGTTACGGTTTTCGTAGGTAAGTCCCCCCAGCAATTAACTAAACCTCAATTATATTAATTGATTGCAATTACAGGTAACATAACGGAAAGGGCTCCGGATACGATGATCAGGCAAATACTGGGCGCTTGCGGCCCCGTCATCAGTTGGAAGAAGGTGAAGGCGTTCGGTTTTTGCGAACTGGCCGGACCCGACGCCGGCTTGAGGGCAGTAAGACTCTTACACGATCTCATGATCGGCGATAAGCGATTAGTCGCGAAAGTCGATGCTAAAACTAAAACGGTCTTAGACGAATACAAAGGTAAAACGATCGATTTATTCGTCGCATTTATAATTTTCATTTATACAGCCAGGTTACTGAGTTACCCGTGACCAATCGTGAATTACATTGTGATAAGGTTTAAACGTACAATGCATGTAGATGTAGTATTTTTTAATTTAATGTGTATACAGGGTGCTTTTTTTAATATACAGAAGAGGAAAAAAACTTCATATGTCTTAAAACTACAATTTAATATTACCTAATTTCTGCACAGCGGCTAATGCAGTAAATGAATTTAATTTTTTTTATGTGAAACGGTTAGTCGTATAAAAAAAAGTCAAGAAATCAAATTTGTTCTAAATTGAAAGGGGCCTCCAAAAATCCACTTACCCTCAAAAATATTTGACCTGAGTCCAGTACAGGCGCCACTGTTGGAAATAAAAAAATGTTTAGGTCAAAAAATACTCTTTAATGCATAAACGCCATACACCAAATTTTATAAAAATATTTAAAGTGGTATGAAAATGACAGTAAAAAATTGAATTTTTTTCTTATCTCCCTATATCTCAAAAGTTAAGACGTTTAGGACAAGGTTCATATGAGGTTTGTTTCTTAAAATGGGCCCAAGAATCACCCCCCGTTCATTCATCATGTTATTAAAAAACAGATTTGTATTCCTTGTGATGTTGAAATTTGTGGTGATTGATTTGTTTTTGTGATTTTTAAGCCGAGCGAAGGAAAAAGCAGAAGGGTTCGATGTCGCCGTTGCAGGACGAGCCCGAAGAGGAGGAGCTCGATGAAGAGACGCAAGTGATGGACGTCGCCGCAATGGAAAGGATCAGGCAGATAATCAAGGATCACGAGGAGGAAATGAAAAATTTCGAATCGAAAAAAGAAGGTACGTATAGTTATGTATGTATCTTTCTAGAAGCCAATTGAATTAGGCATTTGAGGATACCTACTTAATTGATTGTAAATGGGTATCTTGTGCTTATTTTCAGTTTTTTTAAATGTACCTAAAAGAGAAAGATTTTATTGATTAGTACGCATTTCTTGTTCCTAAACATCTTACACATCCGAAAGGGGGCGATTCCTTGGCTTATTTCTGACTAAAAGTTCATATAAACATCATATAAAGTCCGCAAACGCTTCGATACCGATCTACAGGGTGTTGAAATTTCAAAATTTTTCAAAATTTTATGATTAGGCGTTTAAAAATTATTACCTCACTAAAGGGTCTACATTTCATTGGGACACCCTCTATAGCAAATATAGTAATATTGTAAGAAATGCAGTATGCTGTATATTTGTATTTGTACTAATAATTTGTATTTCTTAGAGGAAGTAATCGAAAAGTGGAACAAAGTTTTGGCCGAGGCCGAAGTGGAAGAGGAGAAAAGAGACTTGATTACGAGGGAAATCGGCAAATTTCGCGAAATAATGAAAGTAAGTAAACAGTAGCAATTTTTTTTTTCGAGTAAAACGTCAAAAAAGCCAAGTCAAAAAAAATATTAGCAATCTTCGAATAAATGAGTCCGTGTAAATTTCCACGTGCAATTGGCGCGACGTTAGAGTTTATACGTGGGATGGGGGAGGGTAATCGGGGTGTGGGTTTTTTTTTCTCTATATATTTATTTATTTTGGGATTAGAAATAAGTTTGCGCTTATATTGGTGCTTGAAACCGAACAGGCAAATGGAGACGGCGCAGTCCCTCCTAGGTTCGGCCCGAGGCGCCGCTGGTGAGTAATGCGATAATTGTTCAAATATAATTTTGTATATTCATTTTCAACTCTCCCTAATGCTACATGTCCATTTGAGTGTTGTCCTGAGAACAACTCTCGGGAGTTACTCTCAGGTCTTTGTCCATTGGAGAGGAAACTCGCGAATTTATACTCTTTGAGAGTGTCCAAAATGCTAGTTGGGAGATTTAACTAGAGTTTGAAACATTTTTAGCACTTTAGCAACTTTTTAACAGATTAATGCCCGGTTTCTCGACCTTTCGCGTTTAACTATCGCTTACTATTGAGAACTTAACTGAACGTTATAGTTGTTGCATACTTAAACTTGGATTTCGAGTCGAGAAACCCGATTCCGAAGATTAACTGGACTTTATTGAAAAGTTAACTTGTTGAAAGGTTAACTTTTAGTTATCGCAGAGTCGAGAAACCGGACATTAGTTACTTTTATTAAAAATCTATTTACCAGTCATGATGAATGCCAAATTTTAACAGTTTTTATAAATTTCTGATTAATATATTTTTTTACTTTAACATTTTCTACCAGTTTAATGATTAATAAAGAGATTTTTGTTGTCGACTTGACAATAACTGGATCTGAAAAAGGTGCTATGAAATTAATTTTATTATTAATAACGGACTAAAAACGTTCCAAACTTTGGAGATTTAAAAATTGTTTAAATGCTAAAAATTGAGAATTATCTCAAAAAATGTGGGTTATAGAAAATTACAAAGAGTCTAAAATTATTATAAACAAGTCGATAAATCTAGTTTCGATTCAAAAATTAGGTAAATAATATGGGCGGAAGAATTAGGGCTCTAAGTTTAAGGTTTTTTTACAAGCCTTAAGGCCTTGTAATTAAATAGACGATAGATATGTGGCTGGTCTCTCACTATTTATTTATATACCTTTACTCTCGGAGAGCACTCTCAGAATACTGATTTCATTTGAATTTTTCTAGTTAATCTCGATAGTACCAAAAACGTTGTGTCGACTTGATAGCACTTCGCGACATGTTAACTCGCTAAGACTATAATCATTATAATCATTAATTCTCAAATAGTTACTCTCACATTTGTCCACTAGCGAGAACTACTCTCGAGAGCCGCTCTCGATAGTTTTTTCTCTCAAATGGACACCTAGCATAACTCTAGATTAGTTATTTCATTATGTATGTTACGTAAAATATTTTTATTTGTTACCCCTTTGCTTTAAAGAGGTTTCCAAGTGATTGATATATGTAAATTGGAGAGTTAAAAATGTCCTTTTTTTATTTTAGTTTTAATCACGTTTTTATATATAAAAATATGAATTAAATTGTAACAAATTGCGGACAGTGTTGTTAAACTTTGAAGATTTTTCTTAAATCTTATGTACATTCATATTCTACCATGGTTGTGCTAAATGTGTTGTTTTTAAAGGCGTCTCCATTAATTTTTTTTAAATTTGGGAACAAATAGCGTATTCAAAATTTTGTTCAATTTTAAACTTAAAACTTGCCCTAAAAACTTGACATTTTTCCATCGGTTTGGCAACACTGCCAGGGCGAAAATCGCGGAATCGCCGGCCGAAATTCGATTTGTTACAATTTGCCCTTGCAAATTGAACTATTACTTGTATCGATATTTTTTTAATATATTATTAGATAGAACATTAGATATATTCTCTCGTGTCTACACAAACGCACGTTTCAGGATTTCTCCCCTAAGTGATCTACGAGTGTAAGTCATTTGATATTAATCTGTAGAATTACGTTATTTATTTATTTATTTTAACCATTGTTTAGTTCATTTTTTTAGAAGATTTTGCAAAAACTTAACACTAATACTAGACAGTTTTGCGAATTCTTCGCTTTCGAACGTTCTCATACAAGCTTTATTGTGTACATTTATAACAAAAATGATCCTAATTTGTTCAATTTCCAGCAAAAAAAAACAGTATTTCCCGACAATTTAACGTTCTTCTCTTATCGCTCGAGAAACACTGTTTACATTGCACCTCTAATCCAGAACAATAATTTACATTCTAAACCATTACAGCGCAAAAAATAAAAGCCTTTTGAGCAAATTGTCCGATGGGTAATGGTATGATTACATTTTTTTTTTAAATATTTACATTTCTTAAATTACTCTCGTTACACGCCGATTAATGCCCCGCTAAACGGACGTTTGTCTTTTTTATTTTTAGAAGCAAGAGGAAGAGAAGGAAGTGCGCAAGAAACGCGAGGAGAAAGTGAAGGAGAAGTCGCGGGATCGCGACCGTTCGATCACCCGCTCGCCGAGTCCGCAACGGAAGAAGGACGACAGCAGGAACAAGAGACGGAGATTGTCCAGATCTAGGTAAAGACCGTTCGAAAACATTTGTTATCCGTATACAACTGTTGTAGGTTGTATATTGTACTGTTAAAATGTATTGGCTGGTCGAAAAGGCTCTTTCGATATCCCATTTAGAACCGGTTTTATTCGGTTCAATCAGTTAGGCCAGTTAGTTGAATCAGTTTAGTCGATACAATGACTTAGTGAGTTCAATTAGCTCAGTTCAGTTGGTTTAGTCAAGTTAATAGGGGTTATTCAACATGTTCAATCAATTGATTTCATTCAATCAATTCAACAAGTTTAGTCGGAGCTATCTTTTCAATCAGTTAATTATCTCTAGTTCAGGTCAATCAAATCGGTTTGTTCGTTCTTTTCAACCAATTCAATCAGTTGATTAGGTTGAAGTAGTTCAGTCAATTCAACAAGTTTAGGCAGTTAATTTAGTCAGTACAATCAGTTCAATTAGTTCTATTCAACGAGTTTAGTTTACTCAGTATTCAATCAGTCTATTCAATGAGTTCAATCAGCTCTAACCCACCTGTTTGTTCATTTCAATCAGTTCGTCGTTTCAATTAGCTCTAGTTTAGTTCAATCAAATCCATATGTTTGTTCTTTTTAATCAGTTGATTCAGATCAATCAGTTCAATCGGTTTAATTAGCACTAGTTTAGTTCAATCAAATCCAACTGTTCGTTCATTTCAATCAATTCAATCAGTTGATTAGGTTCAATCAGTTTAATCAATTTAACAAGTTTAGCCAGCTTGTTTAGTCAGTGCAATATATTCAATCGGTTTAATTAGCTCTAATTCAGATTAATTTAATTCATCTGTTTGTTCATTTTAATCAGTTGATTCAGTTTAATCAGTTCAATTAATCCAAGGAGCTTAATCAGTACAATCTAGTCATTCAGTCCAATCGGTTCAATCAGATCTCGTTCAGTTCAATCAAATCCATATCTTTGTTCATTTCATTCAATTCAATCAGTTGATTTAGCTTAATCAGTTCAATCAATCCAACAAGCTTAATCAGTGCAATTTATTCAATGAAATCCATTGTTATATTACAGGTCGCACGAGAAGAGCTGGGAGCGCGACAGAAACGAGCGAGACAGAGGCGAGCGAGACAGAGGCGAGCGAGACAGGGGCGAGCGCGACAGAGAGCAACGCGAACGGGACAGGGAGCAGCGCGAGCGCGAACGAGAGAAGGAGAAGGAGCGCGAGCGGGAGCGAGAGAGAGAACGGGCCGAGCGCGAGCGCGAGAGAGAACGCGAACGGGACAGGGACAGGGAGAGGGAGCGCGAACGCGAGCGGGACAAGGATCGAGACAGGGAGGAGCGCCGGAACGGGCGCGACCTCCTCAAGGAGAAGGAAATGGAGGAGGAGGCCAAGGAGAAGAAGAAGGCCGAGAGACGGGCCAGGGAGAAGGAGGCCGCCTATCAGGAGAGGCTCAGGTAACTGTTACTCGACGAAACGGCCACCTCTAATGCGCTTTTAATTGGGAAAAATTTGTATTGTAATAGAGGTGGGCGTCGATAAAAATCACGGTTATGTGAACTATTGCGTTTCGTAGGGCGTGGGAGACGAGAGAGAGGCGCAAAGCGAAGGAGTACGAGAAAGAACGGGAAAAGGAGCGTATAAAGGAGGAGGAACGGGAGCGCGAGGCCAAAGAATTGAAGGAATTTTTGGAAGATTACGACGACGAACGGGACGATATCAAATATTACAAGTAATTGAGCGGTTTACGTTTCGATTTTATGTATTTATTCGTTTCTTTTTTTTTTAATTTTTAAGGGGTAGGGAATTACAGAAAAGGGTGACCGAGCGATTGAAAGAGGCCGAAACGGACAATCGCGATCGATTGAAGGAGAAAGAGGAGATAGAAGAATTGAAGAATAGGATATTCGCCGGTGAGCACGAGGATCCCAACGCGGAATTCGAAAAAGTCCGTTTCATTTCAATTTCATTTGTTCTTTCTATTTTTAATTCGCATTTCGTTTTAGGCCAAAAAAGAACGCGAAGAACTTTACAAACCGAAACTGCTGATCGACGTCAACCTCGAGCATTGGAAGCAAAAGGAGAGGGAGAAAGAACGCGAAATGGAGAGGCAGAAAGCGCGCGAACGCGAGCGAATGAGAGAAATGGATAGAGAGAGGGATCGACAACGAAAACGCGAGGAAAGGGAAAAGTAAGTTGTACATGTACAGGGTGTCTGGCTAAGGGTACGAAGAAAAATAAATTGATTGCCTGAGTTAAAGAAGTAAAAAAATAACTTTTCTATCATAATTTTCTTATTACTCCAGATATTCTTATGAAGTTTTGTACACTCTTTTTAATTATTAAGGTGCATTTTTTGAGACAAAAGATTTTTTAATTTTTACCAGTGGCGTCCGTACGGGGTTTGAACTGAATATGTTTGAAGAAAAAAATGGTACGCCATTGCTTTTTCTAAAAAGCAAAATTATTTATCAAATCCTTATTAATTTTTGAGCAAATTCTGTCCGAAGACTTACTTTCGTACGATGCACCATTTTCGCGTAAAAAAATAAAAACCAATTTTTTCCAAGTTCATTTGAGACTGCTTTTGAGATTTTGTTGAAGTTTGGTAGGCTCCAATGCATTGAAAGACTATTTTTTATTTGGGTAAAAAATTAATTTTCTACTATTACCAGTGACGTCCACGTCCGAAATTTCATAAAAATATCTGGAGTAACATGAAAATTATGATTAAAAGTTATTATTTTTCTAAAAATGTAACACCCTGTAGTCGAGAGTCACATCATCCGCAACACATTTTCAACATGAGTTGCCCGACCTATTGTTATTATACGACCGTGGTTACTATAGTTATTTACTTTTTCAAATATACAAATTTGCCATTTATACTAATTTGGTAATTTGTGGTTATGAGTTCCGCATGAAGTTAGGAATAATATCATAATACCAACATAATCTTGGTTATTTTTAAGAAAACTGTCTGTTTACTATCAGTTACTTCAAATATCATGGTGAATAACAAATATATTATTAACCGACTGTTAATTTTTATCAGACTGCCACTTACAAGGTTGATAAGCCGAAATTGTTGAATATGTGCGTACGAATCGAGCGGCAACTGGCTTTGTTCCTTCTTACCGCCCACTATCCCCAAAAAATCACGGTACTGTATACTAACCCAACTTCGCATTTCAGATACGTAATGGAGCAAGCCGCCCAAGAGCTGGCCGCCGTCAAAGCGGAGCCCATAGACAGCGACAGCGACATCGAAGCCGAGAGCGGTCGCTACAGCCCGGCGCCGCCGGAGCCCGTCGAGCCCGACGACGACGATTCGTCGTCGGCGGCGGCCCAATGGACGCAGGTGCGGGCGCCCGACGACGATTCCGACCATTCGCTGGCGTCGAACGGCGACGAGCGCGGCCAAGCGACGGCGGCGCCGCCGCCGCCTGCCGGCACCGGCATGAAGATCACCTTGGCCAAGCCGATTACGTTGCAATCGCCTACGGGCGATACCAAACGGAGGCGGTCCGATCTGAGGGAGGTGTTCAATCCGGACGAGGACGATAGTAGTACGCAGATTAAGAAACGGAAATTAGTGCCGTTAGGTTGGTATTTTGGTTTTTTTTTATTTTGAAGTATTGTCTCGTCAGAATAGGAGAAAATAAATAGTAAAATCATCTGAAATTACATGAGCTCTTATGGGCGGAAACTTCGGGATGGTTTAAAAAAGAAACTAAACGAATAAATTGTGGATGAAAAACTTTGCATAATTAAATGCAATATTCTCCGAAGACACAGGTAATTTTGAAGTATTTGTCGTTTTGATGAAAAACCATAGACCCATTAACTATGGACGCGGTTTAGACAAAGAGGTAGTGTTGTCGATGAATGAGAGAGACGCGGCTAGTTTGGGCATATGGCAATGAGAGATTGGACAATGCATTAGCCAATAGTAAGAAAGCAAAAGACCACGTGAGTTACGTTTTCAGAAATGCAAGGTAGCTGGGGTAGAGGAGGGTAGCTTATGGTAGAATAGGGTTGAGGAGTGCAGCGGAGGGTATAGAAATGGTAGCGTTTCTATTTATTATTTAATAATTTATTATTTTCTTGCCGAGCAAAATGCATTTTTCAGCTGAGCCTAAATTCCCACGCATTTGCAAATACAGTTCTTATTTTGTATTGTTAATTGTAACCTCCTACCTATTAGCCAGTACAGATTTTGCAATTTAAGACCTAGCTGCTTTCTCTTGTAAAAAATATGTTTCTTCCAGGTCATTCTTCTGTCCAAGTGGATACCAAGATATTTTACATCTTTTTGTGGTATTTGTTTTTTATTGATAAATACAGGTGGACAAGTTTCTCTGCGGGTCGTAAACAGGTAAAATTTGAACTCGATTCGCTCGCTGGATTTGTTGCATTACTGTAAAACATATCGTTGTTGACTAAAAATGGTCAACATCGGTTTCCCTGTAACTTTAATGCGGCAACGCTACAAACTCTCAACTGTCCGTTGTTATCTGTTTCTTGTATTTTAATCATGATTTTACGCTTTAAGAAGCATGCACGATTCCCACAATTTTTTGCGATGCTTGAATATTTTTAGAGACATATTTATGCCTTTATATCGGCAAACTTTATCATCAAGAACATTGTTGACAATGTATTATAGGTTAGAAACGAACCTAATTTCATTTAAAACGATTGGGGACTGCCCCAACCTCCTTAAAATCATCGATAATGCAAAAGTTGGCTGTATAAGTTAAAAAGTTGGATTAAACAACAACAAATTTTAGACTCCCATACATACCCCTGCTCTGTGTCTGTTCTTATGTGGGACACCATGTATACAACTCCCTTAACTACCTTCGGCCAAACAAAAAAAAATTCAATTCCTCATCTGATGATTCTCTCCCGCTTCCAGACTATAACGAAGATAAGAAAACGAAAAAGGACGGCAAAGAGAACGGCGAAAAGAAGCCGGACGATTCGAAATCGCAGGAGGAGAAGCGCAAAAACATAAAATCGTTGATCGAGAAAATACCGACGGACAAAGAGGCGCTGTTCGACTACAATTTAGATTGGAGCGCCATCGACAACGTGTTGATGGAGAAGAAGATTCGACCGTGGATCAACAAGAAGATCATCGAGTACATTGGGGAGCCCGAACCGACGCTCGTCGATTTTATCTGTTCCAAAGTATTGGCGGGATCCCAGCCCCAGATTATCCTCGAGGACGTTCAAATGGTAATTTGTTGTTGTTCGTTTACTTTGGACCGAATTCATAAAGAGACATAAAGGATAAAGTTACACTTTCTGCTAGTATCGAGAAATGAATAATTTAGAAAGTTTAAGCTCAAAGCACTTCAAATAAATGGCAGCTTTTGATTTCAATTTTCTTAAATATATAATGAAGTAGGTGATATTAAAAATAGAAGATATCATTGATTGAAGTCTCTATATTAGATATAAAAAAGATTAAAATCAATTAAGGAAACCAAATTTGAATCTTACTTGAATTACTGAACCTATGTTTCCCATTCAAAAATACCCCGAAGTGGCGTCTTTAAAGTTAAAGTATCCTTGATGTCTCTTTATGAAATTGGCGGTTACTAATTGGTCGTTTCGATTTGATTTTTAATTGGTTTTGACCGTTTGATTTGCAGGTGTTGGACGAAGAGGCCGAAGTGTTTGTGGTGAAAATGTGGAGGTTGCTGATTTACGAAGTGGAAGCGAAAAAATTAGGTTTAGGCAAATAATACGAGGGACGTTATTTTTTACTTATGTATATAAGAAATTCGTTTTCTATTGTTAAGTTCTCAAATTTTGTCATTGTATAAAAAAATAATTAAAATTTGAATTTCGACTATTTTATGCGTACAAGTGTGCAACTAACGCTCGATTATCTCCGTTAATTTATATATTTTTCTTTTTTTCTTTTTCACAGGGATGGAACATGGAACTTATTCACGTCGAAAACACTCTAATGAAACTGTGGGATTTTAGTTCAAATAATTTTTGTTTTCAACTCTTTAGGGCTAGCATTTTCACCTCTTATCCTTTATGTAAATTTCCCCATGTTTAGGTGAAAATGCTGGATTGACAAAAAGAATAACAATTTCCTTTTATAATGAAAGAAAGTATTTTTTTTAAATAATAACAAACCTATTAGTTATCAATTAATTATTAACAACGAATATTCAACTATAGCAACGGGGTAAGGTAATAATATCATTAAATAACTATTTTGTTCTTATCTATAGCCAAATATGCGTTACTAACGTGTATATACAACATTTACAATCACAAAAAGACAGTCAATATAAACGCAACAGACTAGATTTTTTTTACATGCACAATCGATTTTACCGTATAAAGGATTAAAGCGGAATTGAATTTAGGCCAAACAAATACTTCAGTACTTTCATCTCGAGTGTTGGATAAAAAATTTAAAAACGTCGGCAGTGTATATAAATGCTCACAAAAATAAGGCAAGTAGCCAAATTATTCATCAAATTTCCTCGATACAGAGTCTAATTTAACAATTTCGCATAATTCTTCCAAATGCTGGTTCCCCTGTATATGAGCAAGTTTCGATCAAACTACTAAAAATCCTCCATCGACCGAACCTCGCCCAATCAATACTGTTCAATACTTTAGCAAAACATAAAAAATCACCTGATACAAGACACTATTAAAGTCAAATTGGCACAATTGTATATGTAAAAATATCCAAATTTTAAATGAAATCAACGTCACCGACAACAATATATATCGTACGATATAAATTTTTCCTCGAGTCCTTTACCTTTGGTTACGAACAACGGGCTATTAGAGTGGCGTGGTGGAGCCCTCGGAGCACGTCGAATCCCGCCTGCAGCTGATCGAATGCTGCAATGCCATCGGCATCAGCCACTCCTTGGGCAGACATCGCTCCAAAAACGGCACCCAACTGCTGAAATACGCCAATCTGTTGATCCACGGCGGGATGTCATTGCCGCATAAAATCTACACGCAATACAATTATTATTATTATTTATGTAATATTACCATTATTATGTACCGGATGTACGAGCCAAGACTAAATGAATTTGAGGTTGAGGTTGATCATTCTAAATGATTCAGGCCTAGAATATCTTAGTAATACAGGGTGTCCCAATAAAAAGTAGCCCCTTTAATGAGCTAATAATTTTTAAACGCCTAATCATAAAAACATGCAGTTTTCGTAGATATATCTTATTTTGCTATACCTTTTTGTTACAGTGACACAAAATTTTTGTATCGTCTTGTTGCTTCTGAATCATTTAAAACGCTCTCGCATCACATTTAGAAGTGTCTAGAATTATTTAAAACGCCCCGGAATCATTTAGAACTATCTAGAACCATTTAGAACGCTTCAGAATCATTTATAACGCTCCTGCATCATTCAGAACGCTCCAGAATCATTTGGAACTGTCTATAACCATTTAGAACGCTCCATAGTAATTAAGAAATGTGTACAATCATTTATAACGCCCCAGAACCTTTTAGAACGCTTTAAAAAAAGCTATGTTTGGTACGGCTTCGATTTATGGGCCACCCTGTATATTTCAAAATAAACTGAGTAAATGAGCTTTACCGCACTATTGGTACACCCTGTATAATTAATTGAAGCTTTAGCTTACTTTACAGAAAGCTCCCGAAAAGTGATTACAATTGTTGTTCATCAAATGGTATCTGTTACCCCTAAATTCCTTTCCCAATTCATTTATGATTCTTTTAACGTCTTCTTCGGTAAAATCCGTGTAGCCTATGTGGATGGTTTGCCTACCAAACGATTTATATTAATTTTAAATATAACGCTATAACAACACGTACTACCTAAATTTGAACTGTTCTCCTAATTCGTTCTCGTCCCGGGGTATATTTTCGAATATGCCAGTAAACGAATATTGGTGGCCTCCGTAGGCGTATTCCGTTCCGTATATCTCGACGCCTGAAACACCTAGCGTTACTTCCAAGGAAAATGGCAACGTTTATAAATAGCTCACCGGAATGGAACACCCCCAGGCCGATGTTACTGGTGAATTCGTTAATTTTGTACATGTCGTAGACGTTGAGCAGCACCGGTTCTCTATTTGTCTTGGTGGGAAGGAGCTCGTCCGAGCCGGAGTCTCTTATGTTCATGCAAAAAGGCAGGTTGCAGGTCAGACCGTTCGAAAACATGATAAATTCCGATCAAGATGGTAACGTTTATTCGCCCGCAAAGGTGTATATTTTATCTCATGGACGTTCGTTCACATAGGAATTTTGTAATTGTCCTTTAATGGGTTAGTTTATCATTACTATCATTTAAATAATAACAATGAGAATTGGAATAATCACAAATATCACACAGATGATGACAATATTGACAATGGTGACATTTAAAATAAATGTCATAATGTCAATGTCACTTATATTTTTATGTAAAAAAAGAAGATTACATTTTAAAATAGAAGAAACAACACGGCAACACCGCTTTCTTTGAAACATCTAAAAATTAACGACTTTTGACAAGAATGACAGTTAATTGACATTTTATATTCAGCGAGTGTCGGCCTCAAAAAAACAATTATTATCGTTTTATTTAATTCCATTCCGACAATTTCCGCGCCTAATTACGTTATATTACGTTTCGTTTTCCAAATAACTCGCTCGACAGACCCCGCGCGCTCGACTTATCGTTCAATTTCAGGCGCATGTTAGTAGAAAATCCAGCATGAGCGAAACCACCGAGACGAGCGAAGCGGTGTTGGAGGGCTCGTACGTGCCCTACACGAACTCCAGTCCATTCCAATACGCCTCGTACAACTTCGAAAACACCGCCCTGGAACTGGCCAGGGCGCAATGGCCGAACTACGGCGATCAGCACTACTTGAAAGGTTGCAAGTGGTCTCCGGACGGTACTTGCTTGCTCACTGTAGTCAGAGGGGCCGGTACGCACGTCATGGAGCTGCCCAGCGATTTGTATTCCGGCGAGAGCATCCGTACCAGCCGACCTATTGTACCCCTACAACCTGCCGTTAGTGTTCCCGAGTCCGGGTTGATATACGATTACTGCTGGTATCCTGGTATGAATAGTAGTAACGCTGCAACCTGCTGGTACGTTACCTTATTCTATTCAGAGGATTCTTTAGTTATGTATTGACGTTTTAGCTGGTTATCGAGCGGTCACAGCGGGCCCGTTCACTTGTGGGACGCCTTTTCGGGGGACTTGCGGTGCACGTACAGGGGCTACAATAATCAGGACGAGATCGAGCCGGCGATTAGTTGCGTGTTTTCGGCGGACGGTCAGAGCATATTCTGCGGTTACAAGAAGAACGTGAAGATATTCCAGACGGCTCGGCCGGGCAGGGATTTCACGGAGTATCCGGTACAGCATCAGGTGTCTTGCATAGTCGCCAGTCAGGCGCAGCCGGGCGTCGTAGCCGTAGGTAATTAGATATTTATTTATTTGACGATTTAAAGGTCAGTCGGAATAGTGGATTGTTACATTTTTTTTATTAACGTTGCCGTTATTTTAGGTACGTGGAAGAATACGATAGATTTGGTGTCGCAAAGCGACGGATCATTTCGGCATCTGTGCAAGTTGAGCGGCCACAAAGGCGGCATTACGACGATGGCCTTTTCCTTGGACGGTTTCCGTTTGTATAGTGGCGCTCGTAAGGACAAGGAGATCATTTGTTGGGACTTACGTGTACGCATATTTTTTCTTTCTGATTTAATTACTTGTAGAATTGTAGGTGTTTACGATACAGGCTGGCTTAGATTTTACTGGTAGTACAAAAAATCGTGTGTAATATACAGGTAGATGCAAAATTGTTTGCAATGGACTATGGGTGCAACAAAGACAATTTCTACTAGTTTCATATTAAGAGAAAAGAAATAGTGATAATGTGGGATGGCTTCTTTCTCTCCAACAACTGTTATTTTAATTATCTTTCTTTGTTCAACTCATAGAATTGACCATATTGCAACCATACTTGCATTTATCCATATACAGGATGGCCCAGAACTCACGCCCCACAGAGAAACAACAATGGAGATGAAAAAATTGCAGCCGAAGACATGAAAATGTTTTTCCTTTGGTAAATAAAGAGGTTTAAAATCGACCAATCCCAGTAATAGTTGAATTTTAAGAAAATGATGTGAATGATCTTTAACAATTTGACATTATTGAACGGTATTATTGAAGCCTGGTTCGAATATGTATACAGTCACTGAATGGAAATTATTAAAATTTATAGAGAATGTGGACGAAACGGACGAGAAGCTAATTGAATATATCGTAAACGTTTTCCCCGAAGGATAAGTTATCTTGTGATCATCCTTTTATTTTTACAAGCAAATGCTTTGATTAATAGTCGTAGCTGATTTCGACAGCTTTTGTTAACCATAGGAAACATAGAATCTTTCAATAATGTCAAATTGTTAAAGATCATTCACATCATTTTCTTGAAATTTAACTATTACTGGAATTGGTCGATTTTAAACCTTTTTATTTACCAAAGGAAAAACTTTTTCATGTTTTCGACTGCTGTTTTGGCATCTCCATTGTCGTTTCCATAAGGCCTTTTCCAGTGGAGCGTGAGTTCTGGGCCACCCTGTATTGTACTAATCGGAGGTGAAGTCTTGCTTGTAAAACCTGGGACACCTTGTATAATTGAACAATCGTGCAGACAGTTACGCACAGTTTGTACATTTGGTTATTTTGTATTAGATTTTCATTTACTGTAATGTTTATAGCAATCTTATTTTTAATAGATTTAAAAGAGTTGATAAAAATCTAGTCTAGAAATGTTCACAAGAGCTTAATCTACTCATACAAGTATCTTCAAATATCAATGATAAAATAATTTATTACATAAGATTTAATTATGGGTTTTTACGAATCAGAAAGTATTTCGTAGGGTTTACAAGTAAATATCTAGACTGCAATATCTAGTAAATATCTAGACCTGAATCTAGACTGTGAATCATTTCGTTTAATTTTCCAGTTCGATCACTGCTCATACCATCGCTTGTTTCTCATAATCAAATGTAATTTCTTTAATGTACAAGTAATTCTCTCACTAATTGAGTAATTTTATAGTTATCTACAATTTTTGTGGCTTATTTTTTTAGGTGCCCGGTAGACCGATGTTTTGTGTACCTAGAGAAGTAAATACCAATCAAAAGATCGCTATAGAAATAAGTTTAGACGGTAAATGGTTGGTGTCTGGCGGGACTGATGGTAAGGTTCAAGTGTGGGACGTCTCCGAGCAAACTTATCCGACCGTTCATATGCAGGTGAGTCGGTTTGAATAGAAATGTCAACCTTAAATGTTTTATTTTTTAGTAAAGTAAGATATATTACGTACATATAAGCTAATTGAAATAATTGAATCATCCTTTACAATGATACAATAATGCGTATACACATAATAATATATAAGGGATGTTTCGATGTATTTTTTCGGTAGATTGGATAAGTTGATATTTGTAATGTGCAGTAAATATTTACAGGAATTATTGTGTCACCATTTAGTAACCGACGAATTAGAGCCGGGGTAACTTTTTTGTTGATATCTACCTAAACAAAACTGTTACCTTTAAAAATAAATAGGCCAGAGGAACTAGGTGACTCTCATTCCTCAAAATCCGCCATCGGTAATTGTTTGTTCGATCGCACAAAGCACTTCGATTAAACGAACATAAAATATGTTGCAGATGAGCTTGCACAGCGATTGTTGCAACGGCGTCAGCCTGCATCCCTTCAGGCCGATTTTGGCCACCGCCTCCGGTCAACATCATACCTTGGATCCTTTGCATCATACGAGGAACACGTCGCAGTACGAGAACGCTCTGTGCATGTGGTGGATCGGAGCCCAACAGGAGGACCCCGACCTGTTGACTGCTATCATCAAAGCGGCGTCGAATTCCTGATTTCGTTCTATCTGTATGTGTGTGTTCAATTTTTTAAATAATTAAAGGGCGCGAGTATTTTTTTAATTTGTCTTACATTTTTTTTTTAGGCTTGCCCGTTGAAATATAACCATAGTGGAACGAGGCTGCCCTATTCTTTCCACGCTACCGAACGGTCAGAGAGAGATAATTGAGCTGGGTCCATGTTGTCTCATTTTAGAATAGTCAGTTCGATTTCGGAAACGATCTTTTGAATTTCAAAATAGTCAAATTCATTTCAGAAATCATCATTTGTATTTCGGAATTCTTCAATATCTATAGATTTTCAATATCAATTTCAGAAAAAATTATAAAGGTATCCGTTCCAAAAGAATAATTTCGATTTCAGAAAAAAATATTTCAATTCCGAAGAGAAGTTGTTTCAAGTCCGAAGAAATAATATAAAATGTGGAGAGGACTGAGTTTTTCTTCTTCATTAATAATTGTCATATGATTTCTGCATTCCAAATGGGACTCTGAAATCCTTTTGACGGTTTCCGAAATACAAATGACACTCTCTGAAACACAAATGATAATTTCTTAAATACAATTGACTATTCTGAAATGCAATTGATGATTTCTTAAAAACAATTCACTTCTGAAATTCAATTGATTTCTAAAATCAAATTGACTATTCTGAAATACAACAGATTAGTTAGACAAGGACAGCACGGACCACAGGCAACTATCTCTCTCAAACACCTTTGACCACGAGCCTTCATTCCAGTAGTATGGTTATATTTCAATGGGCTTACCTGACCAAATAATCATTTAATTTTGATTGTTTAATCGGATTGAAAAAAAAAGCACTAGGAAATAGAACTGTAAATATTTTATTAATTGATTAATGCTGTAGCAGCATTCTAACAGAACAAATCGTGTAAATGCATTAAAGTTATAATGCTCTATCGTTTACAAAGAATTGTGTGGAGCATTTTCGTTCCTATCAAATCGAATATATTTATCATTCGTTTTTTTTTTTAACAAAACCATCTTGGAGAATACGACGAAAACTTATGAGGAAATGAATCCCATAGCGGGAGATACAATGAATTTGCGTAATTAACTCCAAGTATTTTTTTTAGAAAAGTTGCAGTCACAGCTCCTCGTTATGTCATCGTTTTCGAATAAAATTGTGTTTAGAATGTGCATACGTGTATATTCGCACATTCAGTTAGAATAGGCACAACGATTTTCTAACCATATCACAGGTAAATTTATGAATGAATCGAATAACTTGGTGGTGTTTGTGTAGTTTCTTTTGAAAAAGGAATAAAACAAAATTCTTTCTTCAACGTTATACACGTCAGTACACATTTCAAATATTTCAAAGTGAATGACGAAACCTTCGAAACGTGCAAACTTTACATATCTCACCACATCACAGGTAGTTTACTTGTTGTTAGATGAAACAAATAATTTGTTGCATCTACGATCGTTACTCTATTCAGTCACACGCATCTATTATTCAACTAAGTTAAATAAAAATAAAAAGTACAAAAAAAATAAATACGAATTAAAGGCAAAATTATTAATAATAGAACACCTGGGAAGAATGCAGTTAGAAGTAAACAGGTAAACTAAATCGAACATCGATTAAATTATGTAGAAATCGATACAGGTCGACGTTCATTTTAGTCCTGTCCAGACACAAAAAGGAATATTCATGCATTTATAACCTCCTTATACGCGCGCTTTCGTATTATAGTACGAAAGGAAAAAACCCCTCATCAAAAAAGGAAGACGTGCCCACTCTAACGTTTCGATATTCACATCATATCATCCTTACAATCTACGGATTTCTTTCTATACAACAAAAAAGAACTTCAATTAACCCTTCTTTTTATTTAAATCGTAAATTAAAAATACGCTAAGATTTATTCGCTGCGCTTACGCGTCACGTCGTCACCTGACTGTATTCTTCTTTGATCTACGGTTGACACTTGAATTATCTTCGCACTTATACAATCGATTTAGATCGTTTAATATCACAGTCAAAATGTAAATTCTTAGCGCCCTAAATAGCTGTAACTGCAACGCTATTTGAGCCCTCTCTCTATCGCTTGCCTTTACCATGCATTTTATTCGACGACTTTTCGTTACGCAACGTGCCAAATTTTTATCGTTTACACAAGCAATGTTTATTCGAGAGACGTTCGCGTAACGTAAAATGGCCGGATAAGCGGAAAGGGATTGAACGATTATTTTTTTTTTGTTTTTGTTCAGATACAAAAGAAAATAAAGAGTATAAATTGCTCAAACCGCTTATATGACAAGTTTCGATAGTGTGATTATTTTTAATCTAGTCCTTTTGAGAAACACAACTTCAGCGCGTACTTTTAAAATATATGTATATTAAAAAATATCTTCAATTAAGTATGCTTAAAATTACAAAATTAATTAAAATTATCTGCCAAACGTGTTTCTCCTAATACCAGTTGAAACTTTTTCAATCGTTCATTAATCACACCTAACAAGAGAAAAAAAATACAATTATTCTTAACAATACTTTTCCTATTATTTTTATACGTTTTTTTTCTATTCAATAGACACAAAAAAGGTTTCTTAAAATCTTCATAAATCAATCAATCAATCATTGCATACGTGTATATAATAATTAAATAATTAATAGTTATGTATCAGGGTCGCTAGTAGAAACATATTTTTTTCCTTTTCGGTATTGTAATTGTCTCAAGAAAAAAAAGTGTAACTCGAATAAATATGTATCATCAGAGAAAGAGGAAACGTGGGACAAAACACCGACATATAAGAGACTTGCGGGGTATTGGGGGAGAGGGGAGTAATTTCTGGGGGGGTACTAGTAATATAGGTACGTGTTGTAAGTATTTTCTAAAAAAGGTTTGTCGACCTTAAAATTTTATTCTAACTTTTACCACCAATCGTCACGACTATTCGAATTGTTGTGGTTGCCGCCGAAGTTGCTTCCTCTGTCAAGTCCCCCGTAATGGTTACCTAAAAATAAACCATACATATATTTACAAAGTCATTTACAACAAACACAACAACTTGGCAACATCGCCTATTAAAAAATTTACTTCTATAAGCCGATTCATTTTAGTTTGCAATATACAGTTGATGCGAAACAAATATCAATCCACGTCACAAGTAGGCAGTGTTGTCGAACTTTTATAGAGTTTACAAAACTAAGAATTTTCTATAATGGCAAAATGACAAGAACAAATTGAAAATTAGACATTACAATTGACCCTTAAAAGAATACATAGTGAAATCTGAAATATTTATAGCTCAAATTGTGTCATGTCTAACATATGGAAAAGATAACTACGCAAAAAATTATCATTTCTTGAATATTCGGCTGAATAGCCTTTAGTAGACTGTAGGTTATATAGGCTATGGGTGCGATAAAGACAACTTCCATTAAACACTTACAAAGGAAAAAGAAAGAGTGACAATCGGGTCTATTCTGTTTGTAAATAGCAATATGGCTATTGGCTTTTTTTAAAGATATTGTTATGTTAGCAATGTCCTAAGAAATTACCTATTCTGTTCGTGTAATTTAAACAATATGATCTGTCATTAGTATAGATATCTTGTTATAAACCTTGCTATTTAAACAATGTTATTTTTGTACTTACTATTTGATAGCAATATGGCTAATCAGTTTTTTTTCATTACTATATGAGCTAAAAGAATTTACATTTTTTGCAAATAGGAGATACAAGTAACCCCCTTGATTTGATAAATAAAAAATTTATAAAACATTAATAAGGCTACAACTTTAAATTTAATTTAACAGTTGTCAGAAGTTCTAGAAGAACTATCCGAAAAAATACAACACTTTTTCATCTACAAATTGCGTTAGTTTACAAATGTATAATAAAATTAATTACTCATATTTTTTTAGGGAGGATTCTTTTTTCGGATATATTCAGATAATTACAGTGTTGTCAGTTGTCAGCTCTATTTTTCACTAATGACAGAATGTGTTTAGCAGTATGGTTAAGCGTTAAAAATATAACCAACATTGCTAAAATAATCGAAACATAAGAATAAGAAAATTTTTATCAATTTGGTTAAAAATTAAACATATAACAGCATTGTTATAATAACAAGATTCATAACAAAACCCAAACAGAATCGATCTGATTGTGTCATTGCAACGTTGCCAAGTACTAACGAAAGAAAAAAAATAACTATACTCACTTCCGTTACCGTAACCGTTATTCCCGTAACCGCCGCTACCAGATCTTTGGTTGCCGCGACCGCCGCCGCCGCCTCCACCACCGCCGCCCGATTGTTGACGGTAATCGCGACTGCCGAAGTTACCGCCGCCGCTGCCGTAGCGTCCCTTGCCGGTCCTCCGGTTGGCGCCGCTCGGCACACGGCCGTCGACGGCGACGCTCTCCAGCCAGCTGGGAAACTCTTGCTTGGCCTCGATCAGCAGATCCAACAGCCCGGTGGCCAAGTTTCGATTGCGATCGTTGAAAAACGACGTCGCCGTGCCGAGATTACCCATACGGCCCGTTCGGCCGATTCTAAAAACAAAAAAAACACATACAGGATGTTATTATAATGTCTACACACTCGAGTCGATATGTGGTAATAGACATTAAACCTCAAAATTGCCACACATTCTTTAATATGAGTTGCCTATACCGATAGGGATGTTTTGAATTTTGCAATCATTAGAAAGAGACTCTCAATCAATATAGTATGATAGTAAGAAACAGAAAATCAATCGAACTGAGGAGTCGTGGCTTAATCGGCGGATGAATGCAGGGTGCAAAACTTGTGCTATAACAAAGTTATAGCCACTTTAAGTTAGCCAAGTTAGTCAGAGAATTTTAAACTCCCCGTAGATAGACCATGAAAACTCAATTTAGTTTCATTTAGTACTGTGTCTGGACATTATCGATATTAAATTTCAAACTTCTAGGTACACTATTACCAGAGATATCATAGATAATGCATTTGACCGTTTTTCCAAATAAATTCGAAAAAAATTTAATAACTCAAAAGTGGCCATTTTTTGGCATATGGTGTTATTATCAAAGTCGGGATAAAAAGAGCCACAGAATCCAAAATGGAGGCAAAAATGGTACTTTCCATTTGAAATAACGAAGTTGACATCTACTTCCGGTATAACAGAAAATCACATATGGTTGATATTTTAGAAAAACTCACAACATTGATTAACCTTTACTCCTAAATTTTCAGATTTCTAACTCGTTAGGATCTCCTATAACTTCTAATGGACGGTTTCCTTGAAAAGCAACTGTATAGAGTTGGAAAAATGGAGAAGGTTTAATATTTGTCGCTAGCAAAAGTACTGCCTCTCGTAGCAAATTTCTAGTACCATTTTCAGGAAAAAAAAAGGCGGCTCGGTTATAAAGAAACCTAATACATAATATTGAAAAGCGAACGTACCTGTGCACGTATTCCTCGATATCGGAGGGCAAATCGAAATTGATAACGTGCTTGACGTGCGGTATGTCCAGACCTCTGGCCGCCACGGCGGTCGCCACCAAAATGGGCGTATTGCCCGATCGGAATTGGCGCAACGCGTCCTCGCGCTCCCTCTGCGTTCGATCGCCGTGTATCGACGTGACGGGATAGCCCTCGTTGTGGAGGAACTCCTCCAACGAATCGGCGCCCTTCTTCGTTTCGACGAACACCAACGTCAGGCTTTCGGCCGACGGCTGTTGCAAATCGGACACGTTCAACAGATCCAACAGGAACGAACGCTTGTCGTGCTCTTCCACCCACACGACCTGCAAATAATAATCAAACGATTAATTGAGTGGTGATGATTAAAACGGAGTATTTGCTTCTATGTACTTCAAGTAAATGCCGAATTTCATGGTTTTCTTAAAGTTAGACTAAAGTATTAGGAGCAATTACTGAATACTTTGCTTTATTTACTTCGATACAGGTTGGTCCATTTTTGATTGCAATGTAGGTTATATATAGAGTTGGGCAAAAGTCCGGAATAAAATTATTATCTTTTGAAACAGTAATTTAAACAAAAAACGCCGAAACACGTAAATTGATTTTATATTGTACGGATTTGTTGCCAATAAAATGATTTTTTTTTCTTCAACCCCTTAGTTGCAACCCTACCCAACTTTATTTTTTCAAATGCAAAGGTATGTCGTGTGTAGGGTCATTGAAAAGCCCGTGAAAAATGGAATCTAAAACATACCTTTTTTTATTTTTCTCATGTTGTTATTTGGAAATGAGCAAAAATTTCTTTTAAAAACAAAAAAGTTACAAATACCTTTTTAGTGCTATCGACGTAGCAATGTTGAAAATGCCCTTCACCATCTATTTGACAGGCTCCCAGGCATTGGTAAAACGTAATATCGATAGCATATCTTTAATTCTGAATGACTTTTTAATAAAAACAGGCGAACCTTTGGTAAAAAAAACTTGTACAAAAATGCAACACCTGTTTTCCTTTTTGAAGTTCACTGATCAACAATGGCTTAGATTTAAACCCATTTTATGTTTTTGTTTTTTCTTAAAACATAAATTTCAACGAATGTTAATGCTAAATTGCCTTATCAGTTTTAAACGGTAAATCAATAAAATTTGGCGTGCTGCCTGACCAGGCTCGCCTGCTTTTAATAAAAGTTCATTCAGAATTAAAGATAGGCTACCGATATTAGGTTTTACCATTGCCTTGGAGCCTGTTAAGTAGAGTAAGCCTTAATTCACACGTCGATACCACTAAAAAAGTATTTGTAACATATTTGTTTTTAAAAGAATTTTTTGCTCATTTCCAAATAACAACATGAGAAAAATAAAAAAAAGGTATGTTTTAGATTCCATTTTTCACGGGCTTTTCAATGACCATACACACGACATACCTTTGCATTTGAAAAAATAAAGTTGGGTAGGGTTGCAACTAAGGGGTTGAAGAAAAAAAAATCATTTTATTGGCAACAAATCCGTACAATATAAAATCAATTTACGTGTTTCAGCGTTTTTTGTTTAAATTACTGGTTTAACAGATAATAATTTTATTCCGGACTTTTGCCCAACCCTGTATAGGCCACGGGTGCGATAAAGATAACTTCCTTAGACACTTACAAAGGAAAAAGAAAGAGTGATATTGTGTCATTACAACTTTTCACTCTGACAACTGCAAGGTGTATAGAAGTTAATTCTACAGAAATTACTAATGTTGTCTAGTATTTCCTCCATTTGGGAGTGTTTGGTGTAGTTTTTGAGAAGCTAATCAGAGAGTAAATTTTTATCAAGTACTTCACCTAAAATAGTCGTTAAAAATGGAGTCGTTTTGTGAATTATGGTAAGAAAGTAGCAAAATATGTGTGAAAGTAGAACGTATGGAGAGGCACAATATAGAAATTTATTTCGGTAAGTCAATTATTTTAGATAACTTTCTATTAAACACTACGATTTTAGCTTTAATCCAAACAATGTTAAACGGGTAGCCATTGTAATGAATTTTTGGGATCTTTGGCATATTTTTGGAACACCGTCCATTATAAAAGCATCTAATTAGCGTTAATCAACCCACAAAATTAATCAATTTATTATTAATATTCAAGGTTTATATTTAAGAACCTCAAGCTAAGTAATATTCATTCAATAATTATTGGATTTTCCTTCTATTTTATCCTTCTAATTATTGGATTTTCCTTCTCGCACTGGTTGAGAACCAAAAAAAAATTGGATGCCGTGGAAAATAATATTAATATAAAATAAAATAAATAATCCTCATTTCCTTTTACACATTTTATGTAGGTACAAACAAAACCAATTACCTTTTGCGTGATATTCTCCGATGTACTACCGACCCTTCCTACGGCCAAGAAAATGTAATTATCCAAAAAATCTCTGGCCAATATCTGTATGGGCGATGGAAAAGTGGCCGAAAACATCAACGTTTGCCGGTCGCCCGTCTTCGGCATCGTCTCCTTTTCGACGATACGTCTAATTTGCACCTCGAAACCCATATCTAACATTCTATCGGCCTCGTCCAGCACCAAATAACGACAATAATCGAGACCGATGCGACCTCTATCGATCATGTCCAACAGACGACCGGGCGTCGCTACCAGCAGGTGACAACCCCTGTCCAATTCGCGTATTTGCTCGCCTATGTGAGCTCCTCCATATCTACAATGCATATTATCAAGTTAAAAACTAGTGCTACAAAAAAAAACTCGTAATAGTATAAACTTATCGTTTCAAAATTAATCAAAGATTAACCCTTTAAAGTTTAAAGTTTGTGCAAGCTTGTGCAAGTACTTAATAAACACCCTGTACAAAAACAAACACAAAGCAGGGGCACGTAGGGGACTCTAAAATATGATGGTGTAACCCAAATTATCTTTTTAATAAGTTGCATCCCTGAGGAATTAAAGGCCACCAAAGTGAAGTTTCATATATTGGAAAAAGGATAAAATTTCAGTGAACCTTATTTTTGGGAAATCAAAAATCATTGATATTGGCCAATTATATATGTACTGCTCCACAAAAGTTAAGGAAGTTCACGAATATTGAGATTAATTTAAAAGTTGCAGTTTTTCTGATCGCCAAATTTAGTCCGAGTTGTAAAGGAAGGAGCAAAAATTCCACTCAGATATGAGAGAAAACATTTAATTTCGCGTATTTGAAAATTTGGTAACCAAAAATTCTGTAACTTTTAAAATAATCGCAAAATTTGCGAACTTCCTTAACTTTTGTGGAGCAGTTTATTATTGATGCCAAAGTTTGAACGGTTTATATCTCTTTGGTAACTAAAAATAACTATTGGTATTTGAAAGTACAACAGTGTTATCCTCTTTTCACTCAAAATGTCATGTCAGTCCATTTCAAATAGTTATAGAGTGACTCATCCGTCAATGTTATGAAAAATGGTGCAGAGACTAATGCATGACAACATAGCCTTGGACTTTCAACTAAGCGTCGTTAAATTCCCCTAATCAAAAGGAAAAAATAACATTGGCACTAGGGAAATGTTAAACTGCATGGAAATTACTAAAAATGACGTCATTGCCTAACGAGATGGTATAAGGTATAAGAATTTTTTGCTCAGTTATATTTTCCACATGTTACAAATATCATAATTTGAGCTCTAAATAATTCAGATTCAGAAGTTTTTTTCAGAAATTTCTCTAGTTACTCTTTTTAGGGTCAATTGTACAAGATTAGAAACGTGAAACAGGTACCCCTAATTTTCAATTTGTTCTTGTCCTTTGACAATTTTAGAAAATTCTTAGATTTTGTAAACTCTATAAAAGTTCGGCAACACTGCCTACTTGTGACGTAGTAAATCATAGGTGACGTGCATTGCTATTTGTTTTTCACCAACTGTACATGCATCTACTCTCTATATCGATTCTTACGTAGAACACCTTGTATTTATTTTATAGAATACAATCCAAGACCAAACCTATAGATGTTTTTTGAATTGGCCCTCACTGTATTGTTTGGTCTATTAGTAAAATTAAAAAAAAAAGAGCGATACTTACACGACGCACGGTCTGACTCTGGACCGATAAGCGAACTTCTTGCTCTCGTCGTAGATTTGAGTGGCCAATTCGCGCGTCGGCGCCAGCACCAAGCCCAAGGGGAATTGCTTGCGCCTGCTGCGGTTGTATTGGATGTTGGGCGGGCCGTTTTCGAACATCTGGTTCAGGATGGGCACGAGAAAGGCGGCCGTTTTGCCCGAACCGGTTTGGGCGCACGCCATCACGTCTCTCTTACCGATGATTATCGGTATGGCGTACTTTTGTACGGGCGTCGGTGAATCGTATCGGGCCATGGCGATGTTGGCGCGAATCAATTCCGTCAACTGTACTTCCTCAAACTGAAAACGCATACAAAATATTTATTATAGATTATGAAGTGACCATTTACACATTGAGATTGTAAAGGTTGGAAGTAAATTCGTTAATGCTTGATTTGTCTATTAGGGAAAAAATCACGGACACGTTGATTTTTATTTTAAAAAGCGAATCAGAAAAGGTCGTGAGTGTTTATACAGGATGTCCCAAACAAGAGATGTGACTAAAACTTACATTTTTTTAAATGGAATGTCATATTTATTATTTTTTTTTAGTTTCAGTTTTAGTTTTTTTTTTTAGTCTCAACTAGTATTTTGGACATTCTCATCAGAGAGTAAAAATTCGCGAGTTTGCTCTCAAATGGACAAAGATCTGAGAGTAACTCTCGATAGTTGTTCTCAGGAAAACTCTCAAATGGACAGGTAGCATTATATCCGAATAATTGTGAGACTCACAGATGCAATGTGAGTGGGCACTTTGTCACCAGTCGCCTCCACCGGTATATCTTCGTATTTGCTGAAATTGATGCCAGTGTTGCCGGTACCGAACAATTCCAGTTCCACTCTCTCGTCCCTCGCCGTCGGTACGGTCCAGTCGTTTTCGTTCGAAGCGTTCCTGCGACCGTCGCTCCTGCGTCCTCCTGCAAAACCATTTCAAGCGTAAATTAAAATTTTACAGATGCTCTGCCATCGACTTGATAAAATTATATATCATTATGAATGATTCTAGAGCGTTCTAAATAGTTTTAGGCAGTTCCAAATGATTCTAGACAATAATAAATAATTCTGGAGCGTTCTAAATGCTTCTAGACAGTTTTATATGATTCTAGAACGTTCTAAATAGTTCTAGGTAGTCCCAAATGATTCTAGACAGTTACAAATGATTCTGGAGTTTTCTAAATGCTTCTTAACAGTTCTATATCATTCTAGAGCGTTTTAAGTGGTTTTAGGCAGTCCCAAATGATTCTAGACAATTATAAATAATTCTGGTGCGTTCTAAATGCTTTTAGACAGTTCTATATGATTCTAAATTATTCTAGAGCGTTCTAAATGGTTCTAGGCAGTCCCAAATGATTCTGGAACGTTCTAAATGCTACTAGAGAGTTTTAAATGATTCTGGAGTGTTCTAAATGATTCTAAATGATTATGGAAACTGTCTAAAACGTTTTAAATGATTTTAGCCAGTTTTAAATGATTGTGGTTGAGCGTTTTAAGTGATTCTAGACAGTTCTAAATGATTCGATCCCATTCTTCTAATGTTCTAATAAGTAATATTATAAGTCGGTAGTAATAATATAGTCGGATAGAGTCATTGTATGTGCATACTTAAATTTTTCTTAATAATATTTTCAAAAAAATATGTTATCTGGTTGCTTCTGTTTTTTTCATCGAATATATTCAATGAATATTCACGCATAGGGAAAATCAACATTCAATTATTAACCGTCTAAAGTCTAAATCCAGTCTACCAGTGTACATTCCAATAGAACGTCGCGATAAATTCTGATAAATTTAATTGTTCCACTAGACCGCACTCCGCGCTTTGGTTCGGTTATATTGATTTCCCTATTATATATTGAATTTATTTCTAATAGTGTAATATTCAAAAGTCGTGCAGGTATCTTCACACTCCATTTTAATATACAGTATCAGACAGTATTTTAAAATAGTAAGCCTTAGTAGGAACAAAGCCAGCTGTCACTTAAATCAGAAGTATGAAAAAGATATAAGATCCTCCTTCCACAGGGAATAAACTGAATAAACACCAATCGTAAAATGTTGTCCAAAAAAGAGCTGGTCTAAGAGGCCCTTCTACAAAGGGTCAATAGGACCCACAGGTCTCATCGTATGAGCACGACAGCCATCTTAACGATACAATTTTTCGATATTTCACGAAGGTTTTAAAAGTATTTACGCACCCGCGTTGTCGTTCCATCTGCTACCGCCTCCGCCGCCGCCGCCGCCTTCGTTGCCCCTCGACGACCTTTCCGGCTCCTGCCATCGGTCATTGCGCGGTTGAAGGTCGTTGTTACGGTCCCTGTCCCTGTCGTTATTGCGTCCACCGCTCCAGTCATTTCTACAACAACGAAAACGATAAATTAGTTATGAAAAAAAAAATCGTGCAATTATCTCAATTATTACAAATTGCGTACTGTTTGTGTACCCAATGATTATACAAAAATATATCTACAGTACTGTTTTGTTTGCATGTTTACGGATTAAAAAAGAGTTAAAACCTTTTTCTTGTTATTAAGTATGTAAATAAATAGTAGAATCGAATAGGAAATTTTGTGATCGAATCTCCTGACGTTGGCTAGAAGAAGACAAAAAGGCAATAAAACTAGAGAGAAACTGCGTTAAAGAATAATAAATAGGTTTAGAGAAGAAAACTAACAGACAATTCCTCCATCAATCAGCACCTAAGGAAATAAAAAAATAACAAGACTTTTTGTGTCGACTACGACAAAAGTACCTGCGCAAAATACGATAAAGGAAAAAATGAAGGATTCAAAAAGAGTTTACGATCAAATTAATCTGGTTTCAAATCGTTTGGTCGATCGAATTAGAATTGTATAAGGATAATTCCAAGTACAATTTACCTGTCGAAAGCATCTCCGTTCTGATCTCTCCGATTTCTGGTATTAAAATTAGAGAAATCGCCGCCTCTATTGTCGCGCTCCCGTCCGAAGTTCCTCGAGCCTCCTCTGCTGCCGCCTCCTCGATCCCTGCTATCCAGACCGCCTCTATCTCTGTCACTATCGAATCGTTCCCTTCAAATGCAACAGTATCGTTTTTGTTTCGTTTCATTTTTCTCACTTTTTTTTTACTTGGTTCGAGCAGATAATTATGGTATTTATAAAAAAAGGGGATGGGAAATTGTGCGTTTACCTGTCGTAACGGTCCTTCTCGAAGTTACCTCCTCCCGCGTTACTGGCTCCGCTGCCTTCGGAGGGCTGCTGTTGCAGATTCTTGTTGCGCAAATGGGGGGGTACGTAGCGACCGCTGCTGCTCGAGCTGCGGCTCTGCAAGTCCAGACCAGCAAACTGAAATTATAATATTTTTTTAGCCAACTTTCGAGACAAGCGCAACGAAAAGGGAATACTCTATTGTTGTAGCGAGATATTATTTACGTAACAGTTATCGGATAACATCCCGCCGTCGAGCGGATTGCGATTTACCGTTTCCCACAGAAGATCTTTTGTTGGGTTTCGGGAATCGAATTTAATGGGCGCCGATCGGCGGAATTGATCGGGTAATTGGAAAAATCGCGACGATCGCGAATCAGGCGAATAGTTATTGTTGTAAAGAGAAATGGCCCGATGTGAAATTTCGCACGGCGATCAATAGTGTGGAAGAACCCGCGACCTCCATTGTCGTCGAGAATCGCGGACACGGAACGTGGTCGGGAAAATTGGAAATAAATCGCTCACCTGCTGCTCTAGACCTGATCCATTTTCGTTGGGTGCATTACTCATATTACGACAATTCAGGTCGTGTAGTAGAAGTTTTCGAATGCCAAAACTTCCAGATCAAATATCAAGAAAAGCGTCTTCGAATGAATCACAAAAGCCGTATTTCTCTGTTCTGCTCTGCCTGTACGTTCACACGACACGCGATTGTGCAAATGTCAGAATGTCAACGAGTGCGCAAGTCAGGGAAATCCTGGTCGGTTTAATTTTTTTTGCAAGGGAAACTATTTGAAGGGAATTTTTGTTTGTCGGGGATGTGAATGAACGAAAATTTGAGCAACAAAATTTATGAGAAACGTTTCAATGTCATATTGTTGTTGTCAATTTGGAAATTACTAGATTTTCATTGTTATTTCTATCTCTTTTCATTTCTATCGTTTTATCGCATCCTGTATTACCGGCTGCGTCAACAACAATATTGGTAGCACTTATTGCTCAGGCGGCATTGCCAGGTTTAAAAAATTTCGGTTGATCTCAATAAAATCTAGGATTTTTAAAATTATAACAGTTTAATGCAACTCTACTAAAAACTAGTAAAAACTAATATAAACGATTATATAAAGAAGCTTAAAGTAAAATAAACTAAAAAGTAAAAACGTTTCAAATTGGCAAATATGTTCAAGAATTAATAATAATATTATAAAAACGTTTAAAATTTCAATATAGTAGTTAGTTGTTTTTAGACTATAGACAAAATATAATAATATACTTTCTTTCTTTATGAAAATAGTATACAAATTGTATCTAAATAATACTGTTTTTTTTAACAATCCAAAAATTATTTCTTGTCAGCGTCGATTAATCACGTGTCTTTTTTTGTAGCGCCGTAACATCATAAATAAAAAAATGATTTATCTATTAATATTACCAAATATTAACAAAATGCAGAGTAAACAAAAATAGAATTAACCAATGCGTATACTAAATATCGATGCGGCAACGTTGCGGAATGTTTTCTACATTTAACAAACGTCAAAGTCAACAAACGTCATTCGTCATTTTGAAATGTTCGAACTTGGAACAAAAGACGACCATTGAATTTGTTTAGAAAATATTAGGTATTTAATATAAAATTTTCGAATACTAAACAAAATTGGTTCAGTTGAATTCGAGTTATTCGAGTTAACGGCCCAAGTGATTTCAAAGATTCGCACATGGTAGGTGATTTTGGTGTACGGCAAAACTAAAAATATGAAGCAAGTAGCCGAGAAATCTCTATTATGTTTTGTTCCCCAAGTAAATTCGCATATAAAACGCGATCGAGTAAAGAAATTTTCGAGAAAATCAGGTAGGGCAGGGTTTTTTTCCATCTTAACACATCGTTTAGCTTGCTGTGGCTTTGCGGGGCATTTAAAACGAAACATTAACCTTTGCATGTAAGTGGCAAGTTCATTTTAAAGAAATCCAACGTATTTAATTAACTACCTTTTTATTTCTAACAATATCATAGCATGTATTTCGAAAAGTATCTGCGTAGCGAGTGGAAAGATAAGCAAACAATCGTGCATTGTGTCAATATGTATCCTTGACCAACTTTCACGAGGGTTTTCGAATTGTCTGTCTGTCCAAGAGGAATTCTATTAATATCTCATTGTTCTCGTTCGCAAAAGAGGCTGCGATTGAAACGCCTTTATTACCATCAATACTAATACGTTTTAGGTATCGATAATAAACAATAACCGTGCATGTCTAATAAGCGAAGCAGCCAAACGATTTACTAACGCGGCCTTTTTGCAGTATTAAAAATGCTAGCAGTGATGGAGGCGTCTCGGAGTGCCGCGGGCAATAGCAGTTCCACGAATCCACCGCCTGCCGCCACCCCCGAGGAAGCAGCCCTGCAAGAGAAGGAGTTTCTATCGTCCGGTCGCACCGGTAGAAGGAACGCCTTACCCGATATACTAGGTACGGCCATTATTATTCGCATCGGAACCATTTAAAACGCTTTAGAATCATCTAGACCCATTTGGAAGGTTTCAGAATCATCTAGACCTATTTAGAACGCTCCAAAGTCATCTAGAGCTAGACCCATTTAGAACGCTCCATAGTCATTTAGAACGCTTTAGAATAATCTAGACCCATTTAGAAGGCTCCAGAATCATTTAGAACGCTCCATAGTTATTTAGAACGTCCAGAATCAACTAGAACCATTTAGAACGCTTCAGAACCATTTAAAACGCTTTAGAATCATCTAGACCCATTTAGAACGTTCCAGAATGAAGTAGAACCATTAACAACGCTCCATAGTCATTTAGAACGCTTCAGAACCATTTAAAACATTTTAGAATAAACTAGAACCATTTAGAAGGCTCCAGAATCATTTAGACCCATTTAGAACGCTCCATAGTCAATTAGAACTCCCCAGAATCAACTAGAACCGTTCAGAATTTACTTTACGTAGATCCAGGTGGGTCCTTTCCGAACGCCTCTAGACCCGATATCGGTCCTAATCAAGAGGGTGAAGCTAATTCTAGCGGAGTCAGAGACGTCGATGAGTCTGGTTCGAACGTCAAGAAATCCAAACCGAACGTAGCGAAACCGTTTAAAAGAATTTAGTGATATAAAACGAGTGTAATAAATTCCTTGTGCATCTCAACGTAATGTCTTTTACATCTATGGTGTCTTTTAATAATAATAATAAAGTCGAAAGTGTTTCTGTGATCGTACTAACTTGAGTTTTGTTTTGGTTGAATTGCAGGCCAGCACGCTGTGGTCACGAACGAGGATTTGTCCAGTCGATTGGAAGGCCTGACCACCGAAGACGGGGCTTCTACTGACAAAAGGAACCTGCCCGGTTGCAGTAAAAGCTGAAATAATTAACGTACGTTTTTAAGACGAATCGGGTTTATTTTATGGGCGCGTTTGGTAAATTGTTTTCGAGAGATTATTGAAATCATTTTACGAAAGGAAATGTGTAAGTAGACGGGACTCGTTTGTCGTACAAATTAGAATCGAAATTATCGAGCAATATGTTTCTATGTTGGTAGCTTTTTCTTTGGGACATCCTGTAACTATGGGTCACGTGTTTTCTTTACCCTTATTTAATGTAATGAAGTAATGTCGTTTTATATAATTTTATCGTATCGGTTGCTTCAACTCACTCTTGCTCTAAATGCCTAAAACATAAAAATGGTAAAAATCATTTTTTTTTTGTCAAATTTTCACTTTGTAGCGATACGATTTCTAAATAATGTACTTGTAATTCGGTGTAAACTTGTATAATTGTTATATAGGTAGAACTATATTTGCATCTTTGGTAGACTAATTAATAATGAAGCATCGTATCAAATAATTGTAATTTGTCAATTTGAATTGTACATTCGATATTTTTAGATGTAAACTATTAAGGTTTTTGTAACGTAATTACGTGATTAGTATAAAATAGGAAAACGCAGCTGTTTTTAATGAAAATCGGCTAGAATAGGTTATGTAAATAATGTTTTTTTTGTTAATTTGTGTTTGTAAATGATATTTTTATGAAACAAAGGTTGTTGAACGCAAACAAAAAAAGTCACGTTTAAATGTATTTTTGTTATTTATTTATTTATTTATTTAGCGAAAAAAGGCCTCATTCTCGGTTTTGTCAACGATATTTGTGATATTATTTAATAAATTTCACTTTAACGAGAAGTATTTCTTATTTCATTAATATATATTAAACCTATTTTAAAGCTGTATACAGGGTAGGGTAGGGACAATCTGTATAAGGGAAACATATTGTAAATACATTCTTTAATCGATGAACTAACAAAAATGTCCCCATAAAAGTTACGAATTGTTAATTACTGGGAACACGCCGCTACTGTTTTCTAGGGAATAGTGTAGGATTCATTTTATCACCAAATTGGGCACATGGATGTAGGTAATAAACCACAAAAATTGTATATTGTTCCCATGTATAATTTGGAAATAAAACGTAAAAATAAGTTTTAAATTTTCAACTTTAAAGGCCACTAGCTCAAAAATAGGGGCTTAAAATAACAAAAGTTATATATAGTTGTACCCTTATTTTGATGTCATCTATACGCTCCAGAATTATTGACATTTATTTTATGGACACTGAAGTTCACTGAATGAATGACTAATAAATCTACGAAAAAATCGAAAATTTAGAGAATGTGTGTTTGTTGAATTATAGGAGAAAAAAATATAAACGGGAAATTTAAAAAGACCTATTTTAATGTTGATGAATAAATTGTCTACGGTAACCTTCAGTTATTTTATTAAAAAAAATATACATATACATTCAAAATTTCAATATATATAAAAAGCTATCTTATAAATTATACTTTTGTTAATTGCACTATTCGTTAACATAATTTCAAATTATCTTTAAAAGAATAATCGTCATCGATCAGTCGATAAGTAAAACCTACTTATATTAAAACATGGCGTTACCGTTAAAATAATCTTACTATATTTCCACATCTCGGATATACCACAATACAGCCCCCAATCAATTAAGATTCTCCGGATATATCTCGGATCCGCATTCGTTCAAAAATATATTCATCGCTTTGTGCAACAAATACGCCCCCAATTTCTCCTTATCCCTGTCGCTCCATTGGCAAGCGACCCCGTAATACTTCCCTGCGTCCTTATTGGACAAGTTTCTGAGGCCCAGGGCGCTTATCATGGCCGCCTCTCTGGTGTAGGCCTCCACGGGCATGATGTTCTGGAACACGTGGAGGCATATCACGCCGCGCCCGGCCCGCCATATATCCAGGATTCTGACCTCTTTGGCCTCGGTGCTCGTGGTGTTGTTCGGTTTGTCCCACTTGCGCCTCGCTTCGTAGAGGTGCTGAAAGGGCCGGTTTCTTTTACCTTCAATAAAATACACAGGGGGATTAATGAATGGTTTAGTTATTTTAAAAATGACGTTACATTCCTTAGAGGATTTCTGAGGGTAGTTTTGTAGGTTATAGCCTGTGTTAAGATTGTGATTTTGGATGGTAAATTAGATGATTTTTTTGAGGGGTGTTTTTTATTATTATTCAACATTTTAATCAACTAAATGATTTTTCGATAAATAATGGTATGAAATCTTTACAAGATTTTAAACGATTAATTAATGTTTTTGAAAAAGCAACTCAAAAAATTAATAATTAATATACAGGGTTATTCCAATAAGGAATGGCGACCGGCGATATCTTGGAAACCCAAAGTGTAAGAATGATGGGGGAAAAAATTATGACTAATTGAGGCAAGAGAAATTCAATAAAAATATTTTAAATTTTCTATACAGGGTGTTCCTAAAAATCGTGTACATCCGAAAGGGGGTGATTCCATGGCTTATTTTATGACTAAAAGTTTATATAAACGTGGGTCCGCAAATGCTTCGTTACCGATCTACAGGGTGTTGAAATTTCAAGATTTTTTTTGTTTTTTTTTTTTTTATAGAGCTCCTGCAGTTTTTGAGATATTTAGCTCAAATTTTGAATTTAGATTGCTTTATAGGGCACACATTATTGGGTATATCATATGGTTGTGGAATTCTACAGGGTGATATTTTTTCAGGGGTCATGTGCCCTTTTCCCCCCGAACTTTTTTGCTGTGCGCCGCTGGTAGATTCTAAAATACAAAATTAATTGTCTGTTTTGTTTAGAAACTTCTTTGTTTCTGTGGCCGTTATCGAGAAAAAAATTAAAAATGATATCCTGCACAAATGATTTATTTTACAAAACAAAAACCCTAAATGATAAATATTAAATTATATTATAATAAATGTTGAAAGTGACCCCTGCTACTCAAATTATACTCTGTACCCTATATCCTATACCTGATATGAGCAAAATATCTCAAACACTGCAGGAGCTCTAAAAAAGAAACAAAAAAAATCTTGAAATTTCAACACCCTGTAGATCGGCAACGAAGAATTTGCAGACTTACGTTTATATGAACTTTTAGTCATAAAATAAGCCAAGGAATCAACCCCTTTCGGATGTACAAGATGTTTAGGAACACCCTGTATTTTTAATGAAAGGATGAGTTTCTATTATAGTATGTTGGTATCGAAGAGCTTTAAAATTATGCCGTAATAGCCAGCAACACTCGGTCACCTAAATTGCAAGATAACCCCAAAAATAATAGGGTACAATTTACCTTTTCCAACGTAGAAAATGGCAGCTAAAAACCTCTCCCAGGCTTTCTTTAAATCCGCCTCCTCCCGCAGATTGTTCGTTTTCCTCGGATCCAAAAGCAAATAAGCAAAGGAAGCCTTGGCCCTTCCTTCTACCCATTTTTTCGAAGGATCCCTAAATTGCTCCATCATGGTGGTCTCCAACTGCTTGTAATGATCCAAATTCGACGTCCAATCGCCATTCCTCAGGGTCTTCCGTAATTCACGAGAGTAGACTGGAAGATATTTTATCAATGAGCCAAGTTTGAGATTCTTCGAATGAGCGATTAAATCGCCGTAAAAACGCAGAAAAACCATTGGTAAATAAGAAAAGAAAAAGAAATATTATGTAGTAAAAAAAATGTCACATTCGACAATAATAAATACACAGGGTGTTTATAAAAAATGAGTTCGTTCTTTTTGAGGCCTCAGCTGCTTAGGATATTCGGCCGAACGAAACTCACTTTACGCATACTTGATAAACAGTGTGCCCATAGATGGAGTTGAAAAATGAAAAACATTACTTGAGAAGATAGAAAAGAGATCTAAAGATAGAAAATGAGCTTTTCTAGTTCTAATTTTCGCGTTCTAAAAATTCAAGTTCTGGTTGTAGAACGAAGGATTTTTTCCAATTGATAACAAGATTTGCTTCATGAAGTAAGTGGAAGACATTATCCAACGCTTCTAAATGTCGATCGAACGTATCAGTGATAATAATGATATCATCCATATAGACTCGAACGGCTTTTTGAGGAAATCTACACATACTCGTTTTTCTCCGTTCTCTTTTGGTACCACTATTAGCGGACTAGACCATGGGCTCGTTGATGGTTCTATTAATCCTTTTTCAAGAGGTCATCTACTTCTTTATTGATTATTTCCTGAATAGTTGGAGATACAGGATAGTATCTTTGCTTCACAGGAGGATGATGTTCTTTCTCAAGATAAATCGTATGTTTTACTATGTCGGTTACGCCTTTACTTGTTTTAAATTTATCTTTCCATTGGGCCAAGTACTATTCAAAAAATATATATTGTTCTTCAGATATCTCCGGGTGGTTTCTTTTTATCTGTGGTTCTTCGCGTGGATCTTCGGAAGTAAAATCTGTGGAGCAAAGATGACTCTTGGTTTTCTCGACATTTTCCTGCCAGCCTCGTGGTACCGGTAAATGCTGCTAAATTTTCACCTTTCTTCTGGTGGTGCGGTAAGTCCGTCTTTGTTTTTCTACCAAAGGTAAAATTTATTGTTTGAAATTTTTCCATTTAAAAAAAAAAGAAATGTAACCATAATTTGTCTAATTTATTTTTTTTATTTCCGACTTTAACTCAACGCGTATTTTTTACTTTAATAGTGAACTTACTGATAATTTGCTTTATCGTTTATAGACTTACTACAGTACAGTTTCAAATCGATATAAAGTGATTCATCCGTCAATGTTATGAAAAATGGTGCAGGAGTCATGTCAAATTCAAATATCAGCGGCGGGGTATGAATATTTAATATACTCATAAATAGCATTATGAATTTATTTAATTTTTTTGAAATAATATTGAATTGCCCTCTAAAGAGAGCTTATTTTGTTTTTCAAATAGCAATTTCAGTTCATTCATTTCATTTCATTCTATGAGCAAATCGGTGGCCCTGGAAAGGGCCATTTAAAAAAGTAAGGTCGATTAACATGTGAATTACCAATAGTAATTCCTCGAGTAGGCATCCTCATCTAGCAAATCATCAAAATCTGAATTTTCACTTTCAGATTCATTGAGATTAATTTCAACAGGTTCTAAAGTAGTCTCAATTGTACCACCGAGATTCCACATCTTTTTCTCCACCTTTATTTAAATTTAATGCTATTTATGAGTATATTTATTACTCATACCGCGCCGCTGATATTTGACATGACTCCTGCACCATTTTTCATAACATTGACGGATGAGTTACTTTATATCGATTTGAAACTGAACGTAGAATTAATTTGTTGAAAAATTTATATTTTAACTTAAATTTTTCTTTTTTTGATTACGCATTTAAATTTCATTTATTTGATATAATTTTGCTTGTATATTTACCTAAGTTTGTATAAACTTTGTTTATTATCAGAAGATTTATATTTGATTTAATTTATTGATTTATTTCCTAGACTCGCTTATCCTCGCATAGATTAGATACTAGATTATACTCGCATAGACCCGCAGCTCGGAGGCCTTACGGCCTCCTACGCAAAGACAGTAAATACCCGGTTTATGTAATTAACATTTTCTTGAATACGAGTCACCCTGTACTGTATTTCAATTTAATTTAAAATAATTTTTCACTTAAGATAAAAAAACGCGCTCCGTATATCAATTTGTCCGATTTCCTTAAGTTAAAATCACCCTGTACATCAAATTAAATGTCAACGTATCCATAGAAACAGAACCCCTTGAAAGGCACCTTGAAAGTGAAAAGGACATAGAATCATTCAATAACGTCAAATTGGTGTATTTTACTAGTCATTTTCGCATTTGTGAACTGCTACTGGGATTGGTCGATTTTAAACCTCTTTATTTACCAAAGGATTAACTTTTTCATGTTTTCATTTGCAGTTTTGGCATCTCCATTGTCGTTTTCATAAGGCATTTCTCGGTGGGGCGTGAGTTCAGGGCCACCCTGTATGTCCTAAACCTCTTAGTTTTGCGAACCTATGTTTATATGAACTTTTAGTCATGAAACAAGCCAAGAAATCACCCGCTTTCGGAAGTGCACGATGTTTAGGAACACCTTGTATAGTATTTTAAACATAAAACAACATCTTTAAGAATCACCTACACGCCCCTGCCTACTCGAATCCGCATAAAACGAGCTCTAACAACCCATATATCAAACGAACCAACCTCTTTCGACGTCCTCCGGCGTCGCGGCGACCACCGCCGCTTGGCCCCCTCGGCTTTGCAATTCGCGCAATTTCTTCAAATACACCGACCTCGTCGTAGAAGTGACGGGACCAGCGGGGTAACCCAGCTCGAGCAGCGCCTGGCGCAGCGCGCTAAAATCGTAGCACAGCCTGTCGGGTAGCTGGGACATTTTCGACGAGATCGAACCCGTTAGAACGCTCTCGCTACACCTAAAAGCGCACGAATACGATTAGACAGTGTTGTTAAAACTACTTTGTATAATGTAGTTAGAGCGCGTTGATTATCTCATGAACAGTCAATACGGCAGCGCTGTGCGCGACTATGAAGTGGCAACAGGTCAAAATTTCGCAAAAGTTTGTTACAAAAATATCGGCTCTCGCTTTCCTTGGTATCGCTTATTCCTAATATCGGTATTCAGGGTAGATATCGCTAGATCCGCTCTAGGCAAGCGATGCAAATCGAATGCCGAATATTGTCAAGATAGTTAATATAATTTTTCGGGTAGCAATTTGGTCGGTCGCGCAACGATGACGTAGTGTTCATGAGAAAATCCACCCGCTCTAACTACAATTACAACTACTTGTAAATAAATGTAATTAAATACATAGTTAAATACATTTTATTCTAAGGCATTTAACTACGTACTTAACTATCGGAATTGTAGTTAAAAGTATTTAAACTAAATTTATAAGGAAAAAATTCCACGAATTGTGGCATTTACCTCCAATTTAAAATAAGCTCGTTTCCAATAAGGGCAAGGGGATTTATATAAGCTTTGTTGATTACATATTTTAGAGTCCGGACTTACAAAAGTAGTTAGTTGGTTTTTTAAATACATTAAAAGTAGTTGAACTACATTTTTAACTACTTGTAGTTAACTACTTAACAACATTGCGATTAGATCAGAGTCATGTACAAGTGCAAGATTAAAAATATCTTTACCTACTAGTATATTATAAAGATACTAACCTACCGATATCGATCGAGCGCTTCTCGTACAGGACAATCCCTTCCTGCTCGTCTTCGTACTTGTACACCTCCGAAACGGTGACGAAACTCGCCTCGTAGGACTCGCAGGATTTGTTGCAGGACTCGTCCGAAGCGAACAGACTCTTACTGGCATCGTATATAGCCAGGATGTTCTGGTTTAGTATGCTGTTTCCGCTGCACGTCATGTAATCGCTGCTCGTTTCCGGTGGTTTCACCGACGATAGGGAGTTCCCCGAACAGGGTAGTGTCTGAATACCCGATTCGGACGAGCATTGCGGATTTCGTTCGACCATGCAGGATTTCGGGGAGGTTTGCGGTGTGGACGAGCGAGGATTCGGCTGTCTTTCGATCTTCCTCTTCTTCTTGTAGGTTTTTTTGATCGTCGAATTAAGCGTTTTCGGGTTTAGTACGACGTCGGATTCGTCGGCGGAGCTTTCGTAGGACACGAAGTCTTCGTCGGTGGAGTTGGGGCGATTGACGGTGAAGGTTTCGTCGACTTTGGCCTCGTCTACGTGGGTTTCGAACCAGTTTAATACTAATTTAGTGTGGTCGGGTTCGGGCTGATTGACTAGGTCCAGTAAAGGCCGGTCTGCGTTAATACTGCGGGCGGTTTCTTCGTCGATTTCGTATTCGCCGATTAAGTTGCCATTATTCACTAATAGTTTATCTGTAAACGCCAATAGAACGTATTAATTTATTGTTTGTTTGTCTTGGTTTATTTAAAAATGAATATCAGCTCGTTGCATTATCGTTCTACAAAGTTCTATAAATAAAATAGGATTTTTCAATGCGTATATGTTATAATTTGTAGTACTTCCTTCATTTTATGTTCAACAAGTGGTTTCTTTTATCTTATCTTTTTCCGCGCTTATTTTTAGATTAGTTTACTATTACTTCTATCATGAACTAATAGGGTGTGAAGGTAAACTATAATTAAATGTAATTTAAAATAAACATCATTTTTATAGGGTGGCCCAAGAAATTTAACTACTCAAACGAGGTAAACATTCCTGTTTTCTTTGGGACACCTTTTATGTCAAAGACATTGGTCCGTATTGAGCGCCTATGTTTAACTTTAGAGTGACTCTAAAAGTCGCGACTTTAACTTGACAGATTTACATTGTTGTTATGGAGTAACTATAGACTCGAGACGCGACTTTAGAGTCACTCTAAAGTTAAACAGAGGCGCTGAATACGGGCCACTACAACTAAGAGACCAAATGTTTCATTGATAAATCCCATATAATTGCGGGTTATTGTTTTAAAATGGCTAATGAGTGGGAGAGAGAAAGGCATATATGTATCTTAGGAGCGATTGGCAACGTTGTAACCAAAGTGTCTATATGATCTCCAGTGGCGTAAAGTTTTGGACTTAATAAATGATCCGAGAATACATTTCTGCCTAATTCTCAATTAAATAGGTTTTAAAAGTTGGCCAAGTAAATTATTCTTGATTAATTGATTACTAATTTTGGTACTTGTACGATATTACACGGCCAACTTGTAAAACCGAGTTATTTAAGAATACGACAGAAAAGTAAGTTTTAAGTAAAATTTTTAATATCTTCAAAACTATTAGGTTTAGGTATAGGGAAGTAAAAATGAACTTCCCTTATTTTTTACCGCTGATTTTATTAAAATAGACAAAAATGGGTGGTTTCATTTAAAAAAATTAAGAAATTTGATATTTTTGATGTTGAACTTTGTACAATTTTTACACACACCCTGTATAAAATAAAAAGTTTTTCAACACAGGTCCAAATATCTTTTATCTTGCTAGTAGCCCCCCTACAGAAACCGTTTCCATATCTTTAAGGCAATCCCATAAAAAAATAATTTATAAATGCCTGCATCGGTCAAATTAAAAACAAAATTAACTCAAATGTAAAAACTGTAATAGAAAAATTTCTATTAAATAACCTTCCCCTTTACAACCTTTTTATTTGCCAATCATCGGAATACCCAACTCCCAGATTCCTATCTGAAACCCCATCAGAAACAGACCATTCATCCTTCTATTGTACAACACCCTCCGAAGTACTCTATTTACTCTATTTCCTCACCGAAACTGAATTGGTAGCAGTCTCGGAGATCCTCGTGCATGGCCTCGTACTTGTCGGGCAAATGGTCCCTAAGGAGGTCGACGCAATCCGGCAGATTTTCTTTCAAGGCGTACTGCACGGGCGTCATCCAATTGGCGTCTCTCAGTTCGGCGTCGCCGCCGCAACGCATGAGCAACTTCAGTATGTCCAGGCGATTCCATGCCGATGCTATATGGACGGGCGTCAAACCGTCTTCGGACCTACGTAAATAAATAAACGGGTAAATAAATCAATAATACAGGTAAGAGTAGGGTAAAAGTTGTTAAAACACTTCTAAAAAGTACGTTAAAATTAGCAGAAATGCATTGTTCTATGCAAGCGAAGCCAGGGCAAAAGTACCCGGTCGAAAAAAAAAAAATTAAAAAAAAAAACAATACTTGACCTACGATATACTTCGATAACGAATTATTCAGTTTAATTGCATATTTAATGTGCGACACACTTTAATTACTCGCTTTGTTCGTTTAACCAGAAATAACCGGTTAATTTATACGAGTTTACATGAATGGGAAGCGATAATGGCGGTTCATTAATTTCTTTTTCCTCGCTCATCCAAACACTCGCTAATTATTTATCGCCAGCGAATAAATAGGAACAAAAGTTTTTATTTTGTATAAGGTGGCCGAAATTATCAATTAAGAAGTCGGTTGAATTGAAATTTTGCGCCCACTGTAAAAGGCCAGAACTTTTATACTGTATAATACAGTTGCAAAGGACATGATTCAATGATTGATTGGTGTATTATCTCAAAGTATTTGAAATTAAATTTGTAATTGTAATTGAAATGTGGGAAAAATTTCCTTCTATAGAAATTTTCTCGAACAACAAATTATCAATAGTAAACATTACAAAATGCGTCAATAAATCTTTTTTTCGAAATGTACATATGTAGTTTATTTTTATCGAGCGAAATTCGACAAATATTTTTCGTTTATTTTTTATAACGGTCCTGAATTAATCGAAGAACAATTAGCCTAATTAGAGCGCCACTGGTAAAAATTAATGATGTTAATTATCTCGATAAGTTTCGAATAAACTCGTTGTATTTCGAACCAAGCGAATGAGACGCTACTTTGTACGAAAATCGGCCTATTTTCGACCGATAAAACGGAATTCTAGGTATTATTCGAGCATCGATAATTTTTTTTCCAAATCGGTTCGTTCAACGAGTTGTTATGATGGAAAAATATCGAATATTCCCATTCTGGTACACATACATGTATTTTTATAATAGTGTCAATTAGTGTAAAATCGGGGAAATTTTCCTTGCTTTCCAAAACCCTAAAAATCTCTTTAAGGGCGCCACTTCAGGGTAGTTTTAAACGGGAAAACATAGGTTCAGTAATTCTAGTAAGATTCAAATTTGGTTCCGTTAATTAATTTGAATCCATTTTATATCTAATATAGAGACTCCAAGCAATGACATCTCATATTTTTAATCTCACGTAATTCGTTTGATTTTATGTCAAGTGAATCAAACACGGAACATCTATTAGTTAAACTATTCTCATTCCATCTATTGTGGAAAAAAATAATAAAAAAATAGTTCTACAGGGTGTTTCTGTAATAAGTGATCAAACTTTGGGAGCAAGTAGAGAACCACAAAATATGATTTTTAAAGATAGATTAATAATTTTGTGTATCAGAATTTTAAGTCATTTTTCGTGAAAACGGTTCACTTTACGGAAAATCAACAAGTATACCTTTTTTATGCAGAAAACTTCATTTTTTCATATTCTTTAAAAAATCAATAGAAAAGATTAGAGAAAGGTTAGAATTACCCTACGAACCCGCATTTTAACCCACTTCTGGACAACTTTTTTAACTCGATTGAATAGTGCCGTAAGACATTTCATTTACTTAGTATGTGCACCAAATTTCATCATTTGACCTTTGCTATTGAAATTTTTAATAAAAATACCTCTTCAAGAATCCATCTTTAACACCCTGTAAAAGGACATTTCGATAAAATGACATTTCAGTTTTTTTTATATTTTGAGGTTCTCTACTTAGTTCCAAAGTTTGACCACTTATTTCAGAAACACCCTGTATATTACCCCACGAATTATTAATTTGAGGGCGTGCTTTGGCGGCTTTAAAAATCAACTCTTATACGGCAAAACAGGAGTACCAACTATTACTGGTTTCTTTAACAAAAAAAATGTTGCCATCAAAGCTTCCGATTTCTTCGAAGCTTCCGTTCCTCTCGGGGCTTACCTAACGTTAGGATCTCCTCCAAATTCCAAAATCAAGCAAGTTACTTTCAATGCGAAATCGCAATCATCGATGCCTACTGCTAGGTGAAACGGTGATATTCCTTTGGTAGGTACTATAAAGTTGGGATTCGCCCCTTTTTCGCACAACAACGATCGAACTGCCCTAAAAAGTATACAAAAAACGATGAGAAAATAGCACGTAGAGGTGTAGAACATGTTTTGTAACAACCCTGATGAGGCATTTAGTGGGTTAATTTTAACTAAAAGTAACATTAGAATATAACACAATCTGTTATTTTTGGTACAATTTTAACAGATCTAGCAGTTTTTGTTCTATTTCATTTGAAAATATATTTATGAAAACCAGTTCTAATTAGATCTCAATTAACTTCCAATAAGAAATCAACAAAATAAAATTAACAATAATCAGATTTTGTAATTTTGAGAATTACAATTATTTTTAGACTTCCGAAAAGGTCATTATAGTGTAAATAAAATTAGAAATTTGTTTTAGATTCGCGACGCTCTCATAGCTTTTTGATCCTGCGAGTATTGAGTAGTAAAATTGATAAATCTATTTGTACAGATAAGAATTAAATGTATAATTGAAGTTATTGTAGATTGCGCTATTTACTGTTTGGAATAAAATGCAATTTTTACAGGAATTACATAAGTCTAAAACAAAGTTACATATTAACTATTAAGAATATCATTGAGAGATGAAAAATGTGTAGATCAATATTAGATCTATACAAGATCTTATTAACAATGAAAAATTATAATAATAAAATCAATGACAATTTTTGTAGTGTACCGGGTGTTTCAAATTACTTTTCGCAAACTTATAACTCATAACTTTTACTTTTTATTTATTAGTAATTTTTTTAAGTGTAAAATGACGTATTATTTAAATGTCATATACGTCAAAATGACAGCTACAGTATTTTTTTCTTGTTAGTTATTAAAAATATTTTTTTCGTAATTTTGTCTGACTAAAAATATTCTAACCAACTGTATCACTTAGCGATAAAGTTTAATGCCTTTCTTTCTTTAGTTGAATATTATTTTCCATTATTATTTACCTAAAATCCAAACATTGTAATTTAGAAAAAAGAGCAAACTAACAACTCAAACTCACAGCATTCTTTGATGCGGAAAAAGTCAGTTTTTAGAACTAAAACTTCCAAAAAAAGCTTTTAATTCCAACAAACAATATTTACACCACATCCTAATCGTGTAGAAACGACCATTTATCAATAATATAATATTGTTTACCTGAAATTGTTGTCATCGATGGAGTCGTAGAGTAACGATGTCAAATAAACTTCTTGTTTGGTTTTAGCCCGATAAATGCTCATTGTCACACATAACGTTTCGGTAATTATTTCTGTTGTAGCAAAAAAACATTCACAACGAACATTCGAAACCGACTTTCCGTTTTTAGGTAGTAGGTTAGGTTTTTAAATTCCCGAATCGTGTCGTTGTTGCGCGTGCGCCGTTCGGTCGCAGGGTCCTTAATATCAGTAGGCCGTGATGAACGGGTTGCGCAAATGTTGACAGATACGTCATTTTATCCGGAGGGTTTTTAAGCAAATTAATAATAAATACAAATGAAACGAGGTAATTATTGTTAGTATCATCGATTTTCGTTATTTTTAATCGATTAAAACGCTTAAGAATAAAAAATTCGATGTTATGTCTGTCAGTTTTACGTTACCTTCCGTTGACAATTGACTGTAATCTAGAGTCCTTAGGAGGGTGGGATTTTTAAATTGCCCATTAAACTATTAATTGTTTTGAACAAATTATCGACGTGTTAAATAATGTAATCTGTTTTTATTAAAAATTATTTGTTATTTTCGGTAATTAATGTGTACAATAACCCTCCTTCGTGCATTAAAATAATATTTATTATTTATTATGACAAACTTTTGAATCCAATACTCCTCACGGATAATTCGTCGTTTGTTTTGAATATTATAAGAGCGTTTATTTCCTACAATAGTGTTAATTGCTCGTGATTTGTATGTATATCAAAGTTCAAGGGTATTTATAATGTTAAATTAGCGATGAGTGGTGATATAAGGGCTCTTTTCAAAACACCCTCATATATCTTTTATCAATCTAGCGTGTATATAAATTTAATATGTAATAAGTTTTTTATATTAGTGGCTGCATACGATTTATTAGTTCAATTTATTTTGATTTGTTACTTGTTAATCTAATTTTGTGAATCACCCAGGAAAGACGGACAGTGCGATATGATTGAGTTTTGAAATTGTGTGTTCCTATAGGTCAATCATCTGTCAATTTTTGTTATCTCCAATAGGAATGCAGTTTTTGTTTTTTATTAATTTTTGAATTTTCAGATAGAACATGAAAAAATAAGATGGGTAGAAGTTCCTATAAAGTTTTTCTCAACAAGGCCTGCTTGCTCCCTGCCGAGATACAATGCATCCCCGAAGAACGCCGCTGGATATACATAGATTTTCCTTAAAGATCTTTTAAAATACTTTATATAAAGTATAATCTGCAATCGATTGTTTTTCTCCATCCAACGATTTATTCTCTTTCTAGGAGTTGGTTTAAGTGTGGTTTTCCTTAGGCAAAGGCAAATGGTATTCTAACGATCTGCCTCTCAGGTTGCCTAATGGCCCCCTTTCTAGCTAGTTCGTCAGCCACCCCACTTCTTGCTCTTCCTATTAGTTTCTTGGTTTCTATCCCAGCGAAGTTTTGCAGGAAGACAGTGGTATTTGTAATAATTTAAAAATAATTGACTCAAGAACGTGTAACTGCATTATTTGTGAGATGTTTTGCAAATACCTCAAGCTTGAAAAAACGAATCACGTTGTCCAAGGGACGTGAAATACGGATTAAAAAATAAAATTTATTACACGTTTCAACTAAAAACAAAATCACATTTCATAACACTTATAGTTAACAAATTAAAAACGAGCCTATTTCGGTATCCAAGTAGGAACAGCGGTCGCCCCGATATTATTCACCCTTTCTATTTCGATTAGCTCTTCTTCAACGTTTTCGGTATTGTAAAATTTGTGTAACTCAACAATCGCTCTATCCTCGATCTAAATGAAAATAGTTAGATTCGCCCATTGAATTATACTAGAAATGCGCGTTACCTTACCTGTGTGTAAATGAGCGATCTCGTAGTCAATTTCACCAAGTTTTCCTTTTGCTTCCTTTCATCTGATATTATATCGTTTATGTTTATGTGTTTAAATTCTGGAGATTGAACCGGACCGGCCGTTTCTGGTATTATTTTCCATGGATTTTTCGGTGATGCTAAAAATCCACAAATTATTTCCAATTTCAAAACATTATTTCAAGCACCCAGTATTCACAAATTTATATTGGGGAAACGATGTAGGAAAGACTTGTGATATATTTTCATCATGTGATTAGTTTTAATCACATGATGTTTTGGAGAAATTGGGCATTAGTCTCTTAGTTATAATGTCTTTGAGTATTGAGCTTCTCAATACTAATGTGCCACCCTGTATATCTCACCTGGCATCAGAACCGTATCGACAGCCTTACTCTCGGACGATTGCCTTTTCCGTTGCTTCTGCGACATCTTCACGATTTTCATCCTACTCTCGCTTTTGTGCGGCGAAAATCGATTGTGCGACGGAAAACTCGACCTGCCGAGTTCGGGAAACTCGAAAGAGGCGCTCAACGATTTGAAATCATCACCGTCCGGTTCGTTTCTAATGGCCTCGCTAGCCGCTAGAATCGATTTCAATCGATCGGGAACGTCCGACTCTCTACCCGGTTGAATCGATTTCAATCGATCGGGAACGTCCGACTCTCTACCCGGTTGAATCGATTTCAATCGATCGGTAGAATCGATTTTACGTTCTCTTGCTATCGCCGTTTCCGGCGTCGAAGGCTCGTCCGGAAACTGGATGATATTATCGAAACTACCATCGTTATCAGATATAGAGACGTTTTTATCAGACGATCTGTGCACACGATGGCGTTTTTTCTGCACAATCGGCTTTACCGGAGTATCTTCAGTCATGCATACAGGGTGAGTTAGAGCTAAATTCTCTATAGTATCATCGCTAACGGCCGTAGAGTAAGGAGTGATGACTCTGCACTGTATCCGATGGTTCTCTTCGAAATAATACTCCGATAATTCTTTGAGCAGATCCTCGTCTAGATCGTTCAGAGCCTTCCATTCTAACAGAGCCGGTACGTTATCTACTATGAATTTCAAACAGCAGTATTTTAATTTGACTGCGCTGTATACGTTCGCGAATGATAAGATTTGCACGACGTTTCTCAAGGTGAGGATATCGGAGAGTAGTCGTTCGCATTGTTCTTTCAATCTCGTTACGAAAAGCTGATCGGCTAAAATGAGGACGTTGAACAGGTGGTTGATTTCCGACGAGTCGAGTCTCGAAAGGGAATCCGTGTAGAGGTACTCTAATAGGGCTTCGACTGTAGTTTTGGAAAACGGTAACGATACTTCGGTCGTGTTTTCCTAAAAGAAAATTAATAATTTACAGAGTGGTATGTAAGTAGATGGAAAAGGCTCAAAATACAGAGTGGAAAATTAGTATGAAAAAGCTCAATACGCGTGAAAATCCAAGCAATGAAATCTCCTATTTTTAATCTCTCCTACTTCATTATACAGGATGAGTCATGAGAAATCGTACATACTTTAACAGTGTATAGAGACACTTAAGGTGAATATCATACGACCATTAAAAGTTCCAACCGCCTCTTCTCTAAGGAGATACAGGGTGAATTATGAATTTTGACGAAATTTTCATTTGTTTGTATCTTTATGGTGGTTATTTCGATATGGTTCATTTTTGGTAAAAGTATACATTTTGAACCAGCAACACACTGGCATATTCAGAATTAAAAAATTTCAGGACCGTCTTAAAAAAAAGACATAAATTTTTCCAAACCTAATATTTCACCCTGTATACACTTTTTCTATTTTCATTTGGTTAATGTAGAATGTATAAGTAATTCATAAAGCCTGAGCACCGGAAATTTTTGCCACACTTTGTTTAAATTGTCAATTATCAATTAACTTTTAAGAAAAATTACATATTTAGGATAACCGAATAATTTACATTAAAATAATATTTTCTATCGTACAAATTTTATATATATACAGATAGTTTTAACTCGTCGTGGGACACCCTGTATAACGAGCTAAAACTTAAAACAACCTGTATTAATAAACATCTTACCCCATTCCAGCGCATGAACATCGTATTGAAATACTCCATTCTAGCGGCGAGGACGCATTTATGCGCATTCAATCTCTTATTATCGCGACATTTAACCGTAACATCGTAGAATCGACTCGATTCCATTCTATCGAACGTTAGATACGTCGAAGTTTTGGCGGGATTTTTGCTTTTGTTGTAAATTACGTGTTTATCCATCGTCAAATCGCCAAGGATTTTCTGTAACGCGACGCACTCGAACCGTTTGGCCAGTTCGTGCAAAGCCCTAACGGGATTTTTCTGTTTCGTTTTCGTTTTATCGCGCTTCTCGCCGTATTCGATCACGTCCATTTGTTCCTTATTGTCCGGCGTGTTGAACAAATTTCTCAGCGATTCGTTTTTCAATTCGCCGCAGTCGGTTAGATCGCATCGGCCCGTGTAAATGTACAGTAAAATTTGTTGGAATATTTCCCATTTGACGTCTTCTATTACAATCGTTTGTTGTTTTTCCATGAGTTTTTCTAAGTAAGGGCTGGATTTGGCGACGATGAATTTATGCGCGGGGAATATTTTTCCATCCGCTTTGAAAACGACGTCGTGGATCGCATCGTGTTCGTCGGCTTCTCGTAGTAACGTTTCGAAATTTCGCCTCATTTGTGATGGTTCGATGTGTGGAAAATGGTAACTGTTATATGGTGGCGCCTAAAATTAATTTAATTATTAATATGTATTATTGTAAGAGTGTCAATATAAGCTACAGTTGGTGCAAAATAAATATCAATGCACGTCACCTATGATTTACTACGTCACAAGTAGGCAGTGTTGCCGAGTTTTTATAGAGTTTACAAAATCTAAGAAATTTCTAAAATTGTCAAATGGCAAAATGACAAGAACAAATTGAAAATTAAGGATAAAGGAATTTGATTATTAATTATAGTGAGTCCCTGAATACATCCGCCGTTTAGAAACGTGAAACTGGTACCCCTAATTTTCAATTTGTTCTTGTTATTTTGCCATTTGACAATTTTAGAAAATTCTTACAGCCTTATTCATAGTCGCCTCCTTAAAATGATGTTAAAACACCACTAGTTAGTGGCCATTAACATCATACTAACTAGCCACTAACGTTTCCTATTCATAGTCGAATAGTAGGCAACACTGCCTACTTGTGACGTAGTAAATCATAGGTGACGTGCATTGATATTTGTTTTGTACCAACTGTATTATAATAACTAGTAAATACAAAGTAATTTGTACGCAATATGGTCTATGGGTGCAACAAAGACCATAGCAATAGTGATATAGTGGGATTGCAACTTTCTCACTCTAACCCACTGTTAGTGTAATATGTATAAATCATTTAAATACCTTTCTTTGTTCAACTCATAAAATTGACCATATTGTAAACTACTTTGCATTTATCTGTAGATGAAATTTTCGTTATAAAAACAAACTAACTTGTATAATGCAATAATCTTTCCCTTTGGAATCGCTGGCGATCGACAAGGCCCTGTGAATTTTCGGTATTTTTTGCAAATTCACGACGATACAATCGTTTTTGTCCAAGAACGCGTGAAAGGGACTTTTCTTCTTCGTTTTTTGCTCTTTATCTTGATTCTGTTTTTTTCCAACAGCCGAAGATTTTATCTTTCTGGGCCTGGCGAAACCTTTGAATGCTTCACCGTTATCCGATACCAACAGTAGCTCGTTGAGATTTATCGAAATTTGCTTCATTACTATCGCTCTGTTTATCGAATAAATACACCTACAAAGCGAATTAATCGTAAGAATTTGACACTCTATTTGACTCAATAGGCCGTATTTATAAAAAAAAACCAAAAAAACTTTTGAAAAACGAATTGTTTCAAGGTATATGCATAAAAAGAAGTGAATGAAGAGATTTTGCTTTAAAGACCCTACTGTTGCTTTAAAGCAAAAGGTGTATTTAAGTTTTCCGAATATTAATAAAAAGAAACATTTGCTTAAAAAGAAAAAGATTTGCTCGTAAAAATGGAATCTAGGTTCGTAGCAACTTTTCACAATCTTTTCAGTAGTTTCTTAGCCACCACACAGCTTGTAATTTTTGAGTATTTTGGCTGTGTTTCCCCAGTTTGTTATGGTCGACAAGGTGCATTTACGTTAGAACTATCTAGAACTATTTACAACGCTCCAGGATCATTTAGAATTGTCCAGAATCATGTAGAACTGTCTAGAATCTTTTAGAACTGTCTAGATCAATCTAGAACGCTCAAGAATCATTTAAAACTGTCTACATATTTTTAAAACTGTCTAAATATTTTTAAAACTGTGTAAAATTTTTTTAGAACTATGTAGACCAATCTAGAACGCTCCAGAATTATTTAGAACTGACTAGATCAATTTAGCACGCCCCAGAATCATCTAGAACGCTCCAGTATCGTTTAGAACTGGCTAGATCAATCTAGAACGCTCCAGAATCATTTAGAACTGTCTATAGAATCGTTTAGAACTGGCTAGATCAATCTGGAACGCTCCAGAATCATTTACAACTGTCTATAGAATCGTTTAGATCTGGCTAGATCAATCTAGAACGCTTCAGAATCATTTACAACTGTTTAGAACCCTTTACCATTTACTTTATTTATCCACAGCGGAGGCGGAAATTATGAATATGGATCAGAGCAAAACCCTTTCCTCTTACCTTTTGTTTCAAAGTAAATGCTTCAGTTTTATAAATATGAACTATTGAAAATGTATAGCATGATTTATACAAAGTGGCTCATTTAAAACAGTCCAAACATGTGGAGAAATAACCCCCAGAAATACTATTTTAAATGGTCCACCCTCTGTAAAGAGATCAATTACCTGCATAATTTCTGATCAGATCCTTGCCACAAAGAAACATTCCCAGTGTTCGTCAAAGCCGCAATTTTCAATTCAGTATTCACTTCTTTGATGGTCTTTTTATCCAACAAAGACACGTCTAAAGTACCCCCGATCACGCTAATTTGTACTACATTTAATTGCCTACAAAAAAAAACAAACAACTTGAGCTTAAAAATGTCCCAAACGCCCAGCCATTATATCTACCTAGATGCTATTTTCTTACACATATACTCGTGCAACACGTAAATATCCCCATCGCTAGTGCACACGGCTATCGCTCCGGTGCTACTAGCCACATCGTTGAGCACGGAATCGCTTCCGTTAGTAATGAACATATCTACGCTGATGTTTTTGGGACCGACGATGAAGGGCGTTTGAACGTCGTTGTGTTTGACGCCCAATTGTCCGGCGTTTAGGCCCCACGTGTAAATGGCGTTCGGGCCCCACGCTACCGAATGATACTCGCTGGCGCACACGCCCTGGATCTCCTTCGTGATGGCCCTAATGGCTTTGGGAGTGGCGCATTGTTCGGGCGCCGGCACGTGTCCTAATACTCGGTATTGGTTCAAACCGCACGTGTATATCTAAAAAGTAGGATATTTAAGTGAACATTCGCAGCCTTATTTATAGTCGTATTTATATAAGGTCTGGAAATATAGGTCGAAAAAGTGTCCCGTTATTTGAGGATAAAACAGGGTTCCTAAAACGGCCGCGAGGAGGCGATGTTGTAAAGGACCACAGTTTTTTGCGTACAAATTATACAGTGAGGACCAAAAGTCCGTCGCCCCCCCTAACTTTTGAATGGTAAGAGCTTTTGTCGCGAAATTTGGGGTGTTTATATTGGAGTAAAAATACTATTTTTTGACGTAAAAATGACAGTTGAAACTTTCAAAATGACAGTTTGGCGCCATTTTGAATCTTTTTTTCTTATGTAAAGGGGGGTCAAGTGACACCTCGTTTTTTCATTCCTAAGTCAACCCCCAAATTTGAAAACATTTTAATAACGCGTATTCACATGAAGACCAATTTAGTTTTAACCCCCGGGCATATTGATACATTTAATAATTAATTCTGAACGTACTATAAAATGTGTCAATTAATTGTTGCTATGGTTTCTTGGCTCTGACATTTATTTGTCAAATTTAAAGTTGATGAAATTGACAGTTTTTTCGTTTAAAGGACGAGCCATTGTTAAGTAAAAGTAAAGTTCACTGGAATTTTAACCTTTTTTTCCATCACCCATTTAAATGATCTCGGTACGTGAGTCTGACACAATAACGTCAATAACATAACCAAAATCTTCAATATAAAATAAAATTTTAAGTTATTTCCATTGTTGCCACATTCATTTTTCTGCTAGCATTATTTTAACTAGTGGGATAGAAATATTCGACTATGAATAGGAAACGTTAGTGACTTGTTAGTATGATGTTAATGGCCACTAACTAGTGGTATTTTAACATCATTTTAAGGAGGCAACTGTGAATAAGGCTGTCGGAGTTTTAGTATACAGGGTGACCCACGGTCGATGGCAGGTTAGGCGTTTAGGGACGTTTAGCACTTATATTTCTGTTACTATAAGAAATAACCTAACCTGCCATCGACCGTGGGTCATCCTGTATAATTACGTTTGCGTCGGTACATAAGAAGATGCTGTGGTCCCTGGATATACTAGCTTGGATGCACGTTACAGTTTCTCCTTTGGATTGAGGATTAAATGCGATCGGTTGGGGTAAAAACACCGATAGTTCATCGCCTAAACCTAAACGGCCGCCTTGACCGTGCCCGCACGATAAGGCTCTACCTGGAACTCAAACGTAGTAACTTTCGTAATGTACAATACGATTTTCGATACCTGTTTGTGTTACAATCAAACTATGAAACTGCGAAATGTAAATCTGTTCGACGAGCTCGTTGGGATATTCTTTATGAAAAGCATCCAACAAATCGGGGCTTTGCTTCGCCTGTTGCGGCCCCAATAAATTATTATTGTTCGATCCCCAACAGTACAATTCCCCGAATATCCCTCGCGGGTTCAACCCGTCCTTCATGGCGTGCTCTAAAGGTGTTAAATAATCCGAATCCGTATCGTTCACATTCGCACCTAAAATACTGCATAAATTAATAAACGAACGTTCGATAAGCGAATCAATTGACCTAATCGAATCAGCTCGACAGCCACGTCCAATTTCCCGTAGAATATGCTCCTGTGCAAGGCCGTATAGCTGGATTCCTTGTCTTTGATGTTGATGTCAGCGTGCCGGTTGCTTACGAGCCATCTGACTAAATCCAGGCGTCCGCAAGACGCCGCTACGTGCAGGGCGGTCCGGCCCGTCGAATCGAACACGGATTCGCATCGATGGCATGTGTAATTCAGAAACGAGCACAAATCCGCGTCAGACACGCTCCGTTTCGTTATGGAATCGGTTATTATGTCGCCGTGTACCGTCGATTTGCAATATATGGTGCAATCGCGCTCGATTTGATTGCTGCTCATACCTACGGAACTACGAGTACTAAAATTTGGGTGTTTATGTGAAATGTATGAGAGATTGCGATGTACCTGTTCGAAGATAAATTGGTGATGTGGCCTGCGAGTTTTGGGGTAATTTGTACTATAAATTATTGGCATTTGTTGGTTGTAGGGTGGTTTTTTAAATTCAGATACATTAACAGCAGTAGGTATGTTGTACAGCTGACTATGGCTGACAGTTGACACTGTTGACAGATTGCAATCGTCAGAATGATTTTTCTTCTTCTTTATTTGTTGGCCTATTACCTTAAGGCATATAGCCGCGCAGGCAAATAAATTGAAAATTGAAACGGAAAAACACTTTACTCTAATTCCAAAATAGTAAGCACTTAAATTCTCAGAAATGATTGCTATAATGGGTCTGCTATAAAAGCTATTTTCTCGGTAAAATGTTGTTTTGTTGTAAAAATTGGTATAAAAATCGAAAACTGGACGTTTTTTAAGGTCCTTTTTTAGCTAGACCAAACATCCCCTATCGTAATTATTCTGACCTCATTTTTTTATAAATCGCCCTTTTTCAGCCCACACAAGTTCTTTTAATCTATAAAATAAATGTATTATTTTTCAGAACAATTTTAGTGTATTTTTTTAACAATCCTTATTAACTTCAAATATGGACCTATTTTTATTGTAATATAACAATATATGTAGATTCAAAAAATACCATAATACAATAAAATTTAAAATTACCTACTACGGTGCTGTCCGGCGTATAGAATCAGTGTATAATCCGGCTCTGACTTTTTCCCCTTGTGCAACAGAGAAAGCAAGGCTTCTGCCTCGCTTGATCGTAGACCGCGAGATCAAAGGTGCCGCCGAGAGTGTTCTAGCTGGATAGTGAATAAGCTGTGCTACAACATTACCAAATTATCAAAAAAAAAGTTCAAAAAGTAATTGTCAGAAGTGGGATTCGAACCCACGCCCACAGAGTGGACTGCGACCTGAACGCAGCGCCTTAGACCGCTCGGCCATCCTGACTTGTGTCAAGCATATTTTTATATGTTGTGACTATTGACTAGGCGGTCACTAACGATTTTTCTGTCCCAAAAATGTAACATATTATTTAAATTCGAGTCGATCCACTTATTGCTAAATAATCGAAGCGATTAAAAGGCTGCAAATTGTTCTATTTTCGTTGCGACGGGGTATACATAGACAAATTGTAAGGATCGAACTCTCTCATCTTTCTTTCTCTATGTTGCTAGGTAATTATGTAAAAAAAGTAAAAAATAATAATTATGTATTTCATTTTCCGCGGAAATGGTAGTTGCATAAATATAAGGCAACAATGTCCTCAGGTAGTTTACAGATAAACTACACTGATGTACATCTTACCTGTCATCTGTTATTTTACTGGTTTCGGTCTAGTTGCCAAATAATTTTTATGATAAGTTTTAAATTCAGAGATTTATTTTTAGATTAAAATTAGTTGTGTTTGTATCACAAAAAACCCAAATATTTGTTGTAATCGTTGCCATTTGTCCGTTTCTTTCATAAAAATAACAAATATTTCATTTTGCGTTCAAATGTGTGTTGCATAAATATCAGGCAAAACTGTTATGTACTTACTACCTGTCATCTGTCATTTTTCTTGTTTGTAGTTTGTTTCGGTTTAGTTTTGTATGGTTTTTATGATAAGTTTGAAATTCAGTGATTTATTTTTAGAAGAAAAATGATTGTGTTTGTACCACAAACAACCCAAACATTTGTTGCAATCGTTGCCGTTGGTCCGTTTCCTCGAAAATCATTTAATTTTGCTTTGAAATGTGTGTTGCATAAATAACAGGCAAAAATGTTCGGTTGTTATTACGTGTCATCTGTCATTTTTCTGCTTTCGGTCTAGTTTTCATGGGGTTTTTATGAGAAGTTTTAAATTCAGTGATTTATTTTTAGGATAAAAAGTGGTCGTGTTTGTAGTGTGTAAGTAATAACGGAACTCTAACCTCTAACTTAAACGTTGTGTTTATTATTCGCTGCTAAATAATCATGACGAGAAATTGTTGTATTCCGAATTGCAAATACAATCATAAAATTCGGCATTTGTTTCCAAATCCCACTAAGAACATTGAACGGTTTAAAATGTGGATACAGGCATTAAATGTTACGGAATTGACTGAAATGGACCCCGTGTTGGTGTTTACCGGAAAACGTGTTTGTAATATTCATTTCGAAGAAAAATATAAGTCCTCTACATCAAAGCGGCTACATTTAAATGCTATCCCAACTTTAAATTTATTACCTGGTGAGGAAAAAAATAACATTTTTAATGCATATACAAACTTATTTCAATTTTCATTTTAGAATCGGTCGAAAGTGGTTGTTTTTCTCTAGAGTTGGAGCCATCAACATTAAAAAGTATGTATAATTATATTTAACGAGTGAGGGGTTTGTACTCTGATTCAACTTAAAAACTATTAAAAACTTTATTAAAAGGGAAAATAAGGGGTTGCTCATATACCTATTAACTAATATACTGTTAACTCCCTATCCATTCCATGAGAGAAAATCGTAGAGATTAAAGAAAGAGATCCGACCCACTGTGGTGTGCTTAGTCGTTTATAGGAAAGCGCATTATTTTAAAAGGACCAATAGCGAGTAGCTGAGGCCTAAAAAGAAAAGAAGGAAAATAGTGTTTAAATATTTGGTTATTCGGTAACCTGCCATATTTACACAGACAAGTCGAAGTCGATTTTAAAAATAGATTACACCCATTAACAAAATTATCAAATAATGAAATAATTTTAGTAATCACTTTCAAAACATTTCAAAATAATTATCAAAAAATTAAAATAATTCAAAAAAATTGAATTAGGTATCTCCCTAAAATTTTATACTTGTTAATGTAAAAAATTAAATGTAAATTCTTCGACTTAAAATTTATTAAACTAATTGTTTTACCTTATTTTGCAAAATTAATATTTTTCGAAAAAATATAATAAATTTGAAATATTCGATAATTTTTTCTGTGTTTACATATTTTTATTGTATATTGAATTTTTATTAAATTAAACCAAACGGAACTTACTTTCTGGACGTACCTATATTTATAATTTCCAAGAAAATAAAACTCAGATAAAAAATTTACATTTTATTGGTTTGTAATAAAATTAATTTAGTTTGCTTATTTCTAATGTATGTATCTTTGACAGATGCTACGTGATGTAGCCTAATTTTGAGAAAAACATCAATAATTGCTTTTATTAATTGTTGTACATGGTTTTCCAGCGGATCCTGCTCAATTATGTGTTCTTTCATTTCTTTATAATTAAAAACTTTTTTTAAACTTGAACCAAATACTTTTGTGGCCAAGATTAAATTTATATTTTTTTTATTAAAATTTATTGTCGTTTAAAATTGTTGTTTAAAATATAGCCAATAGGTAATTTAAACCTATAGTTTAAACCTACTACCATAAAAACTAAGGCATTTCTTGCCAATTCCATTGAATCACTTTCCACATTGGTGAAATTACTTCCCACATTTACAGTTCCGTAAAATTGGTTTTGTTCGTAAACCAATTGCTCTCTTTTGGACATTTCGTCCAAAACCAGGTTAACAAAAATTTTCCTGTTTGTCGCCACTGTTTCCAAGGATTTTAATGACTCTTGTGTAAAGCCAGGTTTTCCATCAAACACACTGTACCAAGCCCGTAGTGTGGATGGATGTGGTAACATATCTTTTCAAATGCTTCTTATATATTTCTTCTTCTTGTAACTTCTTATCTCTGGAGAATACTTCCTTTTTCCTTTTAATTTTCTTGAAATAATGTGCTGCATAGATTCTGGTACGTTTTGCTATGAAACAGGAAAAAAACTCTTTTTAAAATACCATTCTTTAAAAAATTCATCCAATTTTTGAACCAAATTATTTAAAAAACCCATCGTACATTTAAATGAACATATTTTTTAAATATGTTATTAAAGACATGATTATCATAAAAAAAGTGTTATAACACCTTTGCAATAAAATTAAATATAAAATAATTGATATGCAATTAAAAAAATTATTATAAATTTACCATTATTGCCTCTTGAGCATCTTCAGAGAGCCCTTTTTTTCCGTTTAAGGTGCTTTACTAGTGACTGCAATGACGTAATTTTCTTTTCCATCCTATAAGTTTTTTGTTTCAGACACAGATATTTCTTACGTTGCTCTGCTAATTTTCTATTGGCCGTGAATACAATTCTTTGAGCTTTCCTGGGATTAGCTAAATCCGAAGATGTCACATCACCAAGAAATCTTGGTTCGATAAATTTCCTCTTATTACCTACAAAGAATACAATAAAATTTCATGTACTGTATTGTACACATAAAAAATGAATGTCGACGAGTACAAACATATATTTTGAACCAAATTTCTAATTACTTACGTTTTGGAATCATTGTTTCTATTCTCGGATCCTCTCCTGGAGTCGTTGGTTCTTCTATCGAATTCTCTTCTGGAGTCATTCGTTCTTCTATCGGATCATCTTCTAGAGTCGTTGGTTCTTCTATCAGATCCTCTTCTAGAGTCGTTGGTTCTTCTATCAGATCCTCTTCTTGAGTCATTGGTTCTTCTATCGGTTCCTCTTCTTCATTTATTATTTGTTTAGGAACATTTACACTCGGATAACAGCCAGGTTTAATTTGTAATGCTCCACCAATTTTTTTAGCATTCGGTTCACGATAATCATCTTTCGTAAAATGCTCAGAGCATATATACAGTGAGGTTACTGTATCGTAGTCTTCCAAATTACATATATCTTTCCACAAGCCACACATTTTCGCATCCTTTGGAAATCTAAAAGAATTTGAGTTTATTAAATGCCTATATACTTTTCGTAACAAAATTGATAACTAGGAAAGTTTTTTTCTCTCTTTCTACTGATTGTAGCGCTCGGAATTGGATACTCGGTATAATATAAACACTTACGACATTATTTAAAAATTAAAAATGCGGTTTAATGAAATTATTCTTTTGATTATACTTACTTGTGTAACGTTATGTTCGGAGCTTTCTGATTGCATATGTAACACCTTCTAGGAGACATAACTAAATAGTCACTAACATACTATAGTCACAATAACGCAATGAACACAATAAAAATCACTTAAATAGAGGATGTGAACAACGGTAAACAATAAAAATGGCCTCCACTTTCCACCAAAATAAAAGCTAGCACGTTGTTTGTCATTTGTCATTCTTCTTTTTTTCCTCTACTGTCTTGTCTTGTTACCAGGGCACCACAATTAAAAATTTAATGAAATATTGCATAAATTATTTCTCTTATTTTAGGTGAAATTGTAGATGACGATTTATCTATAGAGGAGCATCCATTAGGCAGTATGTATTTAATATATTTTAAAAGTTGTATTTTTTCATACTTTATTTTAGTTGTAAAAGAAGATCACAATTATTTTACATGCGATCAGGAAAGAGACTCGGGAGTCGATGGTTTTGTTGAAGCAAACGATGTCACGAACTTTGCTTTCATTCATTCGGAGTTTTTGAAAGTAAAGCAACAATCGCTACAAGCTCGACCGGTTTCCCAATTAAAGGTCGTCAATGCTTGCAGTAAGTTTTATTGTTGTCAATTATTTTTCATTTCGAGACTTTCCTCAATTTCGAGAACGCCCTGTATATTTAAACTCGCAATATTTTCGATTTCGAAGACCGGAACGAAGGTGAAGTTAGCGCCGCAACTGTAGTTCTCAGTAGTTCTGATTAGAGTTCTGGATTCCTTTTATAAAGTTTTGGAATACTTTTGTACAAAAAGTAGTAGTTCTATTATACACTAATAACAGTAATGCCTATAGTAACCCTCACCTGGAGGTTAAAGCATTTTTCGGGGCTCTGTGACTGGTTACATCTCGTACCTCTGTCGTACTCACGACTCTTCCTCCACTCCTTTGGAGTCACTTGAATCCTCTATCGTAGTCCCATGACTCCTCTATTGGTCCTCACCAGTCCCTTTACTGGAGTTCCACCGGTTTCTCGTCTTGCTTATGTTCTGTCGTGGATTTGTGCTTCTGCAGCACGTTGGAAGCTCTAAAGTTAAAAAACTAAGACTTAAGAACACTTAAGAAGTTTAACTGGTGGTTATTCTTATCGGTTAATATTATTCTGGTGGTCTATTCCTAACTTCTTTGATTTGATATTCACCTTCATTCTGACGTACCTACTTGAATTTTTCTGCAGGTATTGGCGACGATAACAACGTCGCCACGCTGCCGGAAAGCTGGAGCGTTACTCAAACAACTCGAGATAAAGGCACCGAAATTACCCTCTGTCATTTAACCGTTTTCTACGCCGGTAACACCAGGCAATTGGTGTCCAAAAGATACTTCGTCATCGAGAGCTGGAGCCGCCGCATGCAATATTTCCTTTACGGACGACGCATCGACCACGCGGATTTACCGGAAATCCTCGACGACGTCTCCGCGCTGCCGGCGATCTTGGCGAAACTCCATCGGATGCGGCTGTGCGTAGGCCTCGGCCCCGTCGACGTCAGGTTCTTGAAAGGCGAAGAATTCGAAGATTGCACGCGTTCGTGGCATCACAACGAGTGCAGCTTAATAGCGAAGAAGAAGAAGTGCGAAAAATGTAAGCTGCTTAGAAAACTTGTGTGGCAACGGGAGAATCGGTATAGGAAGGAAAAGGGCGATGCATTAGCGGAGAATGTTAGAGGTAGCGAACAAAGACTTGAAACTAGAAGACGTGGGAAAAATCGAATGAAACTCAGCTTGGAAGTGTGTGGAGGTCTGGAGTCGAAAAGATTCAAGCCGAGAATTCTTAAGGAGATTTGCAGTAGTACTACTACTATTAAGGACGCAAGCGAATCTTGATCGAGACGAGATGCAACGAGATGCATCCATGAAGCCGAATACCTCGATGAAGGTCCCAGTCCTTTTCGATGGATGTCTGTTTGTGTCGCCAGGGGCCATAACAGAAAACTCTAAGACTCTAGGAGGACATGGTCAGATGTTTCATCAGCCATGTCGCAATCTCTGCAAAGAGGACTTTCATGTAAACCTGGTGGTCACGGGGCTGGAAAGACCGCCCGCATAAAAAACAACAACAAACCTGGGTTATAGAGGTGCTTTCCCAGATAATATGAGTCATGCGCGAACAAGCGTAGATACACTAAAACGTATTTCGAGAGTTGTCGATGGTCGGACAATGTTGATGGTAGTGAAAAAAAGTCTTGAAACAAGAAGACCGACGATTCTTAAGGAGATTTGAGGTAGTAATCTGAAGGAACGTCGTCAGCGTATGAAGGAGGAGTTCGATGGGATTACTCGTAATGAAGAGTGAGAGGAGGATGATATTTTTCTTGCTGAGGCTGATTATTGCCTTTCAAGTGCGCTCGATGGGAAAAATGAGAAAATTTCGCTCGAAGCAGTGAGTACCAGTAACTTTTTCCGGTTATTGTTTTCAAATTTTAGCGAAAGCTATTCCAGATTAAAAAGAGTATTTGCTTGTATTTCAAAATAAATGCTTAATTTCGTAGTTTTTACTTCAAAAAATTATAGCATTTACTCCACATAATTCTTAAAGTTAGACTAAAGTAAGTACTAGGAGCAATTACTTCGTAGTTTGCTTTATTTACTTCGATATATAGAAGTTAATTCTACAGAAATTACTAATGTTGTCTAGTATTTCCTCCATTTGGGAGTGTTTGGTGTAGTTTTTAAGAACCTGATCAGAGAGTAACTTCTTATCAAGTACTTCACCTAAAAAGGTGTTATAAATGGCATTTTTTTGTGAATTATGGCAGGGAAAGTAGGAAAATATGTCAACGTAAAACGTATGGAGAGGCACAATATAGAAAATTATTTCGATAAGTCAATTATTTTAGGTAACTTTCTACTATCAAGCACTATGCTTTTAGCTTTAATCCAAGCAATGTTAAATGGGTAGCCAATCTAATGAATTTTTGGGAACTCATATTGAGAGTTGGTGTAGTTATCGGGATACATCAAACAACCGTGTCAAAGGTAATTAAAAAAGTTACATAACAAATTGTGTCGATGAAAAATGATTGGATTTCTTTTTCTCAAAATGGACCAGAAATAGAATTAGCTAAAGATATTAGAATCAGTTCTAAAGGAATATTCACGTCTGTGGACGCATCATGGCCAGGAAGCGTCTTCATATTAGTCTAGTATTTACTAGTGGTTATACTTCTAACCAAAGTAAACACTTCCCATTAATGAATTTACTTCATGTAAAAGATTATTCTCCACAAAATACTAGGAAGTAAAAGCTCTTACTTGAAGAACAAGCAAATACTCATTTTAATCATACCACTCATTCTTCTACTAACAAAACTCACGGATGATCTTTCAGGATAGCTGTGCAGACAGGTTCTTCGGCAATTCCTCTTCCTGTAGCCTATAATGTATGCTCCGATGCCATCCTCGAGCAGGATAAAAGTCCAGTTTCCAGAAGTTCCAGAAGTTTTTGATTTCTGCTATACGAGATGGTTTCCTGGAGACGTTTTGAGGTATATGTAGATGCTAACGAATTGCAGGTTAATGACGATATTCACATTACTAATGAAATTTATAATAATGATGAAGTACAATTAAATGTAGTACAAATTAATGATGAAATACGTATTAATAATGCAATTCATACAAATGAAAATCGAGGTGAAACACAATTTTGGAATTCAAAAATCAGAACTTGCATATTGTTCAACAGGTCATTTTAAATATGTTTGCTTGTATTAAATCAGAAAATCCAAATGTTTTACAAACAGATGCAATTAAAAGAATGTAAGTCCCAACCTTAGAAATATTTTTAAGAAAATTTCAAAATTTTGATGATTTCAGATGTAAATCATCAGAATCACTTCGACAAATTTTAATTACTTGTGATTTTAGATGTAAACAGTTAGATAATCGAATGTGCATTATGGAATCGCCTCGAATTGTGGAATTACGTCAAATTTTAGTGGAACGAACGTGGTTCGACACTCACGATGTCGTTTAACGTGGTTGGGCAGATGGTTTACAAAATTGTGTTTTAAATGCACCATTCTCGAGGGGGAAACGAGTCATAATTTTACATGGCGGAAATGAAAATGGCTTTGTACCAAATGCTTTGCTACTTTCAGCCAAAAATATCTTTAAAGCTCTGCTGGATTATATTCATTATCATTATTATATTAATGGACAATGCTCCATATCATTCCCGGCAAATTCATTAAAAGCCAAATAGTGGCTCTAAGAAATCAGGCATAATAAATTATTTAAACGATCAGAACATTGGTATTCCTGCTTTCATAAAAACAAAACCACAATTGTTAAAAATTGTTAGTAAGTAAGAATATTCCAATACAGTATTATATTAATATTTTTGCATACTGTACATATTGTGCATTAAAATAGAAAAAAATGGATTTAAAAAAGTTCAATTTTTCACATTTTTTTGTACACACCCTGTATAAAATAAAAAGTTTTTTTTAACAAAGATTCAAATACCTTTAACCTTTCTAGTAGCCTCCCTACAGAAACCGTTTCCATATATTTAAGGAGATCCTCGTAAAAAATAGTACGTTTGATTTTATGTCAAGTGTAATCAAACACGGAACATCTACTAGTGAGTTAAACACAGAACATACATAAACTAATCTCATCCCATCTATTGTGGATAAATTTAACCAAAAATAGTTCCAAAAATTTTTCAATTTTTCATTCGAACCTCAATTCGCCAGAAAATCAACCGTTTCCATACTTTTTGTACACCCCCTATATCGAGCGCCCGAAACGCCCGCCCGTCTGTCTTTCAACCGGGAAGAGCGCACGGGAACACGCCCTTCAAAAAGAAAAAAAGAAAACCGAAAACAACTCGAATTTAACGGACAACAAAACAGGGCAATCGCGGAGCAGGAGCGCACCCGGGATTTCCCGATATAACCCGGAGTCGGGGCGACCCGACGGATTCCCGGCCGACGACGCCAGTACGAGCGTCGCGACGGCACGACCGTCACTCATTCGCTCGCCTGTTCCCGGATCGCGTTCCCGTTATTTGTGTGTGCCCGAAAAACACGTGGATTTTGCGAAGTATTTTAGGGGGATGATAGGGCATCAGTGATACGAAGATTATTCATTTAATTCGAATCTAATTGTTTCAATTTTTTTTGGTGTTAATTAGGGTGATTAAAGTGCGTTTGTTTATGGACTTTTGCGTTTCTATCGAGAAATAATTGTAAGTATTTCAGATGGTTTTTTTTGTAAAGGATACGTGTGGGTAAGTAGTTTGAGTTATGATGGTGGTTTATTTTTAAATATAGGCGTTTTTTAGGTTGCTTTTGAATTTGTGCGATTTTTAACGCGCCGGGAATATTAATTTTACTGGTTATTTAAGTAGGGAATATTCTCCTCTTGTGATGTTTCAAATTTAGAAACGCAAAGGGGGTCAAATTACCAAATATTCCTCTATTAAAGACCACTTATTGATGTTACTAAATACTTAGGTAAATAGAAAAATTTGTATTGAGTTTAACTGATCTTCAAAAGTCGAACGATAAAAAAATACTGAAGAAATTCTTCTTTTTAATTGTAAAACTCTCTTGTCTTCTTGTTTAAGAATCAATACTACCTAGATGCATTTAGGGTAATAATAAATTCCATTATAAAAACAAAAATAGAAAAATAATTATTAGATATATACAGTATGAAAAATGTAATACAAACATTAATTATCCTGATATACACATAATAAAAGAACTAATAAAATACATATTAGATCAAAGCTAAACTGCATAAAATACACACGTTTCACGGTTAATGGATAGAACAAAGAGAATAATAAATTTACATCAATCGATTGAATATCAAAATGTGCATATACCATTTTATTTAATTACCATCGTGACGCACCAAAAAGGTTTATGTAGGAAAAATAAATGATGGAATTAAATGAAATGTTTTAAAACTTTTCAGTAATTGCGAAAATAGTTTTTAGACGAGTTTATTTTATATGGATTTTAAAGTTTCATCAGTTTTTGTATAATTACACTTATTGTATAATAGAAACTGTAATAGAAATCATTAATTATCCTAGTTGTCCTAGTAGTTATTTGTAGTATCCCAGATTACACCAGTTTACAAGGTTTTGTGGAAAAAACTTAGGAAAATAGGAGTGATGTGTTTTTGATTAATGAACAAAAATTTGTAGCAAAAAGATCTAGCACGCCACATAACCGAAATATACACAATTAAAAATCATTTGTTTTACTGAAATTAGAACAAATTCGACATGCCAATGTCCAACAATGGATCTCTAATACACCGTTTAGAACGTTCCAGGACCGATTAGCACTGACTATGAACAATTTAGACCGCTCCAGAATCATTTAGAACTGTTTAGAACTGTTTATAAGAACGCTCCATATCATTTAGAATTGTCTACAATCTTTTAGAATGCTCCAGAAATATTTAAATTGACTAAAACCATTTAGATTGGTCCAAAATCATTTAAAAGTGTCTAGAACCATTTACAACGCTCCAGAAATATTAAAATTGACTAGAACCGTTTAGATTGGTCCAAAATCATTTAAAACTGTCTAGAATCTAGAACAATCTGGAACGCTCTAAAAACATTTAGAACTGTCTATAGACAGTTTATAGACAAATTCTATAGAACCTTTCGAAACGCTACAGAACTGTCGAGAATCATTTGGAACGCTCCAGAAAAGTTACGCAGTGATTGATCAATGATTTGTTAGTTAAAAAAAACTTATTTTCCTATCAAATCGTTTGGGTAATGGAATTTTTCTTTATTAGTAAACTTGATCTAATTTACTACAGTAACTACATGATTTCCTAAACAAAATCTATAGTAGGCGTACGCACCAGAATCATTTAGAACGCTCTGGGATTATTTAGAACTGTCTACAACCATTTAGAATTCTTCAGAACTATTTAGAACACTCCCGAACATCAAATTATATTAAAAAAGTTGATTGCATGTGTGCACTAAAAAAAGTGTAAAACTTGTTAGCAAGTTAGTTAGATTTTTCTTCTCAATTTCATCCATATTTTATTAAAAATTTTAAGATGTTTACTCATTATTTTTATGACTACAAAGTTCAAGTTTTAAACAAATTTCTAAAGAAAAGTTTTCACGAATTCTAATGGACTTCGAATGAATTCGTTAATAAAACACCTGAAAATCTCGTAAAACTTCAACCGTTTTTTCGTATACCCCCTTATTTTCCTTCAACAAAATCCCCTATTGCCGACCATTTATTTCCATATACAGGGTGTTAATTAATTTGATTGTCGATACTTCAGAATGTGAATATTTGGATGATTGTAAAAAGAAAAGTTTACATCAATATATGTCCTAAACCTTTTAGTTTTCGAGCTACAGGGTGTTACAATTTTAGAAAAAATAACTTTTCTATTATAATTTTCTTATTACTCCAGATATGTTTATGAAATTTTGGACTTTGGTAAAAGTAGAAAATTCTTTTTTTACCCAAAAAAGTGTTTCCATACATGATGGGCGCCTACCAAATTTCAACAAAATATCAAAAACAGTCTCAATTAACTTGGGAAAAAATTGTTTTGGTTTTTATTTTTTTGCGCAAAAATGATGCGTCTTACGAAAGTAAGTTTTCGGACCGAATTTGCACTAAAATAAAAAAAAAATTAAAAATTTTAAAAACAGTTTTGGTTTTTTAGAAAAAAAACAGTGGCGTGCCATAATTTCTCCAAACACAATCAGGTCAAAGTATAGATGTCACTGGTAAAAATTAAAAAAAAATCCCTTGCCTCGAAAAATGCTCCTTAATAATTTAAAAGTGCATACAAATTTTCATAAAAATATCTGGAGTAATAAGAAATTTATGATGTTTTTTTTCTAAAATTGTAACACCCTGGAGCTCGAAAATTAAAATGTTTAGGATATAAATTGATATAAACTTTTCTTCTTAATATCACCCAAATATTCACAACCTGAAATATCGGCACTCAATTAATTAACACCCTGTACATATTTCCAAGAATATCCCATAATAATATTCCGTTAAAATTTTCTCGTCGCTTTCCATAAGGTCAATCAAAATTTCCCAAACAAGCTCTCGGGCGACCTTTGGATTATTTTTGTAGCAAACGCATAAAAATCGGGACCGGTGTGCACTTGACCGATCATCGAACGGGATCGAACTTGACCCACATGTCCCATCCAGAAATACGAAATTCGATTGGAAATTTTCGAAGAAAAAAAAAACAAACAAAAACAAACAACCTCGAACGTCCACATTTATCCCAACGAAACCAAAACGGCACAAACATATTATCAGATATCAGAATAAAATGATTACCTATAATACGAGGACGAATCAAATATGAACCGGAATTTTCTTTTAAACGATCCCTATGTAAGGTGAGTAATATGACGTCTTGATATACAGGGTGGCACATTAGTATGGAAAAGTTCAATGTATCTGTTATTGTAGAAGATATCAAAAAAACGTCATTACAAAAGTTGTAGATCTTTTTAAGCTGTATATTTTAAAATTAGTTACATTTATACAGAGTGTCCCGTTTTTAGACTTTTTTAAATGGAACAACCTGTTTTTTATTTAAAAATTGAATTAAGCTCGTTTTCAGCTTTCCAAAAATATAATTTTGTATAACGTTATACTGAGTGGTTTAAAAGTTATGACCACTTTTCCATGAAAATCGTACTAAGTTTACCACTCTGTAGAAACTAAATGGATTGTATTGAAAATAAATTTTAGATTGCACAACATTGCAAATACCCTGAAAATGTACAAAATGAATATTTTTCGTCAATTTTCATTATACTGCTTACAGGGTGGATACAAACGCAAAAGTAACATTTTCTCCGTTATTTTAAATGGATCCCCCTGTATTTTATATCGTTAACAGGAAGTATTTTTGAAGTACTTTCATTCTTAATAACCATTCCCTATACCTAAAGTTAACACTTTTCGAGATATTCTAATTAAAAAAAAACTAGAACGGAAAATTGACTTCAAAATACTTCCTGTTAACCATATACCGATTCGGTAGGAAATTTCTGGTAATAAAAGAGGAGACAACATAGAAAAATATGATGTATTCCAGAGTATATTGAATTTATAAATAAATTGTTTAAAGCAAAATTTCGGTTCATATTTGATTCATCCTCGTAAGATATGAGATTCTGGTATTTGGAATTTAACCTGTACGTAAATTCAATACGTATACATACTGGTTTGTGCGTGTTTCGAGAGAGAAAATTGGCCGCATAACAAAATATCGTTGTGTTTTGGCATCAGCGCTTGCACTTAAGATTACGGGTTTAGGTTTAATTATAGAGTCGGTTCTATTCCAAGGTCCTAGGTAGATACATACGTTTTACGACTAGGAGAATAATCTAAACTTATGGCCGGTTAGAGACCGGGCCCCGGCTACAGGGTGGCTCAATAACACATATTCATATATATCGCAAAGTTATAGAGGGTGTAACAGAAAGGTGACTCATAAATTATATGCCACATATTCTAGGATCAAAATTAGGATGATTGGACACTATTTATGTAGTATACAATTTATTCATTTTAGTTTTCATTATACGCTATGCGTGCAAAAAAGACAACTTTCATTAGATACTTATAAAGAAAAAAAGAAAAGGAGATATTGTCCGATTGCAACTTTATCACTCAGAACTCACAGAAGTTTTTATAGAACGCTCCAGAAACATTTAGAACTGTCTAGAATCATTTGGAACGCTCCAGAGACAATTAGGATTGTCTAGATACATTTTGAACGCCCAGAATCATTTAGAACTATTGAGAATAATTTAGAACGCTCCAGAGACATTTAAAACTGTCTAGAACCATTTAGAATGCTCTAGAATCATTTAGAATGCTCCAGAGACATTTAGGACTGTTTTGAACCATTTAGAACGCTCCGGAATCATTTTGAGAAAGAACTGTTTAGAACCATTTAGAACGTTCCATGATTATTTATAACTGTCTAGAACCATTTACGACGCTCCAGAAACATTTACTGTTATTTTAATAATCTTTCTTTATTCAACTCATAGAAATGACCATATTGCAAACTTTTATGCACCAAGGTGTATACAAAATGCCACAGAAAACAAATCATAGCTTGTTTAAAGTGCTAACTGAAAGTTTGATTTTTTTTCTGTAAAATATATTCAATGATTTTTCATGAAATTTGGCACGAATTATTTTTATAATGCATATTGTTAACTAAAAATTAATCAAATAGGACACCTCATACAATTTTTTGAGGGGTCATGTATGTATTTTTAATTCCCCTTATTCTTTCTACACTTCTGGTTTAGGTCATTTTTTGTGTAGAGTATGAGTTTAATGAATTCTTTTTAAATGTTTTTTTTTTTCTATTAGGTAATATTTAAAAATTAAGATAATATTTCAGATAAGATAATATTTTTCAAAAAATGTATCGAAAATTTGATATTTTGTGAAAAAAAATAATAGGTAAAGACGTTCACAATATGGATACTACATTAAACTGCAGTAAACATAAAAAAATCATCTTAATCTAAAATACAGAAAAATGTGGGTTGTGTGGAAAAAAAGGGTTTAAATGTGGGGGTCTATTAAATTTTTATTGGGGGTTCCCATCTTGGTTTCTTTTTATAAAATGCTCTAGTCATTAAAATAATTAAAAATTTCGAAAAAAAAACAAGCTATAAATTGTTTTGTATGGCATTTTGAATCAAGGCCTTCAATAATTTCCAATAAATTTATAATTTTAACTCCAGAATATGTGTTAAAATTTATTCACCACCTTTTTAGTTAAACCATGTAGGTTTTTAGTACAGAGATTTCCAGTTTGGATCGTGGGAATTTGGACCGTCCTGTACACTGAATATTTTACGTTTCCCAATGGAATGAACTGATCCAATTGTGGAAGTTAGCAGCTTAACGGCTTGCTCATTAATTATTTTATACGCAGGATAATAGCAGTTAAAGCTTTTGCTTTTGTTTGATTTTTTGAGATTGAAAGGATGGATTTTCCGGATGTTTTTTTCGCGATTTTGTTGACTTTTTTTGTGAATTTTCCTTTTATCAAAGATTTATAGCAGTTTTTTTGGTTATCGATAGTGTTTAAAATGATATTTTTCAGGTTTAAAACAATTTTGAATAAATTCCATTTAATTAACTGTGTTTATTAAATGAATTTCGTTTATACAGGGTGTCGCAAAAAGGTTGAGGACATGGCTTAACTACAGACTTCTGAGTTAAGAACACGATGATTTATAAACTTTGATTTGATTGGTGATTTAAACTAACTTATTTATTTCCAAATGTGCTTAATAAAGAAGTTACAATGGTGTTAAAGTGAGTTAAAAAACCTTTTTAACAGATTAAAATATTTTTAATAAAAGTATATTTACTAATCATGTATTAATTGCCATATTGAACAGTTCAATCACTGAAATCTAATTTTTAACATTACCATTTTCTTCAAGTAATATATTTAATAAATAAATAATTATTAGAAATAACTTAAAAAGGTACTAACATTTTTTTATATGAAAACAATTTTATTAATAATGACTGCCTGAAACTTTTCCAAACTGTATGCTAAAAATCTTTATCTAAAAATCGTGTAATTATCAAAAATAGAGATTTATCTCCAAAAATGTGAGTTTTATAGAAAATTACAAAGTAAAAAATCATTATAAATAAACCGATGAATCTAGTTTTTGGATCAAAAATTAGGTAAAAACCATGAGCGGAAGAATTAGGGCTTTAAGTGAGTTGGACCCCCCGTTAAAACTGAAACGGATTGATAATTTAAAAACAAGCTTTTCACGCAATAATTGGTCACTAAAAAAAAGATATTCTGTACAAATTTGAATGAATGATTTGATCTTTTTTTATTTTTAATTTTAACCTTTTGCAACTTCTTTACGAAGCACATTTGGATGTAGGTAAGTTAGGTTAAATCATCTTATTTTTAACCTTTATAAGACACCCTGTATATATTGCTCTGTTTTTTAGAAGTATTTTGAAGCTTTCCATTCGTTATTTTTGTCAATTTTAGTTACTCAGTTACTTCTTAACAGGAAGAATATTAAAAATTTGCTTTTGAAATTTTTTGTTAATTGTAGTATATGTTTTTTAATGCTTATAAATTATCTTTTTTTTAAGAAATTCTTGGACATTTCTACAAAGTTTTTAATCATTTTAACCATACATTTTTTTCATTAAAGATGTTTTTAAGTACAGGGTGTCCCAATGAAATATAGCCCCTTTACAGGGTGTTTTATCAAAATCTCCTCTTTTACATTCACATTATCCAAATTTTTTAAATGGAACACCCCATATACATGTATTTAGAGCTATTTTGAAAGATATACTTTTCTACTTTTCAAAAATGTATTATTTTGTATATGTTATCATCCAAAAGAAGACGTTCTATTTTATAAAATTTGGTTAATGTGAATTTAAAAGAAGGGTTTTTTATGAAACATCCTGTACATGCAATACGATACAAAATTTTTGTGTCACTGTAACAAAAAGTTATAGGTAAATAAAATATATCTGCGGAAAGCGCATGTTTTTTTGTAATTAGTTATTAGTAAAATTATTAGTTCACTTAAGAGGCTACTTTTCATTGGGACACCCCGTATTTTTTGCAACCTTTTCGTTATTGTCATTATTTCTAAAACTTTTGTACAACATTTCAATAGTTTCTAAACTCTCCATTCTTAATTATGACCATTTTTAGACCTCATTTCACCATCATTTCATAAACCTCCAAAACAATTTTCCACTATTATCCAACCATAGTTAAAGCTTCACGAACCCTCTCCAAACCGCCCTTAAACCACCCTTAAACGCTTCCACACCTCTACTCTCCCCAACCCCCCGCTCAATCCCCCCAACAACCATTCGCTTCACATCAAAGCGCCCTTTCGGCAATTGACCTGCAACAATTAATTTCCAGATGCGATGCGGTTGATCGCCGCACGCCGCCGCCCCGACGCCGACGCTCCCTAATTAGAGGAATACAGCGAGAGAAATGTCCGGCGAGCCGGAGGCCACCAAGCACCGCGGCGCCCTAAAGAAGGCAAAGCAACGGTCGCGGTCGACGCCGCGCCACGACGACCTCGAGAAGCCGAAGAAGAAGAGGAACGCGAGCGCCGCGACGTCCTTCTCCTCCATACCGAATACCATCAAGTTGTCCATGCTCAACAGCGGCCTGCTGCCCACCAGCAGGTTCAGTTCGCCCGGTGAGTCCCAGGTTTATTTTGTATACTGATGGTTATGTTACGAGGAGCTTAAACTATACTGCTCCACAAAAGTTAAGGAAGTTCACAAATTTAGTATGAGTTGTAGAGGTAGAGGCAAAAAATCCACTCAGATATGAAAGAAAACATTTAATTTCTCATATTTGAAAATTTGGTGATCAAAAAGTCTGTAACTTTTAAAATAATCCTCCTTAACTTCCTTAACTTTTGTGGAGTAGTTTATTTGTATATTGAAAACTACTTATCCACTTTTACTTACACACTTTTTTATCCAAAATTCACTTTTAATATTAATTATTAATAATTATTCTTCATTTATTTATTGTATTCTCAAATAACATAAAATTTATGCTCCTGATTTTTAAATGACTTTTATTCAAAAAAATTGTTATGCAAGATATTGCAAATAATATGTTTCCGAGTAGGAAAATGCAAGATGTATCAAAATCAAAAAAATGGGGTTACTATTTAAAAAAATCGTCAATGACGTCACTGCCCAAGAATGGTAATTGGAGGAAACTTAAATTCTTTTTGAAAAATTGCGCTTTTAGTAAACAAAATTGTCCTGTCCGAGCGTTTTTTCGAAAAACCAACCAATTTCATTATAATGAATTTATTCCTTTCATTTGTTACATACTGTATATCTATGATTGAGTCCATCTAGATTGGGTTAAATCACGAGAGAATTCTATTCATTGATATTCACCTAAATTCACTCAATATAATTTGTATACACGAATGTATCGAGATAATTTAATTTGCTTACAATTCCTTTTGTTTCAGAAGAAAATGGCGGCGGCGTCGTCGCCACCATAACGGACAATCCCATTGACATGAAGGATTTCATGAAAATATGCGAACAAAGGAGGAAATTTCCCGTGCTCTATAAGCTGGAATTCGAGGTAAATGGATGATATTTTGAATAATATATTATGTCTATACCTTTTGATTTCGTTCCTCAACAATTGATTAATACGCGAACTGGTCGTAACAAAAGTAGAGTTTTCAATCGGGATTTTCATGATAACCATCTATTAGTACTTCTAGGAGTACCTGAATTCAGGTATCGTTAATATTGTGAGTTTTTTTACAATATTTTCAACCATATACCATAAGTTACATAAAATATGGTAGGTATATCAAAAGTTATGACGTAGCACGTAGAACTTATTAAAGGCATAAATGGCCATCTAGATAAACTTAAGATAATCTTGGCATAATGAACAAAAGTTCGATTATTTTAACGACTGGATTTGGGTACAAGGGATACCTATATGGATCAAAAGAGCTTATCTCTCGCTATAAATTTTCGCTATAAATTATCCATTGCTCAATGCATAAATGCCTAAAAATACAGAGTGATCCATTTAAAATAAGAAATATGGCCATTTTAAGTTAGCCATGTTTGTCTGACAAATTTAAACGCCCTGTATATAAACCACGAAAACCCAATTTAGTTTTATTTAGTACAGTGCGAGTACATTATCGATACCAAATTTCAAACTTCCCGCTGCATTATTAACAGAGATACCATAGAAAATAAATTCGACCGTTTTTCCAAAAAAAAAAAAATCGAAAATTAAATAACCTAAAAATGTTATAAAAATTTTTGACATATATGGTGGTCAAAAAGGCGGGATAAAACGGACTAAAAATCACATATGGTTAAAAATATTTTAGAAAAACTCACAACATATCAGTGATTCCTAAAAGTTCCAAAGAGTAAATTGACATTTCCACGAATAGGTACACCCTGTAAAGTGGATTTGAGTTATCTAGGCAATTGGGAAAATTATATTTGATGTAAACAAATCATATCGTCTAATCAAAAACAAATATAATTTTCTATGCATAATAATAATCTCGTTATCAATACCAATAAAAGGAGCACGCTCATCGCGTGATACATTCAAATATCGCTTAACACATTAGCATTTTGTTGTTTACTTAAAGAAATTTCATTTAATATCAAGTATGCAAGGCGTTTTCGCGTCTCCAGCTATCCCCATCGGTCTCTGTTTAAATACACACCGGCATATTTAAAGGAACAGATATAAAATTCAATTATTTTCTCTATGATATACATATTGTTAAAATTTCTTAAACTTAGGTGAAGTAATTGGGGCACTTTTCACAAAAATTTATCATGTGCAACCTGTTGAAGAAGGGAGCAAGACGAAGATATCAGATTTAAAATAAAATACTGGTTTTAAACAGAATAACTTTATTGTACATTTTTAACTTATGTATTTCAATAATTAAATTCACTTTTGGCAATATTAGTCGCTATTAAGTCTAATTAATTACAATTTATTGTTATCTCTGTTAACACGGGTTTGAAATGTAAGACACATAACAAACTTTTGAAGTTTTTTTAACAGACTACGACCACATTTGACATTATTAAAAACTTTAATTATGACACAAAACCTTGATAGCTATCTAGACATAGACTATAAGACAATAAAATATAGAAATATATTACATTTTCAATATGTTCCTTTAAATTTGCCGGTTTGTGTATAATATAGCTATTTTCGTTTATTTAGTTGTGTTTAAGGGTACACAAAAATGCTTTTCCAGTCGGAATAGCTTAACAAATTAGAATTTTTATTGTTTACTTAAAGAAAACTAATAAATATTAAGTATGCAAGGCATTGTCACGTCTCCAGCTATCCCTATCGGTATGTGTCTAACTATAATATAGTTATTTTCGTTTATTTAGTTGTGTTTAAGGGTTCTAAAAAACCGCTTTTCCAGACAGAATAGCTTAACAAATTAGAATTTTTATTGCTTACTTAAAGAAAACTAATGCAAGGCATTGTCACGTCTCCAGCTATCCCCATGGGTCTGTGTCTAACTATAATATAGTTATTTTCGTTTATTTAGTTGTGTTTAAGGGAACACAAAAATGCTTTTCCAGTCGGAATAGTTTAACACATTAGCATTTTTGTTGATGGTATAAAGAAAACTCATTTTTATATCAAGTATGCAAGGCATTGTCACGTCTGCAGATATCCCCATCGGTCTGTATCTAACTATAATATAGTTATTTTCGTTTATTTAGTTGTGTTGAAGGGTCACAAAACCGCTTTTCCGAAGGCGCGTCGTGTAAAAGCGGGGAAATCTCGTTTCCCTTTCACGGTCGATGAAATTTCACCTTTGAACCTGCACGATTAATTAACAAAAAGCTAGGCTTACCTGCTTTGATGTCGAATCAGTTGCTAAATACATTAAAATTTTGATTAAATAATAATTATCGAATATTCATTAGATGTGGAATTTTGGGACATTCTGTACAGCGTGTCCCACGACGAGTTAACTATACAGAGTTAATATACAGATAGTGTTAATTCATCGTGGGACACACCCTGTATAGAAATGTTAAATGGTGTTATTCAATTGACTTTGAAAAGACTGTAAAGGTTATCTACAATAATAAATCGACTTTTACTAACTAGGTCACTGGTGTTTTTGCGACCATAAATCCCGATCGCGGAAATTGATTGGAATTGTCTACATGGTATATACAGGTAGATTTTATTTCGAATGGGGATGGAATGAAAACGGGTTTATAATATCTACATGTTATAATAGAAGAGAAATCCGATTAGCGCGCGTCTTAGGGCTCAATATGGCGTCGGGATATTCGTAGATAATTCGATCTAATGGATTTTCGTGGGTTTCCACGTCGCTTTTCTCATTCACCGGAAGGATATGGTCGTAATGGAAAAGCGGCCGGACGGTTTCCATTTGAAATTTTCCACGATATTTTGATGGAGTTTTTTTTTGTATAATAAATATCAGAGATTTTTTTGTTAAATTTTTACTCTTTAAGAGTAGTGAAGAGTAGTGAAGAGTAGGGAAGGGTAGGAAAGAGTAGGGAAGAGTAGGGAAGAGTAGGGAAGAGTAGGGAAGAGTAGGGAAGAGTAGGGAAGAGTAGGGAAGAGTAGGGAAGAGTAGGGAAGAGTAGAGAAGAGTAGGGAAGAGTAGGGAAGAGTAGTGAAGGGTAGGGAAGAGTTGGGACGAGTAGGGAAGAGTAGGGAAGAGTAGAAAAGGGAAGGAAATAGTAGAGAATAGTAGGGATGAGTAGGAAAGTGTAAGGAAGAGTAGAGCAGGGATGGGAAGAGTAGGGAAGACTAGAGGAGAATAGGGAAGAGTAGAGAAGAGAAGGGAAGAGTAGTCTATAAAGGAAAAAGGAAATGTGATATTGTGGGATTACAGCTTTCTCACTCTAACCACTGTAATTTTAATAATCTCTCTTTGTTCCACTTATAGAATTGACAATATTGCAATACAAACCTGTACTTACCCATGGGTAGGTTAGGTAATGCATCAACATACAGAGTAAACAAGTCAATCAAACAGACACTAAATATGACTTCATTACATTTCAATTCCGTTTTATTTAAAAACTCAGTGATGTAGTATGCTTTTTGTAATATGTAGGAGAGAGTCTTCCCAGTACCGTCAAAAATAAAACATAAACTCACTTATTATTGTTTTTCTCGTAAACGGTTCATTTTATCGACAATTGAGAGTAGTACTTTTTTTTTAGTTTATGTTTGGTATGGCTTCGATTTATGGGCCACCCTGTATAATTCTAAATAATTTTTAATTATGCGCCTAAAGGTGCTTAATATTTTTCCTATTTACCATTTTTTCGTATCTATTATAATAACTGAGTAAATGAGCTTTACCGCACTATTGGGACACCCTGTATATTGATATAAACTTTTCTTCCTAAAATCATCATCCTCAAAATCATCATTAAAAATATTCACGTCCTGAATCCTGAAGTATCGGCAATTAATTAATTAACACACTGTATGTTCCAAATTATCATCAAATCAATCCTTTGTACAAAACTAAAAGTGTCCATCTAATTTTTTATACATCAAATTGCTCGTCATTCGCACGTTTTTCCGCGAAAATCGTCACGCCGGATTGCGGGAATTCGGATGAGAGAATAAAAAAAGCCACTTCGTCTCCATTTCGCGGAGGTTTTCCGATTTCCCCGAATCTCCCCCGTCGAGATGATACGATCACTTGGCAGTTGTCTCGCTAATGTGCACAATAAACCCGACAAAGGAAGGGAAAAATCGATTCTACGAAAGAGAGCTTTACTTTTCCGCCCGTCTCTGGGGAGATCTCGGATGATTTTCGCTTTTTTCCGAAAAAAAAACTCAGACAATTCTTGTAGGAATGCCGGGGATTTCACTCGGCGCTATTTCAAGGATGTTTACTGGAAAAATTTACGCAATGATTGATCGATGATTTGTTAGTTAAACAAAACTTATTTTCCGATCAAATCGTTTGGGTAATGGAATTTTTCTTTATTAGTAAACTTGATCGAATTTACTACTGAAACCACACGATTCTCAAAGCAAAATCTAGTAGACGTTATCAACTAAAATCGTGATTAACGATGCCTTTTGTACTATCTTCTCGCATTAATTGTACCAGTTTCATCGGGAAATTCGATTAGGACAATTAGCTTAAAAGCTGTTGCTGTTAATTGATGAGTAAATTGATCGATTTCGATCCGGCATTTTCCTTTATCTCGCGTTTTAGTGAAAGGCCCGTTAGTAGAGGATCCCAAGTTAGGTCGATCTGCACTGATTTGATGAATAACCAGGTGACAATTATATTTTATTTAATGAAATATGTTTGTGAACGTGTACCAATAGGGTTGGAGTAAAAAATGCTTAAGGTTATACAGGGTGTCCCTGAAAGTGTGGGAAATCTCTCGGACCCATATAGAACATGAAAAAATAAGATGAGAAGTTCCTATAAAGTTTTTCCCTACAGGCCCTCCCTACGAAGATATGCGTCCTTGAAGTGCGCCGGTGGAAATAGGTTTTCCTTAAATATCTTCTAAAGTACTTGATATAATTTAACAACTGCTTAGAACCATTTAAACTGCTTAGAACCATTCAGAAAGCTCCAAAACCATTTAGAACTGTCTAGAACCTGTAGGAGTTTTTTAACAATTTTTTATTACTTGTTGCAGATTGCCATCAAGGTAGAAACTCATTCCTGTCGACATGGTACGAAGAAAAGTAATTTAGAGAAAAATCAAAACCAAAGATGCATTCCTTGTGAGTATATTATGCAGTTTATAACGCGGAAAATCATTTTAAAAAATCGGAGTTTATTGATCGAAAATAGTTCTCCTTGTTAACGTGGGTGTCCAAAAAATAGATACACCTCCAATTATAAAAGTCTCTAATTAGCGTTTTATAATTGGAGGTGTATCTATTTTTTGGACACCCTGTATACGCTGTTTTATTTTTTCTCGGTTTTATTATCGCAAACTTGGCGTGTTTTACGATCCATCAAGGTCGATCGTTTAATTTCTATACGCGTTTTCCCGATTTTCCTATCTAGATTATCGCGGGTACTTTATTAAGCAATTATTAAAACGCTTTATCGTGTACCGTAATCGTTGGAAATGCGACGAAATAACTTTTTTTTCGGCTTTTATCATCATTTCCTACGGGAAAAGGCTTTTAAACTCTCATTGTTACAGGGCGGCCCTATTTGGAAATCCCTCTAAAGGGAGAATAAAGTTACTCAGTGTGAATCAGTAATCAGTCTTTATTCATTTATGACTTTTATAAAGTAGGTCAGTATAGAAATAAAAATAACAATATAAATATAAATAATATATAAATGGATGGAAAATAGAATATTTGCAAAAGACAATTAGGATAATTTTAAATTCAATACTGAACCTTATTATCGTGGTAGTTACAGACCAAAATCCACTCGTTTAAATTCTCTCATTTAGAACTGGTCAGAGCCATTTAGAACCTTCCAGAAACATTCAGAATGCTCCAGAACCATTTAGAACTGTATTAAATTATTTAGAATGCTCCAGAATCATTTAAAACTATCTAGAACCATTTAGAACGCTCTAAACATTTAGAGCTATCCAGCACATTTCAGAACGCTCTAAAATCAGTTAAAAATGTCTAGAACAATTTAGAAAGCTCCATGCAGAATCATTTAAAAATGTCTAGAACAATGTAGAATGCTCCAGAACCATTTAAAACCCTTCAGATTCACAAATAACTATCTAGAACTATATAGAACGCTCCAGAATCATTTAAAACTATCTAGCACCATTTAGAACGCTCTAAAATCATTTAAAAATGTCTAGAACAATTTAGAAAGCTCCAGAATCATTTAAAACTATCTAGAACCATTTAGAACGCTCCAGAGCGTTTAGAACTTTTAGCCTTTGGAACTATCTAGACCTATCTAGAATGCTCCGGAAATTTTTAGAACGGTCTAGAACCATTTAAAGCCATTCAGAATCATATAGAACTATCTAGAACTGTATAGAACGCTCCAGAATCATTTAGAACTGTCCAGAACAATTTAGAACGCTCCACAACTATTTAGAACTGTCTAGAACAATTTAGAACGCTCCAGAATCATTTAGTACCGTCTCGAATGATTTAAAATCATCCAGAATCATTTAGAACTATCTACAACCATTTGGAACTCGACTCCAGAATCATTAAGAATGGTCTAAAACCATTTAGAACGCTTCAGAATCATTGATAACTGCCTGGAACCATTCAGAACGCTAAAGAATCAGTTAGAACTATCTAGAACCATTAAAAAACCTTCCAGAATCGTTTAGAACTATCTAGAACCTTTTAGAACGCTCTGAAACCATTTAGAACTTTCCAGAACTAGTTAGAACTCTCTATTTACGACTCCTACAAAACATTTATAAAACCATTTGCACTTTTGAGTCGCCCTGTACAAGATCAGCGTAACTATGACTACCAAGGGCTCGTCTTATTTCCATACCTTCTCCCTTTTAGCGCGTTCCGAATCGTTCGAAAAGGAGCGAAAACTCAGTGGAAATTGCGACCTAGGCCGTGAACTTTCCGTCGAAATTCTTCTTCCACCCCGCCCGAGGCGGATTTGCGAATTAACGAGCGAGAGGAGGCCTCGAACTCGAATCCCATTTTGCCCTCCGGATTCTCTCAGGGTCACTGTCAATGCGTCTCTAAAGGAAAACTTTGTTTTTATTTTATTTTTTCGGTTATACGAAAACGACCGGCGTTAAATTTCGTTCGTTTCTTTTATTTCAGATGACTACAATAGGGTGGTGTTAGAAACGATCGAAGGAGAACACGATAGCGACTACATTAATGCCTCCTACGTTGATGTACGTATACATTAATATAGTATACTGGGTGTTAATCAGTGTTGTTAAGTAATTAATTACAAGTAATTGAAAAAGTAATTGAATTACTTTTATTGTAATTGAGGCGGTAATTAATTATAAGCTCCTCAATTGTAATTAATTTGTAATTCAGTTACTCCTTTCGTTACAATTACAATTACATTTTACAATTACATTTCAATTACATTGGACACAAAAGTACTTATTTAATATTTTCAATACGTGAAAAGTTTAATTCCGATTGCATATCCCTAAATAATTATTTAAAACTGACACCAAAGCAAAGTAATTGTGATTGTAATTGTAATTGTAACTTTAATTGTAATTGTAATTACATTTGCAAATTTTGTAATTGTAATTGCAATTAATTACAAATTGCCAAAAGTAATTGTAATTGTAATTAATTACCTATTATAAAGTAATTTTAACATCACTGGTGTTAATTAATTGAGTGCCGATACTTCCGAATGTGAATATTTGGGTAATTCTAAGTAGAAAAGTTTATATCAATATACAGGGTGTCCCAAAATGTTGCAAGTATACAAATGAGGAAAATGTTTATCTTACATTTCACAAAAAAAATATTCTTGATAAAATTCTCTGCATGACTTGTATACTATATACAATCAGGTATAAATTGTTTAAAACAGTGTCTTTAATACGGGGAAAAAAGGATGATTTGGGCCGAGAGAAAAATATGCACAAAAATCATTACAAATAAGCCGATAAATCTAAATTTGATTTAAAATGTAGTTAATAACATGGGCGGAAGAATTAGGGCATTGAGGGGGTTAGACCCCCAATTAAATCTAAGACGTATTGATATTTTTATAAAAAATTTCCACACATTAATAGATCACTAAACAAAGATATACTGTACAAATTTTCATGAAAAAATCATCAGCCATTCTGGACTAATATCAAAAAATCTCTTTTTTATTTATAACTTTAATACGTTGTAACTTCTTTGTTATGCACATTTCAATATAGGTAAGTTATGATAAATCATCTTATTTCTCTTATCATTATCTTATTTTCGTCACAGAAGTTTATAGTTAAGCCATGTCCCAATAACATTTTAGAGACACCCTGTATGTTTGTTTACAAATTAAATACTGTTCGAAAGCCAGATGGGATAATTGAAAATTTTCAATTAACTCACTGGTGCGGAACAGTAGTTATTTTGGACGAAAGATTTGAAACGTTTTACATTAATGAGCCTTTTTTATGGGAATATTATAGTATGAAAATTTTTTACGAAAGGAAGCAATTGCGGTAGGGAGAAATAGAGGGTGTCTTACGACGAGAAAAATACGTATAGAAATTTTATTTATTAATTTCAGTTGTTGAATTATTCTTCATTCGTTGATTGATTTTGTTGCTAAAAATTTGATAAACTAATTTTCTCAAAATTGAATTTATTGAATCTATTTACTGACACAATCTTAGGGGATGGTGTAGAGGGTAATATATTAGCGTCGATAGATAGCTTTAAAATTATTGAACTTTTAATTGTTTTTTACTCTACAATCTCGATTTGTTTATTCCGTATGACGACCATTTGAGACAATTAAATTCAAAATTTTAGCATTTTTTTGTAATAATTTTAAAAAATGTTTCAGATAAAACTTGCTTATTTTGATGCCAGGATTCCGAATCCTTAATTAAAAATAGGGGTTTCTATTTAATTTTTTAATGTTTTACCCCCGTTCCCTCTTAAGGGGTGGGGTAGATATTTGATATTGGTATCATTCTACATTCTACCGTTTTTTTTTATTTAAGAAGTTAAGAATAACTTTTTAAAAATTGTACACTACAATGTCCCCCATAACCTCCTTAAGTTTGGCACAACCTTTTTGGAACACCCTGTATAATTTTTAGAATTCCCCATGCACTTTTTTAACCCCTTAACGAACCCCTTAATGATTTTTGACAGCATATGTATCACGCTCGAATTCGCTGGAGAGTGCAAGTTAACACACATTTGCTAATTTTAATTTTGTACCTGTAACATCTTCTTCATCAGGAACATGTTTTTACCGAACTACCTACTAGCTTTGCTGCAGTGCGAAATTTTTAATACTTGTGAAAAAAAGGCTTATTCTATCGTGTATTTCAGAGCCTTTTGAAGCCCAACGCCTACATAGTAACTCAAGGCCCTACCGAAGAAACCGTGACGGATTTCTGGCGAATGGTGTGGCTGGAGAAGGCCAGTTGCATTGTGATGTTGACAAAAACTTTCGATTTTATCAGGGTAAGTAATTCACATTTCAGTTAAATTTATTACGCCTCACCTAATCATTTAGAACTTCCCAGAACCATTTAGAACGCTCCATAATTATTTAGAACTGTCTACTAGAACCATTTAGAACACTCCAGAACCATATAGAACTGCCTAGAACCATTTAGAACCTTCCAGAAACATTTAGAACTGTCTAGAACCATTTAGAACTCTCCAGAATCATTTAGAACTATCTAGAACCATTTGTAACGCTCTAGAAACATTTAGAACTGACTAAAACCATTTAGAACGCACCAGAATCGTTTAGAACTATCTAGAACAGGAATTTTTCTTTATTTATAAACTTCTAAACTTTCTGAACTAATTTACTACAGAAACCACATGATTCTCCAAGCAAAATCTAGTAGGCGTTATTAACTAAAATCTTGATTAACGATGCCTTCTGTATACAGATTGCTTCATTTTTCATAGCAACATCGGCTATGGGTGCAACAAAGACAATTCAATTAGACACTTATAAAGGAAAAAGAAAGAGTGAAATTTGTGTTCTTGCAACTTTTCACTCTGACAACTGTTATTTTAATAATCTTTCTTTGTTCAACTCATAGATATGCCCTTGTTGCAATCGCGAATGAAGCACGGTGTATTCTATTCTCTGTTCGAATTAATAATTGTACCAGTTTCATCGGGAAATTCGATTAAGACAATTAGCTTAAATGCTGTTGCTGTTAATTGATGAGTAAATTGATGAGTAAATCAATTTCGATCCGACATTTTCCTTTGTCTCGCGCTTTAGGGAAAGGCCTGTCGAATTTTTCGATTTTTTTCACCTAATGCCAAAGTTTTAATTGGAGTAAAAATTTGAATATATATAGGGTGATTTCTACAAAAAAAGTAGATGAAATTGAAGAAGTTAGAAGCTCCAGAACAATTTAGACTGCCCCATATCCATTTTTACCCCATCTAGAACAGTTTAGAACGTCCCAGAACCATTTAGAACTGTACCATTTGTACCATTTTTACCATGTGTATCATTTCATTTGTTTGATATTTCTTAAGTATTGAAAGACTAATTCTTCCTTTGTCATCATTTCTCTCTCCTCCCTGTTTTGCGCATCTGATGCGATTTTCAACTGTCAAGCTACATTCGATGAGGTTAAAGGTATAATAATTTTATTCTAATTTAATTAAAAACCTTAGGTGATGTGCGTGCAATATTGGCCGGCGTCTAAAGATTTAGAAGAAACCTACGGGGGCATCCACATTCGGATCCTCGAAGAGGAGGAACTGGCCAATTTCCACATTAGAACCTTTAAGTTGTTCAAAAAAGATGAAAACGTAAGTCCTATAAAGCATTTTTTGCACAAAATATAGCCCGAAAATAAAATAGCTTAGGGGAAAAAACATATCATAATTGTTTGGAAAAATTCGAATTCTAAGGTTGGTTTGGCAGAAATATTTGTTTAAACTGTTAAATAGCTAACTAAAGATTAAAAGTGTTGGTGAAACGTCAAACTATTTAACTGGAGTTTAAAAGTTACTCATCGAATAACTATTTATAGATTTATTTGTTGTTGGTGAAACCGGGCGTTAGTGAGATTCAAGACTGATCTCAATAAGGTATCTCAAGAATGATAAAAAACTTTCTATAAACATAATTATATCTTTTAATTATTTTTTATTTTTTACTGTTATCTAACAAACCATCGGAACGTGGTATTTTTGGATTTTTGTTTATAAGGCTTTTTTATCGCTATTTTAAAGTCTAGATTAATCTCTCCAATTTCGTTTCCATTTAAATTAAACACCCTATATGGTAGATTCTCGTTAGTTTGGTGGTGACATCACATGTTCGTTAAATTAGTGAATAAAAGAGATTGAAATAAGTTAGATGTTATAATTTTTAACTCTTTTGAAGCTTTACTCATTTTATATTTATTTTATAATAATTTTTTACTAATAAAAGTAGAGTTTAATAGACTTATTTCGACATGTTCAATACAATACATTAGTAAATAATTTTACTAATTTTTGATTCATTATTTCATCTTATGATGTCATCACCAGATTAACATGAATGTATTATATTTAAAAAATAACATCGCATTTATTTGAGATGGTATTAAAGCAGAACTGTTGACTATTTTCTCCAATATTGTAAGTCCATAATGATTCCAAAACCAATCAAATTTGATATAAAATTGTTATTTTAAAAGTTACATTAGTTGGCTGTGAAAATAAAATAAAATTTGCCTCATTAATCAAAATTCAAAAATAAGCAGGCGATACTATAATTTACAGAAATCTGTCATCATCGTTTGCTAAAATACTTTAATTAGTTTTTTTTTTCAATTTAATACAGCCTGTGGATAAATATAAACTAGGAGACATCGTTCTGTAATAAGTACTCTTCATCCTACTAAAATTATTCACACATCCGTTCGAGGAAACTCGAATTTTACTAGAATTACGTTTTGCCATTTAAATAGCATTGCAAATAAATGGCAGTTTTTGGTTGCAATTTTCTTAAATGTACTCGTATAATGAAATAGGAGAGATTAAAAATAGGAGATTTGATTGCTTGGAGTCTCTATATTAGATATAAGAAAGATTCAAATCAATTGATGAAGCAGCCAAATTTGAATCTTACTGGAATTACTGAACCTATGTTTTCCCATTTAAAAATACCCTGTAGTGTAAGTGGCGCCCTTAAACAAGGTCAAAATGAGATTAGTATGTTGTCTTTGAAAACGAACTGTTAGGTAACTTAGATATATCTCAGGCTATTTTGTATTTGGTCTATTTTGTCAAGGGCTATTTTAATAAACGTGTCACGCGTTTTTTGATACATTGTACAAATAATATTCTGTTGTTAATTTCAATAGGGCAGCGTCACCGAAGAACGTACCATATTGCAATTCCATTACACCCAATGGCACAGTCATTCCTGTCCGTTTACAAACGCTCTGTTGGAGTTCAGGAGGCGAGTCAGGGCTGTCGTAGGTCATGTTATTAAATCCAACGAGGCCGGGCCGATGGTGGTGCATTGCAAGTATGTATTTTTTTTATTTATTTACTCGTTTATTATCCCAATATATTAATATACAGGGTGCTCCAGTTGAAATAACAAAGTTGATACCTACTTCCGGTTCAACCGGAAGTGGTACAGACTGTCAAAATATTTTTAAGAGGTTCGTCTTATTGCATAACATATGTTTACCAAATTTTATTATAATCGGATAAGTAGTTTCCAATGTACACATAGTTTAAGCTCGTCGTGACACACCCTGTATTTAATAGACAATTAAACAACTAGCAGAATATTCGAAATGCAAAGTTCCCTTTGGTATAGAGGATGGTAAAACGGGGTAGAGAGGGATAGAGGAGGGTAAAAGTAGGTAAGGGTAAAGGGAACTGTCTGGAAATCATTTAGAACTGTCTAAAACCATCTGGAACGCTCCAGAACCAGTTACAACTGTCTAGAACCATTTAGAACCAGCAGAAACATTTAGAACTATCTAAAACCATTTATAACACTTCAGAATCATTTAGAACTGACCAGAATTATTTAGGACTATTTAGAATCATTTAGAACGCTCCAGAAACATTTAGAACTGTTTAGAATCATTTAGAACGCTCCAGAATTATTTAGAACTGACCAGAATCATTTAGGACTATTTTGAATCATTTAGAATGCTCCAGAATTATATAGAACTGCATTGAATCATTTAAAACTGTCTACGGTCTTTTAGAATGGGCTAGATAAATCTAGAATGCTCCAGAATTATTTAAAACTGTTTAGAACCATTTAAATCGCCCCAGAAACATTTAGAAATGTTTAGAATCATTTATAACGCTCCAGAAACATTTGGAACTGTCTAGAACCATTTAGATGGCTTCAGAATCATTTAGAACAGTCTAGGACGCTCCAGAATCATTTAGAACTGTAGTGTATAGGTAAATACTTGTCATAGGACGGATGAATCAGGGATTGTTGTGAATAAAAACTAGTCATTAATAGCAAGACAGCGTTCGAGATAACATGTTAATATTTATAGTAAAAGACGGAATAAATCGATATTTATAAAGCAAGTGTTTTAATTGTGAACGTTACAAGAACATTTATATGTATATCAAATTCATTATTCGAAACAAAAAGTTTATTTTGGGATAAAAGGCGGATGGAAGAAGGTAAGAAGGGTAAAAAAGGGTAGAAGGGGTGGTGAAAGGTGGGGGTGGGTAGAAGGGGTAGCGGAGGTTAGTTGGGTCTACCTTTAAGTGGTCTTTTCCTATTAAGGTTATACGACTATAATCAAAATTTGGTGTAATTTTGAATGTTTATTATTACAGCGATGGCGGAGGTAGATCGGGCGTTTATTTATCAGTTGATGCAAACATGGAATTGGCAGAAGAAGAGGACAAATTCGACGTTTTTGGTTATTTGAAGAAATTGCGACAATCGAGAAAAGGACTCGTCGACAATGTGGTTAGTAAAATTTGAAATAAAATCCTTAGTAACTTTAACAGTTACTTTTTTATTAACTTGAAAAATTAAATTGAAAAATTAATTAATTCAAATTTATTTGTTTTATACAGAGTGTTTCTTAATAACATGCTAATATTTAAGGGGGTGATTCTAAAGTTAAATGTGTTAGAGTTTTAAGAAAAAAATTTGATTAAGATAAGATTTGAAAAATAAGATAATTTTTTGATTGTCATTTTCATACCACTTTAAAAATATTTTTATCAAATTTGGTGTGTCGCATTTAACAATAAAGAACATTTTTTTTTATTTCCAACAGTGGCGGTCCAATCAGACTAGGCATTTTTTGATATTTTTTATCCGTTCAATTTAGAACAAATTCGATTTTTTGACTTTTTTTCTTATGACTCGCCATTTCGCACAAATAAATTTAAATGCATATCACAGGGTGTTTATTTAATTAAGCGTGTTTATTTGTATAATATTGAGTGTCGATACTTCAGGATGTGAATATTTGGATGATTTTATGAAGAAAAGTTTATATCAATATACAGGGTGGCCCAGAACTCACGCCCAACCGGGAAATACCTTATGAAAACGACAATGGAGATGCCAAAACTGCAATCGAAACATAAAAAAAAGTTATTCCTTTAGTAAATAAGGAGATTTAAAATCGACCAATCCCAGTAGCAGTTCACAAATGCGAAAATGTCGTGAATTGGCTATTCACCAATTTGACATTATTGAAAAATTATTTTCACTTTCAAGGTTAACAAAGCTGCCAAAATCAGCTGCGACTATTGATCAAAAAATCGATCATTCGGTTCGAACCACTTTTGAAGCAATAAAAAATTCTGTAGGCTTGGTATCAGCACGACGGAGCTCCTGAATGATCGATTTAAAAGAAAATCTTGATGAACCTTAAAATTTTGCGCTCTTATTGATACACCCTATATTACCAGTGACGCCACGTTAGAAATTTCATAAAAATATCTGGAGTAATAAGAAAATTATGATAGAAAAATTAATTTTTTTAATCGTAACACCATAGTAGCTTGAAAACTAAGATGTTTAGGACATATATTGATATAAACTTTTCTTCTTAAAATCACCCAAATATTCACATCCTAAAGTATCGGCACTCAATTAATTAACACCCTGTATTTATACGCTGCCGCAGTTATGAAATTATAAGTAGTAATACTTAAAACATTTAAAACGTCTTTAAAACATTCATATGAAGTTTTTTTCCTTAAAACGTCTCCACGAATCACCCCCTTAAAAATTAGCATGTTATTAAAGAAGCAAATCCTGTATAATTATTCCAGGAGCAATACAAATTCGTGTACGATACGCTGGAGGAGAACGTGACCTGCGGCAATTCCTGGTTTCCCGTCAACGAGCTGTCCCAAAGGCTGAAGGCGAAATCGCAGAAGAATCCGCTGACGAAGCTGAACGAATACCAAAAGGAATACATGCTGATTTGCAAACAAACGCCTCGGTTTACGATCGGCGATTGCGCCGGAGGCCATCGCGGCGATAACAGGAAGAAAAATCGTGATGTGCTCATTGTTCCTCGTAAATATACTTTTTCTTATTCGATTTTCCGAGCATTTTTGTCTCGTCGTGTTTTATACAGGGTGGAAACGCCAAATGGAATAAATTTATTATTTCGGTTCCTGCACATATTTATCGTCAAATTTTAAATGTAAATTGACATTCCTCGACATCAAGATGTTAGCCCTATCTTCAACCCCCTGTGGCTATTTTGCCTTTGCGCTATTTTCTATTTGGGCTGTTTTGTCATGGGCTATTTAAACGGGTTTATGTATTTTTCTTATGTATACAAGAAATAATAATTATTATTCCATATTTTTTTCAGCTGACAATTTTCGACCGTATCTTACATCATTCCAAGGCAATAATTATACGGATTATATTAACGCAGTATTTGTTGATGTTAGTACTTTTTCTTTTTGCTTAATGTAACTTATTATGTTATTTTTATCAAAACCCATCTCTAGTATAATACAAATCTCCCTATCTCACCGGTATAATTAGAAAATATTAGAGATGGGAGTTGCAATAAATAACATTTATGTCTGCAGTTACTTTAACTATTGATAAGTTACATTAATATTAACATTAACTGATAATTTATTTTAGGGGTACACAAAACCCAAGGAGTACATAGTGACAGAGTGGCCCATAAAATCGACTTGCGGGGAGTTTTGGTCGTTAGTATACGATTACGATTGTTCTGCTGTAGTTATTTTGTGCGTACCACCGCACAATTCGGTAAGAAACATTTCGCCTATTTCGCGTTATTCGACCTAATTTTTCCATATTTTTTTAGCAACAATTCCCGCCCTTTTGGCCCGAAGGAAGGGCCTCCAAGAAGTACGGCCCCGTCTTCACCATCGATCACATATCGCACAGCCATTACACCAACATCAGAACGTGGGTGTTCAGGATTAATAAGAAGGCAAGTTCGCGATTAATAAGTTATACAGGGTGGCCCAGAACGCCTAAAAGGATGAACTTTTTCACGTCTTCGTCTGCAGTTTTAGCATTTTTATTGTCGTTTTCATAATCACTTTCCCGGTGGGGCTGTTCTGGACCACCCTGTAGAGGTTGTGAACATCTTGTATATCCAAAAGGGGGTGATTCATTGGCTTATTTTATGACTAAAAGTTTATATAAACGTGGGTCCGCAAACGCTTCGTTACCAATCTACAGGGTGTTGAAATTCCAATTTTTTTGTTTCTTTTTTAGAGCTCCTGCGCAGTTTTTGAGTTATTTAGTCACTTTAATCATTTGTACAGAAAATCATTTTAATTTTTTTTCCTCGATAATGGTCGCAGAAACGAAAAAGTTTAAAAATAAAAAAAAGTTTCTAAACAAAACAGACCATTAATTTTGTATTTTAGAATCTACCAGCGGTGCACGGCAAAAGAGTTCGGGGGAAAAAAGGGTACATGACCCCTGAAAAAATATCACTCTGTAGAATTGAACGACCGTCTGATATACCCAATAATGTGTGCCCTATAAAGCAATCTAGATTCAAAATTTGGGCTAAATATCTCAAAAAGTGCAGGAGCTACAAAGAAAAAACAAAAAATCTTGAAATTTCAACACCCTGTAGATCGGTAACGAAGCGTTTGTGGACCCACGTTTATATGAACTTTTAGTCATAAAATAAGCCAAGGAATCACCCCCTTTCGGATGTACATGATTTTTAGGAACATCCTGCATATCTAAAAAAAGAATAAAAACCAAGAAATTAGGCATATTTTTGGAACACCTTCCATTATAAAAGCCTTTAATTAACGTTGTTCTATCCACAAAATTAACCGATTTATATTCAAATATGATATTGAAAAACCCCAAGCTAAGTAATATTCATCCAATAATTATTGGATTTCCCTTCTATTCACACTGACTGAGAACAAACAAAAATAACTTGAAAATTTTTAGCTCGAAAACTAAACGGTTTAGGACATACATTGATATAAACTTTTCTTCTTAAAATCATCCAAATATTCACATCCTGAACTATCGCCAATCAATTAACTAACACATTCTATAGGGAGAGTGTGAAGTAATAGACGGAATTGAAAAAAAAAGCTCTGATTAAATTTTCCTCGCACGTAACAAAGCTCCAATGAACTTATCGAATTAACTGAAGCGTGCGGGGGCGAGTGGAATATTGCGTTCATCGATCGCATGAAATTTTCAATCCCTATTCAATTCTACTTCAATCTTCAAATCTTCAATAACTGACGTATAATTTTTGTTGTTGTTGCGTGTATAATACAGATCGTATCGTTGACTGAATTGATGGCGGGCGTGAAGGCTCCACCGAAGACGGTGCAACTGTTCCAGTTGACGTGTTGGCCCATGGGACACAAAGTGCCTACGTCCACTAATTCCTTGGTGGAATTGATGAACATGGTGGAAAGATGGAGGCAAAGGACCGATTATGGTCCGGTGTGCGTCGTTTCCCCGTAAGTATGTTCGGATAAGGGACCAGTCAAAATAGACCAAAGACAAAATAAACCACAGACAAAGTAGATCAAAGACAAAATAGACCAAAGACAAAATAGAACAAAGACAAAATAGACCATAGACAAAGTAGAACAAAGACAAAATAGACCAAAGACACAATAGAACAAAGACGAAATAGACCAAAGACAAAATAGAACAAAGACAAAATAAACCATAGACAAAGCAGAACAAAGACAAAATAGACCAAAGACACAATAGGACAAAGACGAAATAGAACAAAGACGAAATAGAACAAAGACGAAATAGAACAAAGACGAAATAGAACAAAGACGAAATAGACCAAAGACAAAATAAACCATAGACAAAGTAGAACAAAGACAAAATAGAACAAAGACAAAATAGAACAATGACAAAATAGACCAAAGACAAAATAGAACAAAGACAAAATACACCAAAGACTAAAAATTAATCTTCAAATTGGATGGTGACAGGAAATCAAGTCCCTGTCGCTTTACTCTAATATATGATAGGAATAAATGACAAGTGTTGTTTAATTAATTGTTTATGAAACACAAACCTATCTACAAATTGTAAAATAGACTTGTAATAATTAGGCTAATCACTTGTCACTAATAATCTACTTATGTAATTTTATGAAACACAAACTTGTCAAATACTCCAGTTAAACTACACTTGTCCGAGAGGACTTGTCAGTTATATGAAACAGGCCCCAGTTTAAATATTTAACTGTTTTATTAATGTTAAAGTATTTATATATATTAATTTTTGTAGAGACGGTCGAAGCAGATGTGGAATATACTGCGCTGCGAACGCCTGCATTGAACAGGTCATACAACACGGGGAAGTGGACGTTTTCCAAGCCGTGAGGACCGTTCGAAGGCACAGGCCTCAATTAATCGAGAATATTGTAAGTTTTTTTTTGTCTATCCCGATAGGCAATAGGCCTTATTTTCAACCAAAATCTGAACTAAACGAACTCCTAATCGAAACCATTTTTTCGTTGAAAATACATTTATTTATACCTAATACAGAGCTGAGTCATTTCTTGTACTAATTAAATGATTACAATTGCAAAGTACACGAATGAAACGTAATTAATTGCAATTACTTGTTAAAAAATAAAAATTTTAATTACTTATGTATGTAGAAAAATTACAAGTCGTATAAGCAAAAGGTGGTAACTGTTAGTCTTTAAAAATTTTATCGGATGCATTTCTTCGGAGAAAGCGGTTTTAGAATGGTTTTAAAACACTTTTTAGATTGGTATTGAACTGTATTTATAGTTGTTTTACAGGTATATTTTGGAGCCGTTTTAGAGTGGTTTTTAGGGTAGCTTTAGAGCCGTCTTAAATAGTTTTGAAGAGATTATTACCGTTTTAAAGCAGGTTCGAACGGCTTTGAAGCCTATTTATTTAGAACTTTTTTATAACAATTTCGGGGCGGTTTGGGAGCAATTTCAAAGTGGTTAAGGGGTTAGTTTAAGAGCGATTTTAAAGCAGGCTTGAAGAGATTTTAGAGAGACTTTAAAGCAGTTCTGAAGAAATTTTAGAGTGGATTTAAAGCAGTTTTAAAGAGATTTTAGAACGGTTTTGAAGACTATTTATTTAGAACTTTTTTATAACGTTTTCGGGGCGGTTTGGTAGTAGTTTCAAAGTGGTTGTAAGGTTGGTTTAAGAGCGGTTTTGGTTTTAAAGAGATTTTAGAGAGATTTTAAAGCAGTTTTGAAGTGAGTTTAGATCTATTTCAAAGCAGTTTTGAAGTGAGTTTAGATCTATTTCAAAGCAGTTTTGAAGAGATTTTAGAACGGTTTTGAAGTGTGTTCAGAGCTGTTTTACAACTATTTCAGAGCAATTTAGGGACAGTTTCAGAGCGGTTTGAGGAGTGATTTAGAACTGTTTTGTAACGATTTCGGGGTGGTTTGGGAGCAATTTCAAAGTAGTAATGGGGTTTGTTTAAGGGCGGTTTTAAAGACGAGATTTGAAGATTTTGAAGAGATTTTAATAATTTAATTAAAGAGATTTAATAATTATATACGTTTATTGTTATTATAGACGGAGTATAAATATTGTTACGACGTGGTTCTTCACTACGTTCTGCATTATCTTCAAAAAGACCGGGAGGAGATCAAAGGCAAATGAGACACGTACACGTGGAGGAGGAATTGGAACGACCTGAAGTGTCGTCGTTTGGGCGACGCAAAAATTAAATGTTAGCGAAATATGCCAAAAAAATTATTGCACAATATTGTATTAACCGAGAGGTCCATTTACTTGTTCTATTTAGAGTTAGATGATATGTGACGCTATAAGGAGAACTTCATCGTGCATTTACTATTTTCGTTTTGTATTTACGAACGTTTTCCTATTAATGCTGATGTACTTTTTATCTACTTTTTAAATGGATTGATATATGCAAAACGAGTTTATTCCGAAATTGTCTGTATAATGTTCGATTCAAATATTATTATACAGGGTGTTCCTAAACATCGTGTACATCCGAGAGGGGTGATTCCTTGGCTTATTTTATGACTAAAAGTTTATATAAACGTGGGTCCGCAAATGCTTCGTTACCGATCTACAGGGTGTTGAAATTTCATGTTTTTTTTTGTTTTTTTTTTGTAGCTCCTGCACTTTAGGAGATATTTAGCTCAAAACTTAGCTCAAATAAAAACCAAAACAATTTTTCATTTGTACATTTTCAACAAGTTCATTTTGAGACTGTTTTTGATATGTTGTTGAAATTTGCCCATCATGCATAGAAACACTTTTTTTGGGGAAAAAACTAATTTTCTATTATTACTAGTGACGTCCACGTCCGAAATTTCATAAAAATATCTGGAGTAATAAGAAAATTATGACAAAAAAGTTATTTTTTTCTAAAATTATAACACCCTGTAGCTCGAAAACTTTGAGATTTAGAACATATATTGATATAAACTTTTCTTCTTTAAATCATCCAAATATTCACATCCTGAAGTTTCGGTACTCAATTAATTGACACCCTGTATCTAATTAAATCAATTTTTATGGCAATAGGAAAACGTTTGATTCGATTACGATTAGAGATATATATCGTATATTGAAAATGTTATATGTTTAGCTGTGAGACACCCGAAATTGCGAACCTTTTACAAAATGATTTGAATTAATGTTTCGAATGACGCCTTAAAAATGTTTAAAAATATGGCGATGTGAATTTATTTTAATAATTCGAAATTGTACTAATTTTCCTTTTCCTGAAACCACCCAGTTAATTCCTGAAGAATGGAATTGATTCCTACTAGTCCAGGATAAAATTCCCGATGTTCCTGAATTCTTCTCTGCCCTTATACAGGGTGTCCCTCATAATAACCTATACAAATCAGGGGCGTGTAGGGGGCCCAAAATATGTTTAACACAACTTTACTTAATAAAAAGTTACAATTTTGAAAAGTAATAGGCCTTAAAGTGGAGTTATAAATTAAAAAAAATAATATCTCACAATCAGTAATACTTAAAACTTAAAAACAATTAATTTTGGAAAAAGTTATGAGTGTAGTAAGAGCATTAATCGACAGATTTTTTTACCTGATGAATGATTTAAAAAATAATTAGTTCATAGGTAATTTTATTTTAAATTTTTTTTTTGTTTTTTAAAATTCTTTTCGTTTTGATAACGCTAAGAAATAAAGTCATAGTATTACTTAAAATCGTCGATAATTCAAAAGTTAAAAACATATTTTAAGCACCCCTATAGGTGCCCCTGCTCTGTGTCGGTACTTATGCAGGACACCCTGTATATGTCCACTCAAATTTTCTCCCGAATTTCGGTGAGTTTTAAAATGACGGAATTATTTTAAATTTCGATCATCCTGTATGATTATTACTAAAATTGGCTCAAAAACATGTATACTTAATACTGTCCACAGGGTAAAAATTATAACCTACATGTGTCCTTATATAAGAGTTACAAACTCTCTAAAATTTCTAAACGTTGAATATATAATTCTATTTCTACATTTTTGCTATTTGAGACAGATTATATAACCACGTATACAGGTTGATTCATTTTTGATTGCAATATACAGTTGGTGCAAAACAAATATCAATACACGTCACTACTGTCGTCATATTTGCCAAGCATTGTGACCAATTTTTAAAAATAAATACACAAAATAAATTAAGCTTAATACCTGCAGAATTTAATTTAATATTAATAAGGGATGATAGAAAATGTTAAAAAGCAGAATTAAATCATCCAAAAAATTATATATTGTAAAAATTCAACGTTTGTATATCAAATTATTATTATTTTATTATAGTAGGTTGGTAGGCACTGACCATCAAGTTGTATAGTTGCCGTTCCGTCATCAGATCGGTACTTTTAATTTTCAATTTCTTCTTCTTTTTTGTAGTTTACTAGCCTCAACTACTAAAGACTATTCAGCCGAATAATCAAGAAATAAGAATATAGATTCAAAAGTTTTCTTGGAAATTTCACTATGTTACTTTTAGGTCCCTATTTACGTCCGCCATTTAAAGTGAAGCAGGTTCTCATAAAAGCATTGCAACTTCTCACTCTGACAACTGTCATTTTAATAATCCTTCTTTGTTCAACTCATAGAATTGACCATATTGCAATCGGAAATGGAGCAAGGTGTATGTCTTATAAATAGGTAAGATTTAACTAAAGTTTCAGACTGTTGATAAGTGTTATAAAAAAACTAAATAAATTCGTTGTATTGTAACAAAAAATTGCTCAAAATCGTTTTGAACGATTTATTCGCTATGTACTTTACATGAAATTGCATTCGAAATTTTCCATTTCGCTTAAAATGCACCTTTTATTTTATCGTCGTTTAGCAAAACTGTACTGTATTTTTAATTAGGAAATAATGTATGTTTAAATATATGCCAAATGATAAAAATTTATTCTAAAATTACGAATATATTTTATGGTACAATTTTAGAATATTTTCGTTAATTATTATTGCTGAATTTTAAAATACAGTTGTCTACAAATATAATATATATTGTCAATAAAATACTAAATATACTTATTAGTCAATTTTATATCCCAAAAATCATAAATTTACAACAAACTACCACAAAGAAAATTGATAAACTGGACTTCCTCGCATATTCTCCTTGCCTAATATCCGAAATATATCAACGGAGATCGACGATAACTTGTGCTCAAATCTCGAATTAAAACGTGAATTTAAAATTTCGTATTAGGAGAACAGAATGTGCGAGGAGGTTTACTTATGACGCTTATTAATCGCGCTCCTGCTCGAAGTAATACATACAAAGGCAACCATTTAATCGAATTTCGGTAATTCTGGTTGCCTATCTATTGTATTAGTAAAGCGCGAGTAATAAGTATCAGGAGTAAACCTCTTCACACATTCTGTTCTCCTAATACGAATTCTTAAATTCACGTTAAATTCGTGAGATTTTCATACGTTTGACACAAACTACTCGAACTCCTAATATTTGTTTCTCCCGATCTTTTTGCTTTAATAGCTCCAAATTTTTACAAATTGCGTTGAAAAAGTTTTGCGTTTTTTTAATGAACGAAAAATACTAAGAATTCTAAAATCAGGATTAAGGATGTCATAAAAATTTTTTAATATTCTATTTTCGTATCATTTTTGTAATAAAGAATTATTAATAATGCCCAAAATGTTAAATTATCTTTGAAAATGTGTTTTCAAGAACGACGAAACATTTAGAATATTTATTAACGCATCAGGATTCATCCAGGACCTTCCCTAGACGTATCTCTCTCGATATACTAAATATCTCCCGATATTGAACTTCCTAGCATATTCTCATTGTCTAATATTCGAAATTTATCAATGGAGATCGACGAAAACTTTTGCTCAAATCTCGAAATAAAACGTGAATTTGAAATTTCGTATTAGGAGAACAGAATGTGCGAGGAGGTTTACTTATGACGCTTATTAATCGCGCTCCTGCTCGATTACAAATACGTACAAATAAGGCAACCATTTAATCGAATTTCGGTAATTCTGGTTGCCTATCTATTGTATTAGTAAAGCGCGAGTAATAAGTATCAGGAGTAAACCTCTTCACACATTCTGTTCTCCTAATACGAATTCTTAAATTCACGTTAAATTCGTGAGATTTTCATACGTTTGACACAAACTACTCGAACTCCTAATATTTGTTTCTCCCGATCTTTTTGCTTTAATAGCTCCAGATTTTTACTAATTGCGTTAAAAAAGTTTTGCGTTTTTTTAATGAACGAAAAATACTAAGAATTCTAAAATCAGGATTAAGGATGTCATAAAAAATTTTTAATATTCTATTTTCGTATCATTTTTGTAATAAAGAATTATTAATAATGCCCAAAATGTTAAATTATCTTTGAAAATGTGTTTTCAAGAACTACGAAACATTTAAAATATTTATTAACGCATCAGGATTCATCCAGGACCTTCCCTAGACGTATCTCTCTCGATATACTAAATATCTCCCGATATTGAACTTCCTTGCATATTCTCATTGCCTAATATCCGAAATTTATCAATGGAGATCGACGAAAACTTGTGCTCAAATCTCGAAATAAAACGTGAATTTGAAATTTCGTATTAGGAGAGCAGAATGTATGAAGAGGTTTACTCCTGATACTTATTACTCGCGCTTTACTAATACAATAGATAGGCAACCAGAATTACCGAAATTCGATTAAATGGTTGCCTTTGTATGTATTACTTCGAGCAGGAGCGCGATTAATAAGCGTCATAAGTAAACCTCCTCGCACATTCTGTTCTCCTAATACGAAATTTTAAATTCACGTTTTAATTCGAGATTTGAGCACAAGTTATCGTAGATCTCCATTGATTAATTTCGGATATTAGGCAAGGATAATATGCAAGGAAGTCTAGTAACAGGAGATATTTATTATATGGAGAGAGGTATTTCTACGGAAAGTCCTGGATGAAATTTATCATTTTAGGCATTATTATTGTTTTATAGTAGAAATGATGAGAAAGTCGAATGCTAAAAGTTTTGTTGTGTTTATTGAAAAAAAACGCAACCTTTTTCAACGCAATTTGTAAAAATCGGAAGAATAGTTTTGTACATCGTTCGAAAATTTCTCGTTAAAAATTTGCGAATTTGAAATTTCGTAGTAGGAGAACAGAATGTGTGAAGAGGTTTACTCCTGATACTTATTACTCGCGCTTTACTAATACAATAGATAGGCAACCAAAATTACATTTATTGATCGAAAATCGATTTACGGATACTATTAGGTAGGCAACCTATTTATCTATTATATACCTCTAAGATACCAGAAATGCATTAGAAATGATAAAGTATGAACGATTTTTTATAAAAAATGCATTATACATTAAAATTTTTGAAAAATTAACAAAACTGCTGTATTTTTTAATTGCTAATTACATGAAAACTGGTTGGAATTGACGATTTCAAAATATATAAAACAAAACACTTTCAACGATATTTTTATTTTCTTACAATAAACTCACTACCGTTAAATGCAACAAAATAGAGACAAAATATTAATATACAAAAACGTTACAGGAGTAAAATCATTGTGTCGATCTCAATTCATACACTTATTTCGCACTTCTTCATGAAATTTTCCTTTTATGGTTTTGTATTCCTTCTCGGTTTGCCCGTTGAATTTCGTTGAGAGTCGATACAAATTCACCTACAAATCACAAATTATTACATACACTCCTATTATAACATAACGCTTTGAAATGCATACCTGAGGAATGATATATTATTCTCTCAGAAATTCATCGATAAACAAAATGGCGAAGGCCGTAGATCGCAAGATAGATACAAAAAGGGGCGATTCCGTCTCAATTTCCGTAGATTATTGAACTGCCATTTTTCTTAATACCATCCAATGCTCAATCAAGGGCAATCAGAAACCAAAGACAAAAAAATCTATCGGATCTCCTACAAACAATAACTCAATTATAACAATAATTAAGCATTATAAAACTAGCTAACCCTGCTGAGTGAACTGAAACCTCTTTTAACTCCACGATACAACAGCTTGGAGAGAATTTCTTGATACTCGTACATGCTCTGTGAAGTTCCTGGGATTCCACAATTTCCTCATAAGCTCGCCAAACCTCTGCAGGAGCAGATGGAAGGTCTCTTTACATTACTGCAATTTTCTTCTCTCGAGAAGTCATTCCGAAGCGGATTAACAAGAGTCAAAGCCTGCAATTTTGCGCATTTAAATTAAGAAATAATCAAATTCGTTCGGTTAACTCGACTTACCTGCAGCACTGCATTACAGTAATCGTTGGCTTTAATGTTATTTAGGCCTACTATACAGGGGATGTACAACGATCCATCGATAGGTCTGGACAACTTCGTGGGATTCAACACATACTTTGTATCATTTAAAGAGGAATCTATAACAAACCGTTTGATTACTTAATATTACCACAATCATTATAACCCCTCTACCTATGATTTTATAATTGCCTGGTAAATAGTTGAATCCAAATATTGACACAAACTTACGTTACCTGCGGATTATGGATGTACTTTCCAGTTTTCCAGAATTCTCCTCCTCGTGGTGCATCCTAGGTAATGCTAAAGGGTCCGTCGGGCTTATAATCGTGTGCAAACCCCCTAAATTAATTGCCAAAAAATTGTTGATTTATTTGACAAGAATCACTAACCAACAAACTTCTTCTTTTTTTTATTCGCTAATAAAAGAAGAATCTCAATGGCTGTCAAATGTCAATTACGGCCTTACATAAACAAGGTCTGGAAACTTCTGAATTGGTATGTCACGTTACTTGTCTACAAATGTTATAAATGGATATAAATTTGAAAGCATAGATCGTTCGTACGACAAAAGAAACCAAACATTTAACTGAAACCCACTAAACTTTCTCAATAATTGCCCCTATTTTGTTGCTTGTTTCCGTCTTGTCCTGTGACATACAGCCAAGTTCCGCGTTTGATTATATGTCAAAAGTCATTCCAATCTAAGTAATAAAAAAAGAAGAATAACATAACCTCCGAAAACAAACAATAATTCAATTCAACAATTATTCGAATCCAAAATGAGCAAATACGCGAAATACGCGGACCTAATGAAACAATCCACGGAATACGCGAAACGGATGCAACGGCTGAGCAACCGAATATTCGGCGAGGTAGTCCGACCGACCAACCAGAAATCCATGAAAGTTGTGCGACTTTTCAGCGAGGAACCCGTCCATTTGCGACGCGAAGTCTTCGCCTACTACCCCAGGCACGTCGAAACCGGCTGGTTGATGATCAAACTGCGCGAGTACGGCCTCTACAGGGACGAGCACGCCGATTTCAAGGAGGAAATGGAACGGATGCGGACGCTCCGAGGCAAGCCGAAGCACATAAGGAAGACCAAAGCGCAGAGGGAAGCCGAGGCCAATGCGAAGAAGGAATAAGGACAATTCGATTTCGTTGTTGTACATATGTAGTATAATTTGTTTAAGAGATTAAAATTACAGTTCGGTTTTAGCTTTCGATGGTTTCTTAGCGCCCGTGTCGCCTTTTAGTTGTTCGTTTAGGCAATCGTGGTTCTCGTTCTTTAACACCCTGTCGCGACAGAGGAACGTTTTGAGCTTCTCTTTTCCTTGGTAGTTGAAGTACCAGTCTTCTATGTCTGCCTCGTTTTCTTCCAGCAGAGTTTCGCACTGCGTATATATACAAATTTTACGTTACAATTATTCCATATTATTTGTAGTAGAAAGGTGCTTTTGCCTTTGGATAAAGGAAAAAAGAAGAAAAATAGGATATAGAAATGTGAAACTAAGGAGACAAAGGAAATAATAATACAAAACATATCTCTACACCACATACAATTCCTTAAGATTAAAGTAAAGTAGTTTTTCAATAAGGACCCTACCTGAAATATGGGTAGGGTAGATAGAGTAGATTTCTTGTTTGGCAAAACCTTTTTGGTACACCCTGTATAATAAATTTGGGTAGACCGCATACTAAACCAGATACGGTAGGGTAGACTGGCACCCAAAATTGCCAAATCCTTATTGAAAACCCTTCATTACAGGGGTAAGATGAAAAGTTCTCGGTCTGACAATGAAAGGCCACGATTTTCAATTGAAAAAGTTACATTATTCTTATATTAAATCGAAATCTTTAGTTCAAGACAGTTCTAAATGTTTGTGGCCGTTCATTCTAGACAGTTCTAAATTATTCTTGAGCGTTCTAGATTGTGTTAGACAGTTCTAAATGATTATAGACAGTTCTAAATAATTCTGGTGCGTTTTAAATGGTTCTGAAGCGTTCTGAATGGTTTTACAGTTCCTAATAATTCTTGAGGGATCCAAATGGTTCTAGAACGTTCTAAATGATTCTGCAGTGTTCTAGATTGTTTTAGACAGTTCTAAATGGTTCTAGACCGTTCTAAATGATTTTGGAGCGTTCTAAATGGTTCTACACCTTTCAATAGTCACTTATATTTCGGAAAGTATCTGTTGTATTTCAGAATAGTCAATTTGATTTCAGAAATCATCAATTGAATTTCAGAAATCATCAATTGAATTTCAAAATAGTCAAATTCATTTCAGAAATTTATCATTTGTATTTCGGAAATCGTCAATTATTAACGAAAAAGAAAAACTCAGTCCACTCCACAATTTATATTATTTTTTTGGACTTGAAACAACTTCTCTTCGGAATTGAAATATTTTTTTCTGAAATCGAAATTATTCTCTTGGAACGGATACCTTTATAATTTTTTCTGAAATTGATATTGAAAAGCTATAGATATTGAAGAATTCCGAAATACAAATGATGATTTCTGAAATGAATTTGACTATTTGAAATTCAAATGATCGTTTCCGAAATCGAATTGACTATTCTGAAATACAACTGATGGTTTCTGAAATCAAATTGATTATTCTGAAATACAATTGAATAATGAAATACAAATGAACCTGACGCTTTCTGAAATACAGTTGGAAAAATGGTGTAGACAGTTCTAAATGATTCTGGAGCGTTCTAGATTGTTTTAGACTGTTCTAAATGATTCCAGACAGTTCTAGATAATTATGGAGCGTTCTAAATGGTTCTGAAGCATTCTAAATGGTTTTAGACAGTTCTTAATGATCATGGAATGATCAAAATAACTATGGAACGTTCTAAATGGTTCTACTAGACAGTTCTAAATGACTCAGAATTCAGACCGAGAACTTTTTCACCCTACCCTAGAGGGTACAAAGAAAAACAGCCAATCACAACGTTGAATAACATTACCTGCGTTTTTAATTTAGTAACCTCAGCACTGGGCGAGTCCCACAACTCGTACGGTATGCCCAATTCGACTTTGACCCCTTTATCGACCAGCCCGTGTAACGTTTGAAACGTTTGGCTCATCCCTTTGGCGAATCTGGTGCTATCTTCGCGTTCCTTGTGAACGTTGTACTCCAATATCCTGTTACAAATACCTTCTAAAGACTCCACCAGTCTCAGCTCGGATTTCTTATAGGCTTTCTTCTTCTTGGGTTTTACATCGTCTACCGAGTAGCCCGTTTCGATTACGTCTGAGGTCTTGCCGGTCTCTTCCAATCTGGTTTCCAGTTCCACGGCTAATATTTTGCACACTGGAAACGGTTTTGTTTAGACGTTTTGTACACTGGAGTGTATAATTGAATTTGAAAAGAGTATAAGTGTAGATTTGTTTTTATGTTACCTTCGCATTTGTTGGCATATTTCACTCCTTGTTCTTCTTCAGGTGAAACCCCGGCGTTTGCGAAATGGATTAGTAGAAAGGTAAAAATTAGTTTTATTGGCACTAACATGTTTTGTACGAGATTGTGATGTAAAAATTCGTTTGATAACCTTTTAACACTGGTAAAAACGATTATTTTTTTAGCTTCTTAGAGATGGAAATGCTTATGTAAATTACTAGGTAACAATAGAGGAAGTCTTACTGTTATAATCTTTGTATGTTTCGGTAATTGTAAAATTGAGCTTAGAGAGCTTTGAGAATTCTGTTTATTCTGTATAACCTAAAAAAATTGTTAGTAAAAATAAAAAAAGAAGAAGAAACGGGCTGTTGTCCTAAGACTTCTAAGACTAATAAATGAATAATTGTTGTATTTGTATATTACTCCAAAAAAGTCTCATAAGTCGCTATTAACTAAATAAATAAATGAAAATAAATAAATAAATAAATAAATAAATAAATATATATCCTCCATACATAAGTCTCCATAAGACCTATGAAAAAAAAATTATATCACCATTAGATAATACTATTGATTCGGTAAAAGATATCTATATCGAATAATTTTCTTCCTCTAAAAGAGACTATTTTACTGTTTTAATAGTGATTTGACGACTGTGGCCAATTTTCTGGTTACCATTGTTGCTATATTGGCGCTTCTTTTCCATACGTACTCCCTGGTTTTGTCGTGATTGTCCGCGCTGTCCACTCGAACCTATTAAACAAGTAAAGTAACCATCAGTAAAGTATAGAAGTGAAGTATTCATTATAAGAGTATTATTAATAATTATAGTAATATCTACAAAACTACACATACTCAAAAATGTTTTACATTATACAAAGTTAGGCAAAAGTCCGAAATAAAATTATCTGTTGGACCAATAATTTAAACAATAAACGCTGTAACATTTTTTTTATTTAACCCCTTAGTTGCAACCCTACCCAACTTTATTTTTTCAAATGCAAAAGTATGTCGTGTGTAGGGTCATTGAAAAACCCGTGGAAAATGGAATCTGAAAAGAAGAAAAGAATCTACCTTTTTTTTCTATTTCTCATGTTCTACATTTATTTTTTTTCCTCGTAAATGCTTATGTTTTGGAAAAATCTTGTAGAGATAAAAAAATTAGTAAATAGGCTTTACAGTCATATTTTTTTAAAGAAAAATTTTCATTTAAAAGAAAATTGTGAAAAAAATGCCGTAGGGGTTGTCGTAGGGGTTATAAATGTTTAGTGTGGTTGACAAATAATATTTCCCAATTTTCGTGCCTTTAGTTTATACAGAGAAATTAAAGAAGAAAACTAATTTTCTTTAATCTTCGGAGGGGTATGACTTTCCGGGGATGGTCTTTTTCAAAAAAATTTTATACCAAGTATTCACCTTAATTTTCTTCACATATTATTTACCCCTTAAATTTTTTCGATGTTATTTAGATACACTCTGTAGATATATAATAAATATTATAGTAAATAATTACCGATTTCGGCTGGAGGACCCGTATAGTTTGCAATGTGGCCGAACCACCGTGCATTATCTTCATATTCAATCTTCCGAACATCTCGGCTGTAGTCGCTGTGGCGCTCTTCACTTCTCTTCTAGCTCCCTTTCCCGTCTAAATAAAATATTTAAAATAATTTAAAAATATTTAAAATAATAGATATTGCAGAAAAATATATTGTAGATTTTTAATTCTAGTTATAGTGAGGGTAGCATCTTAGTAGGGAATAAGAGATTGGGGAACCCTTGGGGAATTCCCTGAAAGGGAAGAGTTTGGGGAATCTGCTAAAAGGGAAGATTTTGTTTGTCCAGAAAATGGAGAAACGCATTAACCGATTCTATATAATTCGTACGAAAAAAACCGGGGACCTTTACAACATCGCCTCCTATCGGCCGTTTTAGGAACCCTGTTTTTTCCTCAAATATAACGGGACACTTTTTCGACCTATGTTTCCAGACCTTAGAAATACAGGACCGTACTCCGATATTTACCTCTCTTTCGACGCGCAACGTCAAGGGCCCCATCAGGAAATTGGACTTGAGCAACGTGCGATCCTTGAGCACGTTAACAGTGACGTCACCGTTCCTGCGGATGGTGCTCAGCCCGAACAACGTCGCTCTGGAGACTTGCGTCCCGTTCTTCTTATTCTTCTTCTTCTTCTTTTGTCCGCCTCCCGCTGTTGCTCCTCCGCTTGATGTGGTTTTCTTCTTCGTTTTCTGCTTGTTGGTAGACGCTGCTCGTAATTCAGAAGTCAAATTTTTCGTTTCTTCTATCAGCGTTGGGCCCGTCTTGGAGATGAGGACGAAGGAGGATTCTCTGGACGCGTTTTCTGGAATTTGTAATTGTAACAATTATATAATTATATTATGTATATTATTATTATATACTATTATTATTATTATAACCATTTTGTAATGGGTTCAGATAATGACTTTATATTTCAGGGTTGTATAGCATTTGTAAGGAGCTTTAAAAATCACAAGGCCCCCCTTTCCATTTAAATTTATTTCCCAAGAGGGCGCCCAGTCGCCATCTTGAAATTTTCATCTGTCAATTTTACTCCAAAATACAGTAATCATGCATTAGTTTCATTATCCCAAATTTCAATTTTCTAAGTTGATCCGTTTAAAAAATAAAAGGGGGGACATTAAAGAAATACACTGTATACTATACCTAAAATATTATACCTATAATTTACCTTCATTTTTGATGCGATTCTCCTCCCTGGCAACGGTCATCTCCCCCATTTTATTGGTCATCGGCTCTTCGATCTTCTTCTCATTATCCCCAATCTTGTTCTTCTTCTGCAGCTGCTGCGGCTGCTGCTGCTGTTGCTTCCTCTTCTTGCTTCCTTTAGACCCTTTCTTCTTGTGATTCTTGTTGGTCGCCTTGACTGTGGTCTTCTTGGATTTGTACTCGAGCGCGTCGAGTTTGACGCGCACCGGATCGTAGGATTTGCCCAGCATCTTGTTGATCCTGGCGATGACGCCGTCGACGAATCTGTTGTACTTGTAGATGTAGATGGCCGGCATTTTGCCTGATGGTGATGGCAGCGCGCCTGCGTGTTAGCATGTTTATTATTTTTTTCGTTCATAAATTGGTTTATGTTGGTTTTTTTGGTATTTATACTGTAATAAGTGGCGACAAAATAGGAGGGGGGTGATTCTCTAAGACTGATCTCTAATGTAAGGTTTCACCAAAGAAAAATAAGACCTTATTCGATGAATATTATACAAATAGTATTAATTTGTAATATCTTTGCAAGTGTTTTTCTGATTATGAATTTTTATATTAATTTATTGGTTATATTTTTAGTTTGTTTGAGAATAATGGAAGTTTATTACATTATTGATTATTTATTTATCTATTAGATTTTTAGCATCATCTTAATCATTATCTTCAACATCATCTGATGAAGATTTTCATTACAGACGACCTCGAATTGTTTTATAAAAAAAAGGATCGTTGTTAAAGTTTCCTTCTCCTCCTCCAAAAAGTAATTTTTGCATCTTTCCCTTTTTTCGATCCATTTCAAAATAACTCTCAAACACAAACTCCAAATATAATAAAATAATACTCATTCGTCACAGCGACAAAAACCAAAAAATAACTAAAAATAACTTCGAACAAATCAGTTCGAAATCTTCGTTTTTTTTTTGGAAAAATTTGAATTCTAATGGTTGGTTTATCAGAAATATCTGCTTAATAGACTGTTAAATAGCTAACCAATGATTAAAACGGTGAAACGTCAAAATATTTAACTGGAGTTTAAAAGTCATCGAATAACTATTTATAGATTTATTTGTCGTTGGTGAAACCGGGCATTAGTGAGATTCAAGATTGATCTCAATATAGGATATTAAGAATGATACAAAACTCTCTACAAAACAAAACAAAATTATAACAAAACAAAATTATATCTTTTAATAATTTTTTAATTTTTTATTGTTATCTAACAAACCATCGGAACGTGGTATTTTTGGATTTGTTTTTATAAGGCTTTTTTTATCGCTATTTTAAAGTCTAGATTCATCTCTCCAATTTTGTTTCCATTTAAAGTAAACACCCTGTATAACAGATTCTCGTTAGTTTAGTGGTGACTTCACTTGTTGGTTAAATTAGTGAATATTAGAGATTTGAAATATGTTAGATGTTATTATTTTTAACTTTTTTGAAGTTTTAACCATTTTATATATCTTTTATAATAATTTTCTACTAATAAAAGTAGAGTTTAATCGACTTATTTTGACTTGTTCAATACAATACATTAGTAATTAATTTTACTAATTTTTGATTAGTTATTTCATCTTATGATGTCATCACCAGATTAACATGAACATATTATATTTAAAAAATAACATTGCATTTATTTGAGATCGTATTGAAGCGGAACTGTTGACTATTTTCTCCAATATAGCGAGTCCATAATGATTCCAAAACCAATCAAATTTGATATAAAATTGTACTGGTACGACTGTCCAAATATTTTTAAGAGGTTCGTCTCATTTCATAACATATTCATTTAATTCGGATAGGTACTTTCCAATATACAGATAGATAATTTAGGCTCATCGTGACATACCCTGTATATTTATAATTTACAAATTGAATGCTGTAAATGAGTAGAATATAAAACAGGAGTGAGTTGGGTCAGCGACATGTTTGGGTCACGGTCGAACTTTCTTTTTACCACCTGCGATCGGATGAGTTTGATCGAAAGAAACTTGCCCGTGAAGAATGTAAGTCGAGGTCGTTCGAACATTTGAATTTTAAAAAACTTTTGAAAAGAAATTTTATATTATTATTTATTATTCAATATTAAAATGTTTTTTTTTAATTACGTGCGTTTTATTCACCCGTAGATTTACGGGGAAGTACAGGGGAAAATGAAGGAAATTGATGATTTTTTTCACACAATTTTGGCAGAAATTTTATATTTTAGATGCTAATTTTAAATTATTATTTTTATTATCCAAGCCCTACACCATTTTTCTACCCTTTTTCTTATAGGTTATTACAATTTTGGCCTTATATTTTTCTAATTATTGAAGATGTTTTAGTTAATAATTCTTCAAAGAAGTTGATTTTTCAAAAATTGTAAAAAAACCATCGAACCCTCTTTTTAAAAAAAAATATTTAGAAAAAGATTTAAAACCCATATAATCTAGAGAAAAGAAATAAACCTTATGCACTCAACTCTTCTATCGAGAATAATTTTTTCGAAAAATTAAACAAATTTTTCGAGGACACACTGTATATGTATAATAAAAAAAAGTGTGTCCAGGAAGCGCTGGACGAAGAAGCTCTCGAAGAAAAGTGTGCCTTGGCCTACTGACCTTGTTTAGAGCCGAGCCAAGAGATACCGGAGGTCATTTCCGAGCCAGTGGCGTTCCCATGGGGTTCAGAAATCGTCTCAAAAATTTATTAAAATAAATATTTATTTCGAGCCAATTTTATTGAATTGTTTTTTCTTTTTAATCGTCGATTGATTAAAAGTTTCTAATCATTATTTCTTCGCAAATTGGAGATTGTCTAAATCAGTTCGGATACTTTTATCAATCACACGGTATATTAATTTGAATTTTCACGCCTTCTATTCGAAATTTTAGTGAAATTTTGTCAATCTAACGACAATATTAACACACTTTTTACCGTATTTTGACTTGTAAATTACCACCAAATTTTTCGAATTCTTCGCGAAAAAAAATCTCGCAAAAATCCAGAACCGTTTCGCACTCGAAACGAACCGGTTTCGGACCGATTCGATTCGAAACGAGATAGGGAGACGAATTGTAGAGCGAACACATCGGGGGAAATTCGATTTAAATTCGACATTCTAGTGAAATTGACTACCAGAGATGGAAAATTGTCTGAAATTGTCTACGTCAATGCGTCTAAAATTACATGTGTCATGCTGTTAAGTCGTTACATACTTACTCTTCCAATTATACAGGGTGGTATTCAATATATACGAGTCGATAGTTATTTATATAGGGTGTCCCAATTTATAAAAATACACAACTTTGTTTGAAGACACCGGGTGTATTGGAAATTGATTTTAAAATAATCGACAAGCGTCTAAATTACGAGTAATAGATTTGTTAGGACACCCTGTATAATCGAAACTAATTTTAATATGAATGAATAAATTATTTTTAGAAAATTTTCGGTAACTCGTATACTTTGAATAATCCTGCATGTTAATGAACTACTTGATTCCAAAAAAATACTTGGTATTTTAGTATAATTCTAATGAAAAATATATGGTAATGAAAATCGACTACTTACCTCGTTTTCTGAACACCGGTGTGAGATGTTAATTGAAAAAAAAATCAAAAATTATCTACTAATTACTCTAGTGTTTAATTAATTGAGTTAATAATTAAGTTAATAATAAAAGAAATTGAAAGAGCATGCGTAATGTTAGACGTGACTTGAGTGCATTAGCTAGATAGATGTCACAAAAAAAACGCTAAAAAAATCGGGTAAAAAAAGTAATTGCAAATAAAACACAAAAATCACACAAAATACAATCTATTCAGCAAAAATTTGTACAATGTTCATACAATAAACAGGGATTTTTTTTTCGTTTAAAATAAGGAAAAAAATCGTCACCAAATTGTGACATGTACCTAGGGTAATGCAGGCGGCTCGATGACCGCTTCGTTAAATAAATAAATAAATAAATAAATACAAAAAAATAAATAAAGCATAAAATACTACTGGCTACAAAATTTCGCGTTCTCCCATTTCGACAGTGCGTTTATGGTACAGAAAAAAATTCGAAAAAAATAATGCGAATTTCCACCGGGATATTATAAAAAAAAGAAAGCCGGAAACAGAACGAAACGAAGAAATTAAAAAAACACACAAAAAAAATATCTAAAATAGTCTCTACTCTACCACTCCTCTACCTATCTGATTTTATTAGTAGCCTCTTTGCGATGGTGACGATGGTGTTTCCTAGACTTTTTCGCCTTCTTACTATGCTTTAATTTTTTCGACTCACGTGATCTCTTCGTCTCGATGATATCCTCCAGGTCCGTATCATCATCATCGTCATCGTCGTCGTCGTCATCATCAGCCTCATCGTCATCGTCATCGTCATCATCGTCGTCAGTCAAGTCGCCTAGCGCATCGTCATCGTCATCGTCATCGTCGTCATCGTCGTCGTCGTCATCGTCATCGTCGGTAGCGGGCACCGCTTGAACCACGACCGGTTCAGCGACGGTCTCGACCGGCTGCACCGGGTCTTTCAGCACCACCTCCGAGGGATCGGAGGCCGCGACGAGCGAGGAGGCTTGGTCCGTACCGGTGATGGCGTCCGATTCGCCGGCGGCCAGTTCCTGCGCGTCGAGCTCCTCCTGGGGCGTCAGGTCGCCGGCCTGCGCCGAAGCTTCGGCCGCTTCCTGCTGCAGATCGGGCTGTTGGACCTCCACGGGCTGCGGTTGGGGTTGGGGTTGGGGGGCCGGCGCGGCGGAGATGGGCTCGTCGTCGTCGTCGTCGTCGTCGTCATCGTCGTCGTCGTCGCCTGGGGAAGAACGAATCGATACGTGGTGATTACGTTTTGAAGATTGGGGGATTTGGCGGAGTTAACGAAGGTAAGGGAAGGTTAGGGAAGGATAAGGAGGGGCAAGGAGAGCTAAGGAAGAGTAAAGAAGCATAAGGAAGAGTGAGGAAGGGTACGAAAGATCAAGGAAGAGTGATGAAGGGTAAGAAATAGCAAGGAAGGAATAGTAAGGAAGAGTGAGAAAGGTAAGGAGTGGTAAGGAAGGGTGAGACAGGATAAGATAAGGTGTGAATGAGTCAGATATAATAGGGGTGGACAAAAGAGGTTCAGGGAAAAGGGAAAGGTTCACAAATTGTTCAGAAATACCAACTAGATAACTAGATTTAAGGAAGGTTTTTTTTTATTTTAGGCTTAAATCTAATTTTAATCAGCTAAATTTAAGACTGGCTTGAGAAGGGTAAAAGTCCAAAAGTAAAGAAGAGGGACACAAAATTGTTCGCTGGTATCAACTAGATGTCTTAAGGAAAGTTTAATTTTAATTTCTGGTTTTAACTGAGTTTTAATCAACTGGGTCTAAGAAAGCTAAATGTCTTAAGGTAGTGATGAGAGCTGAATGTATTGAAAAAGATCCATAAATTGTACTCTGACATTAACTAGTGTAATGAAAGTAGGTTTAATTTCATTATTAGACTTGAAACTAGACTTAAACATGATCTTTACCAACTAGGTTTAAAACAGCTAAAAGTTAAAAGGTCCACAAATTGTGCATAAACATCAATCAACTGGAGTTAAAGAAGCTAAGTTTAATGTGAGTTTTGTAAAAATGTGGGAAATGAGGGAAAATCTACAAAAACTCTCCACAAGAATCACAACAGAAGGTTATCATTTCAAGATAACTCACCTCCCAAGATGTCGTCCAAGAAGCCTCCGAAATAATCATCGTCGTCGTCATCATCATCAGCGGCCGCGTCGTCATCATCATCATCATCGTCGTCGTCGCCCACTCCCAAATCTAAATCATCATCGTCGTCGTCGTCATCATCGTCGTCGTCGTCATCATCTCCGGATTGACGACCCTTAACCTTTGCAAAAAACATACAAATAACCAATCGAATCCCAACGAATCCGAGCGACTCTTATACCTTTCCCTTGCCCTTCGTTTTCTTCACCACCGCCACCCGGTGCTCCGGCTTCTTCTCCTCCACCGGCAGTTGCTTCACCACCTCGTGCACCTCGGGTTTCTTCTGGATCTCCGCCGGTTTATCATCGCCCTCAGTCGTCTTCTCCACCTCGGCGCGGACGTAGACGCCGGGCGTCTGCTCCTCGGCGACGCCGCGACGCTCGACCGCCGCCTCCAGGCGCCCGCCGTCGAGCGCCCGGCCCTCGTCGGGCGCCATCACCGTCGCTATGGGATTCGCCCGGCATTCGAGCAGCAGCAGGCACAGGGCAGCGCCCACCAGGTAGCAGCAGCGCATCCTTTTTAACCTGGTGAATCGTAGAGTGCGGTTGATTTTAGATAGTCGTGACGTCACGATTGATTGATAACGAAAGGACTATACGGGGTGTTTTAAAATGATATGCTAATATATTAGGGGTGGTTCCTGGACTTATTTTAAGGAGTAAGCTTTATATGAAGTTATGTTGTAAACGTTTTAACTTTTGAGATATAGGGTGTTAAAGTTTTAAGAAAATAATCGATTTTTTGGAATAACTTTGATACTATTGTAGATATTTTTATGAAATTTGGCACTCGTTTTTTTATGAATCTAGATGCATTTTCTGATGTACAAATAATTTTATTATTTTCACCAGTGGCGTCCGTACGGGTTGTGCATTGGATATTTTTGGAGAAAAAAATGGTAAGCCACAGCCTAATATTGAAATAAGCATTATTTTCGGAATCATCATTCAATTTAGAACAAATTTGATTTCTTGACTTTCTTCCGTACGACTCATCGTTTCGCCACTGGGCACATTTTAGCCACTGGGCTTATATTAAAAAATAATAAATTTTAGCTTTAGAACATTACAAAAAAATGATTAATTTCTTAAAACTTTAACACCCTCTGTATTTCAAAAGTTTAGACGTTTAGGATATAGGTTCATATGAAGTTTTTTTTCTTAAAATGGGTCCAAAAATCACCCCTTTAAATATTATCATGTCATTTTGGAACACCCTGTATGTATATGTGAGAATTTTCGCGGGCTGGCGAGAGCGTGTAGTAACAGTTATTAACGCTATTAGATCGCGGAATTTCATTATATGGTTTACGGTAAACCGTCCGTTAAAAGTTTACTGTTCGTTCCGATTAATTAACGAATGTACGGGGTGAGCCAGAAAATTAAATTGAAATCGATTAGTTTGTGTGGAAAATTAAGTAGTAATCTTATTATTCTTGTTATTGGCGATAAATTTGCGTAAATAACGCGACTAATGAAAAATTTGGTATTTAAATTATAGTGTCGATTATACAGGATGTCACAAGGTAAATGTAGGTTTTATTATATGTGGGACATCCTGTATATTTGAAATCTACTCGACGAGCTGATTTAAATGATGGGTCACATTCGATGTGTGTTATGAGAAATAAAGGATCAACAGCCACTTGAATGTACAGGGTGGTAAAAAATTAAATGGGCAATTTTTGATTTCACAACTGCAAGTGTTTATGAAACGATTAAAAGTGATTTTAATTGATAAAGTTATAAAATGATAAAGTTTGATATTTTATTAAATTTTATTATTTTATTTCAATTTAATGTATTTTTTCAAGTGGCTGTAGATCTTTTTTACTATCCATTACAAATATTCATTGTGACCCATAATTTAAATCGACTCGTCGAGTAGGTCGAAATATACAGGATGGCTCGTTAAAAAAAACCACAAAAACACCACCGAAACTAATTTTAAATTACAGTTTTTTTAAACGCACGTAAAAACTTCCCTTACGAATTTTCTATTAACTAGTACACCCTGTATATTTAACACAAAAAATCACCTGCTTCCACTATTATAAATTCGTCACACAAATATTCACTGGATATCACAAAAATCTAATATAAAAAAGAACAAATCCACTAATACCTATTTTTCGAAAAACAATAAAAAAAAATGAGAAAAATCCGAATCGAAATGAGTTGCGTAAAAACCGCACTTACCTACAGTATATTATACAGCGTCGATCAAAAAGAGCGCAAGAAGAAAACCGTGCGAAATCCTCCAGGAGAGTAGGTCAATTGCACCCGCTGTCAGTCTCGAGCCTAGCCTATAACACTTTCAGTTCAAAGAACTCTCGGTATATACTCGGGGACGATGTGCTTTTTTTCGTTTTGTAAAACTTCACCGGACGCTTTCGGTTTAGCGACCGAAGGACGTGGAAATCGTTCGACGAATACTCGTCCTCCTCGTATCGGTTTTACTTCTTATACCGATACGAGGAGGACGTCACCGTAGGCGATCTCCATCCGCTCCACCACTTCCCATCGGCGGGCCCGCCGGAGGTGCGATGTGCTTTGGCGAGTGCTTGGTGTAAAAGAGGAACGATGAAGAGGATGGCATTTTGATGGTTGTTTATTTACATCATGGATTTTTGTTGGTTTATTTTGATTTGAGCTAAAGGTGTGTTAGGTAATTTTTTATTTTCACTCCGGCCGGTTCTTTAGGAGGAATCGTGGGGGATAAATTTATAAGAGGATGATGAGGAATTGGTAGAATTGGAGGAGTTTAATAGGGTTAAAAAATGAATGTGTTTAGATATTAGGGAATAATAATAATTTTTATTGGGAGGGAATACGATGAGGAAACAATGAAATTGTTGGAGTTAATAGGTTTATTAATTAATAGTATTAGGATGTTATTTAGAAATTAATAGGATAAGACTTTAATAGACTAATGTCCGGTTTCACCAACGACAAATAAATCTATAAATATAGTTATTCGATAAATAACTTTTAAACTCCAGTTAAATATTTTGGCGTTTCACCAACACTTTTAATCTTTATAGTTAGCTATTTAACAGTTTAAACAAATATTTCTGGTAAACCAACCTTTAGAATTCAAATATTTCCAAAAAAAACGAAGATTTCGAACTGAATTGTTTAATCCAGATAAAAAGAACGTTCTTTTTTAAATGGTGGTTGTCCATATTTGGCGCAATTACTCTAATAATCTACTTCTTCAACTACTTCATCTACTTTATGATCAATATTTAAATTTTTGAAAAAAGCAGCACAAAAAAAAACAAAACTCGGTTATAAAGCAAAAGCTGATCACAATTCATCAAAATTGGGCACCTTATCATAACCTCTTATCACAGGATAAGGATTTATATTGGAGAAACGATTTAGGAAAGACTTGTGATATATTTTTATAATGTGATTATAAAATAGGTATAATAGTGTTAAGAGATAGTAGGTTTGATTAGAAATTAATAGGAAACCTTTGTAATAAATAGATTTGGGTAATAATATTATTTTATCATATTGTGAGAAATTCAATAGGATCAATAGGATGAAGAATTAATGAAATTCTAAGTTAATATGAAGTCGACAAATTAATAGGTTTTGGCATTAATAGTAGATATTATGAAATATACTGCTCCACAAAAGTTAAGGAAGTTCATAAATATTGAGATTAATTTAAAAGTTGCAGGTTTTTTGATCGCCAAATTTAGTATGAGTTGTAGAGGAAGGGACAAAAAATCCACTCAGATATGAGAGAAAACAATTAATTTCACATATTTGAAAATTTTGTGAAAAAAAAGGCTGTAACTTTTAAAAACATCGCAAAATTTGCGAACTTCCTTAACTTTTGTGGAGCAGTTTATTTAATTTGGAAATTATTATCGCTCAGAAATTAGTAGGATGGAAATAATAGGAATTGATTGAAGATAAGTATAATTATGATATTAAGAAAAATTATTACCTATTTCCAATAACTTTTGAAAAACATTTTGAAAACGCTTAAGAACTCGTCGAATAATTATTAAAAACTCCAAAATTCATAAATTAACTACAAAAAAAATTGAATTTATTTTTAACAAACCTCAAAAATCAAATAAACTTTACAAAAAATAGCAAATTAAAAATGTTTATTACATCAAGGTTCAATCCCAATAAAACAATATTTATTGTTCCATAATTAATACTTATTTCATGAGTAATGCGTACAAATAATGATAAAAGAAAAAATGACGAGTAAACAAGCGTTCGAAAAATTATAAAACCTCAAACAATTTATAAACGAAAATCATTTCCAATGATTAATTTTATTCTGGGAACAAAAAATCGCACCTGTTTGCAACCGGCTAGATCGAAAGAAAGTAATTCTAATTCGCCGCAAAGCGTTCGAAAAATCGCGACATATTCGATTTATCAATCGAATTCCCTGTATAATTAGAAAAATTGAAAGTCCTCGATACGAAACAAAAAAAAATACTTTCCTGTTCCACAAACTAGCCGGTACAAAAAAAATTTACTTTCTCGAATACTGTACGCGTTTTAATGTTATTTTTTTTTCGAACGATATTCGTCGAGAATAACAATGAAAAAAACCCAAAAATATTCTCGTCCAATACATTTTTTATTCGAAAAAATTCGTTATGTTAATATCAATAATGTTGTAGAAAATAGCGTGCATTTATTTTATTAGGTTTCCTTGAATGATATCGGTTAATCGAGACAATTGGATTGTCTGGATCTGTTTTAATTAGGGTACCAGTGGCGTATCAACCGGGTTAATTGCACAATATTGTAATATTGTATTGTTGTTACGGTGTAACTAAGGAGATTCTTTCAATTTGATAGTTTTACATTGTTGTTATGGAGTAACTAAGAAGATTCGATCCCGGTTTTTTGCGTACGAATTAAATAGAATTAGCATTAAGAAAGGTTTGATTCAAACTAAAAATAGATAAAAAATATAAAAATATACTTACAATTAAATCAGCGATGATTTTGTTGTAAACATCATGCCTCACGTATCTTCGGTTAATGTGTTTCTCCATTTTCTCCTCGAAATGTCAAATAATAATTTTTGAAGTTTTGACAGCTTGAACTGTCGTTTCACACAATCGCGATTTATATGTATCGTGACGCTGATTGGCTGAGATAAGTTGGTCCTCCGATCGTTCACTACGGTGCGGCTCAAAAAGTCTTCAAATAATGGGACACATTCTCTAATGCATAAGCATGGGAAGTTTCCAGACCTTAGAAATATAAGCCCGTAGGAGTAACTAAGGAATTTATTTCAATTGACAGTTTTACATTGTTGTTATGGAGTAACTAAGGCGACTCTTTCAATTTGACAGTTTTACATTGTTGTTATGGAGTAACCACTGCCCTATATTTCTAAGGTCTGGATTCTCCCTATGCCTATGCATTAGAGAATGTAATAATTTGAGGACTTTTTGAGCTTCACATTTGCGCCGCACCGTGGCGAACGATCGGAGGACCAACTTATCTCAGCCAATCAGCGTCGACATATAAATCGCGGTTGTGAAACGATAGTTCAAGCTGTCAAAACTTCAAAAATTATTATTTGACATTTCGAGGAGAAAATGGAGAAACACATTAACCGAAGATACGTGAGGCATGATGTTTACAACAAAATCATCGCTGATTTAATTGTAAGTATATTTTTATATTTTTTATCTATTTTTAGTTTGAATCAAACCTTTCTTAATGCTAATTCTATTTAATTCGTACGCAAAAAACTGTGGTCAATCAAAAAAGATTATTAAAATAACAGTGGTTAGAGTGATTACAATATTCCTTCCAATATTCCAAACTCCTTCTTTTTCCTTTATATAAGACTATGGAAGCTTTCTTTGTTGCACCCATATTGCGTACAACTTACCAGTTTTCTGTATAAAATGAAACAATTACTTGTCTATTTATAAATGTATTTATTTAATGCAATTATGTACAACATTGACATCTACAACTAAAAAACTAACATAAAGAAGGTACTTAATAAATATCTTTTTTTTATAGTTTTTATAGTTTCGGTAAAAAACCGAGAATTTTCTCGTTTAATACATTTTTTTTTTCGAAAAAAAATTGTTAATATCAATAATGCGATAGAAAATAGCGTGTATTTATTTTATAATAAACGTTTCCTTGAATGAAATCGGACAATTGGATTGTCCGGATCTGTTTTAATGAGCGTACCAGTGGCGTAACAACCAGGTAAATCGTACAATTTCGTTGATTTTTCGTGTTGTATTCAACGTGAAATTGTTAGAAAAAAAAAACTTTCGATTTAATTTATATATCCCGAGTCCTCGTCGGCCTCGACCTTGCGAAGCAACCATCGATACCGGGTCAAGGGAGCAAAGCGAGTTCAAACGCAAGATATCTTTCTTTCTTTCGCCTCGTAAACGAAAGAAAGAGGTCGAAAAACGACCTTCATTCAACGCTTCCTCCGCCTTCTCGATCTCGATATATCCACACACGAAGAAATCCAACGGGTATTTCCTTGAATATACCCGTTTTAATTACTATTTCATTGGATTAATTCGAGCTGGAAACTAGGTGAATTATCCTTTGTATTTTCGTTTCTGTAATCTAGTGGTCGGAGTCGTGTGGTGGTGTTTTTATTGAGACGCCCTGTATAGTGGAGAAATTTCGATTTTCGATCAATAACGATCCAATCTAGGCTTACAATGTAAACGTTAAACTGTGCACTGTGGACTAGTTGGAGATTTTAGATGGATTTAAAAAAATTGTTATAATTAGTGAATTATTATAACTGAATTATAGACAATTAAAGTCTTTTAATTTCTCTATTTTGTTTCATTTTTTAAAGGAAATATTACTTAATTATTCTAATAGAATCCTATTTTGGTTGCAGTGAACAATTTGATACATTATTAACAGTTTTTTTTAACTCGAACTTGTTAAATTGCTTTAATAAAACGAAATTTCTCGAATTTCCAACGATTTAATCCCGAAAAGTTAGTAGAAAAATGGACAATAATAAAATCGGTTCGGCTATTTGGGTCGATTGACCCACACGGTGCGTCGTTTTGGGTTTTTTAAGGTCAGTGGAACTGGCGTGTTTGAATAAAAATGCGCTTAATTACGCGTCTTTCACGTATTTTCGACTCGTCGATGGAGCGTAAAAGAGTCGAATGGGACTCTTTACGCTGCCGGAATATCATTAAAAACTTTCTACTCGCGTACTCCCTTGTTTGACTGTGTGTGTGTGTGTGTGTACGCGATGAACCATGGGCGTAGACGTGTAGGGTGCAGAGGGGAATGAAATGAAAAATCGAGTTTATCACATAAATTAAATTTTAGACACATAAATTTTATGTTATTTGAGAATACAATAAATAAATGAAGAATAATTATTAATAATTAATAATAAAAATGAGTTTAATAACAATTTAACAACAAAATAATTTAATTCATTATAAAAAATAGGATGTCCCAGTTTTACATTGTTGTTATGGAGTAACTAGGGACTTTGTAGTTTGTTTACGTTAAAGTGACCCTCTAAAGTCATGTTTAAGGTTAAAGTGGGGCGCTGAATACGGGCAAATAATTTGAACAAAGAAAGATTATTAAAATAACAGTGGTTAGAGTGCTTACAATATAACTCCTTCTTTTTCCTTTATATAAGACTATGGAAGCTTTCTTTGTTGCACCCATATTGCGTACAACTTACCAGTTTTCTGTATAAAATGAAACAATTACTAGTCTATTTATAAATGTATTTATTTAATGCAATTATGTACAACATCGACATCTATAACTTAAAAACTAACATAAAGAAGGTACTTAATAAATATCTTTTTTTATAGCTTTATCGTTTTTAGAAATAACGCCTAATTACAATTTTTAACGAAACCTTTTTACACGTCTACACGTTAGAATGTTTATAATAGCATTTTTATTCGGTATTGATTCATTAATAATAATGAAAAAAGTTTTAATTCGGATTCAGGCTGGTGTTTTTTTGTTCATTAACTTTTGATTGTGGGTTCTTATTTTCGCTTAAAATACTGCTCAAAAAAAGCCTAATTAACATACGTAAATATAAACCGTATACAAATTTTCAGAATATAATTAGAGAAAATTGTCCCATTTTTTATTGGTCCATCTAATACATTATCTATTATATTTCTATATTGCAACAATACTATTCG